GGGGGGCGCCTGGGATCTGCGTGGAAGGGATCTGACGGCGAGTCTTCCCATCGTCGTCGTCGGCGCCACTTACAGGGTCACAGTCAGTGGCAGTGATGGCCACAACCTTTGCAAGCGTCATCGCATCTTTGAACGCCTGCGTGACATTCCGCTTCGCGTTCTGGGCTGTGCCCGGCGGGTAGGCGAAGACTGGGGGTGCGGCAAGGCTCAAACTCGGGTTGAAAAGGAGTAGGAGAAGAAGTGTGGGCACCACTCCTACGACAGCCTTGAAACTCATCTTGCTAGTTGGTGGTGATCGATGCGAGTCACACAGGGCAGGACCAGAACCACGGAGACGTATGGATGGACAGACTCACATCTGAAGGAGACTCGAGAGAGGTTGTCTCTTCCATGGAAGGCAGAAGCGCTCGGTATGACCTGAACAGGGAGGTGACAGACCTGGATCGATTCACCCACCATCTTCACTCACTCGGTGAAGCGGCACGCGTGAGGCGCGACTGATTTGCGGCTGCAAAATGGGATTGACCATCTGCAAGGCAGTACAGGAACCCAACGGCCTTGTGACTGTTTAACACTCTCAACAACATCTTTGACATGCGCTGTGGCAGAGTGAATCTCCCATTCTGTCTCGAGCGTGAAATCTGCGCAGGGAGGTTCGCGCTTCGGGAACCGCGGTGTCAGTAACATGCGCCCTAGAAGACACCGACATCAGCTCAAAGCATAGGAGTGGACTGAAATGATGGGTGACATTGGGTTCAGTGGTATGTATCTCGCGGCTTTTCTGTCCGAGGAAAATGGGTTGCCTCTCAGAACACGTTGCCCGGCCCTTTCCAGTTGAGAACAGCCACCGGCTCTTTGACTGGAGTCATCTTCATCAACTTGCCGTAGAAGTCCATGCTCCTCTCCTTGCCATGGCCGACGATGCACATACTCCGTCTCAAATAAGGCATGTCTTCCACGACCTCTTGAACACAGCTGATGAGCCACTTCCCCAGCCCCTGGCCCTGCCACTCGGGCTGGACGTACACATCTGTTAGATAGAGGAAACTGACTCGATCGGTGATGCAACGGGCGAAGCCAATCAGTGAAGGTCCCTGTTCCTCTCGCTTTGTCCCCGCTGGACCTGCATGGGCCGTGACATCGCTGGTCACGTCTGATCTGACGGATGTCGCGATCTCGTGTAACGTTTCTGCGGGGTCAGAGGGCGCCACGTCGGTACCTTCCTGACTCGGTTCCACCGGCGTTGGTGGTGCTGGCGTGGGTGAGTAGAGGCCAAAGCAGAGGGAGTTGTCCAATAGGTCTCGCATGACTGGCTCGGGAAGTGGTGAGGCCCAGTACATATCATCCGAGGCAAAAGCCTTGTTAAGAGCGTCAATAGGGATCAACGCCGTATCCGTTGATATCATGAAGCCATCTCGGGCCCATGTTTTAGAGGTTTCCACAGCATGAGCGACGTGAGACATTGCGTCTGCTAGAGTGGCTCGCTACGAGGTTCGAGCGTCTCGTTGGGCCTCTAGTTGAAATCGATCAGACTGCTGGGATAGTTTAGAGGAAATTCGATGGATGTCGTGTCTGAGCCAACACGTAAAGGTTGCCAGGGCCGAAGTATGGCTTTATATGCATTGAAGTGTTCGACTCATAAATGTCCCATGTCACCAACTTCCCCATCCGATTATAGCAAGTTTCCCGATGTCACGATGCCCCCCTGGATCCAGATCCCAACGAAATTGTCACATCAGTCCATGGCTGTTCGGCACTGCATGTAGACTATAGGAATCTTCATCGTGAGATAAATATAAAGCCAACGCTTGGCTCGTTCGAATTTACAGTCCCTCATCCAAAACGAAGGGTTCGCTTCGCTAAGCCAGCTAAGTTACAAAATCCATCAAATCTTCTCCGACAACATCCCAATCCCAGTCTCGGTCTCAGAGGCATCTCAGTAGAATGAATCATAACTCGGGCTTCATGGCCATCTCCTGCTCCTTCACCGAACCAATTTGCTCGTCAAACTCCTTCCCCGCTGGCCCAAAATATACCTGGAACAAGCTCCTCAAGTCCTTCGCCCGCAACTCCATATGTTCACCAGGCAGGCCCACGAATTTCAGACCGCCCTTTTCGTCCAACTTCTTCAAGCCGATCCAATCCTCTTCGTAGATGGGTCTATCCCGGAGGCGTGTGACCGAGTTTTCCGTCTCGTTGAATTCGGCAAACCACGCACTCTCCTTCGGAATGAGGGTTTTGTCATCGTCAAAAAGAATCATCACGAGTCTTTCCAGGGTCGCCAGATTCTGGGCGTAGGTGGCGTTCTTGCGTGCGCGCTCGTTGTTGATGTCCGCCAGATAATTTGAGTGCTCGAGGTAATTGTCGAAATCCTTTGTGTCGCGGTAATACTGGGCAGGAACCAGTCTTGACTGGATGAAATCGGACCAGACAGTGCTGCTCTTCAAGAGCGCGTTGGCGCCTTGACAAATCCAGTCCGACGGCGAGGAGCACTTCTGAAACTCGGCGATGCCATTGTGCGGAGATCCGAAAGTGATCAGGGACCGAATCTTCGGTGCCCAATCGGCGCATCTCTCGACGTAGCCCCTCAGAAACAAGCCGCCCTGGCTGAATCCAATTGCGTCGAGGGCCGGTGCCGTGCGCAGAATGTTATCGCTTGCCAGCATGTGACAGACAGCAAGGATTTGTTCGGTGACGTTACCAAAGAACGAAGCCTGGCGATCTGCCGAGCCGGGGTTGCCGCCCAGGGAAATGATATATGTATATGTACCCGGATGGATGTTGTCCAACATAGCCGCGACCTCTTTGATTCCTGTGGCGTCCGCCGAGTCTCCGAGCCCGTGCCAGATCACCACGGGGAGAGGCTGATCGTCGTCAGAGTCACCGTCGCCTATCTTTGCAGGCGAGGCATATTTGGGGGACAGCCTAGTGATCTTGACCCAGTCATCCTCGACAATCTTCTCGATGGTGTGAGGGAGGTGGGCGATTTTGGGCGTGAGCCTGAGCTCATCTGCGGTCTTGTCCTCCTCTTCGGCAACATGGAATCCATGAAGCTGGGCATAATCTGGCGATAACGGCGCGACGTGCTCAACAGCGGCCGCGTCGGACAACCGGTTGGACGAGTCCTCAGATTGTGTCAGGAAGACTTCGGCATCGGGAAAGATAACGATGGAGAGGATGGCGGCGGGAAGCGACAATAGAAGCGACAACTGCGTAAGCCGCATGTTTGCAGTACTCAACACGGTGATAACAACTGAGAGAGATGCGAGAAGGAATCTGTGCAACTGAAGACCTGCTTCACGATGGAAAGAATGATGTTGCCTGCGATGCCACCAACAAGTGCTGACTTATCCACCAAGCTCCTTATCCTTAGTAACAGCACATCCCTGCTCGCTAGGAGCCCGGGACACGTCAACCCCGGATCTTGGCAGGTACCACGTCCCAACGCACAATTTTACGTCATTCAGCCTCGAATACTCGTAGCATGGGAATTGGAAATCCTTCTGGGGAAATATATCGACAATTAATGGTGCTGTCTATTCCCTATATTTTCTGAGAACGCAGAAAAGATAACCCTCCCTATTTTCTCCGACGCCAGCCGGTGGGTATCATAAGAAGCCAGTCATCCTCTCCGTTTTTACCGTCTCCCGCGACGAGTATAGAACCTCTTTTTGCCAGCCCAGACTCCGAATGTAATCAGCATTGGTTTCATCCTAATAACCCCAGTCCATCTTCCTCAGAGACCAGGACTCGCACCTTCTTCAGATCCTGGGTCCACTTCCTCGTAACGTGCAGCCACATTTGCTTCTCGTCTGACCGCTTCTCCTCAACAAACTTCTCCAGGCTGGGCTTGGTCTGCCACTCTTCCCATCTTCGCCCATCTCTTACCAGCATCTCACACGTGAGGTGGGGATACTGTGCCCGTGCCGATGCAATAGCTTCCCTGTCTGCATTCATGCGGAATTCTTCCAGTTGACAAGGTGGACAAGGGTGGTCCTGGTGAGGTAGGAAGGTTGGCAAGCCCATGTAATGGGGCGTCGGGTAGTGCGAAGATGAGGTGCACGAGAAACGGAACCCCTTGGAGGAGAAGGATTGCGAGCGACTAAACTTGCGTCCCAACTCCCCACATTCTGATGGTTGGCAAGCCACGCCTGGCAAAGGCGCCGCAATTTTGGACGGGACTCGAGATATCGGAGAGGACGGCGGCGTGATGGACGAGCCCGAAGAGTTGGAATCTAAACTTCCAGTCGATGAAGAGGAGCATCCTCGTGGCGACAAGGGTCGAAGGTTCGAGCTCGATAGTCTGTTCTGACAGTTGTAGCATTTGTAGGGCTGCTGTGGGAGCTTCACTCCCGTCGTCTTGAGGAGAGGGCAGGGCGCCAATTTGCATGTCTCGAAACCCATCAGAATGCCGTGCCCACAACAGAACCGTAGCACATGAGCCTTGCACATCTTGAGAGTTGTCCCTTTCTAGAATACCAAGATCGAGGTCGTAAGGTGTTGGCTGAACGGTGTGTGGAGTGGAGATTTTCGGAGGAGAAAAAACGCGCAGCTGAAACGGCAAATGCGTCGAAGGCTCGAGGTCTATAGCGACATTCTGAACAGGGGGCACGTGGACATCGAGATATCAGACAAACAGGTTTCGGCGTCTCTCGAGTAATGTGCTGGTTGTCCGGAAACTGGGGCGTCCTGAACGCGGGGGAAGGGAAGCGTTGTGCTCTGTAACAGGCAAAGCAGGCGTCCGTCCAATGCCCCGACGGCGAATCGCAGGAGGATTGCTCGCGAGCTTTGGGCAGCAGCGTATGCAGGGCGGATTGTACGACCCGATGTAAGCGAGCTGTCAGGGCGTCATGAGACCTAGCGAGCGCAGAGGGTTGAGTGCCGTTGAGGCCTTATAGAGAAGGAACCGAAGGTCCGTGTCGAAGGTGGTCGAGGTGGTCAGGTCGCGGAGACGAGAGGGTAATTAACCGTTGACCGAGAGTTTCAGAAGTCCCACAGCAAGAGGCAGTGGCGAGCAATTAATACTATGCCGGTAACGGCCATGAACGAACGGCAGAGAGAGGATCCAGGTTGGGTTCGGGCGCCAACGAGGGGTCACTCTGGAAGTAAAAGGCGGGCGACGAATAACGAGGACGAATGCAATGGACGAGAGAAAGGAAAGGAAAGAGAGAATCAGGTTAACCGGGGGTAAAGTCGACTGACTAGGGGAGAAAGAAAAGACGAAAAGGCGAAGAGAGAAGCAACCACGCAAGACAATAACTGCATAAAACGGAGACGGGGCTGTGAAAGCAACGAACCCTACGCTTCATCGGCCGGGATAGGGTCGATTGACGAAGAGAATAGTTTTTCGTTGGACGGATTGAGCGTGGTGGAGATGGCACCAATGGGTCGAGGGGGTCAAGGCGAGGGCAGTTTGTTAGGGTTGCGTGGTGGCAGCACGCCAACGCGGCTTTGCAGCAGCGCGCAGCGCGCAGTGGGAAAAAAGGTGGGATGGCAGTGGCATGGCGGTGGCATGGCACGATGCTCAGTGGGAGCCATGAGGAAGCCACTTGTCGATCGGCTTTCGCCCCTCGCGGGGGGTGGGATGTCGTCCCTTATTGGGGGGCTCCTTTGTTGAGCGCTTTAACTAGAGCCGCCTAGGGTAGCCCAATTCTTTTTCTCCCGCTTGGCCGCAACGGGCTTGGAGTTGGGTTGGACCTCGCCCTCACCTGTCTCCCACTCTCACGCTCTCTCTTTCCTTTGATGGAAAAGACTTGACCCGCCCACCCATTGTCCTCTACCTTGTGGGTTTCTTTTTTAAATGTTCCATTCTCATGTCATCCTCGCAGGGCCTTCTGAACCCCCCTAGGCCGTATTCCCTATGCGGGGTGCCGCTTCAGGCCCGCAATGGTGATGCCTACCTGTGTACACTCTTTCCGCGATCGGTTGCGACTCTGAAGATGACGCCGGCACGGAAGAGAAAAACAAGAGAAGGGTTGCATTGACAAACGGCAAGATGAAATCATGGCAGGATAGGGCAGGCTTCGCCCCGAAGGATGCAACAAGACGAACCACTGGGGTTTTTTGGCTTCGAAGGGTCTCGAAAAGCTCGGGCCACATAAACAGCCGGCACGAGAACGTGGGCCCAGACTGGTCGCTGCTCGGGAATATCGAAGTGATGGGTGTGCTCCGAGATCATCCCAACTCGCCCAGAAAACATATCCGGTCCGGTCGCAGTCCTCTGATACGGCTTCTTTCGGGTTTCCAGAAGGCGCGCTTCGCCGGTCAGATTCCTCCTCTAGAGCCCATGACTCGTCCAAGTCCCACCAGGGCAATCATTTCCGGCAAATTGCTGTTGCAATCAATGTTGTTCCATGCACGACGCACGTCAACATCGACCCCAGATACGCCATGCCTCCGTCCTCCACAATGAGCGCTCTCCATATCCGCGTCATTACCTGCTATCCGGCCTCTCCAAGAACTAAGTTGTGCCATGTTGGGCACTAGAAGTCGGACGCAGACACGAAGAGGGGCACCATCCGAGGTAAGCTTGAGGGGCCTGCTTCGATGGCAGATGGTTGCCGCCGCCTGTGACGACGCACATCTCCCGACCAGCACCACATGCTCTGTTATCGGGTGGATACCTGAGACAGTGAGACGTGCCGCCAGTCTCGTCCCTGACAGGTCCACAGAGGTACAGATCACAATGATAGCATTGGCAGGATAGCATCACCAGCATAGGATGGATTCGTTCTCGTACCTTGTACTTACGCAAGCACTTCTTCACGGGCAGATACCGTGGGTCAGTGTCATCTCCGATAAGCATAAGGTCGGCGCTGCATCATCCAACATGTTTTGGGCCGTGTCTTTGCCCAAGAAGACCCTTCAGCCGGTACCGCGCTGAATGTGTGTCACGAGAAAAGCAAGCTTCTCCAGACAGGAATATTTTTGCTTGACGCACCTGCAAGGGAGACTGTTGCAAGAGCTAGGAATGAACCTTGAATTTGTCTAGCAATACCCGATCCCGAGCAGCCCTGTCAGTGATAGCTGCGTCTCGTCAATCGGCCACAAGGTGGATGAGGGCCCAGAACCAGTCTTGATAATCAAGAAGTTGATTCGTGCACTATTACTTCACGCCAGACATCCCGCAAATTGGTACCGATTATACACTTGCATTCATCCAGAATCACCTGACTCGTTAGGCGCAGTGTCGTAGTACATGACGATTTTCTGAATCTTGAAGACATTTTCGCGATTCGGCGGTCCAGCTGCCCAACCTGTGGTGGCCGTCAGTCAGAGAAGATGTAATAGCATCCGAATACACTAGATACACACCTTTGTCACCGTTTGCCCAGTTGTTCCAGACCAATTGGCCTGGCACGTTCGGAATGTTGTTGGTGAAATTCTTCTGGCAGACCCCGTCTATGTAAAAGGCTGTGAAGTCCGCGGTCCAGTCGATTCGATACTCATGGGTGTGCGCGGTGCAGTTAGAGGGAGCAGGCCCGCTTTCGCATGATTTGTCCACTTTCGTTGGATCCAAGGCTTGATTCGTGTACCAAAGGGGTATTGGGTTATCGGGACCGTTGTTTGATAAGGATGCTGGATCGGTCACGTATTCGATATCGCACTCCTGAGTGTCGCTCTTGTAGAAGAAAATCCCTGTCGTTCGTTAGGATACACAATCTCAGACAGGACAGTCGATGTGGAAACAGACCATGGCAGGTGCCGGGTTCCGCGCTGAAGATGGCAGTAGTTCGAAAGCTCCCATACAGGATCTTCTCCTCCACGGTCGTTACCTCCGCACAGCTGACTGCGTAGCCAGTCTGCTTGGAGGGTTTCTGGCCTCCTGGAACTGCCAAACGGAGATATCCCTTTGAGCACCGAACGTTCGCCGGGTCAAATCGCTTATTGAAAGGAATATCGCCGGAATTCTTGCATCGAATAGTGTAGTTGCTCTTCGTGAGACCTTCGGGCAGCGAATGTCCTTCAAACGTGTACACAGCTCGGTTGCCAAAACTGCCAACGCCTGGGACCAGCCATTTGTGACCGTCTGCTATGACCTCCTCGTGCCCTCCGGGATTCTCGACGCTTGAGGTTTGTGCCACCGAGGATGTAGTGATCGTGTTCTCTGGAAGGGGGATTAGTCAGAAGCGTCCCGTGCGGCCCAATAAACCCCGTTTGTGCTCACGAAAGGAAGTAGGTTGGAGCGGAAAGATGGAGAACGTGGAAACGGGAATCTGCATGAAGGAGGGGCCCAGCATCTTGGGAGCGAGCCCAATCTCAAAAATCTAATACTCGGGACATTTCTCATATAGGAGAATCTGTGACGCATAGATGCGTCACGACGCGATGTCTACTCACCTGCGGCTGGGTGATTCTCCTGCACCTTCTTTGTCCGACGTCTTCCACAGCAGCCAACCATCACGCTCACCCAGATTCCCTTGGCTTGCGCTCCTGAAGACATGACGACTCAGATATGGGTTAGGGGTGGGGGATAGAGATAGGGAATCTGCGACAGTGTTAGCCCTTGTCAAAGCAGCCAAGCATGCTGAGTGTGCCTTTGCTCCGAGATGTCACTTACTTCAGAGAGCGGAATAGCAGTACTTGGAATACGATCCGGAGGAATTAGACGATGTTGGCGGAAAGGTTGCAGGATACTGCTGGTAGGACGATCATGTTTGGACGCAGGATTGACGGGGAACTCTTTGAAATCGACCGCGCCGTGCAGCCGCGACGAGGAGGCTGCACTTTCCAACCAGATTCCTAGGGATTGGGGAGGAGCGAGAGGACAGCACAAACTCGGATGGCTAACCTCAAAGTTTCCACTTGACCTCATACCCGAAGACGGTTCTGCGAAGTGCTTCGTCTCCAGGATCGTTTTCGAACATGACTTTATCCATGATTTGTTCCAATATCTTATTAACCACAAAGCCCTCAGCTCGAGCCAGCTCGAAGAAGTGGAGATCCTTGTCAAGCAACCAGGGACGATATGGCGTGAAAAACACCAGGGCGGCTGACTCGTTCGTCCTTTTCAAACAGTCACGGACAGTGGCCAGCAGTTTCGCATGCTCGGAGTGGTTGAACAAAATGTCAGCCAGGATCAAAAGATCAAACCCATCAACGTCCGGCAGGATATGCGATTTCAAAGGCTCGACCTGACCACCCCAGACGAAACCCTCCGTTACAATATTTGACTTGTCGAGTAGAGCTGAACAATGCTCCACGTTGTAACGCAGGTTCGCAACCAAATCCTGATCTGGATAGTCTGTCACCACGACTCTCCGAGCCCCTAAGATCGCAGCCACTAGGCTGGGAAGGCCAGCACCAGCGCCCAGCTCCAAGACAGTCTTGTTCTGCACGAGCTCTTTGGTGTTCTGCTCGAGATATTTGGACATGACCTGACCCGCGTTCCAGAGCAGATGACCCTTGACGAGTGATTAGCAGAACGAAGGTATGTCCAGACGAATTGACCGATTCACACCCAAAGAGGACTATGGCCTACAAGTCGCAGCGTGAGACATTGGCCGTTTTGTAGAGTGTAGCTGGTGAAGGTGGGTGGCTTTTCGGGCTCGTAGAAATCGACAGGCTCTTGAAACATGTCAAGAGAGGTGGAGGGGTCCCCATCTTCGCCGTGCTCCATAACGTTCTCTGGTAGATATGACAGAAATGGTACGCAGCTAGTTAATGAGTAAAACACACGCCTACTCGTAAAAGGGGGCTGCCGCGAGGTCAATTTTTCTGCGAGAAGCCGCTTTGCACGTCTAATGGTCCGCCGTATTTCGCTATGTGGATTCTCCGCCACCGAAGATGGAATGCCGGGGTCGAGACTCGAGAGGTGTTGCTATTCCGCTAGCTAGTGCGCGAGTTTTACACGTCCACACCGTCGCCTTGCTGCTGCGAACTATCGGCAAAGGATGCTCTCGGGCTTTTATGACTACAAATGGCTTCTTAAGGGGATCTCTAATGAGGCTCAACCACTGTAGAGAGGGTTCAGAGTTACTTTCTACACCTGGGAGATACTCACATCTGTCGCCGTGTCACTGAACACCATATGTCGAAGGACCATCTTCACCGGTCCTTCGGACTCGCCGCTATTGGACTCTGGTATCAAGATGTGTCTTGATGATGCTTGATCCCGGGTAGCTCAAGTCCAGCACTTCCAACATCGTGTGACGGTCGTGCCACCGAGCGCTTCAAATTTCAGGATTGCAAGGTACAAGCCTGCGTCTTCGTGGAGACCTAGCTGCCTAGAATCGCTTTCCGCGATCTCTTCAGTTCGAATTTCGCCTTGCTGACGTCGTCGGTCGTCGACACCACGATAATCGTCCGTGTCCGTCCTTTCCCGAAGTCTCTTGGGTTCCATGACCGCCAATTTGGCTGTCTAAAGTGGTGTCAGATCGGCCTTCCTTGCGAAAGTAGCATCAGGAATGGATCAAGGAATATGGAGCCCTGGTTCCGGTTCAAGCCTGGTCTCTTGGACGTGTCTCTGCAAAGTACAGGTCGACGCCACCAGTTGCATTGGTGGGACTTCCTCTGCCAAGGTCTTCCGGAAGACTGCTTTCCCAAGTGTCTTCCATCCGAGCTATAATTCCATCTGCGACCTATTCGTCCTATAGATCTTTGCTACGTGTGCTGGACAGATTCTTCACCCTTTGCTGGCCGTAATAACCCGGCCCGTAGAACGGACTCATGAGCTCCAACTTCGTGAACGCTTCGCAATGCAGTGTATACCAACCAGGTCGAGCAGACCCAGCCCTATGCCTCAGGAATCGCCCCCAGCTATTACTTGTTTCGGCCTCCGGTATGGTGCTGCAAACGTGAAGTGCCAGCTCCGGCAATGCTTACTACCGGGAAGAAATGGACTACTTGCAATACCGATTTGATCGGTGCACCCTATGTCTTGACCAAGGTTCTTCGGTACGATGGGGCTAGGTCTTGGACTTCTCTCTTCCTCGGCTGTCTCAGGGACCATCTCAGCTCAGGGCCATGAGATATCCCTGTTACTGCCAGGTGCCTGCCTCTTTGCATATAGCCTATCAACACACGTGCGGCGGTCTGGAATGTGCATGCTGTGCAGGCATTTCCTACACCACGTGTCTTCCACCTGTCACGGCAAGGGGTGTGAGAGCTCGAAGCTGTGGGCGGTTCTTGCTGCTGGTGTTGGGTAAGAATCGGATGACAATGCATATCTCCGGACCAAGCCTGGCCACTAGGATTGGGGGTTGACCGATGACGCTAAGATACCTCTGAGCAAGCGAGTATCTCACGGGAATTGGAGAAAAGCAAGAGGCATGCGAGATAGGTGGATAGTGTCCTGGATCACTAATGCAACAAGTGGCCCGAATTCTGCAGGACGATGATGTGATGAGAGATCCGGTTGCACGATACTGGGGGAAATTGGTGTGGTGGTGGCCTGACTCAGGCCATTGACAGAAGCCCAGCAGTACCTCTTTTGTTTCTCTTTATCTCGCCGCCAAAGAAACTCCCAATTTGCGTGGGTAGAGTGGGGAGTGTTTCCACCTCATGCAGAGATTGACTTGTATTCTGTGGCTACCCCCGGGACAAGGTACGTGGCTCGGAGGACTCCCGTCGAAGGGGCGCGGAATGGCGCGCGAAGACCTGGGCTCGCTGGTACCTAGACGGTATGTTAATGTCATCAGTCGCCTCACCAGCTGAACCGATCGCTCTCCGGTGCAATGATGAAGCGGGAGGTGAGTTGGTTGTGCTCTGGGCCAGATGACCTCGGCAAATGCCTTCAAGACACCAGAGTGGATATTGATCGGTGCGGTGGATGTTATCATGGGGCGGCCACCAGGGCTGTAGGGTACTTTTCGTCACTAAAATGTTCGCTGGGTAGAGGAGGAAAGCTGGTCGGCAGATTGTCGGGCTCCGCTGGACGAACAGTGCGAGAGAGTGAGCGAGAGAGAGAGAGAGATTGTCTCTCAATCCCGCATCTGCCCGTCGCCTTGCAGCCGCCTGCGCTGCGATGCTGTGATCCCGTGATCCAGATGTTCCGATGGCTGCTTCTCATTTGCCGCCTGCGCTGTATCCTCGCTGGTGTCGAAATTTACTTACCTCGCATTCTTCTTCACCTTTTCCCAATCTTCGACCATCTCTTCCCCTGATCTGAACCCCTTCATCTTCGATCTCGCATTGCAGGCTCTCCTCTTTTGTGTGGCCCGGCCCATTTCGTCGACCAGGCTCCCCCACAGATCAGCCCGGGAAACGTGCCCTCTATGTCATCCAATTGAAAGCGCCCCGCATCACTCCAGACTCTGCCAGGGCTCCCAAGGCCGGCCGACGTCCACCATCGTGTCTCTCCCCCACGAACTGGCTATTTTACCAGCCAACCGCGGCCTCGGTTGGCTTCGCCTTCGATTCCTTTGACTGTAAAGTACCGCCTTCGCCCCCCTTGGGTGGTCAGACAACCCCCCCCCAGCTGCCTCGACGGTCCGTTTCCGACACTCTCCAGAAAGCGCAAGGGAAAAAAACTTGGAGAAATCGTCCTTCGAGGTGCCTGGCTCTCGCTGATCTCTCCAAATTCCCAATTGACACCCGCACTAATCCTCTGGGCCCCCGGCTTTTCTTGCGCGAGGTCACTGTTACACTCACCTTGACTCTTTTTTCTTGTTACGTACCTCGTGTTCCTCTCTGCGCCTGATTCCACTCTTCAGAGCACCGACCGCCAAATCCAACTCGCACCCTCCAGCGAACCGTCTTGCAGTTCCTATCGTTGCAACGCACCTCTAGCCGCGCGCTGTTTTCAGAAAAGAGGGAGATAATCTGAGTTGAGACAAAGCCGCCTTGTTCAGCGGCTACGTCTCTTTGAAACACACTCTTCCGCCCTGCGCCTACGGGTCAAGGGTCAAGATGAGCAGCCATCCGCGCCGGAGTGCCCGACTATCACCGCATTTACAACAAGAGCAATTCCAGCAAAGGAGCAGTGGTCGTTCTCCCTCGACCTTTACGAACAGCTTTTCGCAGCCCTCGAGCGCCTCAACGAGTTCTCACCCGAGCCCCGTCAGTGACACTCTACAACCTCCCCCGCCGCCACCCACTCCTCAACAGCCGCAGCATCGCATTCAGATACAATCGCACTTCATGCCTCACCAACAGCAAGGACACTCGCATATTCACGCCCCGTTGCCTTCGCCTTCGGCTGCGCACATGGGTCCATTCTTCGGCGGGCACTACTCTCAGCCTAACACATATGCCTCCCAGCAAGTGCATCCTGGTTATCAAGGGCAACAGCCGTTTGGCGACCAACAACCCCAGGCGCGTCAACAAGAGCAACAGCACCATCTACATCCGCACACGAACTCGATGTCCAAGGAGCACCCTGCATACCCGCAGACAATGGGCCCTGGGCAGTTGCCGCCTGATTTTCTGGCGGAGGCAGCAAAACGTGCACAGATGGCTTGTTTAATGCGAGACTTGGGCGATGTGTCACTTTAGAAGGGGCATTTCTACAGCGTCCTGCCACCGTCCATGCACTTTCCTCCCGCGACTCATTTTGTTTTATCAGATACGACTTCTCGCCACCAGATGGCTGCTCGGGTGAAAATGGGTTTACCGAGGACACTTTGACTTTGGCATGTGATTGACCACAACAACACGATGTTCAGCACCCACTCTAACCATGCCACACAAAAGAACCTTTGTTCGGGAGACCACCTGGAATGCATCACTATGCAGCCGATGCTGCAACCGGCAACCACCCCGTCTAATATTGTCACCTTCCCGATACAATGCGGAATAAGGACACTGAATTTCCCTTCCAGCTTCCGATGCAACGCACGCAACGAACTTGATCTTGTTACGTCAGTATCTCCACATTTACGACACTGCCATCTTACAAGCCACCTATTGACTCTGTTCGTTTCTCAACTCTCGCGATCAACTCTTATCTACACGATCGGAATCGTTTTGTCTTCTCTTCTCTGGAGTTGTTGTTGTTCTCTTGGGCTGATACCCCCAGAACGTTTGTCGCCAATTTCTCGACGCAATCGCATGCGCCCACCGAGGGCATAATGGATAATCCACGGTCCGTTTGTGGGGACGGCTTCGTGTATGCTTCTTGACAATCATATCGAGGGACCAACCCTCTATCGGGGTCAAAGTAAAAAAGGCATAGAGGAGATACTTGTGGGCTCAGTGCTCTCTCTTACCTTGTGAAAGATTTTTGTTGTTGCTTTCCTGCTTTTATTTGTTAGATGAGCGAAGTGAAGAAATGCATTTGATGCGGTGAATTGGAGTTGACGAAGCATCAATGAACACCTGCTGGAGTACGTCCAAATTTTTGTCTTTGGGAAGTTTTTTTGGTACACTCGGAGGTCTAAGATCTATGGGCTATGGTGGGTAAGCCAGGGGCACAAACGGGGGGAGGGTGTTCATGATCTTGGAAAGTATAGATTCCCTTTCAAAGTCAACCCTATGCCAGGTGAGACTACTCTGCGCTTCTTGGGTCCTCGTTCAGACGAGATCAGAAATGGCGGAAAGAAGGCGGGATGGTTGAGGGCGGGTTTGGGAATGGGAATGGAAATTGGATTGAGAATGAAAAACGACTTTCCCCTTTTTCGTGCGAACCTCTCAATTCGTCTTTCGTCGATCAGTTCTGCCAACTCAGTATTCCTGTCTTTGCCTCTCCTCTCCTCTCCCGTCTCTGTTCTTACTGTGGCTAGCATCCGCTTAGCCCCCTTCCCCGTCTGTGTGTTTCATCCGCGGTTGGGCTCTTTCTTGTTTGCTGTGCGAGTCTAGTCCCAGCTTCCAGGGCCAATCTCGAGGTACATACATACGTACGTACAAACATACCACCACCGTCTGCAACGCCGCGCCTCTGCCCGAGAACAGACCCCATTCTTTTCTGTTTACTCGCGTAGTCGTCGTGGAGGGGGGTGGGGGCCACGGTGGGATTTCTTTCCTCCCTTCACCCCCTTTTCTTTGGCAAAAGCAAATATCCTTCATTCTTCGGCCCACTCGGCCTCCAGGAACTCAATGAACCCTTCGACGATCTGCCTCCGGCCGCGGACGTATCCTTGTCCGTGCGCGATGCCTCCCCGCTGAATCTGCGTGTACTTCCTGCGCAGACGCTGGAGCATGGGCTGCGAGAGGGGCACGCCCGGCGGGACGTGGATGGTCGTGTCCACCGTCGCCGTCGCCGGCGAAGCGGCGGCCGAGTCCGCAGGAGAGGAAGGCGGCTGCTCGGGCAGCGGGTTGGCGGTGGAGGTGGAGGTGGTTGGTGCCGCTGGCAAAAGGGGGATGGAGAGGTGCACGTCGCCACCACCATCTCCGGCTTGGGAGAGATTCTGTTCTCGTGACTGCGCGAGCAGATGTCTCACCACGTCCATGGTGGCGGACTCGAGAGTCTGCAGGGCGTCCGAGCCCGTGGCGCGCGGGAGCACGGTTGCCGCGTGAGGTCTCACCGCGTCGGGCTTTTGGGGCGGCGGCGGCAGCACCGACCCAGACGAGGATGCCGGAGTCGTCGCCGCCTTTCCGTTGCCGGTCTCGGCGGCGTCGGGTCTTTGGGACGGAGGAAGTTGACTCAGTGCTTTCTTGCTGGTCGGTCGGCGTGGAGGGGGATAGATCGCGTTCCAGATTTCCTGGACCGGGGGGCCCGCGTCGGCCGAGGGGACGGTGAAGAGAGGCGTGTCCCAGCGGGAGAAGGGGGACGGGGGCTCGTAGCGCATCATGAGGGAGACGAGCGTCGAGGAAGAGTATGGCGGAGACGAGGTCGGCAGGGGGATTGGAACCGAGGGCGAGTGAGTCGGCGGTAAGGCCGCACGGTCGGGTCCCGGTCGTGGTTCCCTTGACGCAGGAGCGTCTGCATCCGCTCGGTGGATGTATAGGGACTTGAGCGTCATTGTGTCGTCTGGCGAGGGCCGGGGGACTGCGCCTGGACTCTCGCCATTGTCCGACCCGTCCGTCGAGGACGAGCGTGACCGGGCGCCCGTCGCATTCTCCAGGACCCGATCACCGTAGATGGCAGTATGGCTTTCCGGGACCAGGTGGCCCAGGACGCTTTCCCCTTGTCCGTGCTGCGTTGGCCTATCCGTCACATTCCCCGTCTCTTTCCCGACCCCGTCGTCGTGACCGTCCAGCTCCCTCCCCCAGGCCCTCAATCTCTCCCGATTCCACCGCTTGCACTCATCCTCCTGCGCAGCCACGTGGACGACGCAACATCTCGTCCCCGCGGCCTTGGCCTCACACCACAGCTGGTATCTATACCCCTTGATGTAATTCAATCCATCGGCGATCACGACATTGTCTTTCGAAAGGGCGCGTTTGATCGCAGAGAACTCCTCCGCCCTCGCGGTCTTCTCGTGGGACGCGCTATTGTAGATCTGGTCTCGAAGTGTCGTCCGTTCTGAAGAATCCGAGCGGTCACGGTCATCGGATGACGCGTGGTGTGAAGGGACAATCTGGATGGTCCGTTTTGATATGGATGGTTCGTTGGCGGAGGGCGTCACAAAGCTGGCCAGCGACGAGGCGATCTGCTGGGCGCGGTACGTTTTGCCTGAGCAGGGGAGCCCTGTGATTATGATGAGCTACGGGGAGAGTCAATCGTCGTGACGAGGACATTCCAGGTGCAAGGAAGGTCTACTCACCGGCATGGCGGACTTCACACGACACACGTCGGAGCAAATGCTAAGACAAAATTTTTGGTTTTCATTTTATGGTGGGGGTCGTTGGGGAGGGGCCCGCCAGGCCTTAGTGAGGCTTTCAAGGAGGGAATTTCTGAGTCCAAGATCTTTACTCGAATGGCCAAATTCTGGTATCCCTGCGAAAAGCCCCGAAACTAGCTACATGATTGTGCGTACAGTACATTCACAGCGATTAGTACTGACACTGCTGTCAAGAAGTCTCTATCTATCCCATTCCCCTCGCCGGGTGCCTCTAGTCGAATGATGTAAGATTGCATAGGTGTCCACCACCCGGTCCACCCCCTGATGATCGTTTGAACATGTCGGAAGAATTGTCACAAAGCATATTGGCCTGTCCTGGAAATGAATCCTGGGGGAATAACTCCTTGGGTGGATATGTTGGCCAGTCCTGGGATATAAAACAACAACCTCCGGCATTCACATTTCTTCTGCAAAGGGAAAAAAATTGTCCTGTGGCTTGGTCGTACCTGGGTGATGAGACATGGTATTGAGAACGTATGGCTCGGCATTGTGGTAGAGTTGTGGCTGCATTCTCCGCGCGGCAGCACTGTTGTTCTGTTTCACCTCTGGTATTGCCGCTCTGCAATACAGCGGTGGGCCGGCTCTATGGCTGGGATAATGCAAGTTCAGAAGAAGAGCGATGAAAACATCCAGTATTCTTTAGGTGGTAGGTTGCACAGGGTATATATCACTTCATTCATTTCATTGAGTTAAGGATGAACAAAAGAAAGAAACTCATGAAGGATAGACCCCGGAGTATGGTGGTGACACCCGGCATGTCCTGGAGATGGCGGGCCTGGGCGAGAACTGGACATCGTCCATCGACACGGTTTGTGGCATCATTGCATCATAGTCCTGGGTCTGAATGGTGTACGCGCCTGGAGCGACGTACTGGGCCCGGGTCATGGCCTGGCCATAGGTCTGCGCTTGGATGGCAGCATTCGCCATCGCATGGGCCTTGGACAAGGTGGAGGAGTTGGACCTCCTCATGGGCACAGATGTTGGCTTCTTCCTCTTGTTCTGACTTTGAGTGGCTGAGCTCTTCTTGGGAAGAGGTTCAGGTTCTTCGTATTGGTGGACTCTTTTCATATGGTCGCGTTGGTTCCATCTCCGAGGAAATCCATTTCCTTCTCGGGCACGGTCACAGTCCGGGAATTTGCACAAGTAGGGATTCACTCCGTGGTTATGTTCTCCGTGGGCCTCTCTCTCGTGCCGAAGGAGGCATGCATTGGAAGAAAACCTGAGATCCTCGCATTCCGGGCGATCCGTGAAACGGCAGCGGTATGGCCTCAAATGGGAATCCACGTATTTGCTGGGGGAGGAAGAGATCGTTAGAAAGAGTTCAGCTCTTGTGCATCATGTTTGACCTACTTGTAGATACATTTTTGCTTGGTGGGTTGGTGATTGCACTTGAGCTTCTCGAACATGGGGCAGTGATAGTGTCCACTTTTGTCGGGCCTGGCTTCGTAGAGCGGTCCACTTCTGGCCTTTTCTCGGTCCGATTGTTCCTCTTTGGGGCTCCGGGTCTCAGCAGGGACGATGCACGAAACACCTTGGTCAACGGCGCCATTCCGTTCTGATGCAGATCGAATGGGCCTAGGTCGAAACACACTGCGTCCTTTGAGGCTGTTGATGACGACTAGGGTTAGTGACAGGTGAAACGCATGAGAGAAGAAGGGAGCTGACCTGTCTGGCAGCGCCTTGGAGACGGGGTTGATCCCGTAGAAAGCGGAGTCCTGGGCATCCGGGCATATCTTCTCCTGCAAGGTCTGGGCTGACAAACAATCACGGACATATTCCTCTGGAGGAGGGGTTGGTAGTCTCTGCACCGAGAAACTCTGCGAGTTGTAGTTCACCATTCCGGGATGATAAAGTGGCGAAGCATCCATGGGCATGTAACTGGAAATCATGAGGTCCTCTGGCTGGTCTTGTCCTGGAAATTGCGACGATGGCACGAGGTTCAAGTCTGCAGAATTGTCGCCTGAGAAAGCCTCCTCCGTCAGGAATTCAGATGCCGGATCTGCATCAAAGCCACTCAAGCTCGACATCACGGGTACGACGAATGCACCGTCAGAGACGGTCATGGCAGCATAGGTCATTGCGGAAGAGGCTGACAAGAAGAAGTCATCATTGGGAGGATATTGTCCCGAAGAGAAGGCGCTCGGTGCGGTCCCGTGACACCGGCGCGATCCAGAGGTAGAAGTCAAAGAAAAGTGTGCGTTGGAGATTCCTCCGGCCATGGAGGCGGAACTAAATGGAACAGAATCCGGATAAGTCATAGGCATGGTCCTCGGTACCCGGCTTTGAGATCCTGGAGTAATAGTGGCCAGTAGTGGATTTCTCCTGGTTAATGTTGAAGTCATTGTTGAACAAATGATTTTTCTGCCAGTGCGAACATGTTAGTTACTCGCCCCCATATCACACAAACATCCGACACCGAAAACATAGCATTGTTAAATGGAAACAAGGGCGACTGGGAGAGGTCCGGGCGGGAGGGAGATGGTCATCGACCAGGGATGCCGGCAACGTCTGGCCGACCCAGGGGTGAGATTCCGAAGCTCAAGTTCCGTGGTGACGTTGGTAGATTGTTGACGAAATCCGTACGGTTGGCGAAGAGACAGAACCCTCTGGCCAAGGTATGCGGTCCAGGACAACGAGGATAGCAAAGCATGAGACGGCAGACCCAGCCGGGCGACAAGGTCCATGGAACCTAAGTTCCTTCCGGAAAGTTCGAACATTCTAAACCCGGCAACACTGCAGCAAATGCCGTCAAGTTGAAAAACAAGTCCGGTCCTTGTGTCAATTTCCTAGTCGGTCATTCGTCGAATGTGAGCGTGAACACAGGCGTTTCAAAAAAGCATTCGTTGTGATCCTCATCGTAGTGACATGATCAACTCCTGTCCAGGGCATTTGTGGTATGGCGTTGTCGAATGTGTATAATCTGTCCCATAACAGTTATTGTAGGGTCACACACAGTTGCCGAATGTCGATTGTCAGAGCACACGAGGTAAACCAGGTCAAATAGCAAGAGATGCAAATCCAGGGTAGCATTTTTTTCAAATGAATGGCCAATCCATGGGAATCTCCTGGGTAATAAATCATTTGTCCGGGGTCATAATTGGTCCATCCAAGGTTCTCCAAGGGAAAATGTTGAGCTCCAGGTTTGAGTGACATTTCATTTCAATTTCATGTGCGCGGGACCGTGACACAGTCAACGCATCCTCGCAGCACAGATAGCCTTGGGCCAGCAGCCACAAGGACTTGGTGCACGTGTGCCCGAAGTCGAGCGGGTGCCAAGGATTCCTGGGGGCGGGTGCAACAGGCTAAACAAGAAACATATGGGCGTCGACATAGGAAGGGAAAAGAAAGAAATCAGTACCTCAACAACACGCTGCGCAGCTGGCTTGTGTCAAGCTAGATGATGGTCGAAAAGCTCGATTTCCCGGGTAAGTTTTGACCTGGCAACGCAGAGAGGAAAAAAGCAAAAAAAGCAAATTCCTGGGGATTTCCGGCTGAGATTTGGTCCTGTGGATGGTAGAAGCAATAAATCCGGATGGGCCAATGGATAGGGTTGTGGTTTAGGTCGTCCAAGGTAATGTGAGATGATGTTAGATAGTGTTTTATCGGTGGTCTTTCTTGATCATGTATTGTAGTAAGTGTAGGTAGAAATGTGAGAGAGGAAGGAGAAGAAGAGCTCGGGAGGAGGGTGCACGGTGAGGTATAAAAGGGGTGGGAGGTTGAGCTGGCGGATGAGAGGATGAGAGGAAGAGAAATGAGGTGAGCGAAGTGGGCGAGAAAGTGGGAAAAAGTGGGCGGTGAGGGAGACAAGGCGGTCTCGCATTGGGTGCATTGACAATGTTCGGTTGGTGACACAGAGCCAGCAATCCAGCACACGAAGCCATCAATAGGACCAACTTGCAGCATCGTCGTCGTAGCTTGATGCACAGCTGCTGCACGTCCCGCTCCTGCACGTTGCCCGGCGAAGGTGGAGTGAATGCTGTTCTGCGCCCCTGCTGCGTTGCCTCCTGCCTCCTGCCTCCCTCCTCCCTCCCTCCGACCTGGAACTTGCCAGGCCGGTCCGGCGCTAGCCGTGTCGGCTGCACCCAGCTCCCTCCCAAATACCACCTACCAGGTGGCTGTCGACGTCACCAGTGGAGCTCGGTGAGTTCTCATTGGCATAACCAGCGAAAGCTGGTGAGAGTGGCTCCATCCAGCTCGATCTGACTGGCCCCGAGCCTCAAGTCAACAAATGGGGCGATGATCACCAGGGGCATCTTCATTCGCCGTCCATCACTTGGCTCCGCCCTGCTGGCGCTGGTGGTGCTGGTGGCTCTGACATGGACCCTCAGTGTCCCCCACGGCGCTGCCTCCTGCCATGCCATGGCTCAACTGTTCCAACCGCCAATATCCACTCCCAACTGGCCTTGACTGGTGTGACGGGAACATGGGTACATGCAGAGTGCAGCACACGGAAGCCTGACGTGGCATCCTCCAGAACCAACAATCTGCTCTTGTGACTCGCACTCGCACTCGCATTGCAGGGAAGCTCGTCTTTGCATTTCAGCACGCAACAACTCGCCGCCAATTGTATTGGCAAAAGAGAGAGTACCGTGCATGGACCGCAGAGAGTACTGATTTTTTGACACGTCTGCAATGCTGGAGCCTGGCAAGACGAGGTCGAGAATGCCCTCATGTTACGCAAAAGGAGCAGAGCACGGACCTTGTGTAACCTCCCCACCTCTTGTGCTCTACCATGCCGGTGGCGACTGGAAAAGGTGGCCTCACTTTCCAGTTGTACCGCTGGCATCTCGGGGCACTTTGGTTCTACTTGTTCAGAGAACAACGTTGAACTACTTACTCCACGTGATATCCTATGCACGATAATCCATGGCGACCTCTCTGTCCATTTCACCGCCCATCTAGAGAGAATTTTGATTGGCTCAAGCAACTGTGCTCCACGCCTGGTGCAGGCTCGGGATGAAAGCATGAGGCCGTCGAGATTAAAAACAAAAACATCCAGACTGATAACTCTTGTCGGAGGGGTTCCGAAAGAGTCGGGAACCTCAGCCTGCTGGACTGTCTAAACAACCCGATGATCGTCATGGCGGGAGACGATCTCACATGGTCGGCTTCGATCCCAGACGACACGGCCTATCGGCCTTTTGCCGATACTTGGACATCACGGTACTCATAGCTTGATGCGGAAACACAGGAGAAGACCTTGTGAAAATCACGGAAACGTACCTGCGTAGACGACGTCGTTAGCAAACTAAGTCAGGCAGACTGCGGGGGGAACAACAGAATGGAGATTGCTCGGCTGGATTCAGAAGATTGATTGATGGAATTGTTCTCGTTCAAAGACGTGTCGTCTCAGTTGAACTATGCTTTTTGGAATGGGTTTTCATCAGGATGGAACAGGGTTCGGGTCGTACTCCGAAGAAAGGAGAACTGAGCACATACCTTTGAGAGCGGGCCTAGAGCGACAAAATTTCCGTACGTAGTGTCATGAAGCACCTTTGGTGGGATAGGATACAGAGGCTCAGTGAGCAGGAGAAGATTCCCAACGCGTCTCCAGCAGGTCGCTCGAACCAGCATTCCATGCTCATGGAGACAATGGAGCTCTTTTTTCGTCCAGGGTATCGAAAGCAAACCTTGGAGGCGAGTGTGGGAAGTTGAAGAAAATGCGAGGCTGATGTCTTGGCGTGTTTGCTAGTCTGGGATCTTTGCCTGCAAGATGACACTTGGAGCTGGCGCCTCTCATGGCTGACAGGGTGCGAATTGACTTGCACGATGTTGTGCTACCTTCGCAGAGAGGCCAATTTGCCTACCACAGGTTCTAGATGAATGTAAGATCCGGGAAGACGTGATGGCCGTTGCTCCCAAACGTATCTATCTGATGTCGAATTGGTCGCCGCAGGTGAATGGTCTTCAAACGACCTTACGCCATGTATCTCTCAAGGGTCATGGAAAGGCTCAATAGGCTTTGAAGCAAAAGTGGAAGTCACGATGACGCAGTGAAGAAGGTGGAAAGTTAAAGGTGTAGCGTCGTCGACCGAATCGACATTGGTGCTGCAGGTCAACAAATGCCTGCCACTCTTCGGGACTGTTCATAGCTTCGTGCAACAATGGTGCTACCATCCGCTTCCGCGGTCTGATGCATCCATACATTTCTCTCTACTGTGTTGATCTCAGCGGGCTGGGATGAATTGGACCGGTGGCAGCCTGCAACGTCACTCCAAAGCCAACGCCAATGCACGTGTCAAGAAACAAAAGCAGAACTTTGCAAAGGCCAGACTTCAACCTCATTCTCGCCCTTCTCGCCCTACATCTCCGGCATTTTCCATACATACAGTTCCTCCGGCGGCGCAGCAGTTCTCTGGGAAGGCATGTGCAAGCAACTACCTAGTACATGGCTTCAATGCGGAAGAAGCAAGGTCAGTCGATGGTCAACAGCCTTCCGAAACGAACTCCCGATCCCTGGGCAGACAGGTGAACAGTCAAGCATCTGATAATGAGAGACACTGCAAGCAAGGAACATGGAGCTCATCGCCAGATCCAGTGCTAACTATGTCCGCAGGCCGAGTGGAAATGCCAACGGACTTGAACGTGCTCGCAAGACTCTGCTTGACAAATCTGACTGGGTCGGACTCGCCACCGTACGGCCATTGAAGTCGAATCCACGTGCCCGAGACGATATGGAAGGACTAGGTCGTCGACGCAAGACTGCACAGTTCAAGCGAGGAACTCCGATGTCTCAGAAGGATTCAGTCCAGAGAGTATTACGCTCGACGCGGCGTGCTCTTCGAGTTCCATCTTTGCGCACAGAAGAGATCAGCCTGAGAATAGGGTCCAACTTACATCAGACTCAAACCACCCCGAGCGTTGTTGTCCGAAAAGAGCCTATCCACACAGCAGAAAGAGCTATACATGAACTGGTGCCATCTGACAAGGTTTGGGACCGGAAGGAAACAGGCAAAACGGGGAAGGAGACACGAGGAACGAGCAGTGACAGCACCCACTCCTATGCCTGCGAGCCAAGGACGGGGAGGACTGCTGACCTCAACTCCGCGGACAGGAACAATCTCATCACCCTCGACGAAGTTGTTGCCCTTGGCCTAACATCCTGGGACAAAGTCCGTGGGCACGCTGGGTTAGGGGTTAATACAAGTGTTTCGATTGCGAATTCTTCACGCAAGGAGAAAAATTCACTGGGTACCCAAGTGGACGTCCATTGGAAGCACGCCTCGCATCAAGAAGCCGAAGCACTTGCTATTCCTGGCAGTTCTCGGGAACAGCTCCACATGCAGGCCTCGAGACCAGACTTGCCAGATATAATCCGCCGCGTTATTGCCGTGGGGCTAATAAAAGATGGCTCAGGACAAAACTCATATCCAGCACCCTTTCCCGAGCCAGTTCTGCATGCTTGCCACCCTCCTGGGCCGAGCCACTCCTTGGTTGATGAAAGCATCCCCGTCGCTCCGGAAGCTACGTACAAATACGATGTGGCGATCGATGCCGAACTGCCATCCCACCCACAATTTACGTTGGATGATCAAGTGAAGCTAGAGCAGACGGTGGAGGAGCTCGAGCAGGAAAGTCAGCAGGTAGGGGAATCGTCCTCTGCTGCTGACAATTCCGGTCAAAGCGATACAGTTGATTCGCCATGGTGCTCTCGAAGCATCAGCACATCCGCGGTCGGTGTCGTGAATGACAGGGCTCTCTCTAAGAGTCCGTATATCTTCAGTTCGAGCGAGGACGAGTCTCACGCCCGCCATAATCCTGCCACTAGGACTGCTGGCAACTTGACGAATTGCGTCACCACAGAACAGAAACTTCAAGCAGAAGAAATTGCCACCCACATGACTACTGAGGCAGGATTCATGCTTGCCTCCCAGGGTGTCGAGGCTCAGCTTGACGCAGTCCCAATCATCGACAAGGAATTGTACTCTCGCCATGGCATTTCCAGCACCTGGGTTGGGCCAGAGCGACCGGAGTCAGCGCTTAGATTTTTCGGGTCGCCCACTTCCATCCCCACTACTGTGAACACTTCGATCTTCATACCACTCCCGGCAGATCGTGACCATTCCGAGACAGATTTTCTTTCAGAATTCAGTCCAATGGAGGGCCGCCTCGACGAGAGACTGGTCGATATATCACTATACAACAACGCTTCGAAGACCGACCCTGGAATTGGCACTAGCCCGACGGGAGGGTTGCTGGGTTCTGGAAGTACAGCCAGCAGGAATCTTCCAATGTCACTTATACCAGCAAAAAGGAAAGCACCAGATCAATCCAGGGAACGAACATCATCAGGTTGGCTCAAGTCCATAGATTGCTCAGGTCCGAAGTCATTGCCGCCGCCGCACAGCCAGCTGAGCGCCTGGTCCTTTGGCGACTCCGTAGATCCTGGACGAGATAGTACTGGGACAACAATCAAGCGACTGTCAGCAGCAGCCTGCCCTGACCGAGCCACAGCATTCCGGGATATGGTCAATGGGCTTGGTAAGACTCAAACTCTGGTACAAGACGGTTTGAAGAAGAACGAGCAGGGATTGAATATCGTGGCACACCGGGAGGGAGCCTCTACTAGCATTTTCGGCAGGAGCGACAAGCTGACGGCGGGTTCGTCGCCGTCTCGCTCGTGCAGGGCTACGAGATCGACGATTAGAGATTACGCGCAGCCAGCCTCGTTTCAATCGTGGTCCGACGTTTCCACTCCAGCAACACCACGGTTCGCTGGCTTAGAAGCTGCAGATACTCCTCTGCCGGCTCCGATGCAGTCAATGACCTTACTGAGGCAATGTGAAAGAAACAACCACATTGCGAGCAACGGTGACCCTCAGCCACGAGATTTTGTCCATGGAACTACTCAGTTTTCTACTCAAGTACCCCTATGGAGCGAAGGCCAATGATATTTTTGAATGATAATGTGCGGAGACCATGCAGAAGTTGAGATAGTCTGAGCTGAGCAGCAACAATTACCGATTTTGATCATAACTCTGGGGGCATTCTGGACCGCCTATAGCTGTCTTGCTCTGTGATATCAACAGCGGAGAGCATACTAGACAAAATGTCATTACCTTGACCGCCAAACGTGTACTCAGGAGTCCTGCTCGAGATGTTTTCTGACCGGGGGAGAAAGTGGTCGAGACTTTACTTTTGATTTATGTACCTTTCGGTATTTGAAGTGTGTCAATGCCTCCCATAAGTATTATCGATTTTTCTTCTCCACCAACAGACCTGTTGAAGGATCACGGAGAGCGAGTGTGTCGGACCCGCACTGAGTCTGCCACTTGTGATGTATATCAAAGGATCCGCACGCTGGAGTTGTGTTGGTTGAACTCAACTCAATCAATTGCAGTCTCTGTGTGTGCAGCGCCATGGCTTTTCTCTGGCCGGTGTCAAGCTTTGGGTGTGCGAGCACTGCTTTACGTTCATCGACCAATCCAAACGGACCGATGCAACGAGCAGATAGGTACGCAAGCAGGTCAAATAAAACGTGGCTGGACGCCGACATTAAGCCATATTGTGTATATCCGCCTCGAGGCCCTGACTGTCCCCCGCTTGTTCTTGACAACAGGGTAGGTTTCGCCAATCGCTTCGCAGAGTTGTGCGTATGGTTTTTGGCATTTAATCTGAGGAGCATCGTCTCAAGGTCTTAACCCGACCTAAAAACATGGATTTGGTCGACACTCTTCAAAATGGTTGTGTTGTCGACATATGCCAGATGAGAGAAAATCCCCCTTTTGTACCTCTGGCCCGAGAGATTGGGTCTCGAGGGATCACAAGAAATGAGCGGTGTCGGTATTGGAGCTGTTGTAGGCCATGGTCTCATCAGGGCCTCGGGAGCTATGTGATCTGCTGACTGTACTGACTGCAGACCTTGTGCGTTGTGGATGCTATTGTCTGGCAACGGCTCTGTCACGTCGGCAGGATGCGAGAAGCTAGGGAGAATATGAGACGAGGACTAGTGATAGGTAGAGTCGACGACGAAGTGTCTAATCCGATAGTAAGAATCCTGTCAACGATCAGTGGCTGGACCTGAAGTAGAGTGAAGTGGCACCTACGAGGATGGGTCGCTGTTGTCTAGCACAACTCACAATGATTCATCGTCGTCCGCCACCTACCTCTGCTCCCTCAGTCAAGCGTCGAAGCGTGCAGAACACTCCACGACGCTTCATGCCTATTCCCATCCAAACGAGAGTTCCGGCCGAGGGAAGGAAAGCTCGCCATCGAACTGGCATCAATCTCGAGAAATGAAGCTTCCAAGCAGGTTCTGTAAACATGAATTGGCAGATAGGTCTCTCAAGGAAAAAGACAGCCTCAGCCGGTGCATGTCCAACGGAGGTGCTTTCCGACTTCCAACGCAGTAAGCCATCGAAAGGGTCAGGCGAATATCCCTTTTCCGAACGATTGCTTTTGATTGGAGAGCAGGGGGCGCCTCCGTGTTGGTCGCGGCGACTCTTCTCGGAGGCTTTCATCAGTGGAGGTTCTTCCCATGTGCATTAAACCCACTGGCGAGACGAGCTCCACTTGGGGCCGTGCTGTTTCTGTTCATTTCACATTCCTTGGGTGGCGATCTCCAGCCCGAAGGCCGAGCGATAGGGGGCTCAAGGTTCGGCGTTCACCAGTCCCGGGGTGTTGTTCACGACACGGACACGGCCGTGGTGCGAATGGGTCTCTAACTCGATATCAGTGGGATGTTTTAGATCCTAGCCAAGGGCCTTGTCAGCCAGATGCCCAGCTAAGAATTCTCAAGGGCGATGAGCTTACATCTTTCATATCAGCTCTACCATGCCCAAGCTCTCCGTGTGGACGAAGCCACCGCGATGTTCCACTCAAACCCAACATTTCTCACGGTTTTGTGCGTACTGACCGCAGGGAGTTCGAGGGCATGGTCCATGATACCCGGCGGCGAGCCAGGGGACAACACTTCAACAATTTTATATCTCTTGATGCAGGCAGGGCGAGAGGTGATGACGGGGGTCAAACATCTTGACACCCATATGGGTAAAGACAATAGGCTTTTCCTCTAGATTCCAAGGAAAAGCAGTCGAGCAGAAGGATGAGAACAATGAATGTGATGGATCCAGTCTGCTGCGGTACAGGCACAAGTAGAGCACATTGTCCGGGATTATTGACATCAAGTTGCCGTTGTTTCCCATGGTCACCCCCCCCATCCTAGGGTCTAGGATATACCCACATTTGACCGAATCTGTTTAGAACGAAATGCTGGGCCAGCTGTCATAGTCATCCCAAGGGCGTAAAAAGTCCATTCGGACACGAGGAACAGGGATCTGCAGTGGTTCGAAACAGGAATTAGTTTCCTCCGGGAATGAACGAGCGCAACAAATCCCCATGGGCAATTTAGCCCTACAAGGCATGACGGGACAGCGATGATTGTGTAAGTTTGGCTCTGTATGACTAATTCCGCACACGTATCGTTTGTTAGGGCGGGTGCGTCGCCTGTGGCGCATTGGGCTTCGCTGTTTCGGTGCAAGCTGAAACACCGAGTTAGCGTGAAGCAAGCCGTCGCGGTGTTCAGCCTACCGAGGTTGGTTCACCTCGTAACCTCCAGCTGAATGCCTCGATCTGGATAGCTGGGATCGTGATTCCGGTGTGGTAGGTAGCCTCGCCTGCTTTCTCGCTGGATCATGTCATCCCGGTAAAGGTGCGGGTAACATCTTTGTCATTGATACTTGTTGATGCCAGACCCAATGAACTGGTTGAAGGAGATCCGCCGGCTTGGCAGGATACGAACTCGTACCAGTACTAATACATCGACTATAGACCCCTGCCTAGTCGGTGGGACAATATTTATATCGATCTGACAGAGCGGTTCAAGGGCGCGAACGAGCATGAGGAGATGATATAATGCTATACCTGATAGGTACTAGTTTGGTGTTAGCGGGTCAGAACTAATCCCCTTTTGGACTGGAATCGTTGCCCTCTTAAGGTTGTTACAGGCGGCAAGAGCAACTGCGCCGAATCTTATCCTACCTCAACCTCCTTTCACTCCGCCCTATCGACCTCCACCCTCTTCCTCCAGCCTTGTCAGGAAGCTAATTAGAGGCGGGATCTCACACCCATGGACCGTCTGAAGGACCTTGTTACACGCTATGTCCCGCGGGGGAGGAATCGTCTCTTCGGCCAATCACCACCTCAGTTCCGACTCCCGTGTTGAATTTAGTCAGTCATCTTCATCTCCACTCTCCACCTCCACTTGTATATCGCCTTGTATCGCGTGGTAATCCTTCAGCTGGGAGATCCATACAGCCCAGACAAAAGTCTATAACGAAACGAGCACAATCCTCAGCACCGTCTACCTCAAGTCCGGTGCCAAGCATCCTTTCTCTGACCGCCGCACAGCATCGATAGATCCATCATTGGATGCTTAGCCATGGCATCGCCCCCGGGCCTTTTGTTCTTCGTGGGCGGTTCAACCCCGTCAGCCGTTTAGCGACTACTCTATTCGAACAAAGGCGACAAAAACATGTGTGCTTATCTAACGGAATTTTGTGGCCCCTGGCGGTGGCACTCCTTAAGCGAGGCGAGGCGCTGCCCAATCTGGTCGACGCACCGGGGGTCACGCTATGCTAGACAGTAGGGTGCCACTCTCATCGGTGTCTCGTTCATTACCTCGACGCCCCTGGCCTCTTCACCGCACTTGCGGTCCTTCATATCAGGACGTTGAAGATCATGCAGGCCTCCTCGATTACCCCAAACCGTCGAACCGTTACGGAAACCTGCTAAGTTTCTCTGATTGGCGCGACTATTCGAGAATCTGGGAGACATTCAAGACACCCCAAGACACCCAAGCTTTTATAGTGTCAGCTGCGCAAACTGTGTTCGAATGACCATTTTCACAACGGACGATGGCTGTTCTCGACCAAACTCCAGCTCATTTCGAGTTCGCCACGTTCAATAGTATCAAAGTCGGCGCTCAGGGCGCCGCATCCAGCAAGGCTCCCTTTCTATTCATCGTCAAAACCCCTACATCCGGCGCATTGTCCCGCTCAACTACCCGAAGTGCTGCGGCGAGCATCAACAGCCATGCCCAGCGGTGGGCTCAGGAGGTAGCCACTTCCAAGGCAATCGGTGGTAGCGACCCTCAACGTCAGACGGATACACTGCTCTTCGAGAAATGCTTGACGCGGTGCCGAGTGTCTCGGCTACTGGATGACCCAAATAAACCATCTAAAGGGAGGCGCTCGGCAAATGCGAAGCAGACAAGTCACACCTCAACAAAGCGGCCCAAGAAACCGAAGCGGGCAGCTTCAGAGGGCCGCAGTGCGATGACAGATAAGGACACCTCAACAAGCCCAGAATCCGAGTCCCGGCGCCAGCGAGATTCCAGCGAGGACGAATATCTCGACAATGAGGCGATTCAATTGCTACTAGGCCCTTCCCCTGGCCCGTCCCAGAAATCTGTCATTGATCCCTTTGATTGCACAGCTGCCACGATAGACAGCGATGTACTGCCCATCCTCCAATATTATCTTTCTTTTGCTCTCCTCTCCAAACCTCAAAGCGACGACGGCCAAAAACCGCCCGACGCCGCATTCATCCAACACTTCTCCAGCATTGATGCCATCATCCAGGGCTGCATGAGGAAGAGTGTCCACATGTACGCCCTCTTAGCAGCTACGGCGAGCCGCATGAGACGAGTCTCTGGCATATCCTTCCGCGCGGGAAATGGGCCCGAATTATACCTACACAAAGCTCTCCAGTGCCTGAGGCTGCTCCTTGACAATCAGTCCGCGGCCGAAGACCGTCAGATTATCCTCGACATCTATTACCTAAGCGTATGCGGCTGGTACATGGAGAATTATGAAGAATCGAAGACCCACTTCAACATCCTCAAGCATTTTTGGAAGACGTTGACTCCTGGGCAGTCCACCCTCGATCAGTACATCTATGATGTGCTCAGTTACAATGCAATCTTCCTGGAATCTGACGCCACGAATCTGGCAGGATCGGTGGTGCTGCCCGAGCTCCTTTGTCCTTCTACGGGGAGTGAAGAGATCTATCAATGCGTTGGCTGGCATCCTAGCCCAATCTATTCGTCCCACTACTGTTCAGCATTCCCAGGAGCGCTTGAGCAAACGCCATGCAGCTCTGACCTGAAAAATGTGGTACAGGAGCTCCCCTCTCTTTTGCGGCTCTTTGACCATTTTCACCAAAACCCCGACTTTATCGGTCCTGAGACCGACTGGGTTCTGAGCAAGAGCAAATTCCTGGTCCTCCACCTATTGGAAATCCCCAGCTATGGCGGCGAGCTCTGCTGTCGTCTAGCCTTGGTGTTGCTGCTCCAATACATCTCCCAGTCTACTCTGGCAAAGTTCCGTTGCACCGACGAATCCATCTACGCTTCTTCGGCTCCTGCGAAACGCCCGCCGCTTGACCCGGCCTTGATCACGAAACGCCTCAAACGACAACTCCAATATGAGATCCTCCAGCCTTCGAACGAGATCTCCTCAGGCGTCGACACCGGCCCGCGATCTACCAGCGAAACCCACGTGACTTGGACAGGCAAATCCGACCGCTTGCTCCTGTGGATCTTGATCGCCGGGCTCTTTGGGGCGCGCAGCACGGATCAAAAAGATGAATACCGCTGGTTCTGGACCCGCAGCGTGGCAGTGACGCGGGTCCTGAGCATTGGGACCATGAGGCTGTTGAAGGAGTTGATGAAGTCGTTCGTGTGGGTCGAGGGGATGCTCGACGATCAGGCGTGGGAGGAGCTCTTTAGGTTGGGTTCGGCGTCCGACGAGAAAGGCGATGAATGAAGTGGATGAGAGGCGTTTTCCTAGGGCACAAAATCAAGATTGCTCACGATTGATCGAGGGTTGAAGCCGCGCCCTGTTCCATCCCCACGTTTCTTCCCGGCCTCTTTGACCGGATGCCTTGGTGGATCTCCGGCCCGGTTGGAGCGAAGGACTTGTGCTAGACGGACTATAACCCGCTAGTAGTCCTCAGCCATCGCCTGCGCGCCAGGTTATGGACGGTACGACAAGGAAGCAAAAGAAAGAGGGCCGCCCAATAATCAGCATCCTCATCCTCATCTCCGTATCTCGGGATCAGGAAGGAGGAGGATACGGGGTTAGGGGGAGGCAAATGATCTATCGATTCGGTGGGCGCTGCAGGCAGGGCATTCTTCGGTCGTGGGTCGTCTGGTACATTGCGAGTTGTAACACGGAGTTTGTATGAGGGGGCTATGTATGTGGGTGGGTAGGTAGGTAGGTAGGTAGCTTTGTCGGCATGTAGCTTTGGTAACCATGTCCTCGGCACAGTGTTTCGGCCTTCTACCGCTCTACGTCTTGGGCTGTGCTCTACGGATGAGGGCGCACAAGGCAAGCATCTCAGCCTCCACAATCACAGAGCGACCAGCGACGAGTGGCAAGCGGCATGGTCAGAGTCAGGGTCAACCTACATAGGGAAGAAGCAGCGCAGCGCAGCGCAGAGGATTCGGTCCGTCCGAGGTATCTGTTATTCTGTATGACAGAGAATACACGCAGAGGACCTCCTCTCCTCGTAGGTAGATAGATGGCTCGATGGGCACGTCTTGCCTTCTAGGGGTCCACTGGAAATGGAAATGGTCATATCGCCCCAAAGAAATGAACGCGAGGCATCCAACAATGCCCTCCCTTTTCCAGCTCACCGTGAGCATTGTCTCGCTTGCACTACTAAGGTATCTATCTACCTAGGTATCTATCCGGGTAGGGAGGTACCTGAGGTGTGTATTGTATGTACTGAATCGAGGATTGGTGCGCGAAAGCAAGAAGGGCGGATCGGCACCGACATCCCAACCATCTTCAGCTAGATTCCATACTCTGTGACTCTGCACGAGGTACGGACTACCTATGACAAAATCACAATAGATGGCTCGAATAATGACGATCCCGTCGCTTGTCTTTGATCAGCCACACCTGGAACTCCGGGGCGAGTTGAGTCCAGCCTGTCTGGGACTCCGTGCGTCTTTGTCACAAGGGCCGATGCATATGCATGCACGACAAGCTGTGAGTGCTCAGAAGAACAAAAACAAAGATGGAGCGCCCCCTCCTCCTCGTTTATCATTGTCACCACCCTCAATTCCGGAAATCTCACCAACCAACCACCCGGCCCACCAAGTCATTCCGGAAACCGGATTCCGCACGACTCACGCCCGGTTGGTGTCTCCCCGTTGCTCAAGTCCGTCGTGGTCGGTGTGTTGAGAGATAAGGGCCCGAGAGCCACAGAGACGCAGGGTTGCATCTCACCGTCCACCGTGGCCCAGAGGGTGGTAAGATCGTCCAACTAGGAGACCACCTCCTGGGTCGGGGGCAAGAGCGGTTCCAAAGGGGGGCCAGCGACAAACGACTCGGCAATTGCGACGAGCGAACCTTGATCATGGATCACCTTTCCGAGTAGTCGCTCGCTCAAGGGACACATGCATCTCGTTGGATTGACCATCTGTGGCTGGCTCGACGGCTCGTCCATGTATGTCAGCAGTGACATGGAGAGGACAGTGTGGTCAAGTCCAAATTCTTAGATGCATCCTGCCAGCATACCACATCTTAAAGAGCGTCCTGACCTGATGCTGACGGTTGGTTACTTCATGCCCAAAGAGACGTAACGGCGACCGGGGCATCTTGAATCTGCTGTCCAGCACCGGTTGGTCGTAGCGTCCCCTCTCCGGTTCGGCGCTGTATTCGTAGTACCGCAGGCGTTGACAGTGGCTTGATGACGAGTCCAATCGCTTCGCCAGTGGTTGCTCAGCTGGAAACCAGAAGAGACTTAATCTCCTGCAGGAATCAAGGGGCTGCGCAACAAAAATCCTAGGATTGTGGAAACCAGATTCCGTACTCCCTTTCCCTTTGGCTTGCGCTCGATGTCCTGTCTGTCCAAAATTCCCTTCCCTAGACCCCTAAATTTGACAGTCCATATCCCGCTTCGTAGAATAGTACAGTGGTAAAGTCACAGATGTGTAACGGTTTGTATCCAAGTGAAATCTTCAACCATTTCATGTCAGCTTATCATCCCTTCTCTTCCCTGTCTCTGGTAAAGTGTCGCATCTTCAGCGTACGAATTCCTGCTCCACCTCTTCCGCCGCCGATGGCCCCTGTCTTGCCACGGTGCTCAAGTTTGCTGAATGGTCCCCTTCGCTTGGGTGCACTACCACGGCGACGTTCCTTCATGCGTTCTTGCGCCTTTTTGCTCCATTGAGGCGCTTCGGTGGCATATGCATGAGTTCCCCTTCTGTCACCGGTGAAAAATGTCAGCACTGCATCAGCACCTGATGCTCTCCGTTGACGTTCCTCAGACTTTGTCGGGGTGCGAGGCTCTTCAATGCCCTTGCCCTTCGCAGACGAGTCAGGTTTGCGCCCCGCTGAGGGGTCTTCGTATATGGTACCGCTACGGTTGAAGTTGAAGGCGCTGAGATCTGTATTGCTCGATCGAGGAAAAGCTGAATTGGGGTTGATGCCATTCGCAATCATGTTCTTCTTCAGCAACCGGAGTAGGCTCTCGCAAAGCCGGTCCAGAATCCACTCGGACTCGGTTTGCTGACTCAGCATTGGGCTGCTCTCCTCGAGCCAGTCCCATTCAACCACCCCGTCCATTTCCTCATCGTATTCCATTTGATCAAGGCCCACCTTTGTGAACCGGATCAAGCGGCTGAAGTCACACCATTCCTCATAGGTATAGCGTTTTCCCGGCGCATGCTGGAGATCGTCGGCGGTCTTGCGAATGGCCCAAGCCAGACGCTGCGTCAATTCCGCCTCTGTCGGTTCCTCCGCGGCCAGTTGTTCAATGCTCAGGTCAGGGGGAGCTTGGTCGGTGGTCGGTCCGAAAGGCATGCCGGCCTTGAGACGCTTCTTCTCAGCCCTTTTGTTCATCCAATTCCAGAGCCAAGGATGCTGCATGACGATGTCGCGCCAAAGACCTGCCTTCGGAAGGACGGTCAGGTCGCCGAGTTTGAACGTCCCCTGTTTGAAACCGGAGATGACGGTGTCACCCATGTCCGAAACGAGGATTGTCATGGTCGGTACAGCAATCAACGACCAAACCACAAAGAAAGGCTTGCCAGCATTGCTCTTGGGGCTCAAATCACCATAGCCAATGGTCAGCAAGCTGACATAACAGAAGTACAGTGCCTCGAAATAGCTGAGATCTTGGGTGTCGTGCTCAGCTTTCCAAAACACCACCGCTCCAATGCACCACAAAATCCCAAACGCCAACACCGACAAGCATAGCGCGTACCACTTTTTGAACTTCTTGGCGTTGAGCTGGATGTCCCGCATGGCGTCGAATTTGTCCTTCTCCTCTCTCATCAAGATAGCCTTCTTCTGTGATCTCGATAAGGTCCTTCTCAGGGGCTTTGTGATCAACCGGAGGGTATTACGGATGGGACCTTTGCGAAATGCCGAGCCCAGAAACTGATTGGGGTGTGGCTCATGCTCCTCGGTCTTCTTTAGCTCTTGGGCGTTGGTGTTTCCAAACTCGATTTGGCGATCCTGCACGGGATCTCGAATCGGGGTCCCCTGGAGACGCGCCGTTGCTTCATCCAAGTCATGCTGGATCCGCGGATTTGGGAGTGGAGATGAGATCCTAGGCCGTCGACCGCTTCTTTCCTCGATTTCCACCTCCTTCTCTAGTTCATCCCGCCTCTTGTCTTCGTTGTCGGCATCGTCCACCGTCACTACCCGCGACAGGGTGTGGACCCTTTTGTGCTCGACATGTTTACGGAGAACGTTGATTGTACTGAGCTCACCAGCAAACTTGTGGATGGAGCTGACCATCAGACCCAGGATGATAATTCCGCCTACCGAGTAAGGAAACACGAGACCGCGAGCAAGGTCGTTGGTGGGATAAAAGTCTCCAAAACCGACGGTCAGGATGGTGACGTCGCAGAAATACACGGCATCGGGGTACGTCCAACCTTCGATTCTCGAGTAGACACCCCCACCCCCACCGAGCCATATGAAGAACATCATTGTCTGGAGAATCAAATTGCGCTGCTCGTCAGTCAAGGTAAAGTGTTGAGGGTAATGGCCCAGGAAGTAGCCGCACATGTTCACCATCAGGATCATCGAGTTGAACATGTAGAGACAGGCGGCAATGACGGCGTTCCAGTAGCCTTGGGAATAAACTGCGTCCTGGCCAGGCGGAACATGAAGGTTCATCGAGACGGTTAGGCCGATCAATATACCCGAGGCGATGTAGAACAGCACAATCGTCGCGGGCAAAGCGACAATATAGCGGACGCGCCGGGTGAAATTGAAGAGAAGGAAAAGATTGCCTACAAACCCACAGACGAGAGAGGCAATGTTGAGGTCGACACACCATCGAGGGTCGGAGTAGCCCACGGAAGTGGCTTGATAGGTCAGAGGAAACTCGGTCTTGCTTTGGGTGAGTTGATTCCTCCACGGAACGACCAGCGCGGTGATGGATATCAGATTGGCCATAGGGGCAAACGTGGCCGCAATGAGCGGGATGGCGGTCGAAGCAAACCACCAGTTGGTGGGCAGGTCATCCTCGACAGACCGAAACTTGAGGAGGCCATGATGGTGTGCCTGCCAACTTGGTTGAGGTTCCAACTTGTTTTTGCCGTGTCTGGCCTCGTTGTCCGGTAGCGTTCTTATGGTGTCGGTCTTTTCAAGAGAGTCCCAGTCCTTCTGTTTCTCATATTCGGTAGTGCTCTCGCTACCACCTGAGCTGGAACTTGACGGGTCCTCCGGTGGCTCCAGCTCTCTGCGTTCGGCACGATCGTAGCCTACCATTGTCCGCGAACGTTAGGGGGCCTTCATGGGCGCTCGATGCGCATCGTTGGTAGATTGCGGCGGCTTTGGGTTGTTCAGAGGGAGGAAGACGCGCGCTCACCCGGAGAGCGTGCGAGTCCGTGGTCTGGCCGTTATTTCTGCTTGTGTTAGTTGATACAGTCCGAATCTCCGAGCGCAACTCAAGCAAGTTCGGAGCGAGGCAGCAGGGCAGGAGACATGACAGAGCTGATAGCAACAGCCCGAGCCAGGATACACATTCTTTTAGCCTCAACAAAGCCCGTCGGCGATGGTGTGGGTGGGAAGCCATGGGACGCCATGGGCAGCTGATGGTCGATGCGAGCAAAGATGGAAAATGGGGAATCCAGGCGGCGTGCAGCGGGAAGCTTCTTGGTTGGTGCGCCACGCCCGAGACACACGCAACCCGTGTATGCCGCACCGGAGGCACCCATGCCACAGGCCTGCACAGGCATGCCCACCCCCCCAAGCCCCGCCCACAACACACCAATGCCGTCAAGCTTTCTGGGCCTAGAATCCTTAGCGAGCCTTGCTGAATGAGCATCTGCGGCCGACATCGTCATCTCTTATGCATATCCTTTCGCCTCTTCTTGACTAACGAAGGCTCGAGATCTGCCAATCGAGTCGCCGCTCTCTGTCCGCCCAGACAAGCCTCCCAGATAACACTTTCCCATCGAGTAATAGGTGCGTTCTGGTGACCAACACGAGAGATCCCGTCCTTCCGTGCCGCCCAGGCTTATCACCTCAGAGCTCGCGCAATAAAAACCACAACCTCCTCGTATTGACCCCTGTGCTCAACTCGTGCTTCTAGATGGTCTTATCTTTGAAGCTCTCACAGAAGTTGCTTTTTCTTCCTGGGCCTGGGAAGTGGCCAGAGATCGAAAACACAGGCACAGAGGATTTTGTGCGCCTACCTGGCACGGAGCGCCATGTGATGATTCTCTCGGAGGCCTTTGTCCGCCGATATCTCTACCAAGTATGATGCGCGACATTCTGGTATAAGAAGGTAAGGATGGGAGTATGAGAATGGATCTGTTGGTCGAGGTTTTCTGCGACCCGAGAGAACTGTACCCAGAACCATGGAGCGCAAAAAGCTTCAGGGTGAACCTGACTCATGTCCGCCCACAAAACCACAGAGATATTTCCTCTCTTTCTGCCTTCTTCGCATTATCAGCGTTTGGGTCATTCTTACTGTGTGCGCTATGGCTTTCCAGGACACCGGCGGTGTGCGTGAAGGACGCTCTGTCTCGGTCAGCTCAGACGATGAGCGACCACGCCCACGCCCCTTTCGAAAACTCGGCCAGGGCAGCTTCGGCGCCGTCTTTGCACACCCGATGGTTCCCGTGATTTACAAGCGCGAGATCAAGTCGGATAGCAACTGGTGTTGGAGCATAGAAGGCGAATATGCTATGCACAAGCTCATCTCGGCCGCCTTTGATAAATGGTCCCTGGGGGAACAGGGCAACGACACAAGTCTACGTGTCCAAATCCCCTTTCCCCACGTCCTAATCCTCACAGATTCCACGAACTGGTGGGCGCAATGCTCATCACGATTCCCCTCGGATGAACCAGACTTCCGCGATCCATCCCCGACTTTACAAGCGGAACGGATCCCCTCCTTGCCTCAAGCGGTGCGCCACGACCTGATCAACAAGTTTTGTGCCGCCGGCTCCGTCAGGGTCTCGATGAAAACAGACCCGGACAACGACGTTTGCTTGCTCAGACTCTATCTCGGCCGCAGGGCCGCCCGATCCTGGAAATCCTGCGTGGATTTCCAGATCCACAACTTCCCGTGCCACGTTGATCAGATGAGGACTTTGGGCTTGGACACGCACTACATCGCCGCTCAACTGGGCCGGGCGCTGGCGGTGTTGCACTTCGAGGCGGGTGTCGACGGGCGTGACGTGGAGTTTGTGCTGGGCGCTGCGAGGCATGTGCCGGAGAAGCTAGCGGGAGAGCAGCAGAAGGGGACGTCGCTGACAGACGATGCTGGACAAGCCCGCCAGAGAAGAGAAGAAGTCACGGGTCTCTACAGCGCGGCGACCATCTGGTGTCTAGACTTCGAGCAGTGCCAACCCATCTCCTTCTCTGTTGACCCTCTAGTCCCGACCTCGATCACCCCGGAACAAACCTCCCTTAACACCCCCACCACCACCTCCGCCTCCGTCGACCCAGGAACCGTCAAATGCATCGCTGCATACTTCGCCAACGATCCCTATTACCCCCGCCCCCCTCAGCCAGAGCTCTGGGCGACCTTTTCGAGAAACTACGAGGACATGGCCGGACAAATCGGCGCCGAGGCGGCCGCGACGGCATCGCGACAACAGCAATGTTCCGAATGTTCCAAGTCGCAGAACCAGAGTGACCCTACCGCCGCGGCCCACGTCGAGGACGCACCGGGAGGGCCGGATAGGACGAAGAGTCTTGCGCGGGCGTTCATCCGGGGAATCGAAGACACATTCAAAAGGGCGCAGATCAAGCGATGCCTAGACGATGAAGGATGAGTTGGACGACCGTGTACGTAATGCGCTTGAAAGGTGGCGGGGACTTTCGTGCTTCCAACGATCAGCGAAGCAGATAGGAAGCGAAGATCGAATGATCATAAACAATGCAGACGATAGGAGAAAGGACGCAGTCTGATAATCGTTTCACCCATCGATGATAATACATACTGTCCCAGAAGCATACACGCACGCATGCTCCGCGTCCTCGATTGTTCTGCTACATATACTTGTACATCGCCAATACACATGTCCGCTAATTTACATTCTCACCAAAAAATGCTCAGAGCAAAAGGCTGGGGATATCAACAAGTGGAAAAATAACAACGCTCCAGCTAGCTGAGTTCAATCCGAAATCGCCGAGAGGTCGAAACGAGCGCAACAGCAAGGAAAAACTGTTTCACACCAGTCGTCAAATATGGTACAGGTGAGAATGAAAAGATAGTGTCGTCGCGCTCTGGTGATTCTTCGGTCATGCATTCCAATTCTCTGCTTTCGGCCCTGCCTTCCCTTTTCCTTTCGCTCACTCATCGCCATATATCACGCTCCTACCGGGCATCTCGATAGCTTGTAGGCGGATAACCCGGGTTGGTCGGGTATGACGGGTATCCCGAGTCTCTGCTAGCCGAATTTGATGGCTCCCTTATCATCTGCAGAGGAGGCGGAGGTTGAAAGCCCGTACTGATCGAGGAAGGTGGGCTGTGCCCATTATAAGAGGGAGGGGCGCCGCCCGCGTGCATGCGGTTGAGGTAATAGTCTTCATCCACAGCAGGACCAGGCAAAGAACTGGAATACAATGTCGGTCCTGCAGCGGTGCGTAGCGTCGGGCTTCGCGGGCCATCGACAAAGCCTAGGCCAACGTTCGAAACAGATGGCATACGTGGTCGACCGTCTCGGTCTCGTTCACGTTCGCGAGGGTCATATGCCGACATCCGGGCAGCGTCGTAACGGTCATTAGCCAGACGTTCGCGTCCGGCTTCATACTCTCTGTAACGTCTTGTATCGTCATGGTGATCAGAGTGATGCGAAGAAGACATGTAAGAGGCGTCTGGATCCGCCCTCCTCACGTATGAAGAGACACCAGGCTCTTTTGTCATGGAAGGTGATCGGTTGCGACCAGATTGGGGAGGGTCTCTGTGATAGATGCTGTTGGAACGGTGACGGCGAGATTCCTGGATTTCCGTTACCGGGGGCGGTGGTCTTTGATGTAGAGCAATAGGGGGCTGTCCCGGTCTTGAGGGGTCGGGCACCCTGTTTGCTGCGTTGAAAGAATTCGAACGTCCCAGCTTAGGTTCTTGGGGAGGAGGTCCAGCTTTGATTTCGGGCGCGGCAGATGGCCGGTCGATATTATCGTAATTCTTGCCTCCACCGGGCGCAGCAACATATGGCTTTCTCTCTCGCTCGATTGGCTTTGGAGCGAGAGGGCCGTCCGTGGTGTCCTCTGCGACGTCACCATTCACGCCATCCTGGTTCGTTCCGCCGTATGGCTGCCGTTGGCGCTCAATGCTGGCCTGAATGGCTTGAGATGACTCCGGGCTGGGTTGAATATTATTGCCGGCATTATCTGGCTTGTCTGTCTGGGGCTTCAAGTTGGTCTTCGTCGATGAATCATCGGCGACGACAGTCCCAGTCGACGTCGATGTCGACGTCCGGGAAGTGGAATCCGCCGTGCTGCTGAGGCGAGAAGCAAAGGTGACATTGCAGTGCGTTGACATGGCCTTCTGTAGCTTGTAGGCGACCTCAGTGTCACCGTGCTTGGGGAAGAGCCGCCTAGAGAGTTCTTTGGGAAACCGCTCTTTCTTCTCATCGGGGTTGCTGATGGGCATGTCTAGCGCCGTCTTTGCCAGTCGCTCATACTCTCGATCGGGATGTGCTTTTAACAGCAATGTCGCCCATGTTTCAAAGCCACGGGGTGTAAGCCCGGGAGTGTCTGGCCGTTCGTTCAACTTCTCCTGGACAAGATGGTGTTGACACTCGATCTCTCTGAACATTCGGGATATTGAAGAAGTTCTGTCATCAAAGATAATCTTCCAAGGGTAGAACTCATTGGCCAGCTTCGTCTCCTCGTAGTATCTTTGCATTTTGGTTGGAGTGATGACCAAGCTGTGCTTGGGCTCATAGTCTTCGATAAGATGTGTAGCAATTCCACGCAGGAATTGGCCCAACCGAGGAGTAGCCTCACCCTGCTCCGTGAAGAGCTGGCCCCATACTCGTTCCAAAATGGTTGCATCTTCATGGGTGCCCATGCGTTTAGGACCTCTTGGTCGACTGTGGTTTGCGTCGTTCTCGGATTGATGACCTGTCTGACTCAGAGGCGAGGCGGCTCTTCTATCTACAGCAGGCGACGGAGCCCTGAAGGATGACTGGCTAGAAGGCGGAGGAAACTGAGGGGAGGGCTGACTTGCGCCTGCATCCTCGGAGTGTCGATTGGGAGTAGGGGGAGTGTAGACAGTGGTTCGATCCAATGGCGGAGAGCCAGCAGCTGACGAAGAGGTGTCCATCTGGGAGCCAGCCGGCGGTGGCTGATGAGGAGGAGGCGGCGGCGGTAGATTGGCAACTTTCAACTGCTGCAAAACATTCGCCGTGATCTGCGATGTGATTTGTTGAAGCAACTCGGGAGAGAAACCACCATAGGAGGCAGCATCAGCGGTGTTGAAGGCTGAAGTGACAGCATCATTTATAGGTTGGCGAGCTTGGTGATACCTGGAGGCATCTAGATTGTGCGATGTCTGTTGAGAACTCGATGATGCTCCTGATAGCCTCCGATGGCGTCCATCCTCAATTGTAGAATTGCTCAAGGTTGGATGAAGTCGCCGCGTGTCCCCGTCGTCACTCAGACTAGAGACGCTGGGTTGCGGTGGTAGACGTTCATTGTTGGAGGCCATGGTGTCAGGGAAGCACAGTCCCTTCTCAAAACTTGTTCCCCGTTTCTCAAAGCATCAGATGACCCAGCTGAACAGACTTGTGGCAGTATGGTTTTCAAATCAGTTGAGAAAATGACCAGCAGGTTTTGGAAGCATTCGGCAGCTGCGCCAATGATACTATATGGCATTCGCGTCCTGACCAGCCCTATGGCGGTTGCGAGCGCTGGACTGGCTGGGTATACAGAGTCCAAGCTGCAATCCCGCTAGCAGAACCGGTCAAGGTGGGACAAAGGGAGAGGTAGGCGGACGTTCAGTCAGTCGTGAGAGGATGCGGATGCTATGCGCTCGTCGCTGGGAGAAGGGAGCCGGAGGAGCACGGCGTAATGCTGCTGAGGTCGAGTCTGGCGTCGGGGAAGGGATCGTTCGGCGTCGTCGAAAGATTGTAAGTTTCGTGCTTCACTCCTTAGGCAGTGGTGAAGCAGCCTACTTAGGTAGAGTTCGGCGGATGTCAAGTCCTTTCCCCTGCTTTCTGTTCTTTCTCTGCGAAGGGAATACGGAAGCGCGGTTCAGAGAGCGTTTCAAGGCGTCGGGCAAGATGGCATGACAAGCACGAGGCGAAGATGATCAAGGATGCAGAGGTGAGTTACAACTGATAGGAAGCAAGCCGAGACCAAGCCTCAAGGGTGAGCGTGGCATCGGCATACCTTGACAACCACGAACACGACAATGGTGTGGCTAGAGAAGGGTCGACGCTTAACTGCGACAGTCAATGATGCGCGAAGTGGTGTGTTGCATCATTCTAGCATGTTGAAAACCGGTGAAAGGGATTGGCGGGAGCCTCCATCAAGATAGGCGGGAGCAGGCCACTAGCAGGGCGTCCCTGGGGCCTAGTGAGCTCTTCGGCCTCGATAGCCACGCAGCAAGATGGGTGGCTGTGGGCGGTAGGAGGCCCCCAAAAATCCTGAATCTAGCCCACGATCACTGTTTCTTGCCCGTGGACCCCACCCTTATACAGCTCGTCATTGTTTTTTCAACGAACCTCTCCTTCTTCCGAGGTTCGCCTAGCCCACGAGCCACGATGCATGCCCTGTGCACAAATCTGGTTTTTGCTATCTACAAGGACAAATATAGTTTTGACCCTGAAGACTGTGCCACGATCAGATCTTGATGAAGCGAGCCGAGAGACCCAGAGGGTGAACCCAAGGCGTGGTTACGAATGTCCCACTTGTGCGAGAGACACAGTGACCCTCACAACATGATGGGATGGAATCAGGGCAAAAGGAGTCCAAAACCGTCAACGTCATCGAAAAACAACAACCCGGCATGCTGTCCTGGCTCTGCGCCCCAGTCCTCTTCTTCCCGTTGCCATATCTACCAATATCAATCGCCAATCCGACGTCAACGTTCAACCACACCACTACTACCTAGCAGGGTTCCCTCAACCACATCAACCTGGGCACTCCCTCCTACCCTCGGGCCAAAGATGCGAACCACAAGCAGACCCTCTGTGCGACGATTACGCTTCTTTGCGCCCTGTTTCTTAGAGGCTCACGCACCGACCGAGCCGATGGAAGTTAGACTCCCGCCCTGAAGGATATCCGCAAATCATGCAACTTCTTTATGACTTGCCGATATGCAGAGGCAACCGGAAATAACAAATGCTCTGCAGGGTGTGCGAACCATGAACACAACCGCATGACCTGCAAGACCCTGACTTGCGAGATGCAATTGGAGCGGATGGGACCAGAAAACTCAGTGTGTCTCCGGACGATGATGGACCATTCTGGACCATCAATGCCTGTTGTATCCTGCGTTTTGCGGCTCATTCACCATTCGTATCCGTACTTGATATCCGCTTCGAAGTCCAAGACATCTATTGCGTTGCCTGCCTGCAATGTCCAACCGGTAAGCTTTGACGACAAAGGTTCCGCTCCCAGGGCGCCCTATTAAAGCAGTACCCCATACCGAGTGCGTTTCGCTACTTGATTCAGAGCTGCAGTATATTCCGGATCACGCCATGACCTTCTGCGCATGGCAAGCAGCATAGAATTGCGTGAGCAAAATTGGACGCTCTGAAAGCGTGTTGCGCGCTAGGTAATGCAAATATGGAGGCTGTCTAGTCTCGCTTTCATGTTCCCTGCTTTCGTCCATGTCTCGTGGTCTCGTAAACTTTGATAATTTGACTGACAAAGTACGCCTCGTGGGCGAGATTGCGTCTTGCGATAAGCCAGCGCCTTCCTCGCGACTGCGATAATGTTCGATGAACCGAATCAGTCACATTTCCCACTCGCCGTCATCATCAGACTCATCATATCTGTTACCCATCTGAGCTTCCTGCCTCTGTCTCTCCTCACGTTCAAGCTGGTACATAACTCGTGCTTTCGCTGGTGCATTGTATGCAGTTACATTGGCGAAGCTGTTCTTCGAACCCGAACGGGCATAGGTGGAGTTGCCGTGGCTGGTTGTGCTGCGAGCGCTAGAAACCTCAGTCCCGGTGGGCGACGCTGGGTGGTCAGAGACTCTTTCACCTCCCCAGGCAGAGTCTCGGTCGTTAGGCATGAAGATTCCGCTGGTGCTAGACGGCTGCCCTTGCGACTGAGATTGGGAGCCGAGGACGGAGCCAGCAATGCTCGAGATCACAGAGCCGGACATGAGCTTGCCACGGATCTCATCGTCTCTGATGCGTTCCTCCTCCAGGGCGGCGTCGAGCGAAGGCACGCGATCTTCGACCTCTTGCTGACAGTTGTGGCATCTCTAATCTGCGATCAGTATCGTAGTGAGACGTCGAGGGAGGGTTTATTCTTCTCCTACCGCGTCATCGGGTTTCTTTCGCTGCTGTTTGGAGAAGAAGCTCAAATCCTTGCTCACTCGACAGCCGACGCAATACAGCTCGGCATTGGACTCTGGTGTGCAATTCCTGCAACGGGGAAGCGGGGCTTTGGGGCCGCCGTGAAGTTCTTTCACAAGTGCTTCTTGATATCTCGACAGCTGAGTTTGAGAGTATCTTGCTTTGAAGCATTTGACGTTGCAGACGAAGCAAGGTATCCTGTAACTGAGGTGAGCTGGGAGGACAACTGAGGGGACGCTTGCTTACAAATTCCCGACGTCGATGTTCGCGTATCTGTTTTCATAATTAGTGAGCGGTGTAAGAGCGGCCATTGCTGTTGAGATGGCGAAAGAAGTGACGGGGGTAGATGGATCGGACAAGGACTAGAAAACGATATCGGCACCTGGAAGAGATGATGAGAAAAAGGTGAGCCAGCTTACGATGCCTGCTTCTGTTCCCAGTGTGGCTTGTGCTTGGGAGACATGGTTGATTGAAGTCAAAGGTAGGTGCCGGTAGGGAAGATAACCAAGAGGCAAAGGTGAGGTTGAAGTGAAGGGCAACTGGAGTGGTGATACTCCTTCAGCCTGATGTCCCACCTGTACCAAGTAATCTCGTTGGCAATCCTATTGAGGCTTCGATGAGCGGTCTGAGTTACAGGAGTACTTCTTTCACCTCTTCTTTTGCGATCCTGGAGGTAATCGGAATTTATACAGAGGTTGTGTTCTCAACGATGATTGCTCAACCAAGATGGAGTGAGATCACAAATCAGAACCAACTGTCCTTTATCTTCTAAACGTCACTGGTGACTGAATTCAACGTCCAAATAACAACATTTTTGTTTGTCAAGCAATGCAAAACTTTGACCGCCGGCTAGATGCGGTGTCAACAACCACTTACTGTCTGAGGCCCTCAGGATGGAGCGATGAACGCGTATGGTACTTCAAGTTGGAGATTTGGTGTTTCTTGGCAAGCTGCAGGCGCTAGTAATGCACCGAAGAGCTCCTGGACATGATATTGATTGCTTCAGGTACAGACCAGAGATGGATGATCTGTGCGCGTTCTGATCAAAAGGAGCGGAAACGTGATGGGCGTCTGCGCACGATGATGGCAAGACACGCCTTTATTCTCCTACAACCAGCCTGATATATATGTCCATCGAAGAAGTAGTCTGAACCTTGTTGGAAACCAGGAGAAGTGCACGACACAGGGTACGTCCACTGTAAAGACCGCCGCCTTTTGTCGCGCAGGACAGACGACGAGGTGCTAGTGGGTACGTGATCAAACAAGTTTCTCGACTGCTTCTAGATTGCGCCTTCGCCAGCCCTTCCGGGAGCAGCACTCTAAAGTAGACACCGGTCCGCGGCCAGAAGATCGATCCAAGGGTATCCTTTATGAACGACTCCCTTTGCAATTTTATCTGGAAACAACGGCAATCAACGGGCATCAACTCGAGGAGCAAGGACTTGTATCACGACAGTTTCGACTCTCCTGGTTCCAGAACAACAGGAGGTTCCACTACCTGGTTAGCTTCTCGCGGGGAGCAGTGCTGCTGGAGACCAAAGTTATGCCGCACTCCATGGTGATTTCATTGCCCAGCATGTTTGTTCCAAATGGAACAAGCTAGACGGACAGGGGACAGTCGGAGAGTCTGTCTTTTGGGGTTTTGGGTTCTTAGCCCGGTGCCATCGAAAATGGGCAGAGACCAAGCCAATCGACGGTGAGGTCGAGATTTGATCAGCACCATTGGCCGGCCCCAGCTACGCCCCGGCCCTGGCTTCAAGGTTTATGGCGAGTCGGGACAACCATATCCAGGGACAGATGTGAGCCTAAACCTGTTTTTGGAATCATCCTGCCACCCTTGAATCAGGAACCAGTGGTCAATAATAGTCATGACGATTATTAGCCCAAGGGGGGTGAGGTGGCTGCTTGCGTTGCCAGAGTCGGGTCCCTCAGAAACGTGGCACTCGACTGGCGGTCTCTTCTTCTTCCCAGGCATCTTCGCGTTGGTTGCCCTGTCGATGCTGTCGCTGCTGCTAGGTAATGGCAGCTCGCTACGGGAAGAAATGCTGGAAAACCATTGAAGTAGTAGCAGCAGGTGGAATAGGATGTATCGCAAGACTAACTGGTTACCACGATTACCTGCGAGTGGCAATGGAAAGACTAGCTGTTGCTCGATCGATAGCTACAGCTCTCGTCTCTGCTGAAATCTGGAGCGAAGCTGCCCCCCCCCTCCCCGGGGGGTCGACATTACCTTCCCACGTTTGCCACAACACTTCAACTTGGTACCTGCTCTCTCGGTCCAGGTACCGAGCACAGCACATACACATGTCGATCTCCTTCAAAAACATACATAAACTGAAGATAAAGGCGTCATGAAGACCAGAATTGATTGTCGCATGGCGGAAGGATCCAGCCAATACCGGGACGACAACGTAATAAAAGTCAAGGTCCATCTCGCGGAGTGAGACACCCAGCTCCGTTCCTCCTGCAACCTGGCTCTCCTGACTTCTTCAGAGACGGCGGTGATGAGAGATCCCCCCTACCATTGCATGCATGGCAGCACACTCAATATGCTTTGCCTCCCACCTACTCACCGCAGAAGCAAATGGCGAGCGGTGAGTATGAGAGTGGGCTTTGGGAGAAGTCCAGCTGCGAAGGAAGCGTCCGGTAATGTACGGAGGACATGGCACATGGTGGGGACTGGGTACGGACTGCTCGTACAGACCAGTCAGTACATTGTCACTGTGGATGAGAAGGTTAATTCCTTCTCTCTGGTGCAAGATTTTCAGGAGGGATTTATTTTATTTATTCCCTACGGCGCACCCTTGCAGAATGACTAGTTCGCCGGAGTCGACTGGAAGAAAAAGACGAAACCTCAGTGGACGAGGTGATCCGGCATCCGCGCCCCGGTCGTGGTCTTCACCTGGCCTCTGGGAGTTGAGACTTGGGGGCGCCAGCGCACAGGAACGGGGCTCCGAGGCTGAGAAGAGGAGCTGGCAGAGGTCGGAGTTGGAGGGCAACCAGGCCAACTCCAAGCAGCTAGCGACGGTTTGTGCCTGATCAACCCTGCCATCCAGCCCAAACTTGTCGCCGGCCCTCCAGGGATTCCGTCGGGCTATCCCTGTGGCTAGTCCGTGCTAGAAGCCAGGGCTTGCACGGGGCTTGCACGGGGCTTGCCTGTTTTAAGCCGCTTCCCTGAGTGACGGAGGCCCTCACTGCTGCTCTTGCACAGGGAGGGCCGCCCCCCCAGATGCCAGAATGCCGGATGGGCCTCACTCTCCAAACCTTGAAAGCCTCGCATCGCATTCGTGCTGACACGGCGCCAGTACCATCTCGTTTCGCTTGTCACCCACCGTCACTATTTTGTCTCTCCCCTTTCGTAGGAAAAACAATCACTCCCCCCCAGCCCATCTCACTCAACAATACCGGTAATCACACACTCTCGTTTTCCTTCGCCTGCTCAATGTTGCAAAAGCAGGGAGATTCTGGGCTCTGTCATTGCAATTTTGCATCCCAGTTGGTCACATAAACCCTTGCTGGAACCTCTCTGGGCGGACGGGCTCCAGCGCCCATCAACCTCCGTGCCTCTCCCTTCCCCCAGCCCCCCCCCTGCCGTCCCGACTCGGTCAAGACGCGCCTCCCACATCGCCTGCTAATCGTCCGAGCACATCGACAACACGACCGAATTACAGTCTTGTCACCTCGACTGCCCTCCTTTGATACTAGACTGTGACCGTCAACCCCCTCGGTGTCAATCAAGAAAGGGGAAGACGCTGCCTATCCACTTTCCCAACGCCCCCTTGCGGGTCGGCATCCGCCAATCGACCATTCCTCTAGCTAGCTTCCTTAGTTCCCTCGAGCGATTTCGAATTGGGTCCTGGGTCCTTTGATCCTGAGCATCATCTTCTTGAAGCTCGAGCTCGATCATCATTTACCCTCCTGCTCTGCACCGAGCTGGCGTAGGTGCAACCTCACGAGCTTTGAGCCACTGCACGAACAAGCCAAACGACACCTCCGCCCCTCTTCGACTCTGTGCTCTGAAACACATGTACAGAACCATACGAAACAGCCAGGAAATGACGTGTTAAGGTCTCGGAAAACCAATCTATGGGCGCAGGGCAGCCTCAATAAGATACACTTGTCCCACATATTCCACGACGACAGACAAGAAAGCGACGGAAGAAGAGCCCATCCTGTCCTAACCAACTCAGTCGACCACTATGGCTGTCACGGAATATGGCCAAAGGCCTAATTCTTACGCCTTGGCTGCACTGGAAGACAGGTTCGAAGTGATCAAGGAGATTGGAGATGGAAGTTTTGGAAGTGTTGCTTTGGCCAGAGTGAGAGCGAACGGTGCCAGTGTGGCTCGCCGGAACTCTATGGTATTGTTGCTTCTGCTATGGTCTTGTGTGGGCATCCCCCAACTGACGTCCTCTAGGTTGCGATCAAAACCATGAAGAAGACCTTCGACTCCTTTGCTCCATGCCTAGAACTCCGTGAGGTCATATTTCTACGCACACTCCCATCCCATGCTCATCTGGTGCCGGCGTTGGACATCTTCTTGGATCCCTTCAGCAAGAAACTCCATATCTGCATGGAGTACATGGACGGCAACCTGTATCAACTGATGAAATCCCGGGAACACAAATGTATGGACGTCAAAAGCGTCAAGAGCATCCTCTTCCAGATTCTGTCAGGTCTTGACCACATCCACGCTCACAATTTCTTTCACCGAGACATCAAGCCGGAAAATATCCTGGTGTCCACTTCAGCACCTCACGATTCACAGTCAGCTTTCAGCAGATACTCCTCTTTGGTCACTCCGCCTGCTACACCGCCAGCGTATTCCATCAAGATTGCCGATTTTGGCTTGGCTCGAGAGACCCACTCCAAATTGCCCTACACCACATACGTCTCTACTAGATGGTATCGAGCGCCTGAAGTTTTACTTCGAGCTGGCGAGTACTCGGCTCCCGTGGACATCTGGGCTATCGGAGCGATGGCCGTTGAAGTGGCTACTCTGAAGCCCCTCTTTCCCGGAGGCAACGAGGTAGACCAGGTTTGGCGAATCTGTGAAGTGATGGGGAGCCCAGGGAACTGGTATACCAAGGCCGGTACCCGGGTTGGAGGCGGTGAATGGAGAGAAGGGACGAAGTTGGCCCAAAAGTTGTGCTTCTCCTTCCCAAAGGTGATGCGAACCCCAATACTAAAACGTGGCAAGCTTACTAACTCCTCGCAGATGGCGCCCCATGCCATGGACACCATTCTACAACCGCCTCACTGGCCCGCGACATTCAGCAACTTCGTGACATGGTGTCTGATGTGGGATCCTAAAAACCGCCCGACGTCTAAACAAGCTATGGAGCACGACTTCTTTATTGACGCTGTTGATCCTCTTCGACCGAAGTCCTCATCACGCCTGCTGGGGCGGAAGCACTCGGACCTAAGTTTCAGATCAAAGGATGCGACCGAAACACCCACCGTCACATCTAAGCCGTCCTGGTTTCGGAGATCGCTTATTGCTCGAGAGAGCGCACCTGCCGTGCCCCAGCACAACTCGGAAATCAAGGTTACACAGCAAGAACCCGAGACCTTGGTCAGCAGACTTCGACCTCAAGCGAGTAAACGTGCGACGTGGACCAATGGCACGAGTGCGACTGGTGCTGCACCAATGCCTATCCTGCCCTCGATCCGCCCTATCTCTCCCTTGCCCAACGCTGTTACTGCCCAAGCAAGTTCGACATTCGCATCTCAGCCAGAGTCGAAGCCCAACTCGTCTAAACCGGTTGAGGAGAAATCAAAGAAGATTGGCAGGCAGCTATCGATCAATTCGAATGGCAACCATTATGCCGATATCCATCGTCAGGAAGCCGAACGAGCCTTGAATGCAAACAGTGGATTGGTGTCCCCACCCAGCGGCCACAAAGAGAGCTTCTTTTCACACTTACGGAAACGTGCGAGACGATTTTCGGGCAGACACGGACTGGCCTCACCGAATGGCGATGATGTTGAGGCCAATGCCGCAAACGTGCCGTGGTCGAATAGATCTTCGCTCATGGTCGACAGCGTCATCCCCGAAGGAAACAACGACTTTTCAGATCTTGACAAGATCCTACAGAATGTTCGGTACAGCCTTGATCGTGCCGAACCAGAGTCTCTACATCGAAAATCATCCACAGAGGTGGTATCGAATTCAGGAACACTGAAACGGACACATTCAGTTCCCAGGTCACAAGGCAGCAGATCAAGCGAGAATCTTTCACAGACACCTGCTCCCACGAATAATCGGACACGACGTCCTTTGCAAATTAACCAGTATGAAACTCCTGAAGAAGCTGACGAGCTTTTGGATGAAGCTCTCCGGTCGGCTCATCGGGCGGTCCGCCGCTTGGACCAAACCACCTACCCGAAAGACCATGCGCAGCGAACTGCGTTGGCACAGAAGGATTATAACCGACAGTCATTACCGCAACTACCTAGCAACCCAGCACTACACGGCGCCTACCTCACGCCGTCGCCGTCCGCCAAGAGGAATGGCGTCCAATTTAATTCCGATGCTGGTTCACAAGCCGAGCCATTGAACATCACCAAGAAACGAACCGAATACGAACACGCTCCTTCACACTGGCCAACGCCGCCATATGAGGAGAACGAATGGGCATCTGCGGCTGCCAACAGCATTTTCGCCGCCGGACAGATGTTTCGATAAATGATGATATTGGCTCCTATGCCGACCTACCACGCTCGTTCAGATGGCCAAAGTTTCTGTTCTGAATATCTTACAACGATATACTGTTATCTGATATCCTGTACGAAAAGAGAAAGGGGTGTGCATCGCACGAACGCAGATTCATGCGCGGTAATATTTGAGGGCTTTTTTGGGAAATCCCAATGCACGAAGGCGCAAGGCCCTGAATGGCCGAGAGTGTTTCGAGAAGACTGTCCATGATGTTGGTGGGCGTTTCGATTCTTCCCTCTTCGCGACGTGGCTGGCCCGGTCACACACACCTGGGTCCCCGTCGCATTGGCATGCGTTCTTTCTGGAGGTGTCATGAGAGTTGGCCAAGGAAGTGAAGTCTTTCTTTTTGTATGGGCTGCATTTTGGGTTTTGCCAGCGATATTTTGGCATTGTCGGCTAAGACAGCGACAGAGTTTTCATTTGTTAATTGTGCTCGAAAGAGAGAACTGTACAGCTACATTGGTACTACTACCATCATATGTATGGACCAGATGAGATGGTGCGATATCGGGATTAAAGGTTTAGAGAATTGCTGGACTTTGGACTTAGTGGTTGGCATAGGAAGATGGCGCTGGTTCCTCGGTCCCGAAGACATACGAGTTCCAGAATATCAATCAAGCCGATATGTGAACTGATCTGCTCCCTTATTGCCATGCCTGTTCTTTGATTCTGGAGAAGGCTGAGAAGAGGTGACGCCGGCTGAAGTTCGGCCCTCCAACCTCAAGCTGTCTCCTTCCTGCCAAGCCTCGCGTTGGAGACCTCCCTCCATGTTCGCTCCGCTTAGCTATTGACTGCAATTGCCCTTCCTCGACGATCTGAGTCCTCCTATTCAGAGCTTCTTGGGGCCCTGGCACGATGAACAATCTCCAAAGGGTGAATCCATCCAAGGGTCTGATGAACATCAACCATGCTATGTCTCCTCTCTCAATGTGCCGGCAATGCCTGCGCAACACCCTGCGCAACCAGTTCCATCGACCTCGACTCCAGCCGCCCCTCGTCGCGCGCCGTACAGCCTCAACGGATGGCAGCAAGCCCATCGTACTCGAGCAGCCCGACAAATTCCGCCCACCCTCGCATCCCGCGCGATTGGGTCGTCCGCGTCGGCCGCCCGCGGCGTACAATCAAGGAACGACAACAGAGGAAAAAGAGAGGCAGAAGAGCAAGTCCTACCCGCACATGTTCCCTAACAAGGGTACCTTTATGCATTGGTTCTTGACGGATCGGTGGATTCATCTTTGGATTACGATGGTGAGTGCGACAACCTCCTCATTATACCCTCTCCTCCGAAGATGGTAGAATCTCGTGAGGGTGGGATAAACCAGAACCTCCCAACTCCCCGGGTACAATTCAATAGAGGCGTTCAATTAACTTGCATTGTTTTCTTTGACCGAACAGGGCACGCTCACAATCCTCGCTTGCATCACCTTCACCCAGTCATTCATGCGGACGTCACCCTACGCACACCTGATCCCTCCCATATCCTCGTTACCGCTCCACCCGATAAACTACATCCGGGAAACCCTGTCCGTGCTCCGCCTCCACGTCGACTACGAGACGGCCAAGACGAACGAGTCGCGGCAGCAGAAGATCCTCGACGCCCAGAAACGCAGGCTGTACCGGCGCGCCCACGGCCTAGAGGACCTCAACGCGGACGAGGACCAGGGCATCGACGTGCGGGGCCTGGTCCCTTGGGACGACGGGCTGACGGCCAAGGAGAGGGAAAAGGGCGGCAGGGACATGGTGCTCACGGGCCGCGACATGATTGCGCTCGGCGGAGTCCCTGGAAAGGCCGGCGCACAGGAGGACGTGGACGAGTTCGCCCGCAGGCTGGAGACGGAGCAGGGCGAGCGGGTCAAGCTGCTCAAGGAGAAGGGCGTGGATGCCGTGGTCAAGGCCGAGGCCGAGGCCAAAGCCAGGGGCATCAGTGTCCAAGACGCACTCCAGCAACAGGAGCTGCGCGTCCAAGAGATGCAGGACCCGGACCAGGGCCAGGATCTTCAGCAACTGCAGCAGCAGCAGCAGAAGCGGAAGAGGAAGCTGTGGCTAGGTATCTGGTGATCTTTCAACAAGAGGAATTTTGGCTGTAAAAGAGCGTTAGACTTGCGGCTCGGGCTCAATGCAAGACTCCCTGCTATTGAATGTTATAAGTCGAAAAGAAGTTCCGAACCACTCTGACTCAAAAAAACCAGACATCACACGGGGATAGATAGCCACGCCACTGGAAGAACGAGCTGAGAAGTCGAGTGTACAACGTATTAAAATGTCTGTCTACCTGACAAGAGGGTACCTGAATTGCAATTGCAGCCCTGGACCCACGTTCTATGTTCCCCTCCCGTCGCCCATGAAATCATATATGCGATATATATGCGGGTAGATAGTGATGTCCTACTGCATGCACTGACTGCATGCACTCGTATGTATGTGTATATGTTCCTCGTCTCTCTCTTTCTTCCTTTTGGCAAGATATGCGTACGAGGTATATGCTGTAAGTGTGTGCGTAGTGGTGGGTGTGGGTGTGTGGGTGTGTGTACGCACCGACCGGCATGTATGGACATGCTCGATCTCCTTGATCTCCGCGGCCAGTTCAATTCGCCCACATGGTACGTACTTGCACATGGACATGGTACTGCAGAGTGCTCCGTCCATGTCGTACGCCACGGCGTGGGTACGGGCTCGCGGGGCTTGCATGATATGCCCTGCGTGCGCCTCAGTCCGACTCCGTTCCAATGCCGCCGGACAAGTTGTTCGTCACTCATCGTCTCTCATGTTTGATAGTGTTTGAGAGGGCGTGATTGTTGTATCAGAGTCTCTTTTTTCTTTCTGATTTTTCCTCCGGAAACCAATTTTGAGTGGTTGCCATGTCCGAAGTGAGTCGGCTTGGAGGGCTTGTCGATGGCAGCCCTTCTTCTTCTTCTCACCCTGGGTTTCCTCGTATTCTGGGCGGCAGTCGCCCCATTAAATAGAGATCTGGATCCGAGTCGGGCGCGGGTTCGTGCCGGTCTCTTTCGCCTAATAATCCAGTCGTTGACACGAGTAGCGTCTCTTCGGAGATGGTGATGCTGTCAGGCACGTGTGGCTTTCCCAAACTGCCAGGGTCGAAGCCGGCGACTGGGCGACACGATGAGGTCCAGAAGTCCAAAGGGTTGGTTCCATTCGTCTTTTTGTCTGCGCAAGAATTTCCGGCCTGGTCCCAGTTCGCGATTCCGTTCCCACCGTTGTTTTCCTAGGACTCTTCGTGAATCATATGTCCCATCCTCCCAATCTTTGTCTCGAGGTATTTTTCAATCTCTGCGCCTCGGACACCCTTGGCCCCAGCCGTCCTCCATGCAAGAGGGATCATCGGTACCCTTTCCCGTACTCTTACCTCCTTCCCGGGTCCTTCCACTGCTCGTACCTTATCAGGGTTGTTAGTAAGAAGCCTGATGCCTCTCTCTGCCTCTGGTTTCTGCGCATCACTGTCGGTGCCAAGTCCGAGATCTTGCAGTATTGCAGTGGCAAGGCCATAAGTCCTTGCATCGGCCGGATGCCTCAGTAATAAATTCGCTTCAACAGTGTCATTCCCCAAGTCCTGCAGATTGTACGCCTTTAATTTCGAAGCGAGACCAATCCCTCGTCCCTCTTGGCGTAAGTAGACTATGACGCCGCCCGTAGAGCCGGGCAAGGACATCAGTCGGGCGGCCTCGTCCAGTTGCTCTCCACAGTCGCAGCGGGCAGACCAGGCTGTTTCGCCTGTGTAGCATTCTGAGTGGATTCGGACAAGTGGCGCTTTGCCCAGAGAATGGCTGCTCATCTGTATGTTATCAAGGACATCACCCAGGCTCGCGATGGGATGGTGGGGATGTTCCGAGTTTTGTTCATCCTGGGAAGCATTCGGGGCCCTGACAGCGCCCTCTGCCAGTGCTGTTTCGAGAACACCATCCTCCGGGACCGTCGTTACGTTCTTTAACGCGGAGCCACTTCTGTGCCGTTTGTTGAATGGCCTCCTGCTCTGTTCTGTGGGATCTATTCTCGAACTCGTCCGACCCGGTCTCAATCTTCCAACATAAGCGCCACGAATCATGCGATCCATCTCGGTTTCACCGGGCTTCTCGGCATCTAGACTGCGACTTCGTATATTGTTGCCGAAGACAATCGCCAGGTGCTCCTTATTATCAGAGTCATTCTGATATAAATGCAGGAACATCTCCGCTCCGGAGGTCGTCGGTATCCGCGCCCGGACCAGACATTCTACTTGCGGTAATCTCTCGAGCAAGCGGGGTTGCTTCGTCGAGGGGTCGTCGAGCGAAGTGTCGACGGGGATGGACTTCGGTTCAGATTGGAGATGACGGGAAGGAGTTCCAGCTCCCGGAGTGGCGGGAGGAGTGAACGCAGGGGATATTAAGTTGTTGGGGAGACCAGGCGTAGGGGAAGCATTGTCATCGAGGTCGGACCAGCCGCCCAAGTATGCGGACGAGGGCCGAGGGACGGGCGATATGACTGGAGACGCATGTGAAGGAAGGTCGTTGGCGGGGCGAGCCATTCTTGGTAGCCGTCGTTCGGTGTATATACAGTGAAATCTCTTCACTCTTCTAAAGATTAAGAAAGAAGCATGGCGACTCTATACCTGGGGCGCAGAGGGCAAAGGACCATTGGAGGGAAGGTATTGCTGGCGGATGAGAGGAGGATGCGGGCGGCACCGACTTTTAGAAGCGGAGAGAAGAAATTCGCTGACGAAATTCCCAAGCCTCGGCCTCTCCTCCGCACTTTTCCCTCTCGTGCTTCTCCCGCTGATTCTACCCGTTGAGCCCGTCTGGCCGTCATTCAGCGTTGCTGCTTGGTCAGTCGGCACCCGAGATTGGGTAATCACCAAAGCACCTGGTCCGCCCCTGTGGAAAACACCCTCTCTATATCGGTCGAGAAGATGCCCTCCCCAGATCGAGACACCCTCCTGTCCGCCGCCCAGGCCTTTTGCAACGCATTTGCCAGCAAAGAGGCGCCTAACAAGATCTTCAGCCATTTCTCAAGCTCCGATGATGTCCTTGCCCTAGAACATGGCCTGCCGCAGCTGGCACCGTTCTTGGGGCGCGAGTTTCGGGGGCAGAGGGGCCTGGAGGAATACTTTGGACTTCTGTCCTCTAACCTACAATACGAAAACATGCGGTTCAGTAACTTCGTCGTCGATGCACATGTTCTCAAGGTGTCGGTCCGTGGAGAAGCAAAGTTCACCTGGACCAAGACTGGTCAATCCTGGGACGAAGTCTTTACCTATGTCCTAGAGTTTGACAAGGAAAACAAGGTCAAGGTCTACGAGATATGGGCGGGTAAGATCGCCCCCAGAAGCCTGTGTTGGCGTTGCAGTAAAGTTGCTTCGAGATCCTCTTTCTCCTGGACACGGCTATGGGGTACTAACGACAAGCAGACAGTGGCGCTGCCTACCTGGCCAGCAAAGGCGAACTGTGAGCGAAGGACCAATTGGCTTAATCACCACTGCCACTCATCAGTCGAGCAATATCCTGCCGTTCACGGCGTGTCCTACCCCAATGCTCATCTGGTTCATCTTCCTGATCATCTCCTAGATTAAATGTGTTGCTGGATGTGACATCTTGGTTGTACTACTTGACCCCGGCAGGTAGGACGAACCGCGCATCAACGAGCATCTCCTGTACGTCCTCATCAAATTTTAAACTGTAGTTGGGTTTCTGGAAGCTCTTGACCTTGGCTCGGTAAAAAGTGTCGGTATCAGGGTATTTCGCGTATACGGTCGTTCCGATTGAGAACTGTTGACTGCTCGGGGCTATCTGTGGGATAGGTACTAGGTCTCTGGCTGTAGCCTTGCGTACTGTCTGCTTGCCGGACGCATCATCCTCTGGGTCTCTTACATCATATTGAATCCTGCGGACCAAGTTAGCGGAACGATCTTCGGACGGGACTGCTTCGACCCACGGCTTCTTCTCCTGCCAGACTTTCTTGATGATGCCGTGAATGCCCACTCCTTCTTCTTGCTCTGCCTGGTCCTTCGGAAATTTGTAAAAGACTTCGGTTCCGGATACAAGGTGACCAGCCCTCTCAGCCTGGAGGCCCTTGTGCGTCTCGCTCCCGTCATCGCGAACAATTGTGGCTGCTCGATTCTGGCTTGCTGTGCTTGAACTTCGTTGGGAGGTGCCCTTGACGCGTTTCATCATCTCTAGACGACCATCCCCGGGGCTGGGCCCGGGAGACTCAACGGCTTCTGAATCAACAGCAGGCCGCTGATGCTTCCGTGATTTCGGCTGACCATTCCGGGGAGCCGGTTCATCGTTAGATCTCATGGTCTCTAGGATAGCAAGATTGCTGATGATGTCGTCGTCATCGTGGACTTTCTTCTCACTTTCCGCGTATCGGAGGTTTTCTCGATACAAAGCGTCCAACCGTCGGTACTGGTCAGGAGTTCCGTCTATATGATCATGATCAGTCCAAATCTCAGCCAAGTCTTGGACGGTAGACTCTGAAAACATTCTCAAATTCGGAAGCCAGGCCATGGATTAGTTTCCATATTGTCATCGCCTCAAATGCCAGACGCGAGCTCACAAAAGGACCAAAGGAGCAAACAGGGAAAGATGGGGCACAGGGCGGACCTACGTCCGGCTACTTTGATCTCTTCCTCCAGGGCCATGATGTCTTGGCCAATCTTTCTGCATTTTTCGTTGAATTCTCTGGCCTTACGCAGGCTTTCAAGCGCTCTGGTGAGTAGATCATTTTCAAGTTCAGTCTCCTTCCCATCTCGACCAGCAGTTGCGCGGGCCCCTCGAGGACGGGATGACATGTTGGAAGATCGTGGTATTTGAAGAACTATTTCCGAAAGCCTGGAAGGGAATGTCTCTGGTTTGTGAAAGAGAGAACGCAGTATCGCTGCGCCTGAAAAGGATGACAAGGCCTCGTGCCCCTTGTGGAATGTACCGGCAGGCGCAAGCTATTTGTCCGTGGACAACGGCGGCAACTTATCACTAGATGGTACTAAGATACAATCTGTAGATTATGCCGACAATATAGAGATGAACAGACAAGGAAAATGTGCGATTTCTCAATATAATATGGGCTGCTGTGTTCAAGGGCATGGAAGACATGGTTTGGAGGCGTGATTGGTGGAGAGACGAAGAATGCGCCAGCGTGGAGGGAGCTACGGACACGTATGAGGCCGGTGAAGCGCATTCTGTACGGTGAATCATATGACTCTGTATACGTCCTTTCTCAAACGTCAAAGTCTGGCCAATTCTATCAGACTGACCAACCACGTTCCCCTCCAAGTCAAAAACGTCTTCAATATCAAGTGGATCTGGTCTCAAGCCACTCTCGCCTTCTTTCACCGCCATATTGCTTTCACCAACTGGACTCCCCTCAAGACTCGGAGGCACCAAGTCATACTGACACTCCCTCCTTATCTCAGTCCAAGTCAGACGACACCATCAAGTTCCAGTAATTATTAAAAGACTTGGGGTTGTGCTGAGGTCTAGCCATCATGCAAGTCCCCTTAATTCGTCTCCAATGCGGTATGTATGGGCATTTTCACAACGTCTGTCGTCGCCATGTCACTGACTTCGCCAAGGCTGCAACAGCTATGACTGGGGCAAGAAAGGGAAGGACTCTGCGGCGGCCAAATATGCTGCGGCGACGCCTTCAGACAACTTCACCATCCAAGAAGACAAACCATACGCCGAACTATGGATGGGCACACACCCTTCCCTGCCTTCTAAGGACCTCGTCACTGGTAGATCTCTGCTCGATCTCGTCGCCGACAACCAAGCACTGATGGGCACCGACATCACCGAGAAATACAACAAAAAGCTACCGTTCCTCTTCAAGGTCTTGTCCATCAACAAGGCATTGTCCATTCAAGCCCATCCCAACAAGAAGCTTGCCGAGAAGCTCCATGCCAAAGACCCAAAGAACTATCCAGACGACAACCACAAACCCGAGATGACACTCGCCATCACCCCGTTCGAAGGCCTCTGTGGATTCCGCCCCCTCAACGAAATTGCTCACTTTCTCGCAACCATTCCACCCCTGCGTGAGCTGGTCGGTGAGAGCGAGGCCAAAGGCCTTGAAGAAATCGCCAATTCTTCCTCGCCATCTCTCGCCGATGCCAAATCCCGCCTCAAGGCCGCGTTCAGCTCGCTCATGAAGTCTTCCAAGGCAGATGTCGCCGAAAAATCCCACGCCCTCCTGGAGCTCGCCAAAAAGGGATCGATTTCTCCAGGCCCCAGTGTGAACACCTCCGAAGAGCTCTGCGAACTCGTACAGCGATGCAACAGCCAGTTCCCAGAAGACATTGGCCTCTTCGTGTTATTCTTCCTCAACTTCGTCAAACTCCAGCCCGGCCAAGCCATGTACCTAAAGGCGGACGACATCCACGCGTACATCTCCGGCGACATTATCGAGTGCATGGCAAGCAGCGACAACGTGATCCGCGCGGGCTTCACGCCCAAATTCCAGGACGTCAATACCTTGACCGACATCTTGACCTACGACCACAATCCTCCCGAGCAGCAGCTCCTCCAGCCCGTCGACTACCCCTACGTCACGCTCAACGACAAAGCCTACAGCTCTGGCAGCGACTCCTTGCTGTACGATCCCCCGATCGAGGAATTCAGCGTCGTGCGCACGGTGCTCAAGAAGCCCGGCGCCAAGGCCACGTTCGAGGGCATCGCCGGGCCCAGCATCGTCATCTGCACGAGCGGCGAGGGCAAGGTCAGCGTCGGCCCCAAGACGGAGGACTTCAAGGAAGGCTGGGTGTACTTTGTGGGCGCGACCGCCGAGCTGGTCATCGAGAGCTCCGCCGACGAGATGGTCACGTTCAGAGCCTTCTGCGAGATCGACGACCAGGCCACCAAGCAGAACGGGGCGCATTGACTAGCCGCCGCCCCCCGCAGGACGAGAGCTCAGCTGTGAGCGACGTCTCGACGCGACAGGAGCAACGGAAAGTGCGAAAAGGCACCCGCCATGAAGGGGGAGTCGAGGAAGAGGGATACGGATGTGCCGTGATTTTCTATGCATGGGTTTTATGAAGACGGGAGATTAAGAATCGGACCAGATATAACGGACAGAACGATCGAAAAGTTTCAGCTTACGAGGAAGAACCGGACGTGGTAGATGAGGGCCTTAGAAGAGGGAAACTTCGGTTGGCAAGAGTCGCAGTCACTCGTGCAGACAAGGCAATGCAGTATTCCTTCTGACCCTTCAATTTCGCGCACCACAAAAGTCTTCTTGCCCAGTCAGGGGTTCCACGGAGACATACGTCCATACATGTCGGGGGGGACAGAACAGCATCGCTGGTCGGCGGTGTGCCCGCTCAATTTACCGCTCTGCGTGTACACCGGCGTAGGGCTGACTCGCTTTCCGATATTTGTGCGTATCATCACATGCAAGGAGAGCCCTATCACTGCCCGCAGATTGGAGCGTTAACAGTCGCCGCAACCCCCTTGCGCGCCGTCCCGAACTTCAGTAACGGTGAGACTCGAGCTTTGCCCGCGAACGTGAAATCCACCTTGCCTTCACATGCTCAGAAGTTATCTGCTTTTTCATCCCGCAAGCCCTTGCTGCCCTGTTCCTCCACCAAATGCCCAAAATTCACTGTATCTTCCGCCGGCGGACCCGCATGGGCATATGCCCGACGGGCTTGGCCGCGAATTCGATGATCTGATAGCCCCTGCCGCCCTGGACGCCGTGATCGGGGGGCGCCCTGGGCGCGCCCTCGGCGTAGGCGGTCTCAAAGTCAAAGTCCCGACACAGCAGGACCAGCACCAGGCGGAGCTCCATCATCGCCAGCTCCAGGCCCAGACAGCCGCGCGGGCCCTTCTCGAACGGCCGCCACGCGTCCTTGGGCTGCGGGGTTCCGCCGGGCATGAAGCGGTCGACGACGAACTTGCGCGGTTCGGGCCACAGGTCGCCGCGTTGGCCGAATCCGTAGTGTGCGATCCAGACCTGTTGCCCCTCGAGCGGGAGCTGCTGGCCCCGGAACGCCACCGTCTGGACCGGGTGGTTGGGCAGGGTCGTGCGCGTGGTGCTCGCCGTGGGGAAGAGGCGCATGGATTCCTTGACGGCCGCAGTCGTGACGGGCAGGTTGCTGAGCAGTCTGGGGTCGGAGAGGAGCATGGACGCGGCCTTGGAAGGATCCGGGCCGAACACGGCGTCGTGTTCGGCGCGGATCCGAGCGAGTTCGTGGGCGTTTGAGGGTTCGGAGAGGAGGGCCAGGGTGTATGCTATTGTTGATGAAGTTGCTGTAAATCTCTCAGTTGAGCGAAGCCAAGATCAACACGAGCTGCGAACACAGGGACGTGGCAAAGCACGCCGTTGGACAGTGAGAGGGGCTAATACTTACTGTCATGGCCTCCCAGGAGCAGTGTTTTGACGTTGTTGCGTGCAAGAAGCATGAATTCCGGATCAAGCTCGTCCGTCCGGCTTCCGCCCTTGCCCGACGTCCCCATCTTTTCCTCGCGATAAGCCTGAAGAAACAAATCTACAGCGGCCTTTGTCCCGGGGGAATTCGTGGATTTCGTCTCGGCGTGTCTCTCGCGAATCATGTCCTCGATGATTCGGTCCTGTTGCACGCAATGCCACCACTTGAACGGCCTGCTCAGATTCCACGAGATGACGTCCATGCTTGGTCCAGCCCACAAGACGGCCTTCTGGAAGTGTGTTGTCAACTCGTTTGGTCGGCGTTGGGAGTCGAAGTTCTTCCCCAGCACCACCTCGCCGATCACGTCGATCGTCAGGGACATGGCTGTCTCCTGGATTGGGAAGACTTCGCCGGTCGACGCGTAATTTGAGATTCGGTCTTTGAAGACGAGCCCGTGCCGGACGAGGAGGGGGACCAACGTTGAGAGATACTGGGTCGAGAAGCCGGGATTGAGGATCGACCGGAGCATTTTCCACTCTTGTCCTTCAGCAGTCACGACTGAGTGCGAGCCGACCAGAGGTCCCAAGACCTTGGAGTTGACGGGATGCTTGGGAAGGCTCTTCGCTTGGGTGATTTGATAGGCCACATCGGGATCATGGACAAGCATCAGAGGGTTGCTGATCGGCCACAAGTCCAGGTAGAACACTGGCGGCATGTTGTACTTTTCACCGATGTAATACATCAAAGCATGGTAGTGGACTTGAGCGCGGTCAGTGTCCTTGTTCACCGATCACAGGCCCTCGGAAGCCATATCACTTAGGCCAGGAACTTGAAAAGGTCCATTTCAAGGGCCTCAACTCCATTGGGACTTACATCCTGGCGGCATTTCCCTTCTCGCCATGCCTATGATTTTCAAATGACCCCACCAAAAGTCGTGAGGTGGACATGGAAGATGTCGATACTTAGCACGCTGACGGCGCCATTTCAGGGAGAAAGACAGGAGCCATGCCACGAAAGAGAGAACAGAAGCCGCTACCAGTGCAGCCGTGTACTGAGAGCTCAACATGGCGTGAAAAAGGCTCGACAACAATCCGCACGGAAGGAGAAGAGAAAGACAGGCCTGAAGTTGAAGGAGGCCTTAAAACAAAAGGGTCTCTGGCAGTGTCTCCCCAGCCATGGCACGCCATTGACAGGAAAAGGTGACGAGTCGACAAGGTTATGCTTTCGGCCTGATAGGCGAATCTCGTCTGGATCCTCGAAGCTGACATGGCTGTCGAATCCTTGGGCCAGGGGTATGTTTATCAAGGCTCAGAGAGAGCGTGGCGTACAGTAAGCGCACACAAGTCTCCACACCTCCTCTTGTCCTTTCTGTAACACCATGGAGTGCGGAGATCTATGCGCCTTCAACTGCTTGGATGAGCGGCTCTAGGCTGGGCGGAGCGGTTGAAGCCCAAGCGACTCTTCGGTGCAGCTGCATCTTAGGTGAACTGGAGACCGAAGTGCTACAGCATGGTCGTGAGAGACAATGAATGGGTCAGGGCATAGCTTGAGAGGGATTCAGTCCATTTCTAGGAAAGTCAGCTCTGATCTAGGGCATCAGTGGCGGAAAAGGCAGTATCGATGCCAGTATGGAAGAAGTCTATAGGATCGAGCAATAAAGCAAGACAAATGGAAAGGAGTGAAGCAATGAAGCAGCAGTCAGACAAGCAAATCACGATTTGTAAGCCAAGCAGTGCAGGCCACAGGGTGCAACACTCTGTATCACTCTCATTTAATTGTCGACCTGCGTCTTTTTTCCATCTGTACAGGCATAAAGAACGGTGTGTTTTGGATTCTGGTGCAAACTTCACTTCATCTCGTCAGGCTATTTCCCTTCACCAGGGTATTGGAGAACCTGCCAGCCCTTCAATCCCCATCTTGCTCGCCGCATACTCAGCATCCAATATAGTAATACTAATGGCTCCTATCCGAGTAGGAATTGTGGGGTTATCAAGCAAACCTGGTGCATGGGCAACTCTGGCCCATCTGCCTCGACTGGCCAGCTCGCCAAACTACAAGATTGTGGCTCTGTGCAACTCGACCTTGGAATCCACGAAGGCTGCCATCAAGGCACACGGTCTCCCTGAGTCGACCAAAGCCTACGACTCCTATGACCAGCTCGCCGCGGACCCTGATGTGGACTTGTACGTAGTCTCAACGCGAGCCGATACCCACTACGATGTCGCCATGCCGGCCCTGAAAGCCGGACGCAATGTCTATGTGGAGTGGCCCCTTGCTGCAACGACAGAGCAGGCAGAGGAGATGGCTGCTCTTGCCCGAGAGAAGAATGTAAAGACCATTATCGGCCTACAAGGTCGCATCTCACCTAGTGTCAAAAAAGTGAAAGACCTCATCGACACGGGGGCACTTGGAGAAATCCACAGCGTCAATTACCAGGGGGCGATCCACGTCTGGCAGAACAACGCGGCGAGCGAGAGATATCATTATTTTATGGATCGCAAAGTCGGTGGGAACCTGTTGACCATATATGGCGGCCACATCCTCGACTCCATCCTGTATGCGGTGGGAGAACTGAAGCCTGGCGGCTACATTCCCATGGCGGCCAATCTGCGGCCTAAAATGCATGTCATGAGATCTGACGGATCCTTGTCGGAGGAACTCTACGACAAGAACACGCCTGACCAGATTCTTCTCCAAGGACGCCTGGACAGACACCCGTCTGCGGTGTTCAGTTTCCACCTGAGAGCCGGAGACAGATTCATCGGCAATCCAGGGTCGACGTGGAGGATATATGGCACCAAGGGTGAACTGGCCGTTGAATTTGCGAGTGCAGGGCCACAGATGGCCAAGGCAACCAGTATGCGCTTCTCCAATGCGGAGAAGGGCGTCGTCGAGGATATCACAGTGGACGAAGGTGGCCAGGAATGGACAGACTTGCCAACCCAAGGCCAGAACATCGGTCGATTGTATGAAGCGTATGCTGCAGGAGAACCCTACGGCGACTTTGATCTCGCTGTCAAGAGACACGCGCTCCTCGACGAATTCTGGGCATCGTTACAGCAGTGAAGGCAGAGCAGGGCATGCTCGGCATTGCCCAATCTGGGCCGTACCAGCCGGCTGGTGCCTTTCTTCCAACTCCTCCTGCAGGCTCTGTCATGATGATACACCGGTTGGACGAACACGATCGGGTAATAGGATGTAGTAGGTTGTAGTGGTTTGGCGCAGTTCACCATTGTGGCGATGGTCCAGCTACCCGAGCAGTTGCCGCAAATGTTGAAGCTGTGCAGCCGTTCTTCCGGGCCAGTCGCCGACGTCATCGATCTCTTCGTTTGGCTGCAAGTGACGGAGGCATGCGAGGGTAGAGCTTGGGAGCTTGCACAGCATCTTTGGCTACTTTTTGTGCTGGGAGCTTGCTGGCCTTGGATTGGGGGGTCATCATATAGACCACACTGAACGCATCTGGTACTCGGACATGATAAGAAGGCAGACCCAAGAGAGAGATTCAAACACAACAACAGACAAGCAAAAAGTAAAATTGGCTCAGCCACGGGCTCTGGATGAGAGCGCAGTTGTGTCCCGGTTCATTGCCTGCGCAGGCTGCGCTGAGGCAGTTGGATCCCCGAGAATTGCCGATGACAAAGGCCCCAACGTGATTCGCAGGTGGCCGCCCGGAAGAAAACCAGCGAAAAGCCACAAAAGGCGCTGCCGAGTGGGCGAAATGGCCGGCGAGTGGATTGTGAGTGGATTCGATCCTGGTGGTGCTGGGCTGTCGTTCATCGGCGTCACCTTTTTCTTTTCTTGCTTCCCCTTCGACTTTTTTGCTCCGATCAACATCTTCACTATTTGCTCCTACAACAACCACCCAAGCTATCTCATCTACTAGAACTGCCTCAGACATCCTCACATCGGTCCTCTCTTTGCTTCAGTCTACTTCAGTGCACTCAACATGGCCAAGGGCGACGATGGTTTCAAAGAGGGTGAGTGCATACTCTTCTCCCACGATCCTCACAGCTTCGCAGCAGCTTCACGCAGTGCTTTCACCTGCCAACTGGTCACGGTTTGCCCTCTTGTATCACAACCCAGTCTCACTGCGAGTCGCATGACCGCCCGGCGCCGCTGTCCAGGCTCGTCCTCGAGCTGGGACGCTTCTGTGCCAACCATCATACCATGATCGTACGATCACAGCGCGACAAAACTACGACGTCCTTCTTCCTGCGGATATTCGACTTGAGGTTGTTGATACAATGGCTTGGTCATATTTGGCATTTCTCCCGCACGAGCTCGACGAGCTCGAAGCGAACCGGACCCGGCGAGAACCGAAAGCTGCTGTGAACAAGGCCGCAAAGAAAGCCGAGCAAGAAGAGGCGAAGAATACAAGCTCACAATCACTCCTTCCAGGTGACGTAAAGAAGGGTGCCAACCTCTTCAAGACAAGATGCGCGCAATGCCACTCCGTTGTAGAGTCGGAGGGCAACAAGATCGGCCCCAACTTGCATGGGCTGTTTGGCCGCAAGACTGGCTCCGTTGAGGGCTTCTCATACACCGATGCGAACAAGCAAAAGGGCATTACGTGGAAGGAAGACACTCTGGTAAGTTTGTTACTTTCACTCCCCCAGACACTATGGTTGCTGACTTTCTCCAGTTCGAGTACCTCGAGAACCCCAAGAAATATATCCCCGGCACAAAGATGGCCTTCGGTGGTCTCAAGAAGGGCAAGGACAGGAACGATTTGATCACGTTAGTTTCTCTTGAGCCTCAATGGCCTTGTACCTCTGGGCTTGTGCTAACTCTCTACCAGCTGGCTGCGCGAGGAGACCAAGTAAATGCGATCTCTACCTTAGTTGCCACAACTGCTTAACGGTGCGCTCATTTCGACGCTCTTCGGGATCATCGGCTGCTTGTATCATCAAAGAAACGGCGAAGGCGCACATTTACCTAATCTGAATATTGGACTTGCATACCAATAAGCCGGGTGGGATGGGACGGTAGAAGCCGGAGAAGCCGGTAGACGAAGCTCTTTGTACATAAAAAAACAGAATCCTCCTATTGCTTGGTTCCTCCCAAGGCGTACCTGCATTTCCTCTGGTGAAACAGGCACAGCTTAGCTGCAGAGGACGGACAATCAAGCAACTCTTCTCTCCTCATTCATTACTCGTGGACCTTGAGATGATGGAGATGCGCAACCCTCTCGCCGCTTGGGGAGCTCTCGATTCCACCCCTCTCAAGCTGATAAGCCAGTTAGCCTCCTTCTGAGCTGGCTCGCACCCCCAATAATGGAGCTGGACTGCGGCATTGACCAGAGCTAAATATGCAGCGGGGGCAGGTCGCCCTTGCATCAAGGAATCCTGGTCTTGACCGTGTTCTGGGCTGTGATTGGCAGGGCGGTTCGCCTCTAGACCGCGACACCATCACTGCCAGCTGTCCCAGCCTCCATCATTTCTCTCTCCTTCGGATGTCTTTTGTTGCAAAGTTGCCTGACGCAGCCCTTTGAGGGTGCTTGTAGGCGTACCAGTCGAATGGCATGCCCCCCGTCCCTAGATTTCGGCGATCGCGTTGTGAGAAAGAGGCTGGGCTTTCCCGCATTCTCCAGACATGGACTTTCCCTTTTTGCCTTCTCAAACATAGTGACCTCTCGTCTCTTTGCACTGGTTTCTTTGCATTGAAACAATAGAGACGGCTTCCTCAAGGGTGACTGCACTTATTCGATCGTTGCCTAGTGACAGGTCTTTGTACAAAGTTCAGCCCTGCTCTGGGAGGCGACCTCACTGCCGGCCTCCTGCCCCGCCCCGCCTGCGCCCTCTGCGCAACCTCATGTTCTATTCCCATTTCCTCTCTTTTCCGTTATGGCTGCCATGATGCCCTCACCGCCGATGGAGGACCTCTACGGGGAAAGATTGCATGGAGATGCGCATTCGTTGTTGGAGGCATCAATCGAAGATTTTGAGGAACAAGAGCGGCGCTCACCCCTTCTATCCGGCTTCAGGTCAGAAGAAGGAGACAGTGAAATTGACGATCAGTCCAGCGCAGGTTTACCCTGGTCACCTCCAGGCTTTAAGAGTCGAAATTCGAATGCAAGTGGCTGGTTCAGGCAGGATCCATATGGAAAATACGATTTGCGCCCTTCGATAAGTCCCTCACGGTCACGGCAAACCAGTCCAGAGATTTATCAAGATGCGACCGAAGGAGATCCAGATATCACAATAGCCGTGAATACACCCCTGCCGGCAGGTACAGACTCACCAGTAAGGGGGCGGTCTCCGGAAGCAGAGCCGCAATATGAAGCAAAGATGGGAAAGTTTGACCAAGCGGATGCCTTGCCTCCTGAGAGTCCAAACAATTGTAAATGGCAACACTAATGGAGTCTGTTCAATTCACTAACCGTGCCCTAGACATTCGCTTACAACTCCGAGCAGAAGTGCAACATCGAGAACCGTTCGTTCCATTTCTCAACTTCGTACAAGGAAAGTTTGACGCCATGACCAAGACGAGGTCAAGCACTTTCATATCGATTATAACCACCATCTTGGTTGCTTCGCTTCTACGTATCATCCTTGTTCCTCCGATTCCGCCTCCTGTCCCCGACTTGGTAAAGGTCTCAACTCTAGCGAAGTCATTCGAGCCCTTAATTTTCTATTCAGAGAATGGCTATACACAGATTACGGCACTACAGGAAACGAGTGTGGCGGTGTGGGATTTGGGCGAATCGGTCAGAAGCGCCAACATGACTTCAGCACCGTTGATTGTGCGTTCCCTAGACGAGCTATCCGAGAGCTTGAAAACTCTCGGTCTAGAGTTGACTCGGTTCTTCGCTGATGTGGATTCGGACGTCGACAGCATCTTGCTGGTGATGGACTGGGCGAAACGCGAACTGGAAGGCGTCACATCAGCTCAGGGAATGTCGTTCTCTGGAGTGATATTTGATCATCTGCATGGTATATTCAACCGAGGAGGGTTGCTTGAGACATCCAGAGGCCCCACAGCTTTGGGCAAGTTCTTGACCGACATATTTGGTGCAAGCTCGCCGCAGAGGGCGAGGGCGACCCTGACGAGGACATTCCACGAGTTTGTGAATGTGCTTGAGGAGTCGATCAACAGCGAATTGACGCACTCCGCAGCGCTTTTTGCGTTGTTTGAATCGATCGATCGACAATTCCTGAACCTGCAACGAACGGTGGTCCGAGAAACCGATACGCAGGAAAGGCTTGAGAATGATCTTCTTTCATCCTTGTGGACCAGGGTGATAGGTCCAAACGCAGCAATGTTGAGAAAGTTTGAGAAGAACAAACAGCTGTTGTCGAGCGTCCGAGCGAGGACGGTCAACAATAAGCATCTACTCATGGAGCATCATGGAAGACTGCAGACTCTCAAAGTGAATCTGGAAACTTTGCGGAGGAAATTGGTCAGCCCCTTGGTGAGGAGGAATGATTCTGTTACCGTTGATAATGCCAGCGTCATCGACCAGCAGGTCAGAGGGCTCGAGGGGACATACGATTATCTAAAGGGGGTCAGAGAAAAGCAAAAGAGCAAACTGATGGAAATGGTCTATGGGGCGAAAGCAAGCCGGACGAGGCTGGTGGGTGTCAGTGGTGATATGGAAGGCATAGGGCTCGACGGTTGACTTCTTGGATACGTGAATGAATGAATAAATATTAGCAGAGGGCTTGGGTTAGACGAGGCATCCATGGTTATGAGGTTCTAAACTTATGTGATAGGAAATGCATTTCGCCTTGTAAAACATAACATCGATCTACGCGCGCATCGTCTGCGTCCCATCTCTTGAGCAAATAGATCTCAGCAGCTGAACAAGACTAGCTCTAAAGCGTAGATTGATTGGGCCGCCTGGTTTTTAGAAAGAGCCATGTTGGAAAAGTCAGGATCTACCTTGTATGTACCGAGTAATAAGGGCGGCACCACTGAGCACCCCTACCAAATCTGGACATCGGACTTAACATGGAGTGCAGCCATGGTAACTCCGGGAAACTCACATGGACTTTTTTCTTTGGAATGTCCGGCCCTCAATACAATCCTCCACAACTCACCAAGTCTGCCAAATTAGTGCTGTATTCAGGCCCGGTGCCTCCTGTCGCTCTTTAACTCTATTGGCCCCAAACCCCTAGGATCTTGTGGGCTTCTGTGGTGGAATCGATCTCCAAGTCTTTCGACACCCGCCCGCTTCAGATTGTTCCCGCGCTACCTTTGTGCGATGCCTTCACTCACGAACTCCCTCCCTTTCTCCCCAGCCGAGCTTGCGTATCTGCATACCTCCCTCTCCTCCATACCGCCTCTGCGCCCAGATGCGCGGTCTCTGCCGACCGACTTCCGACCACTGAGAGCAGAGACAGGTGTACTTCCGGCTGTGAACGGTAGCGCACATATTGGGTTCAGCGATGGCCGTGAAGCCATCGTGGGCGTCAAGCTCGAGGTAGAAAAGACTGCCGGAGGAAACAGCGTGTCGAATCCGGAAGATGGCGCGATGGACATTGACGCAGACGACAAGGGTCAGAACAAGGGTCAAAAACGTGGAAAGGGAAAATCCGAGTGGGTAACTATTACGCTCACGCTCCCGGGTCTTCGAGACGACGATGCAAACTTGGTGTTTCTGGAGGAAATGCTTCGTGAGCCGTTGGCAGTGCCGTCTTCTTCGAACGCCACATCGCTGCAGGACAGCTTGATCATCAATTCCCGGTGGCACTGGCACGTCTACATCGATGTCCTTCTCATTTCACCAAATGGACTTGCAAGTTACCCCCTCCCGCTCTTGAGCATGGCCACACATCTGGCATTACGCGACACCCGCATTCCAAAGCTCAAAAGCGAGGGCGAAGAAGATCCCATTGCGGATGATGATTGGATGGCAAGCACGTACCTTTATCCACGAACCACACCACTCAGTGCAAGACCTCCTGTTACGCTTCTTGTCGTCGTGATCGGCGACAATATCATTTTCGATCCCAGTCGAGAGGAACTCGCCGTTGCGGACGGTATCATCGCCGTCAGTGTTGGGGACACAGCGAAGGAGGCAGAGTTTCAACTGCTTGCGACACGGATGATCGACACTCCTGCGAGAGACACCATGAAGGGTGTGCCGCTGTCCGGCGAGGCAGAGGAAGGGGTTGATGTGCCTGGTGTTTGGCGGCCGAGGATTGGTGGTGTCAAGAGAACTCTGCTGAAGAAGGTGGTCAATACTGTGCTTACTGGGGGTGTGGCTCAGGATGTTATGAGCGGCCTGGATGGATTTCTGAGCGCCGAGATGAATGCTGAGACTGGTACGAGCATGGGATGAGGTGAACGACTTGTGAACCGACGACCCTTGAACCGACGACCCTAAGTCAGATTTTGCCAGAACGAAGGGGATCTGAAACCCATGAGCAACCCACAAGCCTTGTCAATGGCCTCCTCGATGTCACTAAGATGCGATAAATCCGGTGCATCTCGGAGAACAGTCAAACAGCAAGAGAACGGACTCTGCCAACTCACATTGGCTGCCGGCGGACCGTGCGAGACTGTACAACCGTCATCTGGAAGACATTCGGATCTCTTCTTTGTCCAACCCTAGGCAGTTCAGGAGGTGGCCCACAGAAGCACTTCAAGACAACCTGGGCATTTCCGTCGGCCAGCATATGCCCACAGTGATATTCGAAGCTGGTTTCAGCCCTAGTCGAGAATCTGACCATTGGCGGAAAGCCGACACGGGATTCAATGAAAAAGCCGGGTTTGTGGCGGACGAGCCCATTTGAATGTTTTCTTCATCGTCACGAGCTATCTTACAAGAACTTGTTGGGTCTATGGTGGATTCTTGCCATGGGCAAAAGATACAAGACCACTCTGGCGCCGCTACCATCTCGAGTCAGGGAGTCAATTTGCAGCACGAATGCTGAATGCATTATGCAGTATGTGATATGTGGATATGGGATAGCAGAAGGCTGCTCCTGCTCTCGACCAATACTTTTTTCAGGTTTCCCCTTCGACAAACAAAATGCTGACTCCAGATTTTATATCATCCCTTCCAAATCACTTCCGTACGCACTGATGCCACTACGCCGGTTGGTGCTGTAGGTTATGGTTTTCTTTCACCGACCAGATTTTGACACCCACATCCCCTCTTTATGCCCTCTCGCTTTGCAACACGCCATACTGGCCCTGCTCACCGGTCTGGCTGTCATGGCCCTTCTGTCTGGCACGGCCTCCTTCGACACCAGCCTGGCCCAACTCGCCGATGGGGTCCTCGTTGCGGCCCAGGAACTCACGCTCGGCCAATCGGCCGGGGTCATTGACGGTGCCGATGGCGCCGGTGAAGGTCTTGGTCTGGGGGATGCTTTGCGAGACGTCTGCGTCGTCGAGGTTCGCGCCCTTGGGTTTGAATGTGTTCTCGGGCATGGCGGCGCCCGTGACGGTAGATGTGTATCCCGGGGCGGCGTCGACGTGGGGACGGACGCCCGTGCCGGCGGCTGGACCTCCGGCACCGCTGCTGCTGCTGCTGCCTTTGGAGGTGTTGATATCCGAGCCGGAGCGGATCTGGGACTGGTCGATCCCGCCGGCAGAGGACGATGTGGTCGAAGCACCAAAGTCGCTCTCTCCCGCCGGTCGACCAGTTGAACCGCCGTACCCGCCACCTCGTTGCTGGAAAGCATTCGATTGCCCACCCGCATAGGCACCTTGGTCGCTGTGCGCACCGTCGAATTGTGCCTTGCCCGCCGCGTCCGGGTATTTCAGGCCCGCAACCCCCCTCTCGTCGGCCCCCGCGCCCAGAGCCTCTCTCCTTCCACGCTCGCTGCCTGACACGGCCGGAGGCAGCGTCGACGCCCCCGACGTGTCTGTGTTGTTGAGCGTGGACTGGTCGCCCCGGACGCCCAGCGGGTGGGCCGAAGTGTTCTCGGCAAAACCCCCGTGGCTCTTGAGCGATTCCGCCGCGAGAGAGTCCGAGGCGATGGGCCCGGTCGGCTCTTGGGGGATGTTGTTGGGATCGGGCTTGGGGGCACGCGGGTCTGCTGTGAAAGACATGGTGGAATTTGGCCGAACTGTTTGTTGGTGGGAGAAGGAGGAGGTACAAGTAGATAGCAGCAGACGTAGCGCGCTTCAACGGATCTGTTTTTCGACCTTGGTTGCTTTGGGTTTTTGAATTCTCTTCAGGTGACAAGAACACGAGGTTTCAGGACAAGTTTATATGATTTAGAGGAGAAAATGAAGAAGAAAAGAGCTCACGAGACAATCGATGTCAGGTTGAAGAAATTCCGTGCCTTTCGCAATCATCATCATCATCGCAGAAGCCCCTGTCACAGAAAATTGGTGGTGACATCATTTCATGGTCCACTGTGAAGTCATTGTTGAATATTCGCCGTGCGGCGCTGCCACTGGCCGGGCATCTTGTCCCGAGACCATTCAACACATGAACCGGTGATCGAACGAGATTCTTCTTGTCATTAAAAGAGTCGTAGGCCTCGTATCAAATCTCATTTCTCTATGTTGCCATGTTGCCCATAAGTGTGCGGTTCCTCCCTACCCTTTCTCTTTGAGTGGCAGACTTACAAGAAAGCCGCCTGCAAATCACACACATGTGGAAAAAAAAAGACACCCCGCAAAGTCAACCTGGTATCATGCCTGTAAACCCGAACAGCCTCTCGCAAAAAGCCTCGTTGTGAGCGTTGTTTCCTACTTCAATGCCTTTCGGGCGAACGTGGGGAGGACGAAGCTCGCCCGGTGGATCTCCTTGTTGTAGTATTTGCACAGTTTCTCTTCTTCCTCGGGGCTCCAGGATCGCAGTGGCTCCTTGACGTTTCGGTTGGGGTCCTTGCAGCAGACCATGAAACCAATCTGACCCGAAGGGTAGGTAGGGATCGTAGTGTAAGCGTATTCAACCACGGGGAATACTTCTTTACATTCCTTCTTCAGCTTGGTGATCAGAGGCAAATGAAGCCATTGGTTTTCGGCTAGAGAGCAACGGTGTGTTAGCGTGTTTTCTTTTCCAAGATATTTGTGGGAACAGAGCATTTGAGGCTCAAGGAAAATGTGTAGGGAGATGGGTGCGCACAACCTTGGGTAGTTATGACACCACCGTCTTTCAATGCCCCGTAGAGCAATTCAAAGTAAGGCTTTTGGAAGAGAGTCTCTGCAGGGCCCTCGGGATCACTACTGTCGGTGATTATGACGTCGAATTCGTTCTTGCGGTCTGCGAGAAATTTGAAGCCGTCTCCGATAAAGGTTTCGACTGCAGGGTGTTGAAACCCAATGGACATTCCAGGGAGATATTTCTTGCTGACGCGGATGACAGCTTCGTCGATATCGCACAGAATAGCCTTCTCCACTGATTCGTGCTTGACCACCTCGCGCAGGACACCTCCATCGCCGCCCCCAATGACGAGGACCTTCTTTGGATCCGGGTGAGAGTTCATGGCCAAATGTGTGATCATCTCTTGATAAGAAAACTCATCCCGCTCGGTGCACTGGATGACATTGTCAAGGACCAGGACTGTGCCATGGTCACTGCTCTCGAAGACTAGGACGTCTTGGTATTTAGATTTCTCATGGTGAAGCACCTGGTTGACCTTGAGGATCATGGCTTGGCCAGGCCACATGTCCGAGATCTCGCGGAACCAGCCATCTGCGACGAGGAGGCGAGTCAGGACGTGTACAGGCTTTGACACAGAGCAACGAATAGCGGCGACATACCTTTGATAGTGGGATGGGCGATTTCGGACATCATTGCAACCGGGTTGAATGTGGAAAGAAAGTGCAGAGGTTGAAACGAGCGAGTGAACGCGGGGTAACAGCGGCAGCGAGCCGTCAATGGACGTTGGAGAAGCAAGAAGAGTACAAGGAATTGTACAAGTGAAGAAGAGATAGAAAAAGAATTGAATGAGGAGGAAGAGGAGCAGACAACAGCCTAGATGGGGGTGGGCAGCAGGCAAGTTTGAGTAACGCTCCACTAGTTGGTTAACTGCTCAAGTCTTCGTCGTGTGACTGCTTCGACACTGTGAACCGCGTTGTTACCTCTCACTAAAACTTTTTTCTTTATTTTTTTTTATTTTCGGAGCGGGGCGAAGGGGGAGACCATTTGGCTGTCCCTCATCCATTCGTTGCTGTCGATTCGTCCCTGAGCCACCGACCAGGGTCACATCTCGCTGCTTCACTTTCTTCGCACCTCTCACAACTCACCATCCACCTCCACGCCCCCAGCCACTTCCTGGTTCGAGACACTGACCTACCTCACTACCTACAAGGAGAATGGTGTTTGTACGCCACAGCAATATAACTGAATCGGGAGCAATACCGCTTCCAAAAAAGGTGGGGGGCGGCAACCACTAGCCACAAGATGTCACCCCAAATCCCGGACCTTTCCGCTGATGATGGGTATGGAGACAGTGGATGAAAGGTGTGCAATTGCTTTATGGAGAAGATCCCTCCTACGGTGTATTAACAGACGGTAACAGCGAGCGGTCTTGTCTTCGCTTTGCTGATCGCCGATGTGGTCCTAATGACACAGAATGTTCAGATAAATGGCATCCCCGGGAAGTGAACTTCTATGATTGCTCCACCTCAACCTCCTTTGTCTCCTTGGCCTGTCGCCCACCAATCTCCTTCTCGAGGTGAATCTCAACGTGGTTCGTGAAGTACTTGGAAGGATCATGAACAGCCACTGCGCAAAGCATGGCAATAACACCGAAAGGTATTGATGACAACCAAGTGATACGGAACCCGTAAGCATATCCTAGCCGGGCTGCCTCGATGCACTTGGAGAAGACCGCTGCCGACACGCTGGGCACGGTTGCAGCCTGGTCGGGAACGCCAACCAGCGTCAACGAAACTGCTTCAATCAAGTCTGGGAGAGTCTTGGTCGACACATTGGCCGCCAGAGCAACCTCCGAGATACGGTGGGGGACTTGCTTGGCCGAGATCTGATTGAAAATGGACGAGAAGATGACGGAACCAACTGCTCCTCCGAGTGACCGAAAGGTACCAATCAGTCCGATGGCGACTCCCAGGTCTCGCTGGGGAACGTGGAGCGAGGCTGTTGTGTAGCAGTTGAGGGTGATCCACCCGAATGGAAGCATGGCAAGGAACTGCACGGCCATGACCCAGTTGATGTTGTGGGGAGTGATGAGTGCTGCCAGTCCAAAAAAGAGGGTTTGCATGAAGACGGAAAAGGTGAGCTGGATGTGGACGTGCTTGATATAGTGAACGAGGCCAGGAATGATAACACCTCCGACAAGCTGACCGGCGCTAATGGATTGTTAAAATCGACACTCACATCTTGACAGAGGGCAGACTTACCCAGAAGGGATGGAGTATACACCAATCTTGATCGGGTCGGCGGTGTACAGGTAGAGGATTGTTTGCGCGTTGAGCGCAGAGGCCGCAAAGAACACCATGCCCGCCACGAAGACAAGCATGAGCAGTGACGAGAATGACCGGAAACTCTTGAATAAATACCACGGGAACAAAGGATCTTTGGCCAGGGTGAAGTCGTACACGAAAGATCCCAGGAAGACAAACAGACCGAGGATCAATGGAGCCAAGGTTCCCGCAGCTGACCAGGGATAGGTGCTTCCACCGGAGTTCAAGCCATACAGGAAGACAGCAAGGCCAGAGACAAAGAGGGCGGTGCCGATGAAGTCGAGTTGCTTGAATTCCTGCCATTTGGTCAAGCCATCAGGGCGCGGATGGCTGGGCGGGAAGTACACGAGGAATGTGCCGACAAGCGAGAAACCACCGTATCCCATCGCGATATAATACATGACCCGCCAACTGGCGTGGGAGAGAAGGGCGTTGGCCAGAAGTGTCCCAGCAACCGCCCAACTTGCAAGGTTGAGTTCTGTCCAGGCGAGGCCAACACCACGGTATTTGTTGGGCAAAATTTCAGAGATGCCTATTCGAACAGATGAGAGACTGGACTTCGTAGCGGACTGGGGACCGAGGGAAGCTCACCAGCATAGGCGACCGAGACTGTTCCGATGGAACCACCGAGGATCACTTCGCCGGCGATGAGTTGATTCATTGTCTGTGCGCTGCATGCGACTGCGCCACCAATCTATATCAAACTCAACAATCAGCGCTGTCTTCGATAGAAAGACTGCAACCCAAAGTGGCTGAGCCCACGAGCAGCAACATGTAGGGCAAGATCTCTCGACATCGTTCGACATCGGGCTTTTGTAGCGAGGTATGGACTTACGACTGTGAGAAGCTGACCGACAAGGATGACATATCGACGACCGAAGATATCTGACAGTCTTCCTGCAATGGAAAAACCGACAGCCGCGGCGGCACCCCAGCCAGAAGGGATCCAAAAGTCGATGGTTTCACCACCCAGCTTCTGACTCAATTGTACCAATATGGGGGTGGCGAGGATGAAGCCGAAGATGATGGGTCCCGTGAAAGAGGTGCCCAAGAAAAGAGCTGAAAGAATGACAGAGAGACTGAGCCTCTCAGCGTGCTCGGGATTGTCCTCAAGCGCAGCTTTATGAGGATCTTCATATCCCTTTGTTGGGAGATCGTGGCCTTCACTGTGGGCAACCTCGATCTCAGCCTCCATGGTTGCCTTGTGCTCGGCGGTTTCCTGCATTGTGGGCACGTTACTGATGGGCACAACCTGGAGCAGTGGTAGGGGAAAGTGGATGAAAAACGAATCTGGGGACGGTGGGTGAGACGAGCCATGACTTTTTGTATCTGGTCCCAGCAGCTGCTAAAGTTCCCCAAAGTGGCTCTGATCAACCCCATGGCCCCTGTTCTCCCATCTTCACCATGTGGAGGACGCCTTCAAACGCTGCTCTACGCCCGTTCGGGCTTCGAGGCTGGGATCTAGATGGTCCATGAATCCGGTTGCTCTGACTCCTGTGGAGCTGGGAGGAAAGTACCAATGACTCTCCCCCTTTTCAATCTGAAGCAGGCGGGCCAAAGGCTTAGGCGTTGCTTGAGCTAACCCACTGTCTTGGAGCCCGGACTGCCAGGCTATTCCCCATGGTTTTGTGACCATGCCGGAAGTCTAAGACCCCACAAACGACGGTCAAACTCCGCGCATGGCTCCCTCGACATCGACAAGGGACCTCGCTACAAGTCGTGGGGCTGGGACATTGTTTGCGGGGAAATCCCACTTCCATCCTCCATCCATCTGACATGTCGTGGCACTGCCGAAACCTGCCGATGACGGGTTCCGCAGTGTATAATTGGGAGAAGATGACTTATGTCAGTTATGGACAACACCCTCCGACGAGCAGCTTTCCAAAGGTTCCGTTAAATAGGTAACGCCCTGTGCGGTTGCTGAATCACGAGTCCTCCCAGCAGAACCGTGGAAATGGCTGACACATCTCCTGTTGTACGTCCTATCCTCATATGGGGTCCCATCCTTCTTCTTGTGGCGTACTATCCCGCCCTTTTGATATATCGGCTGTTCTTCTCGCCTATGAGCAAGATCCCGGGCCCATGGATAACAAGAATATCCGACATCCCCGAGGCAACCGCTTTGAAGGACAAAAGACGTGCCGAATGGGCAAGTGAACTCTTTGCCCAGTATCCAGATTCCGTTGCAGTCAGGACACGTCCAAATGCAGTTTCATTCAACCACCCAGATGCGGTTAAGGCCATCTATGGTGTGTGAATTTATTGCTGCCAATCATCTGAGCATCGAGCTGACGAAGATCCTAGGCCATGGAAAGGGAGCAGAGGAGTTTGGCAAGTCAAGTTGGTACGACGCCTTCTCGACAACGGGAGAATCCCTGTTCTCAACGCGGTCCAAAAAGAACCACGCACGGAAGCGGCGTATGGTATCCCACGGCTTCAGCATGCAGTCTCTGTATCTTTTCGAGCCCTATGTCGATGCCGTGATGCAAATCTTCCTGCAGAAAATGGACGAGTTTGCCAGAACTCAGCAACCCTTTGACATTTACTTCTGGTTCGAGCTGTTTACTATGGACCTGATGGGCGAACTTTCCTTTGGCCATAACTTCGGCGCCATCCAGGGTGGGCAGCCCGTCAAATATTCCAAGCTGGTGGAACTTTCGCAGCGCTTTGCCAATCTGAGCGGCATGCTACCTTTCGGCAAGTACAATGTGAAAATTTTGAGCATGGTGCCGTCGCCTTACATTCAGGGCCTGTACAAAGCGCGACTTGAATACTTGGAGTACGCCAGACAGGCACTGGAGAAACGATTTCAGGATAACCGTAACCAGGTGCCACTTGGTGGCAAACCGAGGCAAGACATCATGCAGCGCTTCATCGAGGCACAGGACCCGGAAACAGGGGGGCGGATGGACTTTCCAGAGCTCAGGGCCGAGGCGTCCTCGCTGATGGTGGCTGGAGCAAGCACCGGCAGCGTCACCATGAATTGGATGACTTACTATCTCAGCAAGAATCCCTCTGTGAAGGACCGCATCATTCAACAACTCGAGGAGATGTTCCCTGACAACCTAGACGCCTCGACGCCTCTCCCGTTCTCGATGTTGAACAAGTTGAGCCTCCTCGAGGCCACCGAGATCGAATGCCTGCGGATGCACCCACCCATCGGCTACGCGATGCCACGAATGAGTCCGCCCCAGGGCGCCGTCATCTGTGGCGTTTACGTCCCGGGCAACGTCGACGTCGGCGTGCCCGCCGCCACCATCGGACGCAACCCGATCGTCTACCGCGATCCGAATACTTGGAACCCGGACCGCTGGCTGGACGAGAAGGCTGACCTGGCGACGATGAAGACCTGTTTCCTGGGCTTCGGCTTCGGGAGCAGACAATGCATCGGGAGAAACGTGGCCAATCAGTTCATCATCAAGATGATCGCGACCTTGCTGTTGAGATATGACATTGAGCTTGAAGATCCGAACTTGGTTCTGGGCACGAAAGAGTTCACGATCCTCAAGCCGGATCGGAATTACAATGTCATCCTGCGGCCGAGGAAGCCCTGAGCTCGTTGTAGTTGCAGAGTCATATATATGAGTCTTGGACTTGGGGTTATGATCACCAGTGACATGATAGCGGTCATCACTGACAGGGAACAACGCCGCAAGGGGGAACAGCACGCTTGCTCCTTCCTCCCCGGCTTACAACCCGGATATTCAACGACATTATAGTGAGCCATTAGGCCGATGTAGCACAAAGCGCAGAGTACGCATGAATACATTTATAAATATTACAGACATTTCCCACGGAGGACCGAGAAACGAGTTGCTTTTGATGTTTGTTTCCTCCCTCCACTACTCCACCAGGTGGAGCGCCTCCGATTACCGATTGCCGACGTGTACCTCGTCCAAGCAGGTCTAGAGGGGTGGTGGGTGGCCAGAAGAGAAATTGGTGGAGGGTGGCCCCCAGTCTAACTAAATAGCTGGCCTTGAAAGGGGTTACTTAGGCATGGTCACTTACAAGCCACCACTTAAGTTGGTCTCCTAGCACTAGGATAGGACCGGCGCACCTGCGACCGAGGACCATGCTACGAGTAGCGCCGAGGTACTCGTAAGTATCTATCCAACACCACCTATAGTAGTAGATACCTACATAGGTACGCGACGCGTGGTAGCAACTAGCGAGCCGAGGAGTTGGTGATAATGACTGGGAGTGGGCGGTTTGTCCAGGGCGCCAGACGGGCCGGTGGAGCGGGCCGGGCAAAACAAACCAGGTGCCAGCCAGCCCTAAACTCAATGGACCCCGGAGATATAATATAGACACAATCACTCTGTACTCGGTATGGAGTGCACGGTAGACGGTAGACGGCACGGAAGATTCCATGCCATGTGGCATGTCCAACGCTCGGTTACTATACTCCGTACCTCGTGGTCCTTACCCAGTTTAACTACCTACCTACCTACATGGACCCCGGACCGAGTAGACACGCACTATAACACCATCGGACGGGGGTGTCGGCACACAACACATCTAGAGGACCTCGTAACCCCCGTACTTACTTCGTAGCACGTCCGTCGTCCTCGGTATGATGAAGAGGAAGGAAAGATGCGTCCAAAGTGATTAGTATCCTCGTGCAATTTTAATCCGAGGGGATCTATCTAGAGAGTATGTCCGTCCAGCCCACCCAGTCCAACAAGTGTCCAACCGAGGTCCCGTCATCCCAAAGGACATCAAGCAGCAGCCATTCATTGCTCCCACAATCGTAAGGGCGGCTTGTTGCTGATGGCCCAAATAGCCCGGATGCCCCTATGCCCTTATTGCTTGATTCCCGTATCTATCCAAAGCAAACTCCATCCCAATCCATGTCATTCAGTCAGTCAGTTGGTCGCTTTTACATCCCGTCGCAGTTGATCTTGTTGATCTTGTTGATCATTCCGATTCGTTCCTGAAAGTGCCACTCACAACCCCTTGAACCGCTCCCATCCCGCTGCCCCGTTCCTCGTCGGACTCGCTCGGCCCTCTTCAGCTACTTTGCCGCTGACGTCTCTTCGCCTGCCCATGCCCTTACCAAACTCTGCTCCGAGACCTGCATACCCACTGTTCATGTCGTACCCAGTCGAGTTCGAGGTTTGTCTGGCTCCGTTCCATTGTGAGGGAGAAGCAGTCTGCACCTTAGTGATGTTGGCGCTCAATCTTCCGATGTCTTCATCGTCAGACGTGGAGTAGACCTCGAAGTTGGCAGAATAGTCGCTTTCTGTCTGCATCGTCCGAGTTCGTTCGTACATGTCCTGAACCTCCGTGATGCTGGCTCGAATGTCTACCTTTTCGTCACCATCATCGCGAGATGGGGATACAGTGCCAACAGACTGTCGCAGATTGCCGTAGAAGCGTGACTTGCCACCGCTACCGACGAAGCTGGACGGTCTGCTGTTGGTGGGGGTGCCTCTGAGAGGTGACTGGGCGTTGCCGTCTGCGTTTTGGAGGGCGGCTCGGGTACCGTCAATCTGAATGCGGGAATCCCTGACCGGTGTGACAAATGCATTTTCATCATTGAAAGATGAGCGCTTAGGTGTAGGAGGATTCATGCCTAGAGGCTCACGGCTTCTTTTCTTCGCCGGAGAGTCGGGAGATGGCAAAGGAAGCGATTGATGCAAATTGGACTTGCTCGCGTTGTGCGAGGGGATGTGAGTCTGGCTATTGTTTGCAGATATTGGCAAATGAACCTGGCTGTTGCGTGCTGGAGAGCCGTGGTACCAGTTCTCCCGTTCACGGTGAATCTTGTTGGAAGTAATGTCCACAGCGGAAATGGCAGACACAGGGGATATAGGTCGGACTTCCTGGTCCAGTTCTGCAGAAGCCTCCTCGCTCATCGGGCTGGGTACGCCTTCGTAGTCGAGATACGACAGCCACGAAGATGGACGAGATGGTTTCTCCTTCAATATGGATGAGCGTTCAGGGCGGAAATCAAGTCCACTGCCAGCCGATCGAGAATTTGGAGAGGGATTGACTGCTGATCCGGGTCGTTCGGGAGATGAATTTCGTGACCATCGCCAAGGGTCCTTTTCGTTTTCGTCCAATTCTTTGCGGAACTCTACCCTGGAGTTGCGAGCGCTGTCCCCCCCATAAAGGGTGACGCTGTCAGCGGAATCGGTCCGGGTGTGGATAAAAGGGACTCTCTTGAAGCCTGAAACCTGCGACTCCCTCTTGGCGGCCAGCGCTGACGATCTCATGTTCCTCTCTGTGATTTCCGATTTGTTCCGTTTGTGCCTGGATGTGAGGTTCTCTTCCAGAGGATTCATGTCTGGCGGCAGCCTGGAGATCTGTCGGAACTTCACGCCCAAGTAGATGTCCAGGAGGAGAGACACCAGCATCAGACCGCCCTCGACACACGAGAGCAAGAAGAAAGCGTTGATGATCTTGTATGACAGATCCGAATCACTGAACAACGTGCTCCACCCATATTCGTTTTTTGTGTAGTCTGCATGTGCCACCCATGCGCAGAAGACCCAGAATGGAATCAAGCCCGTGTCCAACATGGCCGCAAAGATCATGTAGCTTGCTGTGGAAGCAGGAGTGCGGCTTGTAGGTGCCCGGGCAAGGTGGAAGACCGCATAGAGGGTGTGAAGAATAGCAACCGCCGGAGCACAGCGAATGATCCAACCCACCGTCGCGGAGGTTTTGTTGATGGCAATGACGCAGAAGAGGCTGCCCAGAGCTCCGACCAAGGCACAAACTCTCAAGAAGAGTTGGAAATATCGGACCCGGACAATCTTTTTGCGAGTATTGGGAGGCATCGGTTTGGCGTTGAGGTTGCCGTAAGGAACGACTATGTACTGCGAACAGGTTAGTCAAGGAGCTTCATCTCTGCCTCAGAGAAACGTACGGAATCAGGATGCTTGTTGAAATCAACGAGTGGTCCATCTTGCTTGGGTTTCGGAGGTTTGGGAGTCCAAGAAGCATGGGTTGCAGCCTTGGGATTGAAAGCACGATCAGTTGGGCTCCCAAAGGTGTATGTCGAGGGTCGGTCGTAAATGAATGGAGGTTCGACACCCATGCTTTGCTGGAATGCTGTTGCTAACGATGGGACGGAGCTGCAAAGAGTGGAATGCTCGTGCGGACAAGGGAAATAAGAAAAGTCACGGTCGTTTGAGGGGCTGGTACTGGTGGTTGGAGGTGATCCATCCAACCTTCTATTTACCGTCCGGGAGTTGCCCAGCAACGTCTCCGCCCCCATGCGCAGCCCCCGAGCCCCGCCCAGCCTTGCCAAGCCACCACGAGGCTGGACGAGGCTGGGGTTTTCAAAACAGGCTGTCTGGTCTGGCTGCCTATGTATGGAATCATCTCTGGGGCGGCCATCCTCACAGACAAGAGCTACGGTGCATTGGCGAAGACGCAGTTCCACATCTCATCGACGGGATGCGAAAAACATGCCGTCGAGATAATCCAGGTCTTGCGTTTTTGAATCCTGGGCACCTGCCATCGCATTTCGACGACAGCACGGAATGTCTTCAACGTGTGCAAATGCATCACCGACTGCGACAAGAGGACCTTTGTAGGCCGCCTTTGTTGGCCGGATGTCTCTGGCGAGCACACCTCTCCATCCCCTCTCTTGTCAAACGTGTCATCAATGGGACAATGGCGGACGTCCAGTCCACTCAAAAGAGCACATTGAGGGAAACGCGCACGTGGAAACCAAGGATTACTCTAACAAATTGATTGTGTATCGTTCTACTCTAACAAGAAGGAAAGACACAACACCAGCACACAGCGAACGCCACTCACAACTCCTCTTCCATGACCCCCAAGCGAGTCAACGCCCTCTCCAGGCCGCCCAACACCACACGGACTTCATTCATCATGAAGTCGTCTTGGACCGCTTCTCGCGGCTCCTTCGTCTCTTGCCCCATTCCGGGGCGGACCAACACCCAGACGGGCCCCCAGGTCGAAAGTTGGCTTAAACGCCACTCCTCACGGCCCGACCACTCGAGGTCGTCGGCAGCAAAATCCTTGAGAGCATTGATATGCTCTGGGAGCACCAGTTCTGGCAGCTCGAACCCGAAGTCCTCCGCCCCCCTATCGACACTACGTCGGTATTTTGCCCAGACCTCTGGGTCCGAAGGCCGGGCGCCGTCCTCGAGACCCGCAGCAGAGCAGATCCATTCGTAAGCGTAATATGCATACGTTTGCACGTATGGCTGTAAGGCGAGGATGGCGCCGGAGGAGGGAAAGAGTCGATGAAGGTGGGCCCAGCGGCCACAACCGAGCCAACAGAGACCGCCGAGAAGGATGATTGTCTCGATCTCCCAGCCGTACTCGTACAGAGGCTCGCAGCCGTTGTACCGCATTGCGGCAACTGCTGCTCCCATCAGAGCCACAACGAACTCTGCGAACGATTCCATGTGCGATTGGTCTTCGAGGTCAACACGAATTTCCAGTCCTATTAATATCTGTGCCGCTGCATTCAAGATCGGGACAGCGAATAGAGTCGTGGGCAGGTTGCTTTTGAGTGCTCGCTCAATGTACGCCGGGAAGACTGCTTTCATGAAGTCCAATTGTTCGGTAATATCGAGCAAGAAGCTGCCATCGACCTCGACGTAGCTCGGATCGTTAGCGCCAAATATTGTGACCAGATGCTGGAAAAACTGCTGTTCCTTGTTGCTGACCCAGGCCATTTCGCAAGCTGTACGGAAAGCCTTGGTCATGTACTCAGTGTCATAACGATCAGGTCGTTTCTCGCCTGGGAGACGAATAAAGAGGCGCTCAAGATGGAAGACCTTGTCATCATATCCCTTCTGTTCCAGATCAACGAACCACGGGTCGATTTCGAAGCCTGGGCCTTTGTACATGCCGAGTCGGAATATTACTTTCTGCATGAACATGGTCCATTCTGGTCTTGCTCTTCCGTCCAGTTGCTCCCATGTTTGCTTCATGGCTCTTGAGATCATGGTCATCAGGTGGTCCCATTGATATTTCGTGAGCTTTCCATTAGAGTTTGGATCGGCAACATTTTGGACGCTGTATGCATAGCGGATAATGTGATAGACGATTGAGAGGCGATGTTTGATGATATCAGACCGGTCGAGGAAGTACCTGGTCGCGCCGTTTGAAATGTTTCGACGCAGATCATCAAGACCGAAGGCATCTGGTATGCTTTCCATGAGCTGGTTCGTCAAACAGTGTTCGAACTTGATCATCGCTTGGGGCTTTAGAATTGACCACAACCAGGTATGGATGAAAGGATAGGGGTCAGCGAGAACGACGCTCCTATTTGTTGCGATCTTGCTCATCAGCAACACCTGACATTGCCTTCCGATTTCGGTATCGGCAATTTGTGGGAAGGACATCGAAGACCAAGCATTCAGAAAATGGTCCCATTGCGAATGGCCACCTTCCACCATCAGCTTTCCGATTGCAAACCAAGTTTCGGTAAGGGACATCAATAAGATATCGTGGGGGGTATCCGTGCGGTTGAGCTGGTCCACAAGTATACCACGAATGCCTCTTCTCAAGGAAAGTATTTCATCTTTGGCATTGCTGAGGCCTTTCTTGACAAATGATGTGAGGAGGTCGAAGATCCCGCTGACCACAATATCCCCAAAGCCGCGATCATGGTAGCAGAAAACAGTCAGGAGGTCCACTTCTTGACGAGTGAGGAGACATGAAACCTGGTCTTTGTTGGTGCAGAGGTCAATTGTTGTTGCAGCTCGTTCTGCAATATGTAGGATGCGGTCAATTGTCGTGTTTCGATTGGCTAGGTGTATGCGTCTCTCGTTCTCGTACATGCCATCGTCAACACTTGGGATCTGCGAAAGCTTACTGAACATAGACTTGAACATGGCCAGAAGCCACTCTCCGAGTTCAAGCAGGTCCGCACGAGCCAGTGGCTGGGAGAGGGTTGACTTAGCAATGTTTTCCCAACAACGTACAATCACCTGGCGAACTGCATCATGAGCTGTATTGAAGTCGATGTAGTCCCTGATTTGCGATACCTCTGGTTTGAAGCCGACGGGTGCATAGTGATACAAAGTCGTAAATAGAGTGTACCGGTTTGATACTGCAGCCAGATCAACGTCCGGAAGTGGGCAGTCTTCATTGACGAGCACTGCATTGTCATCAAGAGTGTCGCGGCCCTTGTTGGGCAACAAGATGAATAAAAGAGAGCGTTTACGGAGCGCCAGCTTCCGAATATGTTCTTCAATCTCGGAGTCTGATCGAGGTTGAGCGGCCAAGGTTATGGCTGTGAGCTTCAGAAAAATGTGGAAGTCTGTGTCAGTATCCTCCATATTTAGAAGCTCAGCACGAACTAGACATTCGAGGAATGATGGCAACCCGTGCGTGTTCTTGGATGTAAAGAGTTCAAGCATGTTGTTTGTCTTGTCCGAGTAATACTTGAACATCTGTTTCAGCAGATTGTCGGCGATGTCAGTTTGGAGATTCCGTACGAGAACGAAGCACCATCGAAACATAACGAGACCGAAATGCTCCAGCTTCCTCAACCGTGGTGTCTTGAATCCAGACCGCGTGTTGTAACTCGCCTTCTTCTCGGCAAAAAATTTGAGGAATTCAGACACCTGGCTCGGAAGAAGACGAAGCAGGGAGCAACCAAGAGAGCTCGTGAAGTTGGAGTCGGTATGTGTCATGAGCCCATCTGGTCCCGCGACGGAAAGAATGCAGACAAGTATCATGACTGCACAAGCGACTGACTCAGCCTGAGACTCTAAGAGCATCCCTGGCTTGCCATGGCTGGAGAAGATTGTTTCCAAGTAGTCGCTCCATGGTTGGTGGGGACCAAGGTGGTGTATTAGAAAGATGGTCTCCATTTCCGTTGTGGGGTTGAGCCGATGTCCATGCCATAGAGAATCACTTCCGAACTGAGCAGCAATGTTGCCGAACAGCTGAGCGATGTTGTGCTTCCGAAAAGCAAGTTCCCAAGCAAGGCTGGCAATATTCTGCCAGGTCTTCAAGCTCTTGGCACGAATTCTCTCTGGAAAGCCCGTGGCTGTGGCATACTGATCGTTTTGGTATGCTAAAATGAGGAATGCATTCAGAACCCTTAACGTCTGGGAGACTCGAAGTTCGGAGGTGGCGCTCTCGCTTATAGCGACCCCTTGCCATACGTTTTCCATTGACTCCGATGTCAACCGGATGAAGGATTCCAGCTCTTCGTTATTCGAGAAGGAGAGACTCTCATTAGCATAAGTGATGATGGACTCGACAGAATCCGCAGCCTGGTTCAAGAGACGTGTTTGTTCCTCTGATGTGGTGCCAGGCGTCGCAACGTCGCCACAGATGAGTTCGAAGATCTCCTTGAAAGCATCTCGAATGATGCTTTCCACTTCTGCGGACCAACCAGCAGCACGGAGAGTGCGTTGGGATCTGGCGGTAGTAATGGTGTTGTAGGACGACCGTGGTTGGAATAGACGAGTGGTATCGGCCATAGAGGACATTGTGGTGTTTATGAGATGAACGCGGACATGTGTAGAGTTAGGCAGCATCAGGGTATGCGACAAGGAGCTTGATCCCGGAGGATTCTGAATCACGCAGGAAACAATGTCGTTATCATCTTCCAGTCTCAGACTTTGGAGGCACAGGACATCATGCTGGTTGGGATTATTGGCGTAACGCGTGCCGAGCGAGATAGGACGTTGCTTCCTGGAATCAAAGCTTAGTCTCTGTGGATTTTTGACTGACGAAAGGAGTACTTACTTCAGAGGACGTGACGGGGGAAGTGGTGGAGAGGACGGAGAGGACGGAGAGGACGGAGAGAAATCGCGCTTTCTGGAGTCTCAGTCAGCATCAACGCGTTGTGCAAAACTGCTGGGTACGCACCCTGGAGGTCGAGACATTGGAAGAGCACGAATTGAAGGTTTTGTAGATGCTTTCTGCGGGAGGATCTGACGAACTCGCTTTGGTCTCTGTCGTGCTTCCCGAGGCACAAGCTTTTGGACTGTGAAAGTGTTCGACGACGCAAAAGCTGGTCCCTCGAGGTTCTGGGTGTTATGCTCAACAGTTGGAACTCGCTGCCGCGAGTTGAGATGACTACGACGCGAGCCTCGAGGCTTGAAATAGTCGAGAATCGCAGAAGGACGATTAGTACAGAGAACAATCGATTCGTCTCGCAAGGGACGACTTTGGCTTTGATGGTTGCGAATGCGATTGAGAGTAGTGTTCGTGCTTTGTTTCAAGGAATTGAGTTGTGTGTCTGAAAAGTGAATATCCTCGTGAAAAGTGCGTGTTGGAGCGGCAGTATTCCCAGGCATTATGTCGAAACGGCGCGGCTTGGCCGTTAAGGAGGTACTGCTGCTGCTGATATCGTTGGGTTTGACAGAATCATCTATCTGTCTGTGAGCACGACCCCAGTCTCTTACCGCCTGATTCACGTCCTCGGTGTCCCTCATTGTTGCCAACTTGAAAACCTTCTTGGAGGGGTCTTGCTTCCGTGGCGATCTTTGCTGCCCAGTACGTCTCAATGCAATCCTCAAGAAGCGTGGCACATCTTCGTCTTTGAAACCAGGAGCATCCAAAATAGTCATCTGTGGCTTTCTGTGCCTGCGTTTGACCTTCTTGCGCGGCCGCGCCCCATTATTTGACAAAGAGGCTACAGCTGCTTTTGGACGGCGAAAGGACAGCCCCCGACCAGAGAGGGTCTTGTCGGCTTCGAAAGCATTCTTCCTGGGCCAGACACCTTTCAATGGCTGCTGTCCTTTTCCGGAGGACGACCTTCTCCGTTGGGGAGCGAGCATAGCATCGACCGCATTGTCTTCAACGACATCGTCCTCGAAGAGTTCTGGTTCCTGGTACTCAATTCCCTTCATCTCATCATCGACCGAACTGGTGGATTCGCTTTCTGACGAAGCTTCCAGATCAGTGATCTCAACGCCCACAACCCTATCCCTTGCTATCCGGCCGGACGATGAGACGTGTTGTGCTATCCCTTTTTCCAGAGCCCTCTTGACGGGAGGTTGGGTTTGGTTTCGAGGAGGACGAGTCTCCTTTCGTTGCTGCTTCATGTCCAGCTTCAACCAAGATGCCGGCAGAACTCCTTTGATCTTGCGCCGCAGTTGACGGGCGCCTTGAAAACTATCGTTCAAACGCTCTTCGAATTCACGAGGCGCAGATGAATCGTCGCTAATACTGATGGCATCGGTCTCTGAGTCAGAAAAATCGAGGGCTTTGCTGAAAGTCCTCTTCGAAGTCTGCTTATCTGAGGAGACTACTGGAGTTGGGAGCACGACCGGTGTGCTATTTCCGGTTGATACTCCCAGATTGTTGTCCACCCCACCGCCCTGCGAAGACAGTCCATCACGAGATCGAGGCGGGGAAGGTGGAATCGTGGAACTCGCGACATCGACTTTGGATGTTTTTCTGAGAGCTTGGCCCAGGTCGGGAAGCTCGTATATGCGAAACCCGTCAATCCCTGTTTGTGGTTGTTGTACTGGCACACGCTTGGGTCTTTTCAGTCTTGAGGTATACGAGGTCTCGGTTCTCGTTTTGAAGATATCTGACAGATCTGGAAGATCATCATCGGAATCGGACACAGGAGATACACGGAGACGTGTTCCACGTATTGGGTTTTGAGATTCATCATTTCCAGCTTCCTCAAAATCACCACACCCTACATCCGGGACGGGGCTTGACCGTGGAACGTGACTGTCGGAGTGGTTCACTTGACTGCTTTCATCCGCAGTGGTGCCTTGGGAGTCGTCTTTTGCGCTTTCTCGCAGATCCGAAGGCAAGTCAGGAGCACGCATAGGGTGCAAGCCCCTGTCTCTCCAAGTTTGTCTATACTTGGCATCCTCAATTGCATAGGGATGCAGCTGGATTGGAGCACGAGGTCGGAAGGACCGTCTCCGTGAGGCGTCAGCAGATGGGTCCAGCAATAATCTGTCACTAGCGGACATTTGAGGAATGGCCACCTCCGCAAGAGCGGCTGGTCGTGATTGTCCTGACTGGGTTTTATTGGGTGAAGCGTGCACCGATGAGGGAACCGAGGAAAGAGGGCTGTCATTGTCACTGTCGAAACCTGAGGCCACCGAGCCAAGGACATCTTGCACTGTCTGCAGACCTTTTTCGATTTCAGCCTGGAGCTTCGCAGCTGTTGATTTCAAACGGGTGTCGGACGTCTGCGACAATCTCGGGTGGCTAATTTGAGCACCGTCACGCAACAACGGATCTGCGCGATGCGGTCCAGAGTGGTGGTAGGCGTCATGCTCATCAGAGACGTTGTTGTTTTGCTTTGTTGGACTGGTGTCGCCATCGGAAGGTGCGTCATATTCCTTCACAGCCTCAGTCTGCACATTGACTGTCCCAATCTCGGATGTTGTCCTATCCACAGGGTCGATGTTGAGGTTGCCACTTCTGCCATCTTCTCCTTCATCATCTTCGTCAGAGTCTGGCACGTAGCCACGCTCCCTCCAATTCGCCATCGCTATTGCTTTCCATGTTCTTTTCTTGGAGGCGCGTCAGGAACTGTCGATGTTGCTGAAAGCTGTTTGGCCTTTTTGGCGCGTCATGAATATTCAAGGACGCGCCGCGGCTGGAATAATGAACAGCGCCAAGGCGAAGCTGCGGAACATCTCCGATTGGATCCGATCTCGCGAGACTTCTACAAACTAGCTGTATCCTTTGCTCAAAGGCAATATCCGGCAAAGGGTCCGTGACGTGGACAGAAAATGAGTTATCGAATGGCTGGTTGGGCACTGGCCATCGGATTTGGTGTACTGAATGGTAACACTATCTGTGCATTGCGCAGCATTCATCGCTAATGTTGTCTACAGGGTACATGACATTCAGGCCTGCCTTTGAAGCCCGAGCATTGGAGAAGCTGAAGGAAGAGTTGGTCTACGTTTCTGATAACTACATGGACGATTGCTGATAAGTCGCTACGAACATAGGGAGCGGGCTGCTTCGGAACTTGGGCCGAACATGATTGAAATCCCCACGCAAGCAAGCGACAACCCGATCTCGTCAGGCCGAAACACGTTGGACGCAAGACCAAATGAGTGATAATTCCACGGACAGGCCATAAACTGCTCATTACCGGCTTTCAACCAGATACATGTTCAAGAGCTGTGGGATATGGTGTAAAGGGACAGTGAATATCACGATGGCTACCTCGGAGCCTGCGGTAGGGAAGCCGCTCCTCTGCGATCATCCGCCCTCGGACAAGGGAGGATTACAGAAAGAGAAGAGATTATCTGTATCTCCCACTGCGGCAGCCCCCACAGTATCCAATCCCCGAGTTACACGACCTTGAGAAGGTTTATCACGGTTATATTTGAAACCTACTGGGCATCGAACCACGTTCTCAGGTCTCAAGATGAAACAGATCTGGAAGTCTTCAGAGATCCCACTCGCCTGGGCAAGAAGTAACCGGTTCCTATTTACTGCCATACTCAATAAATGCTGAGGCATAGAGAAAAGAGATGAAGTCTTGGGGGCAGAGTTGAAGAGAAGTGAGGGTTGCCCGTCCTATGGACTTGAAGGTTCAAGGGCTGCAAAAGGGACGAAAGTCCCTGATCTAGAGGAACAGAGTCTTGCAAACATCGTTGTGATGATTGCAATAAGTACGATCGAGACATTGCTGAAGGGGAGTGAGGAACAGCTGATGCCTTCATGTGTAATTAGATTGCTGTTGATTTGAGAATTCTATGCTAGAAGCTACTGTAATCTGGTGGAAAGATACTCGGGAACGTCCTGGTTCTCCGGGATCTCCAGATGGATCGGACCATCATAAGGTATGTTTCCACTTCTGAGACAGAATTCCTTCCGGACCTTCACATATCGACAAGTCGGAGCCGAGCACGAGATGAATGTGATGCTAGGGTGGGATCATTCAACCTCTTGAATAAGAATATTGCTGCTGGGTGAGAGCGGCGGACCAAAATAGCGGCCGACTTTCTTCCCCAACCACTCTTCTGGCACACCCAGTCTCACACCGTCTTGCGTACTGACCCATCTGGTATAGAGTGGATTGGCTCTCTGTGGGAGGTCTTCCTCCTCGTATGGTGACCCAGCCGCTGCGGCAGCTGCTGCGGCCGCAGCCAAAGTCTCTGGCTTTGGAGCGGCACCTCGCGCTTTAGAGACTTGAGGTTTGAGCTGAACTGCAATTAGCTCCGCTCAAATCAATAGGGATATTGCGTACCAATCTGTTCAAGGCGGCTGTCTTCTCCTCCTGCACTTTGCGCTTGGTCAGTTCTTTTCGCTTTCTCGCATGTTCATCCTTCTTCATCGCTTTCTCCTCATCCGTGAAGAACTAAACTCAGTCAGTGATGAGCATAGCAACTTGCGATCAACATCGTTTGCATCATACCTTTCGCTGCTGAGGCGCCATATCCAAGGCCATCAGAGTACCTTGATCTTCGGGCCTACCCCTTTGCCTCTTCGTCATCTTAGTGGGATCGGGAGTGGCGGCACCAGAAGCAGGCGTCTCGTCGCTGCTGTCATCAAGATCATCGTCGTCATCTTCTTCGTCGGCTTCCTCGTCTTCACCTGGCGCGTCCTCCTCAACCACAATCTCTTCTTCCTCACCCTCCGCGTCTTCGTCGTGCACGTTTATCGTAGGCTCCTCGTCTTCATCGGAGAGCTCAGACGAATTGCCGACCTCATCTTCATCCTCCTCCGACACATCCTCTGACGCATCCTCCATTTCCTGCTCCTCGACGGACTTGAGAGGACCAACTTTTGCGGGTGTGACGATGAGTTTGGGCTTGGCTGTTGGTTTGTTATCTCCTTTGGCAGGTGGTTTCAATGTAATCTTTGGGGGTTTAGGCGGTAGATGGCGCCTGGAAGGAGGTGGAGGCGGAGGCACATCTTCCATTTCCACGTCTTCATCATCGGTGCCACCCTCTGGTTCAGCACCCAGTTGGTCGAAGTCGTTGGGTTCTTCCTCTTCTTCCTCTTCGTCCTCCTCCTCCTCTTCTTCTTCGTCATCCTCCTCCTCCTCATCTTCAATGTCGCTCTCACCATACTCTGCATAGGTCGGTCGCCGGCTACCTCGAGCGCTGGTTCTTGAAGCCAAAGCAGTACGTCGACTGCTACGTGGTGCATCAAGGACTTGGCCGCCACCAAGGGTATCATGGAGCGAATCCACCTCATTAGCCCGCATAACTTCCCGCAACTTGCTTGGAGGAGCCTTCACGGTCAATTTGAGGCTTTGTCGTCGATCATCTGGAGAGCCCGACCCACGCTGAACAGTGGCGGAAGACACATTGCTTGCAGCAGCTGACGCCACCGACCGCCTTGGTCTTGATGAGGCCGGGGTCGAAGCTGCCGAAGAACTGAAAATCGGGTTAGCTCTTGCGTCAAGACGAGGTGCATAGTATAACGTAATGAAAGGCATCATGTATGACGGTGTTAAGGGCTGTTCGCTGGGTCTGGTGGAAGGCGCGACAAAGATCTCTGGCTAGACGAATAATTACAAAAGGGAGAGGTTGGACAACTGAGATAAATTTCGAGTCGCCTGAATAGCAATCGACAGTGGCTAAAGCAGAGGCATTCACTTCTGCTGCCGGCTGCGGCTCTCATCCTCATGTCGCTAGCGGCGAGCAGCAATCTCACACGGTCCCAAAGTGACGCGGTTTGAGCCTCTTCGGCCAGAAATTGCCGTCAAGTGAAGCATACGGAGGTGACTTGCAGCAAAACCAGAAGTGGCACTTACTCATATCTGCCTGCTCGCCTCATTGAGTCGGTTCTTCTTGGATCATAATCTTCACCGCTGCCTAGGTCGGAGTCTTCTGTGAAGTCTTCAGTGGCCTCACTGATCTGACGTCGCACCCGTCGGCTTCTATCTGTCATTTTTTCTGAGGTTCCAACTTCGGCTAAATGCCCAGATTCTCCGCTGTCGCTGGTCTGCGCCCGGCCCTGGATTCTCGTGGAGTTCTCGCGTCAGAGGTCGTGTTTCCTTGCTTGGTGGCTTCCCCCTAGATCCAGCATCGATATCTTCGGGGTTTTACAGGAATTCAAATAAATTTAAGACAATAGAGATGACTCCCAAATCAACTCAAACACAGAAACGCATGAGTACCGAAATATTTGATGTGAAGACTTTCAAAGGGTACAGCGTGGGAAAGGGATGGCGACTGTGGCTGTTCACGCTGGACCAGCATTGTGGCTTCTGTGGCTGGTGACATTCAGCCCTACCATTTCCGCCGTCAATATTAAAGAGCCGAGGCTGGTATTCTCAGCCAGCGAGTCTCGGGCGTCCGCCACATCAAAGTGTCGCAGTCTTTCTCCCAAGCACATCCTCTGTGACAGATTGACGGCACCCCTAGCGCTACGATATGGTCGATTCAGAATCCAAGAAGAAACCCTCCATTCCCTCATGGCAGCAGCAGTACAACTCGGAACCAAAAGACGGGCCTCCTGCCTCCGATGACCAAACTCCCAATCCCAGCACAGCACCACCGTCACCGGGTTCACAACTACCTTTACTTGAGCAAGCTCGGCAGTTCCTCGAAGATGAAACAATAAGAGACGCGTCACGCGAACGCAAAGTCGCATTCTTGGAGAAGAAAGGCCTACAATCAGAAGAGATAGAAAAGCTCCTTGGTCCTGAACACTCCGACTCCCTGCCAACCTCTGATGAGGGCTCTGAACTGAAAATCATACATGACAGCAGCCAGACGGAGGCTTCAGATGGAAAGGAGACGGAGACAGCCTCAAAGTCGACCATTGAGGAAGCACCATCGCAATCCTCTACTGCCCCGCAGAAGCGAGACATTCCTCCCATCATCACCTATCCAGAATTCTTGCTGAAGCCTCAGAAACCACCTCCGCTGGTCACTTTCGAACGCCTTGCTCATGCAGCGTACGCTTTCGCCGGCGTGTCTGCCTTGACATGGGCTGCAAGCAAATACATTGTGCAACCTATGCTTGAATCCCTTACGGAAGCACGCCATGACCTTGCTGAAACTGCAAAAACAGACCTTGAAACTCTCAACAAGAAACTCGAATCCACCGTTTCTCACGTTCCCTACATTCCGACCAGCACGGTTCTGCAGCAACAAAAAGCCCAAGATGGGGACGATGTTGAATCCGTGGATTCAGACCCAACAGAACTGTTCCACCGCGATGTCGCAACACAGACCTCCCCTCGGCCCTCTCGATCCATGTCATTCTCCTCCTTCCCAGACAATGACTACCTGTCCGCACAAGATCCTACAACCTCACAGTCTTCACGATTGCGATCCTTGCACTCTACACTCTTCTCTCTGCTGAACTCTCAAAATAATAGCTATTCCCAAGACCGTCTGAAAGACTCTATGAGCGGCTTCCAAGCTGTCCTCGACAAACTCGAAGCAAGTCACAATCCGTTTCACGTCGATTTCATGGGATCATTCACCACCTACAGCGGACCTGGATCAACGGCGGCCACGGGCACAGATACTAAACAAAAGAAGCAAGCGGCGGTCAATGAGGCGACAAAGTTCAAGAACGAGATCCGCGCGTTGAAAGGCGCTCTGCTCAGTTCGAGGAATTTCCCCACACCGAGGCCGGCACAGCCATTCACATTACCTCCAAGATGAAAGCTGCTGGGCAAGTGTAATAGATTAGGAAAGGACTTCGCTCTGTTTAGAAGCGACTTTGTCTACCCAGATACACAAGGTCATTCTTTTGTGCTTCTAATGGTGCAAACTAATCCCAAACCTTGGTTTTATCTCACAAGATCAGAAAAGAGCCACCCTTTGTGCTTTCTTCTCAATCTCGTCATTTCATCTATGAGTGAGTGAGTTCCTCGTGCATGCACGGGCTCTACGGTGCAGTAATCCAAGCTAAAGGGAATCATTGTCGCTTCCTCCGAAACACAGTCGTCCATCCCATCCCGGCAATGTCACACTCTTGTAGACGTAAATCCACACTATTCTACCAGCCGTCTGACCATGGAAGTCGTGTTCATACTCATATTCGTAGGAATCGCTCGATCGTCCTGTCCGGGAGATTTTATCTCGGTAGGTAGGGTCGTCGGCGGCCCTTAAGGGGTGGCTCTACACATCCCCACCAGCCTCTTCACACCCACCATCCAATGCCCACACTCCTCTACTTTGTTTGTATGCACATCCATCTGAATTTCCTGTGCCTTGACAAAATCCCTTCCTTCCAGCGCTTGAGCTAGCTCAACCAATTGCGCCACTGTGTCCGGCTTAAGCAGATCCTCATTGTTCAAATGATCAAAGAGGATATCGAGCCGTTTTTCGGTATCAACGACTTGTGGTTTAAATGACTGTGGAGCTCGAGCTTTGACACGCGCCATTTCGGAAGAGAGGATGGTATAGATTGGTTGGGCAGAGGGGGAAATGTGTGTGCGGTCGCCCTTGGCTGCACCAGAATTCGTTAGCTTCGCACAATGGGGTAAGGACATATTTTCAACTCACGATATTTCCGTGCTGAAGGAGCAGCGGAGGCTTTATTTGAACCCGCTGTGCCAGGCCGCGAGGGTGGCCCTTGAGCGGCAGGCCCGCTTCCTGCGGGAGGTGGCCCGGAAATGAATTGCTGTTGTGGGGTGGGTATTGGCGGCGCTGTAGCTGACTGCGGCGTCTGTGTGGGTTGGGGAGGACCATAGCTTGTCTGCCGAGTTGGTTGCGATTGATGAGTTGGAGCATAAGGGTTCATCGGAGGAGCAGGCACTTGGAAGGATGAACTTTGGGGAGGTGGCGCTATAGATGGACGTGTATTTGGAGCAGTCGAGTGCTGGCTCCCTGATGCCGGCGCATATCTGTTGGGGGCTGTAGGAGCGTGGGAAGGAGGCGCGTTATATGGAGATGGACCTCTCGGAATTGGCGGCGACATGATATTCTGTCCGATGGGTGGCGATGTGACGGCCGGTGGTGCATAAGGATTGCTTGCTGATGATGGTCGCTCAAAAGGGGGTTGCCCGCCCAGAGGAGATGTCACTCGCGGAGGTGGACCAGTCCCTTTTGGTGGAGGGGGAACTGGCGAGGCTCTCTGCCTTGAACCGAGAGGCGGAGCAGCAGGAGGAGACGATATTTGTCCCGGGGGTGGACTAAATGGATTCTGGGCAGGCTGCGGTGGAACGCTAGGTGTGCCTCTTCTCGAAGTCGGAGGTTTGACAAAGCCCTCAGGGATATCATTCCAGTTGGACATACCTTTGTCTTGGGACGGAGGAGGAATGGCCGGAGATTGATTGTATCTAGGAGGGGGTTGGATAGGATTTGCTTGTGGAATGCCGTATGGGCCGGTGGGAGGAGGGCCGGGAGGCATTCTCATTTGCTGTGGAGGTTGATAGCTACCGCCAACGGGCGCATATGGATTTGACGGTGCACTGGTGGCCGTGGGTGGTGCATAGGGGTTGCTCGGTTGCAAGTGGCTTGCACCATAAGGAGTAGGTACCTGAGGAGTTGGTGGAGTAAAAGCAGTTGTCGGAGGCTGAAATTGTGACGTGCCTGGCAGAGGCTTGTTTCTTGTCGTTATCGGGGCAGCTTGAGGAACAGCCGCTGGAGCGGCTGTCTTCTTCCTTGCCTGTTGAATCCGGCTTCTTGCAACATCCGCTCCCGGATAGCTTGCAGGAAGAAGATCAAGATATTTCTGGGCAACGTCGAGCTGGCCGGAACCAGCTACAATGTCTGCATATTCCAGATATTTGCCGTACAGGGCTTCCAGCCTCCACTCCCCAGTCTTGGACAGCCCTTCGTCCTTGAAGTTAACCACTTGTCGGAAAATTGTTACTTTTTCAATGAAGTCTTGGAGGCCGCGGGCGTGCAGCGAAAATGCTGAAGATGCGTCCGCTTCCGAGGCTCCTGCCTCCTCGTGCTCCTTGAGTTCTTGAATCCAGATGGCGACCACCTTTTCCAACTTGGAACCAGCCAAGAAGCAGAAAGATGCATCTTTCCGGGAGACTGAAGAAAGATCATCGATCTGTTCCTCAATCCTGTCTCCAAGAGCTTCGCAAAGATCCGGAAACTCCTGCTCATCAGCAAATGTACACAGCGTGGCCATGACTTCTTTCCAATTCGCGAGCTCAGCATTGTGGACTGTATCCCAGAGATTTTTGCCAACAACCGAAGCGAGCAGACGAAGGTAGTTTGGTCCGCCGGACTGTTTTGCGAGATATGCTTCTTGGGCTTTCTTAATGCAGGCTTCGCCGCCACAAATGGCAATCATGAAAGCATCAGACATTCTGTTCTCCTGCAGACATACGTCCAGAGCTTTCTCGAATTGCCCCAAAATCAAGGCCCTTGTGATCTTTCGGTCGGCCTGGGACTCGGATCCCGTGTAGATCTGGAAGGGATTGTTGGTCCTGGTACCCTTCGTAGCCGCCAATTCCGCCAAAAAATCCCCGTCGGCCGAGCTTGCGAAAATGGACTGGAATCGCTTGTGCGCCTTCGAGGCCCCGTTGACGGAGGGTTTTTGCTCTTCTGGATTGTCATCCCCTGAAGGCTGCTGCTCAACACCATTTGTGCTGTCTTCAGCTGTGTCTTCAAAGCCTAGGTATTTCACTAGCTCCGCTCGAGGATTCTTGGACACCAGGGTTTCAATGACCTTCCAATCAGCCTTTTCCTCCTCAGTCCTTGCAGATGCAACCCTGTCCTCACACAAGCCGGTGAGATCCCCTGACTGAAGAGCTTTTTCGAAGGTTTCTGTCGCGCTCCCGACGTTCGAATCCACCTCGAATTTGCTGATGCAGATCTTTGAAGCCCTCGATTTCCCAGGATCCGCTTGCTTGACGCTGATGATTCTTCCACCAAAGCCGAAAGATACGGAAACAGGTCGCTCTAGCCACTTGGGTGCCTTGACAAGCGAGAAAGATGAAGTCTGAGGCTGCGTCTGGGCTTTGGAGAAGAAGTCCTCTCCATCGGCAGCCTGGCTCTGGTCTGTCTGAGTGCTGCTCGGATTGGTGTTCTGCAGGGTCTGGATCTGCAGCTTGCCGTCGAAGGAGGCAGTCGCAAACATGTTCGGGTTATGAGGATTCCACCTTGTCTGAAAAGTCCAGTTTGTCACAACTGGATAGTCACCATACGCTTCTCCGGTCTGGGGGTTCCATAGTATCGTCCTGTTGTCCTTCCCACAGGATAGCAAGAGGTCATGGTCCTGCGGGCACCAGGCAACCGAGAGGACTCCCGAGTCATGCCCACGAAGCACCTTCTCCGGGGCGTTTGAGTTTCTTAGATCCCAGACTAAGATGACAGGCTCCTGCTCGAGCGGTACAGCAGTAATCAATCGCGTGGGCTTTTCAGGGTCCCATGCAATAGCACTAGCAGGTTTCCGCTGGAAGTTGTTGAGCGTCAAGCTCTCTTTTCTTGTTTTCATGTCCCATACTGTCACGAAACCTCCGCTGCTTCCTGTGACCAGGATATTTGAGACTCTCTTATTCCAGTCGAGACAATCGATATCGTCCGCCCGGGCAGCAGTGCTTCCAAGCCGTATTGGGGCGTCGAGGTGGTTCAAGTCTGAAATGAATAGTTCCCCTTTGGCACCACCCGTTGCGAGGAAATTCTGTATCTTGGGATTGAATTGCAAGGCCTTGATTGCTCCGCTGTGTATTTTGTGGGTGAAAATAGAGGCATCCGCCGTGTTCGTGATGGCCTTGTCCGCGTCCCACAAGCCCAGTGATCCATTGTCAAAGGCCCCAGCAATAATCCCCCTCTTGTGTCCAGCCTGAGCCGGCGTCCAGGCAAGGTCGTGAAAGCTGCGAATCGTTAGTAGACTTCTAGGCAACAAATAGAATCACATACCCTGTCTCAGTAGGCAGAGTGACGGAGGGTTGTAATTCTTGACTCTGTTCACCATTCTCCAATGCCAGGTCCCAAAGTTCTAGACAGGTTTCATTGCTGAAATCGACGTCGACAGCACCCGATTTCGTGCCGGTTGCGATCCAAGACGAGGGCGCATCGGGAGACCACGCGAAAGTCGCTGTGCGTGGAATTTCCCTAAGACGCACCATGACGGATGTGGTGCTGTGCTGGTTGAGGGAGAAAGAGAAGGTAAAGAGGAGTCAAAAAAGGCTAAGTCATGCAGCAGAGAAGAGAACGACTCCAAGTGAACAGATGGACAGGAGAATCAGGGTTTAGCAAGCAGCTGTCCTCATCTTCCACTCTGATACGTCTCAGTATTTCGACTTTCTGATCTGGACACCGTCGTTTGTCCCGAAGGTTTTAGGGCCGCAAAACGGTTAGTGGCCTCCCAGCGTCATCCCTGGAACCCCCCCAATGTTGAACTCCGCAGCCGCAGCTAATCCAGCACAGTGAGGCGAGATATCAATCCACGTGATCGCGGTATTCCACATTTTTCAACCTTCAGCCTCCTTCGACCCTTGCAGAGTCAAGCAGCGCGAGGATGGCGGAGGGATCAACCCGCCCGAACAGTACAATCTACGTTGGCGGTCTTGACACCAACCTTGTGACTGCCACAACTCTCTCGGAGGCGTTCGTCCCGTTTGGCGAAATAGTGGACATCACTCTACCCAAGCCTGAGGCGCCGTCTTCGACAGATTTACATCGCGGCTTTGGATATGTCGAGTTCGAGGAGGCTGCCGATGCAAAGGAAGCAATCGATAATATGGATCAGAGTGAGCTCTACGGACGGGTAATCAAGGTAGCCATGGCAAAACCCGACAGAAAGGAGACTGGAGAAGTTGGGTTGGGCAGCACCACTGCCATCTGGGAACAAGTGAGTGTGACAGAAGTCTTTCTATCCCTGGACTGTTGCTTGTTTGTTTGCCGCATCATGGAAGGATGTGTGCTAATATTTGGCATTCAGGAGGATTATCTCGCAAAATATGGCACAGCAAACGAGGATAAGGCCGCTGTAGAAAGCGCAAAGAACGACAGGCCTGCAGATCCCATGGATGGATTAGAAGGGCTTGATGTTGCCGGCCCAAAGCCCGAGTGAGCGAGGATGTAATTCGGACGAATTCAACACTACCACGTCTTGGACAAGCTCCAAAACAACAGCAGTTTTGCTCTGACGAGGACCGCCACAATCCACGCGCCCGACTCAAATGGTTAGCAGAAACGGTCAGTTTCCGCACAAGTTGGGGAACGAAGCCGGTTACTGTTGTCGACATCTAGTCTATCAGTTTGAGCCGATGAAGGACTTACAACTGTCCGCCCAACGAAAGGGGACGTTGAAAGAGGGGAGGGCCGAGCTGGCGAAGCCGAGTTATTGTGGCACTAGTATGGCGGTTGGAAAAGTGTGCTGAGGAAAGGATCAGAGTGGTGTCAACAAGCCACAGGACAGACTGTGAATTTTCTTGCTGGCTGCATTTGTTTATATACACATCCCCGCAATGCTTCGAAGCAATTCCATTTTCGGCAATTTGGGACTTGAGAATAGAGACTCTCCCTCGTTCGTACGTGACTTGACTGCCGTCGAAATCCAGGTGCTCCCATCGCCTTCTCAATGTTTCTGCGAAGACCTCTGCAAGCGAAGTGTCCTGTCGGTCATGAGCTTCCTTGCCATCGCAAAGCAGGCAGCGAACAAGGCGAAGCTAGCAAGAAAACCAATCAGCATTTGTCTCGTGGCCAGTATTTGTACTCAAATCTCTTTTTCATATTCGCTAGGAATGGGTATACGTACGAAATGACAACGCCGAGAGGGAGCAGTTCCGGGGGGATTCTCTTGAGCATGCGGATTCTTTGGGTGATGGTGTGTGCTGCGGGTTGTCAGCGTCAATTGCTCCCTTGAATGTCCAGAGGTCTGGCCATCTTACCACTTTGGTCATCCTCCTATCAGAGATGATTAGCATGAGCTTTTCAGCGTCCAGGGCATGTTCCTGCTCACCTTGGTCCTGAACATGGTTCGGGTGTTGTGGAATGGTCTGGCAGTCTGTTTCTGGGCGGATTGGCGGAAGGCAGCTTGCCGCATGCCAGCTGCCCGAAGAGGCTGGAGCCTCAAGAGTCTTGCAGTATTCATCCTTGCCGTGCAGTGGTAGGCGGAGTGGAGAGTTGGAAGCGAAGCTGAAGAGAATAGATCCTTAGGACGAGGGAAGAGTGACGTTGGAGTCGCAGTTGAAGTTGCTCCCAAGCTCTCCGTAGGACGACAGCCAATCAGAGTCAGGCCACACTTGTTACGCCTTAGTAGCTTCTGCAACCTCCGACTTTCGACCTCGCTGCAGGCCTCAGGTGACAACCTCCCCTCTGAAGCTTCCCTTTTCAACCCAGCCTCAGCACTCGAGCTTCCTTTGTATATTCCACCGCAGCCGCAAGAGGTTTCTTCCACTCGCCAAGATGACTCAAATCGAGACTCCTGACGCCGATGAGCTCGGTGGAAACGTCACCAAGCCCTTCAAGTTCGTTACTGGTACGAAGAATTCGAATCTATGACTGCCTTACAACTCCCCTGCTGACATCGCTATAGCTGGATACGACGCCCGCTTCCCTAACCAGAACCAGTACGTTCCTTTCCACAGCGGCCGAAGACATCCAGCAGCCTAACCATGGGTATCATAGGACAAAACATTGCTGGCAAAACTACGTCGATTATCACAAGTGCATCCTGGCAAAGGGCGAAGATTTCAAGCCATGCAGACAGGTACATGCACATCGTCAAAGGAACGGAAGTCAAAATGCTGACCTGTCTCAGTTCTATTTGGCCTATCGATCATTGTGCCCTAGCTCCTGGATCCATAGGTGGGACGATCAACGTGAAGCTGGGAACTTCCCCGTCGACTTGGAGCACTAGGGAGATGAATGAGTGACCGTGATGCAGATGGAGGACAAGAAAACGGGCCTACAGTTGCGGAGTTCTCACGGCGAGCTCGGGGTGGCATGGATATTGTACATAGACCCAGACGAAACTACGCGGCGGCCAACACACTGCTCCTCCCATACAACTAGGTACATGGACCAATGTATCCTTCTACTGCATCTGAATTTGTATATCTCATGCAGTCCAGACCTAATTATGCGTTAGGCCGCCGGAAATGGCCACTGACATTCGACGGTTCAAAAACAACCAGAACACCCATATCGTGCTGATGGGCAAAATTGCCATTGGTTCACAAACAGATAGTACTGGGCTCAATATTCCAAGGGATGTTCACGCTATCATTTGAGGGCAATTTGAGATCCATAGTTTTGTTCTGCCAGTTCACTGCTGCATATATCGCCCTCCAAGGGCGTGATGCGTCCACAGCACCAGATGCAGTTGCTCATGTGAGCTCTGGATTCTTCTATTCGATGCTCGAGCTAATGGTCTCAATGCCAACCACCCCAAGACTGCTCATGTCCCGCAGATCGTCTGTCAGGACTAACGAAGCAGTGAGACAATGCTGAAGCCACGTAGCCGTCATCTTCCGAAAGACTCCTCTTGGGGCCTTTCTCTATCCGGCGTCGATGTATGCTGTCTAGACACAATCGTTTGTCCAATTCCTTTTCACTTCTTGACCGAACTCCTCCTCAAAGCCTCCAACAGCTCGGGCCGGGAGTTCAACAGCTGAACTGCTTGTGCATAAGCGTACCATTGCCTGGATCTCTTGTTTTTCTCGGGCCAATTGTCCTTTTCCTCGGTCACGATGGCCTCGAAGAAGTGGTAACTTGCTTTAGGAGCGTGTTTCGTCACGGCCGTTGTTGGCCGCGTGTCCGGAATGTGACCCAGATCTTTTTCGACCTTGCAGATGATCCCAGCTTCCTCCCACGCTTCTCGGACAGCGGCAACTGACGCCGAAGCCTCGTCCAATTCCCAGCCGCCTTTGGGAAGGACCCAGCCATTCCGCCGGGAGGATTGTATCAGTAGAACTCGGGTCTTGTCCGCAGACAGGGGGACAATGCCGGCGACCAGTCTCTCGCCTTTGGTTCCATAGCCTGCGACACTATGAGCCCGAGGAATCTAAAGCGACCCAAAAAGCAGTGGCATACATACGCTGATTGGCCGTGCCGGTGCGAGAGGTCATGGACATTTCTTTGGCCATGGTGGTGGAAACCGTCGGGCCTGGGCGGACGGCCACAAGCCAGAAGTTCAAGGAAGGACTGTGTGGGTACGGCTGTCCCTTGAAGAAAAATTCTGGGCTAACAGAGGGCAGAAGCGAACGTGAAAAGAGACGGTGAAGGGAGGGCACGTGGGAACACTATCGAGCTGCTCCCGGTGCAAGGCGGCGAGGTCAGTCTCTGGGAAGAGAAGACGAAGGGGATCAAAGATGACCCATGGCGAAGATAGCAGCGGGGTGTGCGATACAGCGCATGAATGAGGGATACCTTCAGTCCCGTGTGGCACGGGGCTGAGGGAACGAGGTTGACGTGTTGAGCATCCTGAGAAAGGGAACAGCCATAGTTATGTAGCCTTTGGGCAAGTTTAGTTTTTTTGGCCGTGACTCTCGGAGGGTGCAGGTGCATGGTGGGTGGACACGCATGGGGGAGCACGAAAAAAAAGATCAGTAGCGGCGATTTCCTGAGCTGGGCGAGGGCAGCGAAGGCGAATCGCAGTCTCCCACAGTCTCCCACCGCTGAGTGGTCCAGCGGTGCCAGGGGACAGGGAGCGAGAAGCCATCATCCCATCAAGCCATGTCCATCCTGTTGCTTCTTCATGCTGCATGCTTCAATCATTGCGCCCTCATGCTCCCTTGCGGTCCCATGGTGCCTCACGACGGACGGGGCTAGAGAGACTGCAGCACACTCTCTGTCACTCGGAGTGGGATTTTTGGTATTTTGTTTGGCTTCCCAAACGGCATCAAGAGGCTTGCCGACCGACTAATTGCAAGGTTCCAGCACATCTGGTTCGCTCGAATCGCTGCGGTCCATGCAGTGGTTCCTTGCCTGGTTCCCTCGCATTTGTCCTTGGTGGCCCATGTCACTCCAAACCGCATTCCGTGTCCACTTGCACCGCTTCCACCGCTTCCACGCCATTCCCCAACCCCGAATCGAAGCACACGACGAACATACACGTGCTCATCTTCACGTTTATACTGGTCTAAAATTCTGATACTCGACCCCTCGTCCTCATCCCTCCTAACCACCTTTTCTGCTTGCCTTGACGCTTCCAGATACGGTTCCTCGGCTTGATCGCCCTTAACACCGCTCATCCAAACACCTCCAGTTCGCCTCGAAGCTAACGGCGCCCCTCCCTCAGACTGCTCACGCGAGCGCCCAAGATCCAGGGAGTAAGTGGGGGTTCTCTCCTGGACGACGGCTGCGTCGTGTTCCAGCCTTCAAGGTTCAGTGCGCCGAACACTGCCAGAGCATCCTCAATTGGCTGCCTTGAGCCGGTCGTGTGCATATCCCACGACCGAGTTCCACTGGGAGTGCCGCCTGGATATGACCGTGGGTTCTCCGGCTGATGGGTTGCTCTTCTGATACCCTCGTTAGGGACTGCCTGCACCTTGGATATTAATGGGAATTCGTCATTGTCTGCCTGCCGGCCAGGATCAGGTGACATCATATTGAGCCTGGAAAGAGTCGTCATTCAACGTGCTGGGGGACCGACTGTCCATACAAGGCATTCGTGTGATGAGAAACTCCAGATATTCCTTCTTCGGCCTGAGCAGGGGTTCCACTAGTGCCACGGTTGATCATGACAAACGAAATCTCACTTTTGAAGCCTCTCGGTAAGTCGCATTTGAAAGGGACACCTGACCCTAGGCCCTTCCCAAACATCAGGCATGGCCCGACCCGCCTGGACCGGGCTACCATATTATGCTGTCCACCTGTTCAGCAAGGCTGTCTCCTTTCGCTGAATATCTGATTGACTCTGATTGTGATCAGGCTATCAGAGGAAGAGTTGGTGCGGATATTGCAAGAATGCCACAGGCAGTAGGTCATCCTCCTCCCAAAGCCCTGGCATCGTTTGCCACATAGCCCCTGTCTGTGTTTTCTTTTGCAAAGGTCTTATCCGAATTGCAGGCTCCTCGTATTACATGTCGTGTGACAACATGCGAGTCGATCATTATCAATACCTAATGGACAGGGGCTGGAGAAGATCAGGCTCGCTCTATTACAAACCTGATCTCCTGCGGTCATGTTGTCCCCACTACACCATACGGTACGGGACATTCTACAACAGAAACAATATGGTGGAGGTCCGCTAATATCCACAGGCTGAAGGCGTCAGAGTTCCACCCAGGGAAGGACCAACGACGAGCGATCAACCGATGGAACGACTATGTGCTCGGCCCAGAGTACAAAAGAAAAGCTGCCATGCTGTGTCCACAATCGCGAGAGCAAGTTGGAACCAATCGGCTGGAAACATGCAGCTAACATTCGCAGGGAAAAGCGCCGTATGAGAGACAAATTTGACCTGTCTACCGCAGTCCACAAAGCGGAATATGACAACGTCAAACGCCCGGTTGCCAAAAAGACCGGCGTGCCCATCGAACCTGCCCATAGATTTGAGGTCAATCTCGAAGGCGATAGCTTCACAAAGGAGAAGTCAGTATCAACATGATTTTGTGATCTACGTCTTACAAATTTCAGATACGATGTCTTCCTGAAATATCAGTTGCGGATTCACAAAGACCCCGCATCCCGATGGAAAGAAACTGACTTCAAGCGATTTCTCTGCACTGGGCTTGACCGGAAGATTCTCAAAATTAGCGACAAGACACTCAAGTTGGGTTCGTACCATCAATGCTATCGCCTCGACGGCAAGCTGGTGGCCGTGGCAGTTCTCGACCTTCTGCCCCATGCCGTCAGCTCGGTCTATCTCTTGTAAGTTTGATCTTCTCGCCTTGGAACGCATTGCTCATTTACAAGCTATGATCCTGAATACGAACCCTGGGACTTCGGAAAGATGAGCGCTCTTCGAGAGATATTGCTTGCAACAGAGGTCGGCTATGAGTACTATTATATGGGTATTTGAGGGTTCCCTTTCGTTTTCCTCTACTTACACAAACAGGCTATTACATCCATTCATGCACCAAAATGCGATACAAAGCCACTTTCACGCCGACCTACATCTTGGGTATGCTAACCTGTTCGACAGATACTTGAAATTTTCACTGATAAATTGTTAGATCCGGAAAGCTATGAATGGAACCTCTTCGATGATAAATACCGTCAGGAGCTCGACAAAAGGAAGTACGTCTCTCCATCCCACGATCGGAAACATGGAGTGGATGCTGCAGAGAGCACCACTCACCAGGCAGCCGAGACAGCGACTTCGGATCGCGGCACTGCTCCTAAAACTACAAAGGAAAGAGGAAGAATGTTCGACGACGAACAAGACCTGGAATTCGATGAAGCACCGAGTGACGAAGAGGATGCAGAAATTCCCGAGGGGTCCTTGTTTGATTACGAGATACCCGGTGTGCTGACAAAAGATGAGGTGAACCGTCTTGATCTCGACCACTGGCGTCTGCTTGTAGGTAACACTCTGATCGAGTTAGAGGTAAAAGGCTTCCAGTCCGCAATTTGACCTGAGCATGTTGTTAACCACCTTGTAGGACCTTCGAGATTGGGAAGCTGGGAAGATAGACGACCCCGACACTATGAAAGGCATGGCTGCAGAACTTGCAGCGGTTACGGGACCAAAACTGCTGCAGAACAGTGCACTGGCGGTATTTTGAGAGAAGCAGAGCCAATTATAGGTTTCGCACGAGTGATGCATGAGAGTGGTCAGGCCACTTTGAGATTCAACGTCGTACAAAACCAGCTCTCACCGGAGTTGACTTTGAGACGACACCTCGTTCCCCTCAACTTCTGCGACTTCCGCATCTCAAGTCTGCTTCGATACATGCTCAACCTTTGATCAAAGTGTGCCCGACACGTCTACGACTGACTTGAAACAATGGCTGCGAACATCTGCAAGGGAGATTTCACCCGAATGCAGTCTTACGAAAGAGTTCGACCAGTTGGATACCAGTGCAGTAAAGAAAAGGAGAAAACGTCAGCAGAGGTAGGGTAGCTCCTCCTTGTATATTTTCGTGGTTGAGGTGTTTTGACTGTCAAGAGGACTGACTTCAGAATGTACGCTGATCTGGTTTTCTCACAGGAGCCGACACATAGTATGAACAACACCACGATTGCCTCGAAGAACACTCAAGGTGTCACGTTGGAGAGAACTCAAGTTCTTGGATCAGATCAAACAGCATGAGAAAGACGTGGAAGTTGTGATGATGATATACGCCTTGGGCGGTCCTGTCAACTTGTTTTCCTACGAACACGGGTGAGAAGGTATTCACTGGACGATGCTGCTATCGAGTTCTCGACTGGGCAGTGACCAATCTATTCAACGGATCATGACTGGATGCGGTAGACACTTCCAAGTTTAGAGCAAGACAATGTTCCAAGGAAAAGAAGATTCTGCTCATGTCAACCTAATATCCGCTTCTCGTCGTCATTGCCACTTATGCTGAACCTCCTTCAAATATCACCCATCCAAACAATCTGCTCATGAGACATAGATCGTATGTCCCGTCTGGAAAATACTGATATGTATGGCCTGTATCTCTGTTTCGCCCTGCTCATTCCCCTGGAGGGCGATGTTTGTAACCGCTCATCCGTCGCTGCCTACCAAACGACTACCCGTGAAGAACAAACAGCCCGTCCCCATGAGTGACTACTTAAGGCAGCTCATCTTACATCGCAAGAACTACGTGTAAACGGAAAAGCGAATCCTCTTGAGACAGTGATGATTGTGTTTGCCCTATAAAGATATCCCATCTCTTCCAAGGACATCTGATTCTTTCTGTCGATATCTTAAAACATTCGAAACTGGGGTCAGAGGAATTCGACATGATGAAATCTCTTCTTGCATCTCTAAGCCTCCTGAGCTTGGGTCTTCCAGGCCTAGGGCTCAGTCATCTTACAAGCACAGCACATGATCTACAGCCACATCATATAACACCGGATCCAACAACGACACGTGCTTCAACAACCTCCACGGTCGACCACTTCATCTATCCTTCGCTGATAGCAAAACGCGGAGGTGTCTGTGATGGCGGGATGACCTTCTGCAATGCTGTGGGTAATTGTTGCCCTGCGGGTACTTACTGCACAGTGGACATCCTCCAGAATGGAGCCTGTTGCTCATACGGTGCTTCTTGCACTGGTCTGGCCAGCCCTGTCCACGGGCTAGCCACAGGTAACTGGCCGGCATCCAGTGGTGCGAGCACACGTCGACCCCCGAGAGTTTTCGTCGTCCTCGCACGGTTGATGAAGCTCGGTTCAACCTGCCCTGCGAACGACGAACTTGTCAGCAAAGCTGCAGCTGGTGAGATGTGTCTTGAGGAAGAGAACCAAGGGGGTGTCTCAACAACGGAGACTATGTCCCCTAAGATCTCTGGTGTTGATATAGAGGACAAGAAAGGAGGCGGCGGCGGTCACGGCGGAGGAGGGAAAGGAGGAGGGGCTGGAGGAGAAGCTGGAAGGGGAGCGGGAGGAGCTGGAGTTCAAGGCGCCGGGAATAGAGGTGCAACAGGAGAGGCTGGTAGAGCCTTTGCTGTGCCTAAGCCCATGAAATTTTTGGGTTTGCCCTTCGTTCTTGCGCGGCATGTCAAGGCAGCCATTCTTCCGATTGTCAACACGACCTCGGAGGCAGCGGGCATGCTCAAGCTCACGGGAGCCAACGAAGCCATGATCATGGGCCAGAACAAAACAAGCGTCGCGCCTAGCATGCCTCGACCTTTGCGGCTCTTCGGCCTTGCATTTGCTCTCGCGGAACAGATCAGAGCAGCCACTCTTCTAACCAAGAACAGGACCACACGCCCATCAGGAGAAGTCAAATTCATGGGCGGCAACGTTTATTACCTTGAAAACGCAAACCACACAAGCGACGCAGCTGGCAGACCCCGGTTCGCACGAATATTCAGACTTCCCTTGGTCCTTGCAGGATATATGAAAGCCACCGTGCTAGCGGATGCACATGAGCCAAACCACGTGCGGAATGCTACCGCCATGGTTGATCCCAATTGCGAGATTTCCGCACCCATGGCGGATGAGGATCATAGCTTCCGATTTCGAGGCGGTGGAGGGACTGGTAGCGCGGCCAGCAGCTTTTGGTCCTCCAGAGCATTTCGCGTCCTGGTCCTTCTGGTACGGAATATCGACGCAGTTTTCTTGCCTCGATCACCAGCCTCTGCCAGCAGAGCAGCGGCATCCACCAGCAGCGACGAAGGGAGGCATCATACGGACTCCGTTGCAGTTAGCAGCTTACCCACAGGCGAGGGGCAGGCGGTGCCCATCTTGTCTGCGGAATGGAGCACCTCAAGCTCCATGCAGACGATGACAGTCTCCAGGTCAGCGTAGACAACATTTCTGGTTCCTGACAGGATGACGGGAGGAGATAGGAGCGCGATTCTGGGGGGAGTGAGTTGGGGGGGTTATTATGGAGGCTCTGAGCTCGTCTCCATGCCCTTCCCTCAGGCCAAGCAGTCGCTGTCTCCTAGACTCTCGCAATCCCTAGTTATGATGCTGTCAATGATAGCTTTCAGAGGGGATTGGATCTCGAAACGCAAGGTTTCGAGCGGATGGACAAGAAGCATGCTGGCTGTGACACGAGACGAGGTACTGGTAGAGGTACACTTGAGCTCCTCGAGGATTTTGTCTCCGATGCTGGTGTATCGCATTTCTAGCCCTGGCGTCAGTACATAGGTTAGCATCCAAAGGGGACAAAGAGTCAACTTCTTCTTGTTCCTGGACATGGCGATGGGAGTGCATGACTGTTCAGCAATGTCGTCTGTGCAGACTACTGTTTCCATTGCTCTTGCCATCTCAACGGCGCTGCATTTGTCCAGAGCAAAACAGCCCCCAGAAAGGCACATTTGCCGGCACCCCATAAAGCGGCGAGTCAAGACTTTGTTCCCGACAGAAACGGCCTTCGTTCGGAGCTGCTTCCCCAGTCGTGTGCTTTTCCAAATTTCGCAATACATTCTATCGGGCGATAATAACTTTTTCCCTCCGCAAAACAGCTTCCATTGCCATCACACCTCCCCAGTATACTCTTTGTTACCCCTGTGCCTTGTTAAGCCCTGTCTCTCTCCGTCCACATCATGCTCCGAAAACAGTTGCTTCGCCAGGTGCGCACCGTCTCAGAGTCGCTGTCTGCCTCGCCGCAGATACGGCGGTCGCCATTTTCTTCCGCCACGTTCCTTGCTCCCCGTACATCTAGACCCGCCTACGTCTCATCGCGGATAGGGCAGAGATGGCAATCCACAGAGGCACAGCAGCAGAAACCTGCCACGGAGGCTGCTCCTTCGTCAGAAGAGGCAAAAGCTGCGGAGGAGGCCAAGCAGGATCCTCTCAAGGAAGAGCTTGAGAAGGCCAAGAAGGAGGTCATAGATCTAAAGGTACTTTTTTTGGATCTCGACATGTCCCTCCTGAATGAAGCACAGCGAAGACTGATTCCTTTTTTTTTTGGATTCCAGGACAAATACCTCCGCTCTGTGGCCGACTACCGGAACCTGCAGGAGCGGACTCGACGAGACATGGAATCCGCGCGCCAGTTTGCCATCCAGCGGTTCGCCTCCGACCTGCTCGACTCAATAGACAACCTTGACCGTGCCCTGTCGTCAGTGCCGCAAGCTGCCCTTGGAATCACCTCGGCATCAACAACCTCCAACACCTCATCCTCCGACCCCAACGTTGCCGCATCCGCCGAGTCCACCTCCGAACCGAACAAAGACCTGGTCAACCTGTTCTCGGGCCTGAAAATGACCGAAGATATCCTCATGTCCACGCTGAAGAAGCACGGTCTGGAGCGCTTCGACCCCATGGAGGGTGGCGGGCGCAAGTTCGACCCCAACACCGACGAGGCCACTTTCTTCACCAAGGTCGAAGGAAAGGAGGATGGAGACGTCTTCTACACCCAGAGCAAGGGATATAGACTGAATGGGCGGGTCGTGAGGGCCGCCAAGGTCGGAGTCGTCAAGAACTCCTAGTCCACTCCGTGACCTATGAACGTCAAAATCGGGGCGCCTGTTGTTATCCTTGTACCAAAAGTTATCGACCTTACATCTCTCTCTCTACCTCTGCGCTTCCAACCGGCGGAATTCGGCGGGCGACGAAATCGGGTCTAGAGACGGAAAAGGTCTCTACAAAAATCGGATGATATGTCGGCTCTCATCTTAGAAGTGACGGGATCGCGGGAGAGCGGAGCGCATGGTAATGTGTATGACGGCTAACATGTTCCGTCTTGAAATTTCATGTGGGAAGGCACCGGGATGGCATCGCACAGATGCATGTCGGCTGGGTGGGTATGTGTCAAGCCACGAGCGGCGTTGGAGATGATCACAACGGAGCCGCATGAGATGTTGCTTAAACGTGCTTCAATGTGGCCTGGCATTTTCCGGGCTCTTCTTCCTTGTACAGCACAACCTCTTCTCTTACATATTGGGATTACTAGAACCACTGTGCATAATTATAACCTCATTTTCACTGACGGAGATGAGTGCCTCGGAGAGCATGGAAATAAAGGTAGTAATACAATATGTCTTCCGCGAATATATGCATCTGCTTTCTTCCCTCACGTAGTCGTCTGAAATTTATACAAGGCTGGTGTCTGTGGGTTCGATAGCTCCAGTGACGGGCGATGGGCGTGATCCAAAGGAGAACCCGGACCCGAACTTGTCGTTCGAAGCCGCTTGCCTGCCTGTCGGGAGAATCATGTCAGCGTCTGGCCAATCCGCGCAAGAACAAGATTAAATAAGCAAGTCTCTGATCCATTTCAGAAGAGGCAATGCACAATATAATCAAGTCGTGTGATCATATGGGGTTGAAACAATTAGGATTTAGGCAGTTCATCATTGGATCGCAAAAGTTGTTCGGGACGGGATGCGGACGGGGAAGAGTTTACCTATCATGATAACCTGCCCGATGTTCGACGGGCAGGTCTCGACTCGGCGAGCTGCTTCGCTCAACAACGGCCATAATCGCACCGTCAGAAAAGGTCCAGGTCGGTGAAGGGCTTCAACGCAATTCGACTCCAAACAGGTCTTTCATCCTTCTTCCGACTTCCTCGTGCAGACCATTGACTTCTTCGTTCGTCAATGTTCTCTCGAGACTTCGATAGTTGATCCTATAACAGAGACTCTTCCTACCTGTCGTAGGATGCACGAATTCGTCCACTAGTTTCACATCTTCGACCAGACTGCCCGCCACGTCCCGTACGACTTCCATGATATCATTCTCGTGGAAAGCGGCTGGCTGTGTTTCTGCAGGGGAAGCCTTTGTGGCATCTCCACCAGCTGCAGCTGCAACACCTGAAGTAGTATGGGCTGACTGTGACCCGAGGGGTGACGAAGCTGAAGGGACAGGCTTGATCCAGAAGGCAATATCCTTGTAGCAGGCTGGGTATTTACTGAATGGTTCGAATTTGGTGATCTTTCCACGAGTGAACTGTTTCAGGAATCTTGGATCCGTGGACCAGAACAGACGGATGTCAGGGATGCCAAATAAGAGCATGGCGAAGCGTTCAATGCCAACACCCCACGCCCAGCTGATATGGTCGTTCAATCCAGCTTTGTTCAAGATGCCTTGCTTGACGACTCCACATCCTAAAAGCTCCAACCATTCGCCTCCATGCCACAAAACCTCGAGCTCGAATGATGGTGATGTGAAAGGGAAATAAGCTTCGATCCAGCGGGCTTGCATGGGGGCGTCTGTTCTGGCAGCGGAAGGGAGCGATTGCCGTGAGGCCTCGAAGATGCGGCTGACCAGATACTCAAGGCTGAGTTTAAGATGCCTGGCGACTTGGTACACTTCGTCTGGGTTATGTTCGGGCTGCAAGGGATTCGCAGTCCCGGTGAAGTCGGTGGCTTGGTCTTCTACGACGAGACCCGTCTTGGGCATCTCTTCACAGTTGCGCTCAATCTGAGCGGCTCTATTCCGCTGAGCTTCCCAGACTCGGGCGCCTTCCATTTGGTGGAAGACTGGAAAATGGCTCCTGTCAATACTGTCTCTGCGGTAGACGTCGGCGCAGATAGTGTAGCCTTTGCTAGAAGGGTTATTGGCTAGCCACTGAAAGGCAGCGTTTTGATGGGCAGAAGTATGTGTGCGCAGGAGATGGGTTGAATTGACATAGTATGTGTCTGTCCTCGAGCGACCTGGATGGTCTGCCGGAAAGCCCAGGACATCAAAATTGTCTCTGACTGTCACAACTGGATTGCCCATGGCGAAGTGTTTGTAGGTCGGTTCTTCAAAGCATGACTCGATGAGCTTCCGAGTAATGCAGATGGGATGGTCAGGATGGTCATAGAGGTTACGACCGACGAGGTCCAGGATGGAGCTGGACAGATTCGAGGTCTGATCGAAGATGTAAGGTGCCCCCAAGATCTTTGCTCCAGATTGTCCATTCTCGCGGATAATTTCATTCCCCAGGTCCAACTCTTGCAACTTTTTCTCAAACCTGGCATGATCTCCGCTCTGACTTGATGCCGCCGCAGTCTTTGCTGGGTCAACCTCGTTGACAAGGTTGACAGATTGTTCAGGGAAGGGTTGCTCGTCGGGCGAAGCTTGGGCTTGCGCCTGGGAGGATGCCCATCTTGATGGGACCGTGACCGGGGACGAAATAGGAATCCTTGAACAGCTAGGGACGGAGAATTTGGCGGCTTGGGCGGCGCGCACAAAAGCCCCAGTCTTGAGAAGCCGCATCGGAGAGGGTGAGGGAGCTTAGTCTAGCCGCTCAAAGGGAGTTGTTGTTGATGAAGCTCGTAGAAAGGGTGGAGGAATACGCCGTGAAGCGCCGAAGTCAGTTTTCTTGAGCTGTGTTGAAGCTTTGTGTGCAGCCGCGTCTCGGGACCGATATCGCTGTCTCCTACCCGGCCGTCTCGAAAACCGACCCGCGTGTCTCTCGGAAGGAGGCCTCTTCCGTCATGTCTAGTTATCGCCGACAGCAGCTAAACATTGATCATAACGCCGGCGCAGTTTTTTCTCGTCTACAATTATCCCCCATTTATCTTATGTACCAGTAGCCCTGCGCTTCCGTGAGCATTCGTTACCCTTCGTTCTTCCTCTCTCCACTCCCGTCCTCTCCTTTTTGGTTTGCTTTCCTTTGATGTTTGCCATTTGATGCACACAACCGCAACCTTTGGGAATGGAGCCATGGCCGAATCCGCTCCAGCCGTTGTCGCAACCCCCAAGCACGATGTCGAGGCTGTACCAAAGCAGCGGAAGGCCGCTGCAGCGATCCATTATCCATTCTGGTTTGGTGGAAGTGCGGCCTCAATGGCTGCGGTAGTCACTCATCCTCTAGACCTGAGTACGTGCCTCTGCTCCTGGTCCATCATATCCATTGATTCTTCTAACAACCTGGTGTAGTCAAGGTCCGCCTGCAAACCCGCTCTCCCTCTGCTCCTAAAACCACTCTCGGCACCTTCACGTATGTTTTCCGCAATCAAGGTCTATTAGGTCTCTACGCCGGCCTCTCGGCCGCTCTTCTTCGCCAAATGACTTACTCGACTGTCCGGTTTGGAGTGTACGAAGACTTAAAGTCACGTTTCGCTGTACAACCAACACCTTCAGATCCTAAACCACAGCAGCCTATGTTAAACCTCATTCTCATGTCATCTACCGCAGGACTTCTGGGCGGAATAGCCGGCAACCCTGGTGACGTACTCAATGTGCGGATGCAATCCGATGCCTCTAAGCCTCCCCACCTTCAACGGAACTACAACCACGCACTTGACGGTCTAATACGAATGATTCGTGAAGAGGGTGCTATTTCTATATTCCGCGGTGTGACTGCAAATTCCACCAGAGCCGTACTCATGAATGCCTCGCAGCTGGCGAGCTACGACGTCTTCAAATCTGCCTGTCTCCACTCCCTAGGGATGGCCGACACCCTCGGCACCCATTTCTGCGCCTCATTAGCTGCAGGATTTGTTGCAACCACAATATGTTCCCCCGTGGATGTGGTCAAAACGCGGATAATGTCCGCAGGGGGAAAGATGTCGGTGTTTGAAATTCTGGCGCAAGCCAGTCAGAAGGAAGGCCTCCTGTGGATGTTCCGCGGCTGGGTTCCCAGCTTCATGCGCCTGGGCCCGCAAACGATATGTACGATGGTTTTCTTCGAGCAACACAAGAAATGGTATAGGAGATTCAAGGGGATCGAAGAATGAGAGGAGGACAGCAAGAGGAGGACAGCTAAAATGCCTGTGGACAGCAGACCGAATGTGCCTATGGTCCGCATTGCTATGTTTCGGGTTGGGGCGCGGCACTTCTGGGACCTTTTGACGAACATCACGTTTGTACAGCATTGGCATTGGTATGGAGTTTTGGATTACGGTATTAATAGCGGCGTCGGACGTGCATCCGCAGCTTGTCCGGTTTATTTGTCATTGCAGCAAAAGCCATCACAGACCGTCAGGGAGACAAAGAGGTAGGGTTTGTTCAGGACATTCAGAGATGAAGTGAGCTGGTCTTGGCGCTCCTGGAGATCGTGGTATTCTTATGCAAGACTGTATATACGGGATGGCGACAATCCCAATCCGACCAGGCCTTTTTTTAAAGCTTGGTGCTTCCTCCTGCCCAATGGTTGGTATTAATTGCTTCTTCCAGTTTACACCGGGCCATTCGCCTGTTTTCCCAAAAACGCCGTCTCGCAGTTATCTATGTCGTGCGAGACTATTCCAGTCTGTTCCCAAAATGCGAACTTTGGCCCACGCAAGATGATATGATCAATGCTCCATCAATTCCACAGGTGGGCGTGGCGTACTTGCCAATATCTTCTTGGACGGCCCCTCCGGCTCGAGCTCCACATCTGATTCATCTTCAGCCTCCAGCATCACCGCCGGAAGCGCCGGGCTGTCGCCGTGGGCCTTGGGGTCGTAGATCAAAGTCGAGCTTCGACTCCGATGCTTCTTTGGCGACGCGTCTGCGGTGGGGGAGTTCTCTGCCGACACTCCGGAGAAGGCACGTGCTCGGCTGGCCTTCAATCTCTGGAGCCCCTCGGCTGTGTATTGCATTTTGGCGTCGTCTTCGGAGGCGGAGTCGTCGGGGTTGGTGGGGGACGACGTGAGCTTGCCGTTCAGTTTCTCCAGCTTCGATGCCAGATCCTCGGCGTGGACGTGTTTGTTCGGCGGGTCCTCCTCTTTCATTTCCCAGCCCACAGGCGGGCTTGGTGGGGGGCTGATGAAGAATAATCTCCCGGCGTCCGGTCGGTCCAGGTATTTCTTCTCGTCTCCTATCGGGGTGGGCTCGCCAAAGTAGCACTTTGCGACCGTGTCTCCCATGACCGCGGACCCATCGAATACCTGCCTCACGGCAATGGCGGCGTCGACGTCGTAGAAGGAGCAGATGATGCGGTGCATGGATTTTAGCGGGGAGAATGAGTTTAGGGGCGCAATTTCTGTGATGTGTTGTCTGATGGTCGCCAGGGACGCTGGGTGAAAGATCTTGGGGTCATCGAGGCGGGTGATGAGGAGAGTGTTGGAGGGAGGTGCTGGTTGGGAAAGAGGCGGGAGGGAGGAGAGATCGAGTGAGAGAGGGGAGCGGGAGCGTTTGGCGGACAAGGATGGGCGAGGGGAGGAGGCGGTTGAAGTGGGCGGAGAGTTTGAGGAAGGGATCTGTGTTTGAATGGGAGAAAGAGGCTGTCGTTGTATATCTGCCATCGTGTCGGGCCCGATGTGTTTCTCGAGATGGAAAAGGACGAGAGTCTACGGTGAAGGGCAGATTGAAGATGACAGAGGATCCAGGTCCGGATGAGAAGGACTCTTTGTAGTTGAGATACTCGGAAGGTACCTGGGAGGCGATGTGATGCGCCGTGCAAAGAATTTGTTGTCAGTGAGGCGCAGTCGAGTCTGGCTCATACGTGCCAGTGGTTGGCTTGTTGGAGTCGAGGATTCGAGAAGATCGACCAGCCAAATCTGATAAGCGGAGAGGCGGAGGGAGAGGGAGGCTAGACTCTTTGCGGCAGGCGGAGCGGGCGCAGGAAGGCTGGAAACGGCGATGCAGAGCCACCGAGCCCACCCACTCAAATGCCTCGCTGGAATTCCGCCGCCAGCCGGATCCGGAAAAACAAGCTCCGTGACATCTGGCCCTTGGCCGAGGCTGAGCCTCCTTTTTGGCTTTTGCCACCATTTGCCCGAGCTCTTGTCAACCATGTACTACTTCGTACCCACTCACTCCTCCGTGCGCCGGGAGGTACCCCTTTGTCGCGTCTTGGTATCCTTCTTATGCTGCGCCGTCTCATGACTTAGGAGACGTGGTTCTCACCGAGGGTACGTACGTTGTGGCTCAGAAGGAAATTGCTGCTAGCCAGTCTGTCATCTTGCACAATGCCTCGAGGCTCAGCTATCAGGTACATGGCGTCCTTCCCGCCGAGTCTCAGCGCGTTATCTCAAAGCGCAGCCTCGGCTCTCCAACAATGCGGAGAATAGCGGCCAATAGTCCTATGCCTCTCCGCATTCTCGACTTCGACCTCTCGCCAGATGTGGGAATTTCGTCAGGACAAGGGATCCGGTTTTCGGATCCGATTGACTCGTTTCTCATTTGTGCATGCATATATAAACACAGGCTGCTGTGAAGATCCCTGATTGCGGATGTGTTGACCAACTTCACGACCAGTGCTTCTTCAAATCACCAACATGGCTCCGGTGGCTACTACCAATGGCTATGGGGGGATGTATCTCCCCGACGACCCTGACAGGGCAGGGCTTGCTCAAAGGGAACAAAAGCGCCCGCTGTTGAACAACCCATCGCCCGATGACGTTGAGATTCTGGAGCAGCTGTACGGGTCGCGCAAGAAAATGCGCATAGCCGTCTTGGGAGCAGGCATGTCTGGTCTGAACTTCTTCAAGACCGCGGAAGAGAGACTCAAGAATGTCGAGATCATCTGCTACGAGAAGAACGATGACGTCGGCGGAACTTGGTACGAGAACCGCTATCCAGGCTGTGCTTGCGACATCCCTAGCGTGGTGTACCAGTTCCCCTGGAAACCTTCACCATGGTCCAGGTACTATTCCTACTCGCCTGAAATTTGGGATTACATCAAAAAGGTCGAGCAGGAGAATAATTTTATCGAGAAGTACGTCAAGTTGCGACACCGAATTGTGGCTCTTTCTTGGGACGAGGGTACCGCCCAGTGGAGCATCAAGGTGCAGGACCTTAGTACCGGACGTGAATTCGAGGACCATGCAGATATGATTATCGATGGGGGCGGCGTTCTGAATAAGTGGAAGTGGCCCGACATTCCCGGCCTGCACGATTTCAAGGGTACCCTCCTCCATTCGGCGCAATGGAACCAGAACACAGATCTTAAGGGTAAACGGGTCGCGCTGGTTGGCGCCGGAAGCAGCGCCGTTCAGATCCTACCGAATATCTACGACAAAGTCGACAAGGTGTACACGTGGATTCGGAACAAGATCTGGATCACTGCGGGTTTTGCTCAAGCATTCGCAGGCAAAGACGGAGCCAATTTCATCTACAACGAGGAACAACGAAAGTTGTTTGACGACCCCGACGAGTATCTCGCATACTGCAAAATGATCGAAGGGGAACTCAATCAACGCTTCGGTTTCATCATCAACGGTTCCGAGGCCCAGAATGCCGCACGCGAGTACTCCGAGAACGAGATGAGGACGCTGCTGAAAGACCGTCCGGACTTACTCGAGAAGATCATGCCGACCGATTTCTACGTCGGATGTCGTCGTCCCACTCCCGGAAACGGGTACCTGGAATCCCTCACGGGCGAGAAGACCACGGCGTTTGCCTCGCAGCTACAAAAGATCACGGAGAAGGGCTTCATCGACCCGGACGGCCAAGAAAGAGAAGTCGACGTGATAATCTGCGCCACGGGCTTCGACACGTCTTACAAGCCTCGCTTCCCCCTGGGCGTGAACGGGGTCTCCAAGAACGAAGAATGGAAAGACCACCCCCACGTTCCTTCCTACCTGAGTCTCGGATTGGCCGAGGTGCCCAACTACTTCGTCTACGGAGGCGCCTATTGTCCCTCGGCGCACGGCAGTTTCTTCCCCCTGATCGAAGGGTACTGCAACTATACAATCCAGGTGATTGAGAAGATGCAGGTGGAGAACATCAGGAGCGTGAGGCCCAAGGCGAAGGTTGTGGATCAATTCCTGCGGCATGCAGACTCGTTCTTGAAGAGGACGGCATGGACAGGTGAGTTTCTTCCCCCCTTCGCATACAAGACATGACAAAAGTCCCCAAGAATGAGTAAAGTCCATGATAAAGATGACTAATTCGCTCTCCCCTAATTAGGGCCCTGCTCAAGCTGGTTCAAGGGCGGCAAAGTCGACGGCAAGCCCGCCGTCTACCCGGGCTCGCGCCTGCACTTCCTGCGCCTGCTCGAGAAGCCGCGCTTCGAGGACTACGAGATCGAGTACGACGACCCGGACAACATGTTTGGCTTCTTCGGCAACGGCTTCCACGTCTGCGAGAGGGACGGCAGCGACATCACCTGGTACATGGGCAAGCCGGGGCGGGAGGTGGACGCGGAGAAGATCAAGAAGATCATGGACGGCACTAAGGGGATTGAGATGAAGAGGCCGTCATGATCGGTCGGTCGGTCGGTCGGTCGGTCGGTCGGTCAGTCACTTACTCGTCTTTGCTTCCAGGCGGCTATTCCCTTTTCACCATTTGCTACATGGCAATAGAGGCGCGGGCAGAAGACTCGGGATATACCCAGCACAGAAGATACAGAAGTATAGACCATGTATACACGCGTTCATTTGATTGTACAGCTGCCACATGTATGACAACTCTGCGGGTATACATTATAGACGGTGAACAGATACCTTAAATGACCCAATTCTAGAGTACACGATGATTTGGAAGAGATACCTATCCACTTAGTCAGTTCTGTTCGCCCTTTTTTTCTCGGAGACATGAGACACGGGGCGAGCATCATAACAACTCGACGACCTTGCCATCCCTGCTGCTCGTCCAGACAGCATCAACCACGCGGTGGATTTTCAGCGCATGGTCAAAGTCCGGCCAGGTGCCTTCTTGAGCACCCACGAAAGCGTCCCAGAGCCTCGCCACCGCGGGCTGACCCGTCTCCTGCTCCGAGACGTTTTCTTCACTCACAACGCCTTTGTCGCCGTCTTCGTCGTCGTTTTCGATCTTCATGCGGATCTTCCACGGCACGGGCAGATTGATGTGCGGAATCATGTGGGCCGGGCTGGTGATCTCCATCTCGCCCTCCCTGCCGTAGATCAGCCAGGTCATGCCGCCGGAGATGCTGTTGCCGCCGCGCATGTGGATGCTGTAGACGATGCTGTCTTCTTTTTCCCCTTCTCCTCCGTGGTTGGCTTGCGGTGCGTTCGACCTCGATTTTGGTTTCAACGTCCCCTGGACGAGGACTTGGTCCGGGCTCTTCTTCGGTGCGTCTTTCTCGACGATCTGCCCCGTGACATCGTCCACGATATTCGTCGTGGGGTGCATCGTCCTCACTTGTCCCGAAACAGTCGCGACATCCGCGCCCAGGGCGAAGGTAAAACACTCGACGAAGTGCGCGAAGTGGATGTCCACCATGGTCGCCCCATTGGCCGGGTCAAGAGCGTACTGGGAACCGCGCTTTTCAGACTTCCCGTCCCCTGTGGGCACCGTGCCGATGACCGTCGTGCTGAGAATCTTGCCCAATCGACCGCTGCGCACGAGCTGAGATACCCGCTGCGTGATTGCCGAGAAGCGACCTTGCAAGCCCACAACCGTGCGGAGGTCTTGTGCCCGTGCGAGGCGGACGATTTCTTCGGTCCTGGCCGATGAACAATCGAGGGGCCATTCAACGAATACGCCCTTCAGTCTGTTCGAAAGGAGTGATGGCATGAGCACGGCTCTGTGCAGCGGCGCTTTGACGCCGACGACCAAGAATTCGACCTCGTCGTCTCGAGGCAAATCTTCGGGCGAGCCATACGCGCGGACCGTGGAGGGGAGGCTGTGCTTCGTGATGGCCTTTTGAGCGTTTCCAAGCGAAGAGCCGAGGACCGCAACAATCTCGAAGTCGCCGGGACGCTTCTGGATCGCGGGCAGGTGGAAGTGGTTGAGCCATCCGTAGCCTGTCGGTGAGGATGAGAGGCCGACCAAGGCAATGCGAAGCGGTCTCGTCGGAAGTAATGTGGTCGTCATGTTGCGCTCGCTTGTCGACATCGCTCAAACCATGTCCAATGCATTCTACCCTTTCCGGTCTTATATACTTCGATATTTAGACCACGCCCCACAGTCACTCGTAAGCTGACATATCCCTGCTTGGATGCGGATTGTTCTTGGGGTCAACAGCGGGACAACCCGGTAGATGCCTGGGGCATCCGGTAATAAGGGATGTGGCGTTGGAGACACACCAGACAACATCGTAGCAGCCTTGCGAATAGCGAGGCTCGTAGTGACCACCAATAGGGAGGAGAGGGGAGATTGCCCACACAACTGCTGTACTCGGTAGAGAGTAGCGCTTCTCAACTCTTGCGTCCCGTCCTGCTAGAGCATGAGCGCCAGAATTCGATACCGTCTCCCAAACTGTCTCTTGGTCATCCCCGTCTGTTTGGAACAAGGAGTTGATCAGAGCGACGACCCAGCCCGTCGTCCATGCATTTTGCACTCCAACATCTCGACCACTTCAGTATAGCCCCTTCTCCTGGCAATTTCCAATGCCGTGAAACGTTTCCCATAGGACATGTCCTCGTACACGATGTCAAGGTCGATATCAGGTTGTTCGAGCAGAACTTGAACAGCTTTTACACTCCCGTGGCGAGCGGCGGCACACAACGGAGAACCCGTGCCGCCGGATGTTGCATTCACCTGGATATCCGTTCGCTCCAGAAGCAATTTCAACGTTGTCTTGTGGTCTAGTCTCGCCGCATTAAATAATGGAGTCTCGTCCCGATAATTCCTCGCATTCACATCGACATCTTCACGCTCCAGGAGCAGTTTCAACGTTGAGTCGTCGTCTCGGCTCCCCGTGTGGAATAATGGAGTCTCGTTGAAATGGACCCTCGCATTCACATCGACATCTTCATGCTCCAGGAGCAGTTTCAACGTTGAGTCGTCGTCTCGGCTCCCCGTGTGGAATAATGGAGTCTCGTTGAAATGGTCCCTCGCATTCACATCGACATCTTCACGCTCCAGGAGCAGTTTTACTATTGATTCGTGCCGCATAGACACTGACACGTGTAGTGCGGTTCGCCCATCAGCGGCTCTAGCGTTCACCTCGATATCCGGATATGCTAGGAGCAATTGCACTATCGATCTGCACCTGTATTTCGCTGCAATGTATAATGGAGTCTGGCCTTGAGGGTCTCTTGAGTTGACGTTGTAATCGCCATGCTGCAGGAGCAGTTTTAGTGTTGATTCGTGCCCACAAGAACACGTCCAGGTCAAAAGGTCTTCACCATCAACACGGATATCCTGAAAGCTTACCCGGTATTGCAGCATCAACTCAATAACCTCTTTATGCCTTGGTGACAAATGCAGGGGTATGTGCTCTTTACGGGGATCGTTGATGAGTTTTGTTTTTTGGAGAAGCATTTTGACGACATCCGCACGGCAGTTATCAACCGCATAATAAAGGGGAGTGCGCCCGAAATCGTCTCCCTTATTTAACTGGTCGGTGGTATGCTCAAGAATGCTTTTCACGAGGCCCGAAAGTCCGTATCCAGCAGCGTATGACAAGATCGTCCGGCCTTTGTCATCGTCACAATCCAAATCGACTGTTGGGTGTTGAGAGATCAGAGCGACCAGATCAGCGTCGGTGTGCAGAGGTTTCACTGCATGAGATTCGGCGTCCGCGATTCCTCCAGCCAGGCATACCAGATGCCAAAACAGATGTCTGAGCAAAAGTTCATAGCCATGCTGCAATGCCCAAGGTAAAACATACTCTCGGACTCGAAGCAGAAACATTGCATTTTCACACCGATCAATAAAGGCATATTTATTGGGATACAGCGTTACTCTTATTGAAGTCAAACGTGAGTCGCTGGCACATAGGCCCATCTCGAGGCGGCATCGTTGATCGATCTTTGCCTGGCAGGTTAATTGGACCTTATCTGTTGCTAGCAAAGTTTCGGCGAGATCAATGCTCCCTGTGGCGACGGCCCAGAAGAGTATTGACATGGTATTCAGTTTGGAAATCGTTGGGGCGCTCTGCAATAACAACTCGACACAGTCATGTCGCCTTCTGTCGATTTGAGATGGAACAGAATTGAGATCTGATTGGGCAATTCCCTCTGTTCCGGCGGCAGGACTCAGAAATTCCTCGATCGCCTTCTTGTTCTTTGCGACTACAGCCGCCCGCAGAGGAAATTGATGTCGCTCGCCCATGATATCCATGTGAGGTACTTTTTGAAGCTCAATGCGAATGAGCTTGGTAGGTTTTTTTCAGCGAAAATATACAGCAGGCTGGCGCCAGGGGAATACTTTCGAATAGAGTACTTCTCAAGGATGTTGTTGTACCCCTTCCAACTTGCGAAGTCGAATTCTGTAGTGAAAGTCAACTGCGAGATATTCTTTTCAGCTGCAGCCTCAGCGTGGTCGAATATGTGTTTCATGGCATAGCTTAGGAATGGGTATTGCAGGCATAAGTTCTCGGAAAGACTCTCGGCGTCGTTAGATGAAGAGGCACCCTGTGACTGAGAATTGTTGTCATTAGAGGGGGTGTCCAGCTGAGTTTCATTTTCGACGATTCCGTGATCATTTACTCCGGGGTCGATTGTATCTTGTCCCCGCGAATCCACGAGACTTGTGTCAACCTTCAAGTAGTTTTGACAGCACAGTTTCAGCTTTTCATGGCTCAGCCCTTCAAAGTCCGATTGTAGAGGTTGTTGAAGGTGCACGAGCCCGTTTCCCTTGAGAAGGTAATCTCGAACGGATTCGTGGATGAATTGGACCGTCTGTTTCTTCGTCTTTGTCAGTTCGGCGAGGCCCTTGGAGCAGTCTAGAAGAAATCGATCCATGACATTTGTCGTTATCTCGTTCGGGTCCCATGGGGTAAGTTGATCAGGTTCAGTTCCAGCCAATATCGCGAAGTATAGCTCCTCACGCTTCAACGGTCGTTTGGCGAACAAAATCCATTGCAGACAGAGCAGGAGATCGTCGCTGTTTCGTGCGTCTCTGGTCAAGATATCTTTAAATAATTTATCAAGGCCGTCCGGAATCTCATTGAGTCGTTTCTGAAGCGCATGTATTCGTCCTCTGTCATACTCTTTCTGCAGCATTCGGACGACCAGTACGACCCATAGAAAGATACCATTGGCTCTCTGGAGAACTTCATTTTTGATCTTTTCGCTGCGCTGACTCTTTCCGATTTTCAGTTCGGTCTGTAAGTAGTGTGCCAAGTCATCTTGATGGCCATCCTGATCCTCCAAAACGAGCTCAATGCACTTCTCGACGCTGATATAGGGGTAATGGCGACTTGAGAAACAGATTTGGAGGTGCTTTCCTGATTGAACTGCTTCTTGGCTGAGGGTTTCGAAGAATGCCACCATGTCTCGCACGTCATCTTCATGACACTCGTCCAACGCATCGACAAAGCAGACCAGGCGTCTGGTCCCAAGTCTTCTGACGGCGGCCTGAAAGATCATTTTCAGGGTTTCAAGTTGCCACTGGCCCTCGAATTCACCGGTTCCGGCCAGTAACGGCTGCGGAAGAAGATCCAGAATCTGCTCAAGCTCTGAAAAGTTCTCTAGCAGTTGCAGAAGTAGTGACCGATATAGACCTTCGGTAGACTTCTCAAGACCTTCTCCCCTTGCGTTGAAAAAGAATGAAAGAACTGTGGCTTCCGGCATGGTCTTCTTGGCGTTCGCAAGTATATACTTCATCAATGTGGATTTGCCGGTGCCCGGGTTACCCTTGATCCACAGAAAGCCATTATGCTCGGAGAGTCTTTCGAGGGCGAGCCAGTCCTGGTAACCAGGGTTCTTGAGAAGCCACCTGCAAGTTTTGGCGTGGGCCGTCTTGATTGTCGCATGACGAGCACCAATCTGATCAAATCTGAGGGACTTGACGTAGGCTTGCCGTTCTCCGATGCTCAAGGTTGTTCGACTAGCGGAATGAGGGCAGTTGTTGGTGTTTTCAAGAACACGACGGATTGCGGCCGCTACCTTCCTATACTCGACATCGTGAATTCCACTAAAGCGACACATATCCATGTGATCATTCGCGATATGCTGAGTGATTTCCAAACTCGAATCAGACAAGCAAGAGGATACATCCTCAACAACCTACTGAGATCAGCAAATTCGACAAGGTTGCCACCGCAAAAGTTATTGCTTACCTTCCTTCCACCGAGGGCTTTGATCCCGTGGTCTTCTTGGAAACAGTGTATCTTCCACTCCTGTGCGTGAGCCATCGGACCAAACTCGTCACGAAGTTGCCTCAGACGTTCAGCAGAAGGCAGCAAGCTCTCCAGGACGGTCTCGTTCACCGTGAAACCAACCACTCGAGCGACATTCTCTGCAATGGTCCTTAAAAGCCCTTGTGGGTCTGCACCGCCGTGTGGCGTGCCGAAGAAGATGATACCCGACGTTGACTCAGATATGGTTCGAAGATGATGGTGATGATTCAGATGGCCGTACGATTGTCGGAGCATTTCCTTGACAACGACCCCTCCAAGGCTGTGAGCTATGAATAGAAGGGGCCGGCTTGGGTGTGACCGGCGTGCGGCTTCCAATTCCAGCAAGAAGTCCTTTGCGAAATCATACACCGATTTCTGGCTCCTCGGGGAGCTAAGCCGATGTCCGAGGCGAGTGTCGTAGCCATACGCCAGTATTCGTGCGTCAGGTGCGGTATGCGGTAAGAGATCCCTGGGCCAATAAACAGGCTTCCGGCCGCGTGGGACTTTCACTGAATCGAATATCTTTTGGAACTTTCGGGGTCGTTCGTCGCTGTGCTCTTCAGGTACACTAGGCTGATGGCCAGTATCGCCCTTATGCCTCCAGGTACGCTCCGGGTGTCCATTAAAACCATGGACAAAGACGATGCTAGGTTCGACGTCAAATTCGTGGCCAGTGAACGGAAGTGCATGCAGAGTAGAACTTACTCGATCAATGGGTGTTCAGGGGCGACAAGAAGCGAGAGTCCCAACATAGCCGGTTCATCGAGAACCTTCAGCGCTGAATCAACAGAGCTTGACATCGCGATATCAAGCCAAGATGAGAGGCCTTTTCTGGCTAAACGACGTCGTGATGGATAAACCAATGGACCCAGACACCGGTCTGTTATTGCTAGTCTTGCCACATGCAGCCGAGAGAAAGACCTCGAGGCCGGTGGTTTCAAGATTAAAGTGCACAAATATTGTCGAACCGCTGGCCAGGTTTTCGGTTGTCAAACGACGCCTCGTCCCAAGGGTGGTGGAAAGGCTGACGATTGAACGGCTTGGAGCGTAGACAGGAGTCCGCTCAGCCGACAACACTTACTAGCCCTGGAATATTGAAAAGCAGTTCTTTTCACGAGGTCGGAAGAGGGATTCGGTGAAGAAGAGAGTCGTGCGAACGTTGTCAGGCTGGAGAGTCGGGCACTGCCCCCCGGCTGCGGTCGCCTGCTGGGCCACCGTATACCTGTTCATCATCCATGCTGAAGCTGCAAGCCACAAAACTGCGTCGACCACTTGGATGTCGCCAACACCATCAGCTGGCTAGACAAGGGTGGAGGCCAGAACGCCGGGCTGTCTCCAAGCGTATTGCTCTCCATCCCTGTCTTCAATTGGCCCGAAACAGCTGCAATACGGGCGCCATCTGCAATGGTGATCAAGGTGACGAGATAGGTCTCTGGCTAGAAATCAAGCCTAAGCCTTTGCTTGCTGCGGCAAGCGGCTTGAGAGAGATAGGGAGGGAGAGTGGTGAACAGAATGTGGCTTCTCCACCCGCGCAACCAAGGCAGACTGATGCGGGGCGTGATCGACTGCCAGGCAGCTCGCTCCGTATAACTACCGCGAACAGTCACCCAATTTTATGACCTTCCTCCTGCCACAACGCTTTCTTGCAATAATTACGGGGTTAGATTGAAATGGAAGTCAAAGCACTGTCTTCATCTGGCGGATCAAATCAAACTCCTCGATGGACAGTCTATGTCTATGAATGCATGTGCAGAGGCGTTCCATCATCTTCAGCCTCGCGGGAACTCAAAAGCACAGCGCCCCTCCATCCACTCGCAGATCTGCTCCTGTGATATATCTGCCTGCCCTCCTGCTGCTGAGGAGAACAACAGGCCCTGTGATTTCTTCCACGTCGCCCATTCTACCCATGGGACACCGACTTGCCCAGACGTCTCGCACTGGCTTCAGGTTGTCGCCGGCATTCAGCACGGTGTCCATGTAGCCCGGAGAGATACAGTTGACTCGGATCCCATGAACAGCCCATTCCGCCGCAAGATTCTGCGTCAAATGTGCGACGCCCGCCTTGCTGACATTGTACGCTGCCTGAGGTTGGGGATAGTTTGTCGCGTGAGCAGAGATCGAGGCGGTAAAAACAATGGATCCTCCGAATTTGGATTCGACCATGCGCTTTGCGGCTGCTTGAGCGCAGAGGAACGACCCAGTCAAATTGACATCGATGACTTTGCGGAACTGACTGGCAGTTGCGGAAATGGAGTGGACGCACCCGACTATTCCTGCGAAACAACATAACATGTCCACGCTGCCCATCAAATCTGAAGCGACATGGAAAGCCTTGTCCACATCCGATTCCGATGTCACGTCGACTTGGATCGTATGGATGCTCGCATTGGGAAAATCCTCCTTTAGTTGTGATATTGCCTGCGAGGATGCGTGGATGGTCGCCTGCAAGTCCATGAGCGCAACTCCTGAGGCTCCATGCTCAAGTAGTGCTCGGGCAGAGACCAAAGCCAATGTGCCAGCTCCCCCCGTGAGGACAGCATTGCCCTCCACTTGGAACCGGGCGGCTGCTCGGTCTGTAGGAGATGTGGCCTGTATGGGGGCCAAGGGTGCTGTGAGAGGATTTTCAGCCGTGGAAAGACTCATGGTTGGGATGATCCGTGAGGTGAGAGCAGACCGTTCGTCCTCGGTCGCCATTGGTGCTGCTGGCACCGAGTTGGGGTCACCCATTTTGATATTCTTGTATGGAGTCAGTTCCTCAGTCGGCCACAGCTTGAGTCCAGTGCGAATGTGTGCAAGAACAACGTGTCCGCCTCCGTCGTGATGTTATTGACTGCCGCAGTGGTCCTAGGCACTGGTTCCCAGCAGTAAAGGAGAGAAACAAGTAGGCGATTGATGGCTGAACAGACCTTTATATAGCATCAGACCCACTGATCAATGCCATTCTCGACATTAATATGAATTTCACTGTCGACACGTTTTCATTCTCATTCGAAAGTCTCATTGGTGTAGTCCATTGTGTTGTCTCCAACCAACTTTGGCGGCGGCATCTTTCGCATATTCTCGGCGAAAGATTGCCCGATCCGCCGGGTCACCAAAATTTTTGTCCAAGCATTCAGATCAGATTTCTTTCGGGTTGAAGGATTGGCATTTCTTCAGGTACATTGCAAGTATTCAGAACACTACCACATCCCAAGCTCCCCTTGCTGATCCCCCAAAGAGCCATGGCTCAACCCAGTCAGCCAGACTCGCTGCCGCCCCCGCCGACCCTCTCCTCCTCACTATCCTCCCAAATCGACCTTCTCGTGGCCCTCCACCTTTGGTCCTGGCCTGCCTTGACTCTTGCGATCCAAAACTCTTGGGGCGGCTCTCCAGAGGTCTCGAAAGACAAGCGGGATTGGTTTGCCGGCGCCGTGTCCGAATTGCTCACATCGACCCCTCCGCAATTGGCAGATGTCGCCGACCTTGAAGAAGTCTTGATCCAAGTCATGCTTGATGAATTTGAGGTCGTGGTCGACGATGGTAGCGCCGAAGAGACTGCGAAGAATATCTGGAGTGGAGCGACAAAATTGAGCGCCGGGGATACGTCTGAGTTGAACGAGCTCTATACGAAGTGGCAAGAGAAGCAAAACAACGGTGGCGACAAGGTCGTTGGTATCATCAGAGGGGAGGACAAAGAGGGTGAAGAGACGGACTGGGACGATGACGACGACGACGGCAGTGAAGAAGAGGAAGAGTGGAACGGGTTTCCTGATCGATCCGACGTCCAGATGGACGATGCTCCTACAATTATTGACATTGACTGGAAACCAAAGCAGAAGCCCGAGCCAGAGGTGGACGAGGATGGGTTCACAAAGGTTGTCAGCAAGAAGAAAAAATGACTCCAGATTGATTTTGTCACATCCTTCTGATCACCTGGCACACACCTTCGAGGATCGAAGTTTGCCAGAGCACACCGTCAAAACAGTGCATGTTCGACAGCGGCATCACAATTACTACCACGACTTCAGTGACCCTCCGCGTCGACTAGCCCCAGCTTCTCGTTCTCCTTTTTACTCCTCTGGCTCCACTCGGGCGGCTCATCGATGCCTTCTTCCTCTTCGCGATCTCCCTGTGCCTTGTCCTTATGCACAGTGGTCGGCTTGTGCTCCGCTGGGGAGTACACGGTATACAAAATCAGCGGAGTTGGTCCAGTGTTGATGAACTGGTGCTGTGTGCCTGCAGGCACGATGATGAGATCCCCAGCCTTTACATCTTGGTCTACGCCATTGATAGTGGCTTTGCCTTTTCCGGATGTGAAGGTAAGGATCTGGTCGACAGTGTGTTTCTGCAAGAGTAAGAAGACAACATTAGCGATCACACACATCCAAGTTGTCCACAGAGAATCTGCGGAAAATAGCGGCTAGACCATACTTCGTCTCCGATCTCACCATCCACCGGCACGGTCATCAGGACCAACTGGCTGTACAATCCCGTCCACAAGACCCGACGGAACTCGGCCGACTCGCCGGGTAGCGAGGTCGTCATATCCGGGAAATAGGCCATTTCATGCTTCGGCGGGTCCATTGAGGGCGTGGTGAACTTCATCTTGGTGGCTGTGTGCTGTCGAATCGCTGGGGCTGAGCTTCTCTGTCTCGCTTTTGCGGCGTTGAACGGAGTGAAGAGAGAACCAGCACCTCTATGGTATCCTTTTGATCTGAGACGGCCGGATTCAAAGCGTAGACAGCAAGATCTCCCAAGTCTGAAGGACAGTTGTGGTGGAAGAGACATGGAACAAAAAGATGAGAGTTATTCGGAACAGAGAAAAGACCAACACGAAAGAATCCGAGAGCAGATGATGTGATTGATGATTGTATTTTAAATTCCTCCTCGGAGAAGTAACACCTGAAGCCCTGATTTGCTGAAGGTATGGAAATTCACGGGGTCCTTTTACGTCGACCCTACTTACAGGTAGCGTTTAATTGACCTGGAGAGTTGGTCCGGAAGGTCTCATTTGCCCAAATCGGTGGAGTGCAGAGCAGTTGCAGGCCGGGTTGCCGAAAAGGGAAGAAACAGAGTGTTGATGTCATGAAAGACAGAGAAGGTCATGATCCCATCTCCTAGCGCTCGTCTTCGTACGAGGTATTGGCGGAGAAAGGTAATGGTATACTGCCGTCATGTGCATAGTCCCTCACGTGGTCGCCTCAACGCTTAGTACTGAGCACGTTCTGGAGCAAGGCTGCATGGCAAGGCTGCAGCTGCGGTCCCGTGACAGCCACGCAGCTTTCAGCTGTACCAAGTTCCTGCTGGGTGCCTCGGTTGGGGGCGGCGATGTCACCCCACAGTCCGCCTATTTTGCCTTTAACCTGCCCAGCACTGGAATTACCAGGAAAACGACCGGGGAATGTCGCAATATCAGCTGGCCCCAACCCACACTATACATCAGGGCCGACTGTGCCGCATCTGTCTGATTTGACGTGAGACTGAGACCTATTCTTGGATCTTTGACCTACTACTGTACAAACACAAGAGAAATCCTCTGCAAGACCAATTGCTCGGCATCGTCGCTATGTTTTACGTTCTGGTTTCTTTTTAAGAATGAAAGGCTTCACGCGCAAATAACTACCGAGCTCGAGGAGACACATCGATCACGAATAATACACCAGAGCACTGCCACCCTCCAAGCTTCTGGGCTGGGGTAACTGGGTTCAATCGGGCCGGGGGTAGCGAACTAACTACATCATCAACACCACCCACCCACCCGCCAACACTGTCGCTCCTCGCCGACGTCGCATTGCGCTTTTGGAGGTAGTTATCCCACCATTTCAAGAAGAACGTAATTTTATCGACAGAGGCAAGAAGTGACAACTTGGGACCTTACCGCTGCGTGAACCGGTCACAGCGAGAATCCTCCCAACCATGGGCTGCGGATCGTCGAGTTTGAAGGGAGCAGATATACCCGACATTAATAGCCAGCCAACGACAGCCGCACAGCCGCAGCAAATCAGGAAGATTCGGACCAATTTCTCAGACATCGACTATGATCAGGACGCTCGACAGCGGCGTCTGACGGAATATGCGCCGCATGAACAACCTCCGCCCGTGAGGGAGGAGAGTCACGACTTCACGGCTGAACAGAGTAGTGGTGCTTATGAGCAGTACCAGCAATATGACACCCAACCTGGTCGCCCGGATTATAACGCTGGTGCGCCGACTGGTTATGCAAACGACGGGGCCATGTCCAGGAGCGGCCCCGGGGACAGAGATAACGATACGACTTTAAAACCCTATCAGACCATCGATGGAGGCGACTGGGATAACCAGGATGGCCCGCCTCAGAGACAAACGCCCTATGTCAACGGCACGCAGGACGGGATGGACCCGACCTCGGATTCATCCAAGAACGAGTTCGCCGCGGCCAACGACCCGGCCAACCCGAAGAACCAAGATGGCCACCATTCCCCCCAAGGAGGCCACCATAACCAACAAGCCGACGGTTACAATAACGACGACAACGACGACGCCAACAACAATAACAACAACATGTCCCCGATCTCGTACAACGCTAACTCCGACGTCGCGGCCAACCCGGACATCCACGGCGGCGACGACAACGCCGCGGAGCCCAAGAAGTCGTGGCTCGGTCAGAAATACGCCTCCCTCCAGTCCGCCCGGCGCGGGTCGGGCCTCAGCGACGAGGACCTGATCAAGTACACGGGCAAGGACAGGAGGGAGCTGAGCGAGTGGGCCCAGAACAGGCCTGGGGTCGGGCCAAACCAGGACGCCGGGAGAGTCGGGTCGGACTCGGGCCTGGCGGCGGGGGCAGCCTGGAATTAGAGAGGGAAGGCGAAGGGCAGTGGAATGGGGTGGATTGGACGGTTAGGTGTCATGGGGAACAAAGAGCGAGACGCTTAAGGCGAGTTGTGAGATGGGACTGGAGAGCTGAGGCGGCGCCTTCTTGGGACGACGGGGAACGCAATCAACCACTCGTAGAAGGAGAAGTGAGAACTGTTCAAGCGACGAGGCGAGGCGAGACAAGCTGATGATGGGAATCGACAGATCGTGGAGTGGGCGACCAATCGAGTCGGCTGTCCGCACGGCCGGAAGAACGGAAGCTGAAGGCGGAGGAGGAGAAGGAGGGAGGGAATATCACTTGTCTGATATCCGGCGCTGGATGGAAGAAGTAATGGGAGATAGACACCTTCCCTGTCGTGAGAAAAGCGTGGTTGTGTCTTGTACTAACTGTGTGAGACGACACGCTGGGTACATCATCTTGCGGTGTCGTAGGATATCACGCGAGAGCTGCGAGGTTCATTCAATGTACATGTTGCGCCTTTCAAAGTACAAATTGTATCCTGGAATCCTTGGGAAACCTCTGGTTGATGCGGGTTACAGTAGAATATATCCAATACTCGTAGTCTGGTAATTGCTTATCGTGCAAAGTATCATGACATATGGCGCTGTTCTCTCTCTATCCTGGCCTTTAGTCAAGACTTCCTCTATCACAACACCCAGTCCTCCGTGGGAAGAACCGCCGTCATGCTCAGATGGCTTCACGTAGACGTCTCTCAATCTCTGTGCTCGCCACCTCTCTAGGATATCGTCTTTCCGGCGCAAATCGTTCAACCACTTCATAAACGCCGGCGCCATACTTTTGAGTTTTCCAATCGCTCAATCCATCATGTTCTCGCTGCGCCAACTCCACGCACTCTAGACGTCTCTTCGTTGATAAGTGTGATGCTGAGGCAGGCTTAAACCTCTCTTTCATCACGCAAATAGAGCACCTTGCATTCGCCAGAACACGAACCCAGCACCGGCCCGTGGGCTGTAGCTGATTTCTCATCGCCACAGCAAAGGGTGCTCATTTATTCTCTCTTGTGGCGGTACTTTGCCCCCGCACACGGGAGACAGTCTGCCTTGTTCATCACGGCCTGGCCTGCCTCGACTCTCCGCGAGGATGTTAACTTAGCCAGATGCTTGCATCAAACAATTTATGCGAATTGTCGGGTCAGATGTTCAGCTGGCTGTCGGGACTTCCTTGGACTTCCCTTTGTCGCTATCCGCGTGCTGGATGGAGGTGGTGCTGGACGAACGAGCATCATCTCTATACAGATGATTTTGCTCAATATATTCGACAACAGGTGCCGGGATAAGGTATTGTACGCTCATACCTCTCCGCAAGAACAGTCTTATCTTTGTGCTGCTGACGTCATTCTGGATAAGTTGCTGGATAACGTGGATATTGTCGCGATAGTTTTGCAAACTGGCCAGGGCCTCGTCGATATCGGTGCCAGATCTTTCAATGATAAAAGTACCATATCTTCCGAGAATGTGATCCAGATCTTTCTCGCTCCAGACGCCTGGGGTTGACATGGTCTGTATGAGGTCGGCCCCGGCGAGCAGAGATATCTTGACAGGTTTCCGGGTACCGTTTCCAGTGTCAATGCCCTTTCGGATGACATTGATTTCGTGGTCGAAATGATCCAATACCTTTGCAGTTGGCTGGTATTCCTTTTTTTCTGCTTCCCACGGGTCGACCATGAGCCAGCTGGAAGCTTTATCGATTGCAAGTTGGCACATCGCTACTCTGTAAGGAAATGTCAGCAATCGAGTATACTCCGTCGAGCCTGGCTTGCATACCTATGTTCTGCTGGGGCTAGGCCTTGCTTCTTGTATGCATCGGACACAGGAGACAGATACCCGCCGATCATCTCATAGTCCGTGTTGTGCTTGACGTAGTCGGCAGCCATGACGAACATGCGCAGGTGTAGGAAGGTAATGGGAGAGAAGGAGCCGCAAGCAACAAGCAGAAGAGGTGTCTTCTCTGGGTCATCCATCTTCTTCTTGAGGCGGGAGTCGGGAAAGCGGTATTCGTCCATCTCGTCGCCGTCACCGGTGATCGCTTGCAAAACGGTTGATCTTCTCTGCACGAACTGCACGAAGTTCTTCCCGGTTCTTGAGAAGTCTCGAGGAGAGTGTGAGGGAGGCAGGAAGATGGCCGAGGGGAGAGGTGATTTGTCAGAAGAGAGGATATTATCTATGGAGGTGGATGAGCCGGATAGCGGGGCCCTCGTGCCTCGTGGGGGATTGGGAAAGGCAGCAGACGACCTATGCAAAAGTCTGTTCGTGATTGAGCAGGATGGAAGGAAGTGAAGATGAGGACGACTCAGCATCTCAGGGCACCATCGCCCCGAGCAGAGAGTTTTGTCGGAGGGAGGGGCGTGGGCAGTTATGTCCGGCTTCGGCTGTATGGAGTGGAGGAGGAGTGAGGAGGAAAATAATCAGAGGTACGAGCTGGAGTTTTTCCCAGCAGGCAGAACGAGCGGTTTTCAAGGTGGGCGAGGGTCTGGGTCGATCTCCGCCCGGCCTGAGCGCCTTTTCCCAGCCTAGCCAGCCGGGACGGGGTTGAGTAATTCCTCAATGTAAAGTAGTTGGAGAGTTTTACTAGTGCGCGCCCGGCTTTGGAGGAGGTTCGGCTGATCCTGCTGTGAGAAGTGGGGTGTACGAGGTGAGGCAGTGAGGATGGAGATGTGGAAGAAGGAAAAATAAGAGAGGCGAATCGAGACTGTGGTGGATGGCGCAATTAACGACACAGATATTCACTGCGGCGACAAGATGGCGTGGACGAGCCGCACCTGTCATGTTTGACAGTCTGACTTCCATGTTGTTTTCTAGGTACTTACCTGGTAGCGATCATTGCGTACACGATCATTATGAAGACTACCTAGGTAGGTAGGGGGAGTGCGACATCTATTTGCCATAACGATGGCTGAATGCTGGGCCCTGATCACAACAAATGGTGATGCTGATGCTGATGCCGATGACGATGGAAATGAGGTGGAAAATTGCCTGCGCAACTGGTTCGGGTGCTTCTTCTACTTATGCGGCTCTCAAAACCAGTGTCGGACAAGGTGCTGGTCACTCAGCATTCCCCATCCCCTTCGCGTGGATGAGCCTGACTGATTCTGGCGTCATGCGAGTTCCAAGTAATAAGATGGTCTCATCATCTCATGCAGGCTCTCTACCATTCTGGGAGCCGATGCCCTCGAGACCGTCAGAATGGGGATCACGTGACTGGCGTTCCCAACCTCTTTTACGGAGCACTTGTACTCCGTATTTACAACATCTATAGTCTTGCCCTGGAGCCCTTCAGGCTCAAGGATCAACTGATCAACCTTTCGCTCTGAGAGGGACTTTCCCTGCAAGATTGCGTCTTATACCGAATACCTAACTACGGATTTGTAGAGCTGTCATGTCCAACTCAAGGGCTCAAGGGTTTGCATGAGGGCATTAAACATGGTTGCAGGGTCATCGTTCCACGGGCTGGGGGGTTGAGGCGTTTGTTAGGCTCTCCTTAGGCGTGATCGGGGGAAACTGTGATGGCTTATATACTCTGGGACGCCCCTAAGCAAGAGGGTGATCCCCCGAAAATTGAAACACCATGGCCTGGGTGGCCCGCCATCCAGTGGCTGAATAGGGCATGGCGTTCCGCCCTTACGCCAACGGGCTACGGGCCTGCGGTTGGTTTGCATTGCCGACCGACGTCGTGTCGGTCGTTCTTGGGATCCAAGCATTCGTCCGTCAAGGCTTCTTGACCAACTCAGACTCTGTCTCTACTATTACACAAGACAATCTCAGATTCATATTTCGTTTCGCCCACCTTGTTGTACGCTCTTTCCCCCATCTGACTACAGTTAGCATCTCCCCGTCGCTGCAGATGGCGGGTTAACATGGCAAATCTGCCCGCACGCCCTTCAAATTCACACCTCATACACGGACGTGCTGAAGGCCTGCCTCCATCTGATCACCAACCTGCAACTGCAGCATCCGCTGCAACCACCACCACCCCTGCGACTTCCTTACATCCAATTTCTTCGAACAGCACCCGCAGATCCAGGTACTGCTCACTTGCCTCTATTTTCACTGCCTTGCAATTCACCTGTGTCGGGTGCTTGGCTAAGAAGAATCCCTGTCTCTTCTCCGCCTCGCTCCTCACCTGGGTTCAACAAGAGCCACGGCCACCTTAAACCCACGCATAATTTACTGCCGCACATCTACACTGTCCTTCTCGCTTGACCTTTGTTCAGACTACGTCTTTGACATATTTTGACGAGATCCATTGCTCATGTCTCGCAGAGTCACTCGTTCATCTGCGAGGCTCGCTGCAGAGTCTGGCGCCTCCACTACCTCGCCTGCCGCTCCCTCCAACCCGTCGACGGCCATCTCCACGCCAAACCCCCCCACTGCCTCGTCGAGAAAACGAAAGGCCCCAGCCCGTCGAGCATCTAGCCCTACCGATCATTCTGAAGAGACAAGCCCTCCGTCGACCCGTCGCGGAAAGAGGCAAAAGTTGACCGAGCAGGTCCAGCCTCAGCCGGCAACCGCACAGCCTGTCTCTCGATCAACTCGGAGAAGAGCAGCGCAGAACGAGGTGGCGATGTCTAATAATGGGTATGTAATGATTGCAGAGAACAACATGCTGGCTGCCAGTGATCTGACATATTCAGTAACCCTTCAAAATACACTGAAGAGTCCGAGAAACCGTTACCCTCAAAATCGAGTTCACGCCGCCAATCCAGCAGAAACAACAAGACTCAAGGTAGTTTGCGCTTCTCAGGTGGGCACATCTTTCTTACTGACTCCCACGGCAGACCTGTCTCCATCCGCCCCGTCCTCGCAGCCGCGCAGACAGAGAAAGCGCTTGACCAAGAAAGACCAAGATGTTCAGATGAAAGACGAGGAAGAAGACGAGAAACTTTCGAGTCAAGAGAAAGACACTTCCCCCCTCGCTCACCACTCCCACAGCGACAGTAACGACGGAGACGATCATACCGATATGGATGATGACGATGGTCCCGATCCCTTTTCCGCAGCCCTTTTCGGTGCCGGCCGTGGCCCTTCCTCGGGGTTATCGAGTACTCTGAGAGCCTTGAGTGGAATGATGAGTGGCATGTCATCAAGATTGAGAGATATCCTGAACAATCTACGACAGACAGACAACCCTACTATGCAGATGGTGGCCCTAGAGGAGTTGTCGAATCTGCTGCTGGTCTCAAATGAAGACAATCTTTCGGGCCAATTTTCGCCAGATCCCTACGTCAAAGAACTTGTGGCCTTGATGCAACCAAATCCCATCACGGGTGAAGAGAATCCCGAGATGATGCTGTTGGCTTGCCGTTGTATTGCCAATCTGATGGAGGCTTTACGAGGCTCGGTGGCCAACGTGGTGTATGGAGGTGCTGTGCCGGTCCTTTGTCAAAAGTTGCTTGATATTCAGTACATCGACGTCGCCGAGCAGGCCTTGAGCACGTTATCTAAAGTCTCGATCGACTTTCCTGGATCGATCGTCCGCGAAGGCGGTTTGACCGCTTGTCTTCAATTCCTTGACTTTTTTGCTACCGGCACACAGCGAACTGCTGTTACCACTGCAGCCAATTGCTGTCGTAACATACCTCACGATTCATTCCCGGTCATCCGGGATGTTATGCCGATCCTTCTCAATGTCTTGTCCAGCCACGATCAGAAGGTGGTCGAGCAGGGCTGCTTGTGCGTCACTCGGGTCATCGATAGTTTCAAGCACAGTCCAGACAAGCTCGAGCAACTGGTTGATCCGCCGTTACTTCGAGCAATCCTGGGACTCCTTCTACCAGGTACTACGAACCTCATTGGAGCAAATATTCATACCGAGTTCCTCCGCGTGCTCGCGATAGTGGCGCGAGCAAGCCCCCGACTTTCCGCAGAGTTGTTGAAGATGAATGTCGTCGACACTCTGTACCAGATCCTCACGGGCGTGTCGCCTCCCACTGAGACCGAGGACGCTGCTTCCAAAATTGACAGTGTTGTCATCATGCAAGCCTTGATCCATAGACCGAGGGAACAGATTTATGAAACCCTGAACGTCATATGCGAACTCCTCCCAAGCCCAAACCTCTCCGATGAGTCGGACTTTGAAGTCTACGAAGATATGGATGACTACATGTCCGATGAGGGTAACCAGCAACCAGCGCAGCAATCAAAGACGGAGAAGAGACTGGAGCTGCTGCAAGACTGCAAACAAGAGACACGCCGTTTTGCGACCATCCTTCTCCCAACATTGACCGACGCTTACTCAAGTACTGTCAACCTGAGTGTCCGGCAGAAAGTACTTATCGCCCAGCTCAAGATCCTCTCCAATCTCGAAACCTCTGTCATCGAGGAAGCTCTACGCCCAGTACCATATGCATCGTTCCTTGCGTCGATATTGTCTCAAGAGGACCACCCAAGCTTGGTCATGTTTGCTCTCCAAGCGTCAGAACTACTTTTTGAAAGGCTTGAAGACATCTACCAATACCAGTTCCACCGCGAGGGTGTAATCGGCGAGATCAAGAAATTGGCGGACAGGCCCCTCGAAATCGACGCAAAGTCTTCGAAAAGCAACGATCCGAACGGTCACAATAGTGCCGCGGGTGATAATAGGACCCAACCAGTGGGCGATGAGAAGCAGCGCCACGGACGCGACGGCGACAACGATGACGAAGATGGCGACGGAGAAGTCGACGAAGAGGATGGCGAGGAGAATGATGACGATGATGCAGAAGACGAAGACAATGAGGAGATGAGAGAGGACGACGATGAAGACGAGGACGATGACATTGGAGTTCGACATCACCACGACCACGATCTGGATGATTCTCAGAGTTCAGACTCTTCCGATGAGGATGACGAGATGCCGTCTCCGCTGGCCATTGCTGGAGTCGCCGATCTGGTAGTTATACGGGCGAAGAAATTCTTGGAAAAATATGACACGCCAAAGGGTAAAGAGTTGAAAGAAAGGGCCTCCAAGATCCGTACCGACCTCCATGAGCTGGCGAACGACATCGAAAATTTTTACAGCCAACCGAACCAGATGGAAACCGACAATAACCTCTTCACCCGCCTGGCAAGTTATTTCGACGGCGATGCCTTGGAAAGCATAACAAGTTCTGAGTTGTTGGACTCTGGGATTATTCGCGTGCTAGTACAGGTCCTGTCTGAAGTCCCTCCAGCGTCCAGCACTGCTAGGGAACACCTCGTTGCAGCTTTCATGCAAACGACCTATAAAGGCAACATTAAAACAACCTCGGCGACATCTGCGGCGACGCCTTTCAGTGTCCTCGTTCAAAAGTTGCAGGATCTATTGAGCCGTGCGGAACACTTCGAAGTCCTCACTGTCAACAACAACGCCTCCGAGAGCAATCGGAGCAGCTCCACTTCAATGCTGTCGCGTCAGCTACGTCTGAAACTGGCAGCAGATGCTGACAGCGATATTCCTCCAACATATCGTGACATGGTCGTCTCCATTCACGCGATTGCTACTTTCAAGGCACTTGATGATTACCTCCGACCTCGAATCAGCCAATCCGAGCGTCCAGCGTCGGCCCAGCGCCGCCGTGACATGCTTCAACAGCTGGCAAATGCTCGCCTCGCCCATCTTTCTGGTGCTGCCGAGTCAGGATTGCTCTCTCCATTCGGGCAGGAACTTAGTTCACCGGCCCCTACTGGGAAGGTAAACTCTCGTCCCGAATCTCGTGTCTCTTCTCGAACAAAACAAAGATCTGAGGAGCGCCAGAATGCCGTCGACAACAAGCCAGCCGAAAAGCCCGAGCGAAAGCGGCTCACTCGTCGCACCCAGGCTTCTTCGTCAAATCAGCTCCCGGCGCCCGAGCCCAGCTCCGAGGACACATCTAACAAGTTAGAGTGTGCGGATGAAAAAGTTCTGGAAGATGTCGAAGCTCCTGATGCCGAGGGGGAAAGCGCACTCGAGGCCTTTGTGGATGGCCTTGAGGAGGATGGTTCGGATGCAGAAGCGCCTGAGCCGGGAGCTGTCAATATGGAAATTGGCTCTAGTGGCAAGGTGACGGCTCGAAAAGAAGATGGTACGAGAGTCCTTACGCCTCAGCCAGGGACACCTGTCCCTGGAAGCACTCGCCCACCATCTTCAGGGCAATCTCCCGGGCCCTCTCCAGCAGGGCCGGGAGGTCGCCCCTCATATGCTCAAGCCCTTGCATCGATTCCTCAAGACTGGCACATTGAGTTCAGTATCGATGGGAAGATTATCCCGAACAATACGACCATCTATCGAGCAGTTCACCACAACCGTGATCAGCCACAGGTTCCGGCATCCCGGAGCGTCTGGTCCGGTGTCCACACAGTGAAATTCAGAAAGGTCCGCGGCCCTCCTCCTACACCGTCCAATATCTCTACTTGGGACGAGAGCGAAAACCGTGAGTCCAAAAATGGTTTACCAGCTTCGTTCAGTGGCCATCCTGTCACGTCCTCTATCCTCGCTTTGCTCAGAATCCTCCACGAGCTCAACGCAAATCTTGACGAGCTACAAGATTTCATTGGACAACCGGAATCGAAGCTCTATCCAGAGTCTCTTGCATCCTTTATCAACACGAAATTGACGGCCAAGATGAATCGCCAGTTGGAGGAACCCCTGATTGTGGCTAGTAACTGCTTACCTGATTGGAGCGAAGACCTTGCTCGGTCATTTCCATTCCTATTCCCCTTCGAGACCAGACACCTTTTCTTGCAGTCGACCTCGTTCGGATACTCACGTTCTATGATTCGATGGCAGAATAGTCAATCCGAGAACGACGACCGCCGCGACCGTCGCAGAGATGACAGACCCATGCTAGGCCGACCTCAGCGTCAGAAGGTGCGCATCTCTCGGCATCGTATCCTGGAGTCAGCCATGAAGGTTATGGACATGTATGGCGCCTCCCCCAGTGTCTTGGAAGTGGAGTACTTTGAAGAAGTTGGAACAGGTCTAGGCCCGACTCTCGAATTCTACTCGACTGTATCGAAGGAGTTTTGCAAGAAGAAGCTGAAAATGTGGCGAGAGAATGATTCGGGCGAGAACGACCAGTTTGCCTTCGGCAAGAATGGCCTTTTCCCGACCCCTATGAGTCCGGAGGAGAGTCGAGGCGAAGCGGGCAAAAAGCTCTTGCTTTTGTTCAAGACGCTCGGAAAATTCGTGGCTCGTTCAATGCTCGATTCACGAATCATCGACATCGCATTCAGTCCAACCTTTTTCAAGATGGGCGGGGCTAGCAATGCGGCTCCCTCGATTGGCTTGCTGCGAACGATCGACCAGGACCTTGCAAATTCTCTGTCTCAACTTCAACAATTCCTCAAAGCCAAGGCCCGAATTGAAGTGGATTCATCTATGACCGAAGATGAGAAGGCACAGACGATCGAGGACCTCACCATCCGTGGAGCCAAAGTTGAGGATCTCATGCTCGACTTCACCCTGCCTGGCTATCCCAGTATTGAGCTCGTTCCAAATGGCTCGAACGTTAGTGTGACCATGGAAAACATCCAGCATTATGTGGAACGAGTGCTCGATCTCAGCCTTGGAAGCGGCGTCCGCGCCCAGATCGAGGCGTTCCAGACTGGATTCTCTCAAGTCTTTTCGTACTCGTCTCTGAGCGCATTCACCCCGGATGAGCTGGTCATGCTCTTTGGCCGTACCGAGGAAGACTGGAGCATCGAGACACTGATGGATTCGGTCAAAGCCGATCACGGGTACAATATGGACAGCAAGAGCGTCAAGAATTTGTTGCAGACCATGTCGGAACTGACCCCGGCCCAACGCCGTGACTTCTTGCAGTTTGTTACCGGTAGCCCGAAGCTTCCCATCGGAGGATTCAAGAGTCTTACGCCGATGTTCACGGTGGTTTGCAAACCTAGCGAGCCACCCTACACATCCGACGACTACTTGCCCAGTGTTATGACTTGTGTCAATTACCTCAAGCTTCCGGACTACACCTCGCAGAAGGTGCTAAAGGAGAGGTTGTTTGTGGCTATTCGAGAGGGCCAGGGCGCGTTCCATTTGTCTTGAAGATTGGCTACAATTTGCACTGGAACTCCGGGACGGTCGGAAAGAGGACGAATCCCCAAATTATGGGCGTGTGGATGGAAGTGGATTTCAGTGTGCATCACTCTTCAACGGTAATAAGCTTTTTCTCGAGCTTGGAAAACAAACAAGATGGGTTGCAAGTAATGGTTGATTGCGGGGGCTGGAAGCATCCTCATATAACGACAGAAAGGGACAAGACGGCCTTCGAGCTGGCACAATCGGACTTGGGTGCGAATCAGGTCAAATCCGGAATGGTCATGGGAGTCTTGCAATTCAGCCAGTTTGTATGGCCGTGGGATGCGTTGACCAGGATCAGGATTCCATTTGTGTGCTGGCGGTACAACTGGCAGCAAGGTCATGGATCATGGATCGTGGCGATCAATGGCCAGGTTATTGATGGGCGACCTGCAGCCAGGCTACCCTGCCTGCGATGCAAGATGCAAAAAAAGGAGAAACAGGAAAGACTGGGATATGTGAGGCAAACGAGTGGCATGGGGAGGCAAGGAAGCAGAGAAGAAAGAGAAAACAACCGAAACCACATAGCTTAGTTTTCAATGACAATGAAACCCTCATGATGTTAGATAGAGGGAATAAGGCGGCCCTGCCGGAATTACATATTGGATGACCACGGTGACGGATCAGAGCGATGCAGCAGGCTTCGACTCGACTTGTAGCAGGGTCAATGACGATCATTTCAAAGTGAAGCGGAAGGCAACGAGTGCTCGTAGCCGCAGGCAGCGAGGAGCCATCCATCGCGCATCTTCCATCTCCATCTCCTAAAGCACCCGAGCCAAGGGCGGTGTTCTCTGCGCCTCCCCTCTCTCCTTGCATCCCTGCTCTGCCTGCCTGCCCTGACTGCGTGTGGGGGTATGACCCTGTGCGTTGTGGTCTGACTTTCCCCCTTTTCCGAGGGTGTCAGGGGTCGTCGGCGTCGGGTGTAGAGTTCCGTGGAGTGGGTGGTAGGTGCCTAGGGATGTAGTGGGCAAAAATGAAACGGAAAAAAAAAGAAAGAGTCGGTGTCGAAAAAATACGAGGTCCTAAACCGGCATGGTGGCATGGAGTGCAAGCCTCGCCCTTGTCCTCGCCTGCGCAGTAGCCGACAAGGACCTCCTAGCTAGGTAGGTAGGGACCTGTGTATCTCTCCGTCTCCCGTGATGGGCTACTAGAGACGAATGCGGTATTCGGGCCCTATGTATAGGTGGTCCGTGGTCGGGGTCGGTGGTCCGGGTCGGTGGTCGGTGGTCTGTGGTCTGTGGTCTGTGGTCTGTGGTCTGTGGTCTGTGGTCTGTGGCCAGGGTAAGAGTTAAGGGTAAGGGTAAGGGTATTCCCTCGGAAGTGCGGAAGATTTTTTGGAGTGATGGGGGGGCCCAAAAGTGCGATGGTATAGCACTTGTAACTTGTCCTTGTAGGCACCTACTTGGTAGGTAGCGAGCTGCGAGCTACGAGCGACAAGCGTTAGAGCCGGGAAAATGTTCCTTCAGCCTTGTCTCGGATGCGGCATGCCGGACCGCCACGGCTTCGTGCTCTCGAAATGTGGGCTTGGGACCCCGGTGCGTGGTACATGCTACGTGCGAGGGACAAGTACTTGTACTTGTAGGTACGAGATACACAGCAGGGTGACTACTTGGTAGGGGATTTGACTCCCCGAGAGGAGACTCAGCCTGGTGGCTTCATTCGCTGAAAGGCACGAGCTGTTGTTCCCATGTCCCATGTCCCACGTCCCCTGTTCCATGCCTCGGACCTAAGTTCCCGCATCTTGCATCAAGGTCGCCTTACGACTCGAGTGTTTGCAAGATGCGTCCCCTTAGCCGCAAAATAACTTTTCCCCAAGGGCCTTTAGCCGACCGGAGGAGAGCCGAACGACCTTCCTCAATCAGAGCCAGGGTTGCCATCTCAGGGCTAGGCAAATGAATGGTCCGCCATCAACAACAATATCTCGTATATTCTTGATTTGATGATCCGTTTTGAGTTTTTTTTTTTTTCGTTCGTGGTGCACCCCACGTCCCGCGATCGGGGTGCCGCATGGCGCAAAGCTGAATGGCCGCGACCAGGGGAAGACGCTTGCTTCGTCAAAAGCGGGCTGGGCGCGGGTTCATGAAAAAAAAAGAAAAGGGCTGAACGACGATCATTCTTGCGGTGAGCATCCACGCCCTTCCACCATCCATGCGCAACTAGGCCCGGGCCTGACCGGAGCAAGGAGATGTGGGGACTCGGCAGTTCTGATCAACCCGAGATTGTCCACGAAGGGATGGGTTCTGGAAGATAAGGAAAACGAAAGATTCCAAAGGTACGAGTCACTTCCTTGTATGTTACGGGGGGTATCTTTTCTTGGTCCTGGATCCACAGCGTTCGCAGAAGGGAGAAGAAAAAAAAAGGATCAGTGGTGGGAGCAATAGTCAGACGGACAGGCAAGCGAACACCACCACACCCCATGCGTCATTACTGCTCATTGCCATCGCTTCCAATCGTCTCCTCGTAATTCCAACTCTCGAACGAGCCCTAAATCGACACTGACTCGTCGTTCATCTTGCAACGCCTGTGCGCACCACTACAAAAGTTCCATCAACAAGGCGCCGGCGCAGGGAGTCAAACAGCCGAGCCATCACGTATACCGGAGTGACACGGGTGGGTGTGTTTCATCGGGCGCCTGAACCAAACAGATAGGCACCTCCTGCTGGTGCTCTCTCGCCTTTGTGGCTGACGTGCGGTGCTGGCTGTCGCTAGGCTTCCTGTTAAGCGAATTGCTTCTTGATCCCGACCCCAGCGCAGGCTTAGAGTTTAAGCTAGCCCTGGAGCCGCCTCCTCGGTATCGGTCTGAATGCACATGTTGGGGCCAGGCACTGCTGTGGTCTCCCGAGCCATGGCTTCGAGTAGTGGGACCATGTCGACTGGCATAGCCTTGTCTGCTTCCCCGGGAGTAGCTCCGCTCGCTCCGGGCATACTGCGCGATCTTCTCCCTCTGGAGCTGCTTGACGAGCATGCAGCGCCTGATGTCACGGAGGCTCACCAGCAACAAGGCAAAATGCAAGATCCACACAACCGTGCCGAATGTGATGCCGGCAAGTTGGAGGCTACCGATGTCGTAGAGCGTGGGCTCACATTCCCGAGCAAAAATATTCAGCATGTTGCAAACGAGGATCCCCGACTGCGTGTGGACTGCGGGCTGCCAGAGCCGAAACAAAGAGCCGTAGCCTGCGAGGAACAGGGCTGGAAGAAGGCTGAGCAGCACAAGCATGGGGGCGCATGTGTGGATGATCAGGGAGGGTCGGGAGATCGAGGGGCGATGACTCGAGTCCCCCGTCGATCGTGAGTTCTTTTGCATGCGGCCCTGAAGCAGGACAATCGCGTGATAGAGGAAGGCGAATACCAGGGGTCCGAGAGGCATGCCATCGGTCCAGTCGCCCCGGTTAGGCCCTGTATTATGGAAGAAATTGGCGTTCCATCGGGGGATAGCGGCAGAAAAAAGTGAAAGGGCGATCAAGCTGGCCAGCAGGCTCACGAGATGCAGTGCTGTGATGAAGCGTCGGCGTAAGCGGTAGCGACGACTAGTGGGTGGCGGTGAGAGGTCGGCGGGGTAAGTTGAAGTCAAAATGAGGGTTTTGGAGCCGAGCATCTTTTCTAGTCGACGCTCAAGGTGCTGACAGGTGTCGTACTTCGTAATAAAACCAATCTCTTAATGCAGGCGTGGAATGGGCGTCAGATCGTAAAAGTCGTCACGAGGAAGAGAAAACAGGAAAGTCTCTCGCCAGCGAGATTATTCGAGGCCAAAGAGGCAAACCAGTGCAGCAGATTCCACTGCGCAAGTCGTCAAGCAAAGTGCGGTCAAGAAAAAAGCAAACAAGAGAGGGGGAGAGAGAGAGAGAGAAGGGACAAGAAGAGTAGCAGTCGGGCGACGTTGCGGAATTCATGTTGTTGATGTGTCGCGCCCTGTATCAGAAGCGTGCCTGGATTGCAAATGGTCGCGCGATGATCCTGCGACGCTTCATGAAGGAGGTTGTGTGAACTGGAACAGGTCTTGCGAATCAGAAGGCCCTGAAGAAGTGGTCTGGGCGATCATGAAACGATATACCGAGCAGGGGGCGGCCTAGCGTTTCGCTGTCAGCCTGACCCGTTGACCGCCCGGGCAGCGATTGGTGAAAAAAGTCCGTGCTTCCCAAGATGGCTTCAACGGCTCAACGGCAAAGGGGACGGGGAAAGCCCATCGTGTCTCCGTCAAGCCAACCCCCAAGCGGTCTACGCCATCAGCCGGGCTCCTGAAGGGCTCTAGCTTCCTTAAGCCTGAACTGCTCGAGGCTTGGGACCTCCCTGGCCATCCGGCGCCGCATACGGGTAACCCATTCTGTTGTAGGCTGGCTCACAACGGCTAGGAACCCGATTATGGAATTCCTCTGACAGTGTCCACCGTTGCTCCCTGGCTGCTTGGCACGTCGGCGGTGGGGCAGAGCCCAATTGGAGGGGCAGCTTTTGGTAAGAGGACTCGCAAAAATGCGTAGTGGGAGAATAGTGCACTTGGGCAGGAGTGCCAGTGCAGAAACTTGGTCACCGTGACAAGCGACGGCTATGTCCTTTCCTCCGGAATTCCAATTTGGAGTCAGGCTGAAAAGACATCGAGGGTCCTGGGTCATCCATTGTAGGCCGAATTCTTTCTGTGTTGTCCATTTGCTGACCTCTTCCCTTCTGTCGTACCGCTGGACTCGCAGATTCCGATTCGACTTCGATATGAGCACAACGCCCATCAGGCTGCGAGACTCTCCCGCTCAAGTGCAGGAAAAGCTTGGCCTCAGTAACCGACAGTTCGACAACTTCAAGAACTTTGCCCGAAGAGTCCACGGCGAATACTGTGCCGCTCATCCCAATTCCAAATGGGCCGATGTCAATGCGGTCTGGACCGCCGTGCCCGAACGAGAGAAACTCGATGTCATTCGCCTGATGTACAACCTGTGTACCGAATCCCACCTGTTCCCTCCTACCACCGGACGAACCGTGATCGAAGCAGGCATTGAACAGAGGCTGCATCAGGTGCGGCGTACCTGGCAGCAGACCTCGAGAACAAGGACGAGACCGTCAGCACAAGGGGATGATGGTGGATCCTGAAGATGACCACACTAGTGCACTGGCTTGACGGTATATGCCCGATACATCTGAGCAGTCGCAGCATCCAGTTACGCACTTCTTGTCCGCGACAACCCACCAGCATCAGCTGAGACCTAATTCCTTCTGCGTCACACGAGAGATACCACGTGCTCTCTCCGCGGGAAAACCGCACGCAAGAAAGATGAGTCCCACCGAAAAAGTCAGTGGAGGAGCCTGCAGAGCAGTGGGTGGAGAATCGAGCATTTCCAGAGGAAGAGGCTTTCTTAAATACTCCGGCCTTCAGCCCTACCATAATCAGAATGACCGTGCATTGTTCAATCCGTCCACGCACATCGTGTGTGCCGATGACGGTGAGGCTTTGGATTCAGGCAATCAGGATGCAGAAGTCGATTGCACTAGGCTGTGTCGCGACTGGGCCGGATGCAGGAGGACTGAAAAAAGGCTTATGGTTGATGGTAGGAAAGGCCGGTTTGGCCAGCAAATGTGGCCCGCTCAGCCCAACTCTGGGATGGACAAGGGGCGCCAGGGCGGAAGATGGTGGACTCAGGGGGGTTTTGGCTCTACCTACTCGTAAGACTGGGGTGTGGGATTGGTCTAGGTGATGGTGGCTATGGTGTCGCGGCCGATCCATGTCGACTTGTGCTGCAGCTCCCTCAAAGTGTCGGATTTTGGCCGGGGCCCGGGCTGAAAGATAGATGCTCTATCGTGCCATGACAATAGTCTTCGTAAGGACAAAACCTTGGAAGGTTCTTCCAAACCACTCCGGAACTTTTGGCTAAACTTGTTACGTATCGCAATCCCCGTTGACACTGTTTTGAGTTTCCCCTTGCTGACGATACGGTAGCCTGAAGCTTGGAGATACTCTCAGTCGCGATTGTGATAATAGTGGCCACTAATTGATGGCTTCTTGCAATAAAACCCTGCCTTTGTGCAGAGCATTGCCGTGTGGTCGATGCCTCAGGCTGATCTGCTTGAGTTGATGTCTTCTCCTCTGCCATATCGCCAATGGCGTTAAGCCGTACCGTCCTGAAGTGGCCCTGACGGGGAGTACGAGGCAGTAACTTCTGGGTTGATGAGTAGTCTTCTCCATCCTGAGGTTGGCAGGTGAATAACAGCGTGCTTCAAGGTAGGACCAGGTATGAAAAATTATCAGGAGGACTTGAGGACTTATCTTTAGTCGCGGATCAAAGGAACCTTTTCTCTCAGACTCCGTCATGCATTCTAGAAGAATTCGACAGTTCTTCCCGCTACCCGCTGGAGCAAACCCTGATCTGGAAGCGCAGGATACCGTGATGGAAAGGCCCGTCTTAGCGAGGCAAAGGAAGATTGGTGGTTGGTTCGGGTGTGCGTCTGCGAGTGATGGGAGGATCTGGCCTTCAGGGATTACTGTGGCCCTCCAACGAGAGTGCCCCGTGGGATTCTGGGGGTGGCTGTTCAAAGCTTCTGTCGTTAGGTAAGTGAACTGTTCATCTTTCTGCTGGTCGCACCAACTTAGCCACAATGATGAACCGCCTCCCGCGGCTCGTCTGCGTTGATTCGGTCCTGCAATGGGCATGTTTGAGGCAAACACAAAAGGTGACGGAAGATGCGATTGCAATTGCCTTGTTGAATCATCGAAGCAGCTCGTTGCCGCACCACGCGCGGCCAGACACCAGGAGTGAGCTCGGAATTCTAGATGAGCCTAGGATTTACTCTCACTGTGAACTGGGGAGGGTTTTGTCGGGGGCTGGCCCTCATCAGCAGCCCCTCTTCTTTTGAGGGCGCCGCAGGGTTGGGTGTGGGGTCTCTCGCTTTCTCTCTTTCTCACGGGCGCACCACCTACTGCATGCAGTGGGCCGAAGCGCCCACCAGCCTCATGACGCAAGCCCAGTGAGGTCACTCCCGCCAGGTACAAGTTACGAGGTCCCTACCGTTTCGGCGACTAATATTAATGCTCTAGGAAGCATTACTCTGTTGCCCGATTCAATCTGCGTCAAGTACCCAAGCCCCCTCGTTCGTCTCCTTTTCCATCTTGCCTCCCAATTGCCGTGGTTATGGCCTAAGCTATGCCAATCCCATCGTTATACCCTACTTGACGGAGGTTGGCCGCCAGGATTTCTAGGTCAAGAAAGTTCAATATTGATGGCTGCACCCATTCGTTGCGTCCACTACAAATTACACCCACGGCACCTCCCGACGGTCACTATGCCTTGCAGGCCCGTTTGAGTCACTGTGAAGGCCGTCGCAACACCTCAGATGGCCCAGATGCTCGCGCCTTTGGCATCCTCCGCTGTCGACCACGAGACCAGCCCTACTTTTGACCCTCCTCCCACTTCATTTCCCTACCCCAAACGACCGAGATCAGAGGACGATTCTCGCGAATGCTCAGACACTACACTCCACAGTGTATTGCATGCACAGGATTCAGTGAATGCCAATGAGCCGGAACAAGACCATGAACAGAACGGCAGCGTCGAAAGGCCACGCCTTGCTTCGCGTAAGTTCGAGACCGAAATTGTTCGCCCTATGTTCTCCAGGACACCGGCACCCGTCAGACGGCACCGGTCAACGGTGAACTACCCTATTCTACAAAGCGCTGAATCTCGAACTTCCTCGAGCGATTCGGACACGTCGACCTTATCGGATGAAGACAACCTAGCTGGTTTGCAAAGAGCACAGACACAACCCGCTCACAATGCGCTGTCCAAATCCCAACTCAATCGAGTGCGGAAACACCAGAGGCCATCACATCTCAAGGTGGGAAATGAATTCTTTCAGTCGGAAGGGAGAATTGCCAGAGACGGAAGGTTGAACATCTCAGTCAATGAAACGACTCAGACAGGCTACCTTGCCAAAGCGCTGGGCGCAACCATCCGACACCAGCTCGGTCCTGACTACCAAGAGGAGGCGAAACTGGCGGACCAAGCCAAGGCCGATTTCCTCAGAGACAAACACAACCTTGTCATTCCTTCAATGAACATAGTGATCATGGTTATTGGGAGTCGTGGCGACATCCAGCCTTTTCTGAAAATCGGGAAGATCTTGAGGGACAAGTATAACCACAGAGTAAGGATTGCCTCGCACCCAACTTTCAAGCAATTCGTCGAGAAGGAGGTCGGTCTCGAATTCTTTTCCGTGGGTGGGGATCCTTCAGAATTGATGGCATTCATGGTGAAAAATCCCGGGTTGATTCCGTCCCTTGAGGCTGTCAAGTCTGGAGAGATAGGAAAAAGGCGTGAGTCGATGTATCAAATGTTCCAAGGATTTTGGAGGGCATGCATCAATGCCACCGACGACGAAACGGACATCGCCAACCTGGAGATGATGCGCTCGAAACCGCCTTTTGTGGCGGATGCTATCATTGCCAATCCGCCCTCCTTTGCACACTATCATTGCGCGGAGAAGCTGAGTATTCCTCTGCACTTGGTATTCACCTTTCCTTATTCCCCCACGCAAGCGTTTCCTCATCCCTTGGCCAACATCAAGGCATCAAACGTTGATCAGAGGTATACAAACTTCATGAGCTATCCCTTGGTCGATTTGATGACCTGGCAGGGACTGGGCGACTTGATCAACCGATTCCGTGTCCAAACTCTAGGTTTGGAGCCTGTCTCGACTCTATGGGCTCCTGGCCAGCTCTCTCGTCTCAAGGTTCCGATAACATATCTTTGGTCACCAGGCCTGGTTCCGAAGCCTCGTGACTGGGGCCCAGAGATTGACATCGCAGGCTACGTCTTCCTGGATCTGGCGACATCTTATAATCCTCCAGAAGACCTAACTAAATTCCTGGAGAGGTCAGACAAGCGCCCCATTGTCTACATAGGCTTCGGGTCGATTTCGGGGATTAGCGACCCGGTAGCATTCACCAAGATGGTGTTCGAAGCCGTCGAGAAGGTTGGCGTTCGTGCTGTGGTTAGTAGGGGATGGGGAGGTATGGGTGATGGAATGGAAAAGCCCGATGGTATCTTCCTGATTGACAACGTGCCCCACGACTGGCTCTTCCCTCGCGTCGATGCAGTGGTTCACCATGGTGGTGCTGGAACCACAGCTGCAGGACTGAGATTTGGCAAGCCAACAATGATTGTCCCCTTCTTTGGAGACCAGCCATTCTGGAGCGCAATGGTCGCAAGGGCAGGAGCTGGTGCCAAAGATGCGCTTCCCCTCAAGAAACTCGACAGCGACAAGTTTGCCGAGGGCATCCGCCAGTGCCTTGAACCCGAGGCCAAAGCCAAAGCGCAAGCCATCGCGAAAAGTATTGAGGAGGAAGGTGATGGTGCAGAGAACGCTGTGGACTCTTTTCATCGACACCTGGATCTCGATGGTCCACATTCATTGCGTTGCGGCATCTTTCCAGACCATGTCGCTGTTTGGGAGGCCAGGCATACAAGCACGCGATTGTCGGCACTAGCAGCAGACCTACTGGTGGAAAGTAAACAGATCCACTGGTCGGACTTGGAGTTAGCCAAAAACCATGAGTGGACCGACTTTCAAGGACCTGGGGAGCCGATTACGGGCGCGGGCGGTGTGCTCGTTCAAGCCTTCCAAGAGGCATGTCATGGGCTTATGACGATGCATGAGACGGCAAAACGAGACATCAAGCATTACGAGAAGCGCAGAAGGAGACAAAATCAGAAGTCAGCGATCGAGGGACTGATCCTACCTGGACGGATTGCAATGGCCACACGCGGCACCTCTGTCGACGAGCAGAGGAAAGAACACGCGAAAATCATGCGCCAAGTCAATTTCCACGGCGAGGCAGAGCCAGTGAAGTTGCCCTTTGGTCAATCCAGTCTCAACAATGACGCCGGTGGGTACGCCCCCAAGCTGTCTAGGACCACGACGATGAGTTCAGATCGGACTTCCCCAATGGTGGTGATCTTGAAAGACGTTGGGAGGGGGATTGGTCACTCTAGCAAAGCCATCGCGGCACTGCCCTTGCAAATGTGGAATGCCCTTGCTCTTGGATTTCACAACGCACCCCGGTTGTATGGTGACAAGACCGTCCGGCCTTCTCCCCAAGGTATCAATGGATTTCGCACGGGACTGAGGGTCGCGGGCAAAGAGTTTTGGCTCGGGATCTACGACGGGGTGACGGGCGTCGTGCGGATTCCATACCTCGAAGTGCAGGAGGATGGCCTGTCTGCTTTGCCCAAAAGTGTTGCGCGAGGCATCGGCGGGTTGGTGTTGAAACCCGTTTCCGGGGTGCTCGGACTAGGGGCGTATACCGCGAAAGGAGTGCACAATAGTGTTCGGCGACGAGTACGAGACACCCAAAAGACAGAACGATGGATCCGACAGGCGAGGGTCGCGCAAGGGCACAGAGAAGCTCAAAGGTTGCAGGAACGGCGAACAAACAGTGGCTCGGAGTCGCCTCAAGCACACTGTCCCATGCTGCCCGACCTTGCAGAGGCTCGCAAGCACGCACTGCACCTGTGGACAACATACGAGAAGGACAAGGTGGCAGAGGAACGAGAAAAAGAAAAGCGACTCCTTCTGCTAAACAAGACGCGTGGTGGAAATACTTGATGGGCACATGCTCAAGGTGGACTTGCACCATGCTTCCCACTGCCCAAGCGACACGCTCTTCCAGCCCCTCCTCGGTTCAAAGTCCCTGACGATCCAAAACCTCATTATGTCATTTACGTGATTGTTCAATTGCCGGTCATTCACCAATCAGGTGTCGGCGATAAGCTGCGGAACAGGCGATGCGGGGAGACGGAAAGAAGAGAAGATGGAGGGGCTGCATGCGGGCGTAACGCCACAAATCATGGCTTCGGATAGTGGGAGTTGCGTTCTTTTTGTTGCTGGCTTGACGATACCCCATTCTGTTAGATGGTTTTGTTTTGTTCATGCCACGGCCAGGTCATTAGAGGGACGGGGGACAGGACCTACACGTACACCTCGCTTAGAAGAACAAAATGAGCAAAGAGACGTAGGCCCTGACTTGGAGAAGGTGTTGGCGGGAGGAAAAATTTTTTTCCAGACAGGCGGTAGGAGCTGGATTGGGTACCCGAAGTGCTTTGGTGTTGGCTGCTGCAAGGTACAGGGAGCCCAGAACCTAAGGCGCGAGAAAAGGAACCAAGTAATACATGGCTAGTAATTCTTACAACTCTGGTCGGATGACAAGGACAAACCAGACGGCAGCCCGTTTTCCTGCAAGTCACCAGATGGCTCGTGTTGCGTGTTTTTGTCGCTGCACACCCCGAACGGCAAAGACGCCTGAGGATGGATTTCCCACAGGTCGTCGCAGTTGGGAAGCACGGCCACCAACGGGCCTCTCGGGTTGATGATAATGCGACACCGTCAGCAGCCCACGGGCGGTTCATGCGAAAAGGCGGAGAGTCGATTCAGGGTGGAGATGACTGCTTGCTCGAGAGCTGCTCACTCGTCTCGCTCGCCTCCGCAGCAACTGGGAGCTGGATCTGGAATGTCTCGTGCTACCTGAAGCCCGAGACAAAGGAGGAAATGGGGAAGAATTGGCATCTGAGTCGGATTCCTTGGTCTTGCTGACAGTCCAACCTAGATGCTGGGCGGTCACAGTCGTGATGACTGCGCCTTGAGGGCTGCTCGTCATCGTCGCTCAGAGGCGCAGTGAGTGACATCGACGCCTGCGTCTGTGCTACGCAGGTCTACGCAAGGAGGTTGGCGATTGCGTGAAGGGTATCCGATCGATTTTTTCCTTATCTCGAGCTTCTCTGTAGCTAGCAGACTAGAGCCAATTTCTTCCAACCCTCAGTGGACGGGAGGATCAGAAGATGCGAGCAGCTCCAGTAGAGCAGAAGTGTCTCCCCCTCATCTCCCATCCCTACTCTACATCATCTAGCTAGGTAGTGAGCCATGGAAGGGTGGTGATCAAGGGCTGGACCCTTTGGACTCAGACTGGCTCCGGGTCGAAGCCTGGGATTTTCCCAACTGTTCAAGCTGACGAGTTTAGCAACGTGCCCGGCTGCAACATGAGTGGCTCGTGGCTCGTGGTCGTATCAGCTCGGCTCGTCATGGGCGACCAGTGGTGAGAGGCCCAATGCCACTGGCCTTTTTGGTGGGGGAGGCGCAAGCGGGCATGCCCAAAGCCCCCCGAACAAAGGCCCCTCCCACCCCCCCAAACTGCGAAGCTGCTGCAGGTGGCAGGCTACATGCCGCAGGCTGGCCCAGGGTGCAAAGCAAGCCATACGCCATGCGGCAATACCATGGCTCTTTGTGACATTTATTTATTTGCTTGCTTCTTCTTTGTCCTCCCTGTTATCGCTCCTCCTCCTTCACTTTCCAACATCCTTTCTCCTCCTCCTCGTCCTCCCTCCTTGTTCACTCTTCAAACTACAATCACCAAGAACTTTTTGTTCTCCTCTCCTCCCTCTATACCCACATTGTTCAGTCGGATCACTTACTCGTCTATCCACCATGGTGAGTCCCCCACCGTGCTTGCGGCGAGAGCCTCACCACATCAACTGGCATGTCTCATACGGACTGACACTCTCTTCTAGGCTGGCGACGGTGAATCTACCATTGTTTCCAATGCCGCCAACGTGAGTTTCCCTCACTGCGCTCCTCCGTCTACCCTCCTCCCCGCCCTGCGCCCAATGCGCCAAACGCCATCGATCAACCGAATAATCACTGACCTCTCTTACAGTTGGCCAAATACATGAAATTGGACCAGAAAGGCAAGGTTCTCGCCGAGTACATCTGGATTGATGGATCCAACGGCCTTCGCAACAAGACAAAGGTAAGCACATCGTTGTCGATATTTTTGTCTCACTGTGCCTCGATGCCTCCATCTGGTATTTCGACACGAGACCTGCCATTGCCACGCCGGGCGCGCTCTCTCACCAAATCCCGCCAAAAACCCAAAAAGTCCCGAAACGAGAACGCGGCTGCTACTGTTCTGTGGGTAAGGGTGCACCGCCGGGCTGGGAGACCCCACGTTGGGAAACCTGGTTGTGGCGGCGTCACACTCTAAATGGGCGTGGCTTATCCACCACCGCCCTCGACCCCTCCGAGGCTGCGCCGCCCACCTGAATTACCACACGCCAATCGCCATCCACCCGATCTCGGCTTCTTCTAAGGCGACGTCAAACCACCCTTTTACCCGCGCCATAGACAGCGCGCATTCACACGGCTCCACCGGAGAATTGACACATCGAAATCCGTGGTGACTTGCAGAAATGACCACAGGCTGACTTGAAACATCCAGACCCTGAGTGAAGCCCCTAAGAGCGTCGACGATCTTCCCGAATGGAACTTTGACGGCTCATCCACCGGCCAGGCTCCGGGCGACAACTCTGATGTCTACATCCGACCCGTGGCCATGTATCCCGACCCAATCCGTCTAGGCGAAAACATCCTGGTTATGTGCGAGACTTGGGATCCCGATGGAACGCCCAACAAGTTCAACTATCGCCACGAGGCAGCGAGGTTAATGGAGGCCAACGCCAAGCATAAGGTCTGGTTTGGGTTAGAGCAAGAATACACCCTCTTGGCGGCCGACGGCTGGCCGTACGGCTGGCCCAAGGGTGGATTTCCTGGTCCCCAGGGCCCATACTACTGCGGCGTTGGCACTGGCCGTGTCTACTGCCGTGATATTGTGGAGGCACACCACAAGGCGTGCATGTACGCTGGTATCAATATCTCCGGTACCAATGCCGAGGTGATGCCCGCTCAATGGGAGTACCAGGTTGGTCCTTGTGAAGGCATTGACTGTGAGTTGCACGCATCGGTCTGGACTATCGCGAGAACAATGAGCTAACAGGATGTACAGTGGGTGACGAACTCTGGGTCTCCCGATGGCTCCTCCACCGTATCGCTGAAGAATTCGGCGCCAAAGTCTCGTTCCAACCCAAGCCTATCCCTGGCGACTGGAATGGAGCTGGTCTTCACACCAATGTGTCGTCTAAGGAAATGCGTGAAGAAGGTGGCATGAAATTCATTGAAGAGGCAATGAAGAAGCTCGAGAAGCGCCACGTGGAGCATATCAAGGTCTACGGTGAAGACAACCACCTGCGTATGACTGGCGCACACGAAACTTCCAGCATTGATAAGTTCACCTGGGGTGTTGCCGACCGAGGATCGTCCGTCCGCATTCCCCGAGCCTGCGCCCGAGAGGGCAAGGGCTACTTTGAGGACCGACGGCCAGCATCCAACGCTGACCCATACCGTAAGTCTCAAACGCTTTGCAGGTCCATCATCGTTGAGCGCATCGCTAATCTATTTGTGCTACAGAGGTGACGGGAATGATCGTTGAAACCTTGTACGGCTCTTTGCCCGCCGAAAAATGATTGTGAAGACCGTGAGAACGACGTTTACTCATAGTATTCGATGATGGGACAAGACAGAAAGGCAGGATTGAGGGCGGAGTTATCAGTGAACGCAGTTTGCCAAGTATGACGTGCTTCTTACAATCTTAGAACGCAAAGAGAGATGTTGAGCTAGAGATTCAATGTCATGAAAGTCCAACGATGCGGTATTCCATATTTGTCTCGTTTCGTCATAATTGTGAAGACCGTGGTAGAGACGTTTCCTTATAGCCTTCTCAAGCCTCACGCTCAATACCATCCGCGGTAATCCGTTGCATACTAAACATCGCCTACATAAACGTAAATAGATATTCCTCTCAGATACTCCGTAGTAGCTCCTCGGTCAGAATAGGTTCGTAGACCTCAAATTGAGCTCGGATATCCCTGGATTGTGGTTCTACTAACCACACGTGGTAGGATAGCATCAATATATGTTCGCCGTTGGCAGCTTCGACATATATATGCCGTAAATTAGCCTCGAAAGTAGAGTAGTAGGTGATGAACTGGTCAAGGTCGTATCTACCGGTAGGGTAGCCCCAGATCAAGATGGTATTTAAGTAGGCGTAAAGGTCCACTAGGGTAGCTTTTGAGAGGACGGTACCGTATCGTTTGTTGAATTGCTGGATGACCCAGTCGGTCGTTGCCCTCCAAGGCAAGGCGAGTATTGTACTGTCTTTAGCGGACGCAAAGCTCGATCTTAGATCTACTGCCACTGGGAATAGCCGGGCAGCTCAAATACGGGCTAAGCGCGCCTGAGCAGCGAACCGCCACACCAATGAAGACGGGCGGAGGAGCTTTGGCAAGATGGCCGAGGATTGGTAGGAGGAATTCCGCCTCGTTTTGAGTGTGATGGGGAACTCCTCTAGCTCTGGAGTTCCGGAGGAGTCGTGGCAACCATTTGGCTGTTCGCTGCACAGTTTAGCCTGGGATATTCTATATCTTGCGGACCGGACCAGACTGTCGTCAACCCCCCATGCGTACGGCCTCGCAGGTGATCCTTTCTGACATGTGAGGGCCACCAAACTCGATCGCCTGGAGCTTCCTGGAGCTTCCTGGAGCTGAGGGCCGCGCTCACAGTTGGCGGAGGGAATGCAACCTCGTCCCGACCCTTCTTCGTTCAGCGCTGAATTGCGCCATAATAGTCTCGGCTTGCCTCCTGTGGCTGCTTGACCCCTGTTGGACGAGGCTGGACAAAATGGTGTCCAATGGAGTCTCACTCTGCCTGGCGCCTTTTCTCTTCGAGCCGTTCATTGGGTGACGGAGCTTACTGCTGGCCAATGCTCAGGGCGATATCCATACCCGTATACCAACTGATAAGAATTGCAGTGGCCGCATCTGAGAGATTTTGAGAATGTGCTCAAACCCCTCCTTGGGCTTGCTTATCTTATTGTGCTCCATTTGATCACAGGTGAGGGTCAACCCCCCAAGCGACATTGGCGAGCAAAAATTCTCGAAGCTCGATGACATCCAAGAAAATTCCTTTGGAGAGCGTGACTTTGAGCGTCAGGGTACAGGTAAATCCCAGTCAGAGGCTCCAGAATGCCACTTGGGCCTCTGGGACGCATTAGCTCTCTGCAAACTTTTTTTGCTTCTTTTCTCCATACCCCAGGTATTGCTTTGTCCGGCAGATGCGCGTGGAGATCTTAGACGGTCCGCTCGCCCGCTCAAGATATGCCTTGACAGAGCTGCCCTGGTGCTGAACGTGGAGATGCTCGATGGGTAGATCATCTGTTCACGTGCTTCTGACGTCAAATTCAAAAATTGGAGATTGTTTCTGCTCGGCTAAAACAGCAGCGGCAAGATGCCCCAAAGTTGAAGTTTGGGCCCTTGCATGACGCTAATTCGCCTCTTGCAGGGCCTATCCCTGCCGCCGGTTCTGCACGAAAATCACGTAACTCAGATAACACTCCACGCTCTTATTGGTTGTCTCTAACCTCTATCTTTGAATTGCTGGTCGATAAAATGAATAACACACTGATTGCCAGATGCTGGAACTGGTCGAGAGCGCTGCAGCACCAGAAGCAATTCCCCTTGACTGCCGGCATCCTTAAGAACCGTCCTTGGCATTACGAGACACAAATCTCTCTCAACTGAAAAATTTTCTCTTCGTCGTGTGTCATGGGCTGGTGGTTGAGCAGGCCAGGCCTCTTGTTCCTTTTTCCAACAGGGTGTCACTCCCAGTCCTGCCGATATCGGGCAAAGTGTGTTCTCGAGTCAACCACCAGTCAGTCAGAATGTCTGTCGGTCAGTTTGTCAGTCAATCTGTGAGGGCCCCTGCAGGGGAGCCTTGCGATCTGCTGAGAACAATGGGATATTTGCAGGCCAAGGCTTTGGGGGGTTGGCTGGGCACCTCTCTTGCACACATGTCTCTGATAACAACGGCAGCCAACCACTCACCACAGCACAACATCATCAGGCTGGGCGTCTCGGGCCCCAGAGCCGTCGAGTCCGTATCGACTTCTCGTGTTGCCAAGACACCAGAGATGCAGATACGGATCTGTTTTCGTCATGGTCATCCTGCATTGTTTTCTTTTCCTCGGTCCCGGGTCTGCGCTCCTGGTGCTAACTGCAAAAGACTAACTCGCCACTAACGCACATCGCAAACTAGCTACGACAACCCCACAAATGTCCAAACAAACCGCAATCCGCAGACCACGGCGGGCGAACTATCCAGGCACCCAAGAGCTCGCCATCATACACACGAGGAGGAGAAAGGCAAAGAGATGGGAAAAACCCCTCAAGCACCTCACCACATCAGCCCACGGACACACACGGACACAATACCAGTGACCACCGCTGAGCAGACCTCTCCCAGCACCCAGTCAGTACCTGTGACGTGAGGTCCACTCGATCGCCGTGACCCTTGCTCCATCGAGAATTGTCCCAGATGCAAGAGCTCCAAACGTCGTCGCTCCCACTCTGCTGACCCATGACGCGCTCCGAACTTTTCCCACCCCATCCAGATGTCCACCGTCAACTGTCCAATGTCCTTCAGATCATCTTCTGTTGCCCTTAGCTCGGTCTTGTCGTCTTTCCCTTGCTTCTTCAAACACACCCTGGCCCCTAGCTGTCTTGGAAGACTGCGTCCGTCCCGTGGTCATCTCTCTTGTCTCGTGTGCTTGTCAGGGCTTGGTGGTTCCTATCTTTGATGTCGTTTGCCCTTATCATCGCCACAGCAGTTTCGATATTGCCTCCCCCTGCCCGGAAGAGTCTTGGAAGTCCCTCTTAGGCTGCTAACTGTTGGCGATTGCTTCTGATACGTCGCCCGACTGCATCCTCTTCTCGCGACGAGGTATATATTTCGAACTGGCCCGCCCGAGAGTTTGATAGCCTCGAAAACGCCCTCCTGAGGCTCTCTTCCTTCACAGAACCCACCTCAACTCCGGTGCCGTCACAATGTCGTCGAGTGGCATCGCCAACTTCCTCCCTTCATATGCCTCCTACAACTGGACTGGTGCACCGGCCGACTATTCTTTAGCCACAAATGCGAGAACAGGAGGAGACTCAAGTACGTCTCGTGACCACGTCCGGACAGCGGACCCTCTGACCAATGTGCAGGGACGGAGAATCTAAACAAATGGTACCAGTCGGGCGATCAGGCATATATCATCCTCTCATCATGTCTGGTGTTGATCATGGTGCCGGGCCTCGGCTTCCTCTACTCGGGCCTCGCACGACGAAAGTCGGCGCTGTCATTGATGTGGGCTTGCATGGCGGCCGGCAGCGTGATCAACTTTCAGTGGTACTTTTGGGGTTACTCACTCACCTTCTCCCCGACCGGCCAAAGCGGCTTCATTGGAGATCTGGTCCATTTTGGACTGAAACGGACTCTGGGCAACCCCAGTCCTGGCTCACCTCTGATTCCTAGTCTTCTATATTCTTTCTACCAGGTGAGCCCCCTTCGCCCTCCACTAGTTGGCAGATCTGATGAGTGAACCACAGATGCAATTCTGCGCCGTGACCGCCGCAATCGTTGCAGGTGCTGTGGCAGAGCGTGGCCGACTGATGCCTTTCCTCGTATGGACCTTCCTCTGGGCCACCCTCGTGTACAACCCGATAGCGTGCTGGGCATGGAACGCTAATGGATGGGCATTCAAATACGGCGTCATGGATTACGCTGGAGGCGGGCCAGTCGAGATCGGCTCGGGCATGTCTGCGTTGGCCTACTCGATGGTTCTGGGAAAGAGACAGGAGAAGATGATGCTCAACTTCCGCCCCCACAACGTTTCGTTCATCCTCCTGGGAACAATCCTGCTCTGGTTTGGCTGGCTGGGTTTCAACGGCGGTTCCTCCTTCGGAGCCAACCTCAGGGCTGTCATGGCTTGCTGGAATTCCAATCTGACGGCCACTTTTGCCGCGGCGGCTTGGGTCCTGCTCGATTTCAGGCTGGCTCGGAAATGGTCTATGGTCGGCTGGTGTTCCGGTACCATCTCTGGACTTGTTGCCGCCACACCCGCGTCTGGTTACCTTGAAACGTGGGGCAGTGTGGTGTTGGGGATTGTTACTGGCATTGCCTGCAATTTTGCCACCAAGAGTGAGACTCGCTCCAGATTCCGTACCGCCCAAGACATCTGCTGACCTTTGTTTCTAGTCAAGTATTGGATCCGCATCGATGACTCTATGGACGTGTTCGCCGAACACGGCGTTGCCGGCATGATTGGTCTGATGTTCAACGCCCTTTTTGGCGTTGACTATGTTGTCGGTCTCGACGGCGTCAACACGGGCGTTCCCAACCCCGAGACGGGCACTGGCATCGGCGGGTGGCCCATTGGCAACTACCGCCAATTCTACATCCAGCTCGCTTACGTCCTGGCATGCACGGGCTATGCCTTCGTCATGAGTGCCATCCTGGCGTACATTGTCAACTTCATTCCGGGCCTGCACCTGCGGGCTTCAGAAGAGGCCGAACTGCTCGGCATGGATGACGACCAACTCGGCGAGTTTGCCTACGATTACGTCGAGGTATGTCTTGCCCCCCAAACCCAAGAAACTCCCCCCAAAAACAAGTTTCCATACTAACCATCCCTTTTTCCCTGCTTTACAGGTTCGCCGCGACTATTTGGCCTGGACGCCGCAAAACCCGGACCAGAACGGTATCGACCCCAACATCCCTAAGGAAAACCGCTACGGCATCGGCGAACACTCGGACATGATCCGGAAGGCTGCCAACGTCGCCTCACCGGGAGACTCGACCGCGGCCAGCTCGCGCAGTCAGCATGATCTTCCCGCCCAGGGCGACCGGCACGCCGTCAGGGCCGAGGATGTAGAGAAGGCCGCACACGACCCGGAGGCATAAAAGGAACCGGATTGATTAAACCCTGTTTCTGGTCTCCGAGTGTCTCTTCGTCTGGTGCTCTTCTGCGCACGGCTGTGCTGTTCTGTCTCTCTGGGTACCCGGCAAATGTGCGCCTGTGCGTATTTCGGCTTTTTTTTGGCGACTTCGAAAGTCTCCTGCTAACTAAGTTAGCTGGGCTGGCTGAGCTGTTTGGAATGACTGCGTGAGCAAAGAAAAGACGGAAGAAAAAGATCCCTGCATACATGCACACTGTGCACCGGACACAAATTTCCTCCCTTGGAGCGTTGCAAGCGAAAGCGAAAGAGAAACGGAACGAGAAAAAGTGTTTTCTAAAAGAATTTACACGATCTCTATATCACGAAAGACGGGCTGGAGTATAGGATACGGATAGGTTCGATGTTGAAAGCGAGTACATTACCTTGGCCTGACTGCATTTATTTTGGGATATATTATAAAAGTATACAAGAGTATGCATTGTATGATCCAAGTGAGGAAGTTCGGACAAGTCGGGAATTTGTCACCCTGTTTGGACGAGCAGGCTCAAGTCTGCCTCATGTGAGTGAGAGAGTTCGTGTATACTCGGAAGTCCTGTGGGTCTAGGGAGGTGAGAAAATACGGAGGAACGGTGTGTTGTAAAGGCGAGATGCGAGTTGATTTGACTTGTCTCCTGAAAGACGGTGTCTTGATACACCCACCGACCGAAAAAGCAATGGGCAAGGGCGCTGCTATCAACACATGCGAGCACATATAAGTATTGTACATGTGTGGTGGTACATTCCTTGTTCTCCTCTCCAACAGCGCCCTGCTGACCGGAATGCCTCGCCGTTGAGAATAGTTTCCTTCAATTGCTGCGGATGCGCGCCGTCGGGGAAGTAGTGGTCTGCATGTCACCCAGACAGAGGCACATCCAAGACCGCAAAGGTCGGTTCGAGCAGTCGGGTTGTCGACTTGAGAAATGCTCATCAACCAATAACCCCTAATCGACATTGTGTTTCTGGGGATAGGGCTGGCAATTGGAATGGCGATTCAGGTCGGGCCTCGTTGAGCCCTGCTTGACATCCATCTCTTACAGAGGCAAACGTTGCTTCAACGTGGTGTCGCACCTTCTCGGAATCTTTGCTTGGACTGTTCAAGCAGAGAATAATCGCAATGTCGATGCCTGGTGTTGGCAAGCAGGAACAGCTTACAGTGGCTTCACGCCTCGATGGATGCTGGCGATGCCTCCCGTCAAGTCTTCGTAGCCCTGTCCTGGCGTGACAAATCCGGCTGCTTCGATCATCGACTTGAACTCCTCTTGCGTGGGAAAGCGTTCGATGCTTTCCACGAGGTACTGATAACTGTCTCGGTCCCCAGCGACCAATTGGCCGATTAAAGGTATCGCGCCAAAGCTCCATCTTTTGTAAACGGAATTGAACAACGAGTTGTTGACGTGGCTGAACTCGAGACATGCAAAAACGCCGCCCGGTTTGAGGACTCGAAAGGCTTCGCGGATCGCCGCGTCTTTGTTTGTGAAGTTGCGGATCCCGAAGGCGACCGTATAAAGATCGATGGAATCCGACTCGACGGAAGGCATGGATTCGGCGTTTCCCTCCATGAACGACAGCCGTCCTGAATTCCAATACGGTGTTTCCTGAGCTCCTTTTTGCCCTTCGGCCAGCATATCCGCATTGATGTCTGCAATGGTGACTTTTGTCTTGAGGTCAAGGTTCACGTTGGTGGCGTGGTCAAGCATGCGGAATGCGATGTCGCCGGTGCCTCCCGCCACATCAAGGATATTCCAACCCTTTTCGCTGGTTCGGCTGCCCGGGTTGAGGCTGCGGACGAAATAATCCTTCCAGAGGCGATGAATGCCCAAAGACATCAGATCGTTCATGGTATCGTACGAGGATGCAACGGAGGAGAAGACAGCACCCACTAAAAAGGTATAAGCACTCCGGCTATGATAAATGGGTTGTAGACGCTACCTCTGGCCTCTTTTTGTGTCTCCGAGACGGTCTCGAAACCGAAGTGAGTTGTCCGTTCATTTTCGCCAGGGAGTTGCTGGGGTCGCAGCGAACTCGTAGCAAGGAATCGCCGTGCCGATGTAGAGCCAACACGGTTGCCTTGGAGGCCGTAAGGCCTTCGGGAGAACGTGCGAAGCATTTGTTCCAGCCCAGAGGCAAGCCTGTGCTGTGCAACTTCAATCACCAAGGAACTGGGAGCTCCATACCAATTTTCGCGAGTCTGCGTTCCAAAAAGAGTCTAGTTTGCACGGGCCCCCAAACCGCATCGACTTCTCCGACTGCGGCGTCTCATCCTCCAAGGGTGGCCGACGATAACCGAAGTCCCTTTTCAAGACTGACGGTACCTCGTCGTCCTTGCTCCCAACCTTTCCTTCTGTCCCGAATTTGCTATTGTAATATCAGCGGCTGTATTCATTTTTCCAGGGTGGCTGCTTTGCTTTAGACAAGTGAGGATGAAAAGTCGAACTGTTCTGAGGCCCTTGGTGGCATCCTGCAGATACAAACACGGTGTACTTCTACGGCGATCAGGGATACGATGGGCCAGCGACACCTGGTCTGCCGGGCCTGCGCAGAAGGTGGGATCGGATTCGTACGTCGTGACACGGTCTCTAGGATTTGTCCATGGTCTCCATTGCTGACTGTTTGACACTAGAGTGCATTTTCCAGGAGCTTTGAATAGTAAATTTACGTCGACCATGAGGTTTCAAAATCCAGCCGAGGAGAATGCCATGCCCACTTACAGAATAATGGATGCAGATGGCAACATAGTGGACAACACCAGAGATCCGCAATCTGCATCTGACGAAGAAGTCATTCAGTGGTACCGCAACATGTTGACTGTCAGCATCATGGATTTGATCATGTTCGACGCGCAACGGCAGGGGCGGACCAGCTTTTATATGGTCTCTGCGGGCGAAGAAGGTATCGCTGTCGGATCGGCTTCGGCGCTAACGCCAGAAGATGTCTGTTTCCTGCAGTACCGCGAACAAGGGGTGCTCGTGCAACGAGGTTTCACGTTGAAGGAGATGATGAGCCAGTTGTTTGCAAACAAAGACGATCACGGCAAAGGACGAAATATGCCTGTACATTATGGCAGTGGGAAGCTCAACGTCCACACGATTTCGAGTCCTCTCGCGACCCAGATTCCCCAAGCATCTGGGGCTGCATATGCGCTGAAGTTGCAGCGACTCATTAACCCCAATGTCCCCCCCCGGATCGTCGCTTGTTACTTCGGAGAGGGTGCGGCAAGCGAAGGGGATTTCCACGCTGCACTGAACATTGCCGCCACGAAATCATGTCCGATTGTATTTGTCTGCCGCAACAATGGCTTCGCTATTTCGACAGCCAGCATCGAGCAGTACAAGGGCGATGGCATTGCTAGCCGGGGATTAGGGTACGGCATTGATACCATCCGGGTAGACGGCAACGATATCTTTGCCGTGAGAGAGGTCATGTTGGAAGCCAGGAAGCGGGCCCTTGAAGGTGACTGCAAGCCTATCCTTGTGGAAGCTATGAGCTACCGAGTGAGTCATCACAGCACCAGCGACGACAGTTTTGCATATCGAGCCAAACGAGAGGTCGAGGAGTGGAAACGAAGAGACAACCCCATTACCCGGCTCCGCAAGTGGATGGAGAAGAAAGGCATCTGGGACGAAGACAAGGAGAAGGAAGCGAGGGCATCGATACGCAAAGAAGTCTTGCGCGAGTTTTCGGCCGCCGAAAAAGTCAAGAAACCACCAGTACGAGCTATGTTTGAAGACGTCTACGAGGAGATCACCCCAGAGGCCCGAGCCCAAATGAAGGAACTCAAACGGATAATCGAAAAGTACCCAAAGGAGTACAGCAGTATTTCCCAGCACGAAGGAGGAATCAAGAGTTTAGAGGAGTGAATCTAGATCAGTGTATCCGGTACGGTACTCGATAGCGGCGCCAACACTGACGGGAGACCCCGATGGAAGAGCCGAGCCACGGGCCTTAGAAACACCCCCAGGATATCACTCCAATCAGAGCAAAATTGGAAGCCAGGGGCTATTCGTGCTGGGCCCGTGATAATGGAACACGTTATTGACAACAAGGCTGACGGGGAGAGTCAGTGAGTGCGGCCAGTGCGAAACCGCCGATTGGGTGGCTGGGCGTCTCCAGCGCCACTTGGTGCCACTGTGGCTTGACTTTGGCCAAGCCGGGAAATTTGAACCGCCGCCAGCCACCGACGTTCCGGGTGCGGGCTGCAGGGTCTCAACCTGTCTGAATCGGGCTGCAGGGTCCGATATTCGACGCTAGTCCTAGTGAGGCTAAGGCCGTTTGCCGTCAGCCTCGAGCTGGGCTTCCAGCCTCCCTCAATCTCTCCAATCCTGTTGTCCATTTCGTTGTTTTCTGTGAATAGAAGCTATATTCTGCGGTGATGGCCAATGATCAGAAATCCCGCTAGTCAGGGCCCAGCTGAATTGGTCGAAAATGTTTCTCGGTTCGTCGGGTTTGGCGTCAGGAGATTGTGGTGCTGTCCACGAGTGCTGACGTCGTGTGGTCTACCAGCCTCCTCGCGTAGAACCATCAGTGACTACTTTTGTGCCCATGACCGTGGACTTTTTCCTGCTGCAACACTCTCGATCTCTCCGTCTTGTTTGTTCAGTGAATATCCGCCTGTCAACCCCGGTTGTGTTACTGTCATGCCATCAACTTGAGTCTGCGAGTTTCTTCCAGCAATTTTTCTCTTGCTTGGTCTTTGCTGCATTGTTCCGGCGTTCGAGAGTTTTACCCTGTACAAAATGTATTCCACCCTGGCGGGCTCAGCGCTCGCTGCATTGGCCCTTTGCTCTCTCATACCCAGCACAGAAGCACAGACATACTCGTCATGTAACCCTCTACAGCAAAGTGAGTTTTCACTCCCTTTCATCTGCCGGAACAACGACTAACTGCGCTCAGGTGGATGTCCTGCAGACCCTGCTCTCGGCAGGACCGTCGACATTGATTTCACAGCAGGCTCCTCGAGCGAATTCACTGCATCAGGAGCTGTCAGCTACACTTCCGACGGCGCGGCCTTCACAATCTCCCAGCACGGCGACGCTCCTACCCTCTCCTCGAATTGGTACATCATGTTCGGACATGTCGACTACGTGGTAAAAGCTGCGCCAGGGACGGGGATAGTCAGTGCTGCTATTTTGCAGTCTGATTGCCTTGACGAGATTGACTGGGAGTGGATAGGTGGGGATGACACACAGGCCCAAAGCAATTACTTTGGGAAAGGCATCACTACAACTGGCTACAACAGAGGAGCCTTTCATGGAGCACCCAACAACCATGACGAGTTTCACACCTACAGCATCGACTGGACGGCCGACCAAATTGTTTGGTCGATCGACGGGACCACGGTTCGAGCCATGACCCAAGACCAAGCTGAAGCCGGCCAGTATCCCCAAACTCCCATGTACGTCAAACTGGGGGCTTGGGCTGGCGGTGATCCCTCCAACCCAGAAGGCACGATTGAGTGGGCTGGAGGAGTCACTGACTACTCTGATGGGCCCTTCACCATGTATGTGAAGTCTGTCCACGTCACGGATTACTCGACCGGATCACAGTATTCCTACAGTGGCACGAGCGGCACGTGGCAATCCATCGTTTCCAATGGTGGCCAAATCAACGGCCAAGGGGATGGTACACCAGCCTCGTCTGGGACAGCACCCGCCGTTACCTCCTCCGTGCCTAATAGTGCTCCCCTTGCCTTTGGGAACGGCGGCGACACTTCTTCTGTGTATGCGACGCGAACCGGGTGGCCGTGGTCTGGAACGGCCACAGCCACAGCAGTGACTGTGGTAAGCTCTTCAATTTCTGGGCTGACAAGTTAGTGGATTCCCTCTCTTGCTCCAGCTCAAAATATCGAATGGATGTGGCTAACTCATTCCTAGTCGACATCCCCGTCCCCATATTCGTCCTCGCCAGTAGCCTCATCCTTGGCTTCTGCCTCGGCTTCGCTTGAAGTCGTGACTTCATATAACGAACAAGGGTTTCCAACACTGGTCACCATCAACCCTGCGGCGCCAACAACCCCAAAGAGCTACGACAGTCAAGGTTTCCCAATTATCAGCACCAATCCGGTTTCGGAGTCAACACCTCAACCTGCGACGGCACAAGGGTCCACGGCGACAGGCGTGGCAGGTCCTGTGTCGGCGAGCCCAGCATCTCCCGTTTCTTCAACCTCGGTCTTAGGACCATCCGAAAGCCCGAGCTCTACAGCTTCAGCTCCACAGAGCTCAAGTAACACGGCATCGGAAGCTCCTGAGACCACGAACACATTGTCCACGACTGTGTCAATCTCAAACCCCCTCAGTTCGATCTCCACCTCGGCATCGAGCTCTGGGTCCGGCTCAGTCTCTACTACGGCGTTAGTAACGGCTGTTTCCACCGGAACGGGATCGATAATCACACCAACATCCAGTTCTCCGGCAAGCCAAAGCAACATCTCTTCTTTCATAAGTTCATTGAGTTCCCAGTCACAGATCACCCTTTCGAATTCTGGGACTGTCGTCGGAACTCCATCTGCAAGCGGCACAACTGTCACGAGCAATTCGAGCAGCGCATCCATCTCAAATTCCGCTTCATCTACTGCATCCTCCTCCTCGACAACTCGGTCGTCCTCGATCTCCAGCAGAACTTCATCGACGACCAGCTCAAGAAGCTCAGCCACCGAAAACAGGAGTACAACTAGCGCGGTGAGCTCACTGCAAAGTACAACCTTGACGACATCAAGTCAAGTGTTGAGTAGAACAACAACGATTTCGGCATCCGCCACAGCATCAGGTACGCCGCCTGCAGTGAATGTTGCAACCCAAATACGGATTTTGCATCCATTTGGAGGGGTTGTGGTGCTAGGGGCATTATGCTTGTTTTGAAAGAAAGCTTGGACGGGCGTTAACTAACCGTAGGCGGCATTTGTCAGCCTACCGGGGTTTGTAATGGAGGGTGGCGTTGGAAGGTTTCCAGAAGGCTTCAGGGGTTTGGCGAAAGGCGCGAGGCTGCGGCAGCCCAGGGACATAATGCTGGTGGCACTGCGAACATGATGAGAAATGATTGTGATACCCAGATAGAAGGATAGAATTGGCCTCGTCGCCTCGTCGCCTCGAGACTGTTTTTGGCTACGACAAATGCAAGGCCCAATAATGCGCGCCCCATGGAACTCATTTTCCTGCCTTGCTGGTGCTAGTCTTGCGCGACGGCTACGTGCTCTTCGCTCTAGTGGTCTAGACAGAAGGACTTATCGCCCTGAGGTGAGAAAAGTGACGCCTCCCCCGTCGTTATCTGGGCAACGAGCAGCATTTGATACCAAACCGCTCATTTCCGTCTCTGAAAGCAGAAACAGAGAAGTGGTGGAAGGCCCGGCTGACCAGCGGTATCTCCCCTCGCAAAAAGCCTATCCTCGAGCCTAGGTGGTGGAGGCTTTTCACAGAGGAGTGGAAAGGCTGGCTCCCCTGCCCACCCCTGCCCACCCCTGCCCACTCCTTGCCCTCGGGCGTACGTCACAAATCATCATCGCACAAATTTGTGTAAATTTCTCCACCACCGTTTTCCATTTGTTCCTGGTTGTCTGTGATGCACCGGACCACGCCCGCCACTGGCCGAGCGAGCGAGCATTTCGCACCCTGCATCCTTTAAAGCTGCAACCATCCCACTCACTCACCACTCGAACAAGTTCAGGGTCCCCGACGCACAAACCCACCACCTCTGCCTTCTCCCCTTTCCTCTCGTTCCTACCTCCTCCTCCTCTTCCAGTGCCACCATGGCGACCGTGGCTCCTGCCGATATCTCGCAGACCCATCCCTACACCTGCAACTCGTGTGCGGTCGCCTTCCGCAACAGTGATGCCCAACGCACCCACATGCGGAGTGACTGGCACAGATACAACTTGAAGCGCAGACTGGCCGAGTTACCGGCTGTCTCCTCTGAAGACTACAACGAGAAAGTCCTGGCTGCTCAGGCGACCAACAATGCAGCCGCCGCACAGGCGGCCTATGCAAAATTGTGTGCCACCTGCCAGAAGACATACTACAGTGAGAATGCATACCAGAACCACCTTGCAAGCAAAGCACACAAGACAAGAGAAGTGGCCCCAAGCCGAGGGTCGACACGAGACGCAAACTCTGTAACTGGGTCCGAGGTGCGGCGGTCATTATCCGCAGTGGGTTCGACAGCAGACTCGGAACCTCGAGATCCAGTGGCGGAAGCCGAATTCGAGCAAGTGGTTGCAGGAATAAAAGAGACGTCGATCCGAGATATGCCTGAGATCACACGGAGACCCTCGAACCCCCCTCCAGATGTAGAGCCGCGGGAAGACCATCCCATGTCGCCAGAGAAGGCCGAAGTCTCGTCCATGCCCATTTCGAGGTGTCTATTTTGCAACTACGACTCGCCCAATTTGAAACTCAGCGTCATGCACATGACCAAGATCCACGGTCTATTTATTCCGGAACAGAATTTTCTTGTGGACCTGGAAGGTCTGATCCGATATATGCAGGCCAAGGTCCACCAAAATTTCGAGTGTCTGTTCTGCCACAAACTTAGAGGGAATGCAGAAGGTGTGCAGACACACATGAGAGACAAGGGTCATTGCAAGATCGCCTTCGAGACAGAGGAAGAGATGATCGAGGTCGGCCAGTTCTACGACTTCTCCAGCACATATTCGGACGATGGCGAAGAGGAGTCTGGGGGGGAGATGGGGGGAGTGAAGGCAGAACAGAACAGCGGAGTCAAATTGGAGGGCACAGCAGAAGCCGGTGCAGAAGATGGCTGGGAGACTGATTCTTCCTTCTCCTCGCTCGACACCAACGAACTCGCCTCTGTCCCGAACGACGATCGAACACTATCATATCAACGACTTCCCTTGCACAGACATCATTCCAACACCGATCCAAGACCACACCGGAACGCAGACGGCTGGCACTCACACGCCCATAACCACACCAATGCCGTGTTCTATGACGAACATGAAATGCATCTCCCCAGCGGCAGGGTGGCTGGTCACCGAAGCTTGAGGAAATATTACCGACAAAATCTGCACAATTACCCTACGGCAGCCGAGCGAATGGAACGTGCCCAGAGACTGATCGAAGAGGGAAGCTCAGAAGACGCAGAGATGGACGACGTCGATCTACCGGCGACCCCTCCTCGAAATAGTCTCATGAGACGCGGCGAGGCTGGTATGCTTGGCGCCACGAGCCAGCAGAGACGAGACGTTCGCTCGGAAGAGATCAGAGCCAGACAAAGAGAGCGGCGGGCGCAGAATCGGTACCAAGCCAAGCTGGAGAAGCAGGCCAACAGTCAAAAACACTACAGGGTAAGCATTGCTGAAGAAGATTGTGTTTTCGAATACAGGGCCGCTGACGAGTTCCCAGGATCCACTATTGCAGTGATCGATGAATCATATCTCCTCCATGCCGACCGATCCGAGTGCCACCAAAGATTCCATACCATACCCTACCAGCACCTCTTCTGACGAGCTGTAAATAGCATTCCTTATTTCGCATAAAATGCATATCGGGGGTTATAAAAAGCCTATTCGGGAAACAACGAAAATGACACGACGCGACGACGCTTGACGGCCTAAAATCCGGGGGTTGCTGCATCCGTGGATTCAGTCGTAGGATTTCGAGATATTCTCCACAATCGGAGGACGAGCCTGGCGCTGCCTCGGATCCTACCTGGTAGTCTATTATCCATGGCGGAGGAAAGGATGGCAGTCGTTGCTACGGAGCAGCGATATCATTATGCATAAATTTGGCCTTTCATTGGCACCTCGGCCGCTTGACCTTGTAAACTGCCTCACAATACGATGGTCTGGTCGCACCGGCGTTCTGAGAACCAACCTCGTTGGTACCATATGTTTGTTGCTCATCTAGATGATTTATTCTAATCTGTCGAGGAAGACAAGGCTCGAGTAGCAAAAAGGGGCAATATTTGAGACGCCTGCAGAAAGTATACGGTGAATCAATGAGCCCGTTTGTCCAGGCTTGGCGGGCAGTTTGTACAGTACCTTGAAGATTCCAACCTGGAGCTCTCCACTGACAGCTTCACGCGCGACTTGAACTCCAGTCAACAGCACCGTCGTCTCATCTGGAGATTCGCCTTGTGCAAAACCTAGTGCTTTAAGCTGCTCGGATTCTCTTCCACTCCCTCCGCTCTTCCCAATCTCCAACCATGGCCAAAAAGCGTACGTCCCGACCCCCGACATGATTCCTTTTTCTTTTTTTTTTACACCCGTCTCCCCGCAAAACTCTTGATGATGCAACTGACATGCCCATGTTGCACACACAGCCAAGTCCCGCACTATCGCCGTCCGCCTGATCTCCATGGCCCTGACGGGGTACTACCGGACGATGGTGCGTCCTCGCACGTCGAGACCCCTGAGCATGATGAAGTACGACCCCGTGGTCAAGAGGCAGGTGCTGTTCTTGGAGCAGAAACGCGGGAAGTAAATCATGTCCGGCTTACGGTTGTGGAGGAAGAACAAACAAATGTCAAAAGAGGGGCAAGCTTCAAGGGGTGGCCTCCGTCCCGGCGTCGCCTGGTTCGTGTCGGAGCTTGGGAATCTGGACTCGACTATACGAAACGAGCTATGGGGGGCTGGCTGGCTGGCTGGCTGGCTGGCAGGCAGATGAGAGAGGAAAGGGAGGCGTGCGGACAAAAGAGGGAAATCTTGCGGGTGGAGGGGGCGACTGAGTTGACTGGTCTGTCCATCGACCTGCGGAAGGCGCTGCGCGGCCGACAGAGAGACAGAACACAACTCGGGTGTGCTTGGACTTCCAGCGCAATCTCGTCACTGGGGCTTACTTACCCTGGGAGCCAATGGGTCCGACTGCGGAATCCTTGCCATCGACGACAACCGGGACGAGGAGGACCAGGAAAGGAACTGACGGAACGCGGCTGCGACAGGACATGGCTCTCTCTCTCTCTCTGCCAGCGGCCATGTTCTTGATGGTGCCTGCACCTGCCAAGGGGTGGATGGAGTCCATCGTATGGTCGAAGCTCGGGGTCGAGAAAACCCAAGACACGGTCTTCGGCCTCTGACTTCATCACTCTCCACCTCTGGATGGACGATCGACAATCGAACAAGACTGCCTCACTCGAGGACAAGAAACCGAGCACACCTCCTCCTCCTCACCAATCAACCACCACAATGCAGCATAATGCAAAAAGGGGGCGGACCGTCGTTTGGGGAGACGAAGAAGAGCTGTATCGACGGACTCACCTGCATCCTATGTACCCCTTCCACATCGAGGAAGCGGTACTTATTTACACACGGACTGGACTCCTCACCGACTTGTGGTGAGCTCAGGGCTGCAGGCGGCAAGAGGCTGTCCAACAGGACACGAGCAGGAACGAAAAGGTCTCTTGCATAATGATTGGCGCCGCACGGTCTGATCTGGTCTGGGATGACTGGGTGTGTTGTGTTGTGTTGTGTTGTGTTGTGTTTGAGTGTATCTGGCTGGGTCTCTAGTGATTACGAGGGTAGAGGGCCATTCTTCTGTCGCTAGGTATGTAGGTTGAAGGGGCGGGCACCACGTCGTCACTGGTATACTGTACAATAGAGGTTATCATGCGTCCTCGTCTGATGGCCACTCACGTGTACCTCGTTTGAGCCCTTCTGCGGGAGGAAGATACTGTGGCATACTCGGTACTCACGGCTCCATTGATAGGGACCAGTACTATCTATCATACATTGTCGGTGTATACATTTTATGTGTTCCCATCTTTCCCGGTCTGTTTCTCACGATTCCTTGCGCTAAGCCGATAGCTTTCTCGCCCGTCTTTCGCAAATTGTATTTTCTTGCTTGCCTCTCTTTTCCCTCTTATCTTTGTCTCAATCTGTCCCGTACCATAAAACCATACATACCATTCGGATTAGCTGGCAATCCCAAACTGATTGAATGACTGTCTAGTCGTCTCATCAAGCTCGTTCGAATCGATATTTCCTGTAAAGCGCTCGGAACATGCCACAATCGTCCATCCCCCCCTTTTTCTCTGTGTGTTGCTCTCTTTCCTCAACCAGCCTATCCTTCTCGAGTACAACTGTATGTCGCTTGCTTGGTTATGCATCAAGTCTCCGCTCCAAATCGAGTGGCGTACTTGTCCTGACGAGAACCTTTTCGAGCGGGTTTGGCCGATCGTTGACTCTTTCCTGGACCAGGAGCGTTCGTCCCGACGATGCTGCTGCCTCTGCCGTTGCTGCTCTTGCGAAAGCTGATGGCACCTCGAGACGAGGATTTGTCCACCCTCTGCTTCGGCGAAGCTGGTGGTGGCTTCCTCGCTTCCAGATTCGCAGTTGTACGCTTGAGACGTTTGGGATTCTCTGGGGGGATTTTGTCCTCGTCGTTCTCGGGCTCCATTCGACGTTTGGCCGCTGAATTGGGCTGGTACCGCTCACGCATGATGGCGGGGGTGGATGCCCGATTGCCTTCAAACTCGGCGCTTGTATCGGGAGAGGCAGTGAACCGACGATTCCGGCCTCGAAGTTCACTTCTTAATCTTCTTGGACTTGGTCCTTGCTTCGGCCTGACTTTACTACCAGGCACAACAAAGGTCGGACCGGTCTCGGTGGAGTCGAAATCGTTTGGACCTTGATCCTCGTCTTGGCTGACTTGATCCAGAAGCATTTGATCACTCTGAGACCCATACGAGCTGGATGGAGGCTGTTCGACGGCCCCTTGACTGCGTCTGATGCTGCTGGTCCCTTTCGACCAGACTTCAATCTGGCTGCGGTCATGTCGGCTCGTGATGAGATTAAGGGCATGGTTGATAACCTCGTCGAGATCAGCTTCTCCGTCATCGTTTGGAATCGGGGCAAGTTCTGACCTGCTGTCCTCTTGCCCTTGATCTGCAGATAGTACAAAGCTATCTGGATCGATTGGTGGGGATTCGTGGATTTCGATTTGTGTTTCTGGTACGACGGCTATAGGACTATTCGTGGGACCTGGCGGATTCGAACGCAAAGGACTGTCGACATTGAGAAATTGAACGCCGCCACCATTGGAGTGCTGCCGTGTGAGAGGCAACTGATTGTGATAGCGGTCTTTTGCGTTTCCGGAACGATCTGCAACACGTCGTTGTCGTTGGTTGTGGTTTGCCTCGTCACCATCAAGTTTCGCATTGGAGATGACAGCTTCGAGGCTGAGGATTTCCTGCTGCATGGATGCCTGTTGCTTTTCATTCTCCTGCACCTCGGCTCGAAGATTCTTGAGTTGTTCAGTCAGGTCGTTGAATAACGCCAAGTCCTTCTGCAATTCCGTGATTTGACTGTCCTTCTCTCTAATGGTCCCTTGCAAAGGTGCAATCTGAGTGCACTGCTCATTCAGTCGTCCGAGGTCTGCTGTAAGAGAATCGACATCTTCCTTGAGGGAAGAGTTTTCTGTTTCTACTTCGTTGAGTCGGGTTGCCTGAATCTGAGCAGCGGCAAGGGCAGATTCAAGTACAGCAATCTCGGTGATCTTCTGCTGGAGCCTCTTTTCCAAAGCTTCCTGCTCAGAGAGCTGTCCTCGCAAGTTCTCCATATCATTTTGGAGGCTGGCATACTCCTTAGCGAGCCTGTCCTTTCCCTTTGCTTGTTCTTCAAAACGGGCAGACGTGTTTCCGAGGTTGTTGACCTGCTTCTGGAGGGTTTCTATCTCCTTTGACTTGTCTGCGATTTGCTGGGTTTGAGACACAGACTCTTCTTTGAGGCGCTGTAGAGAGGATTGCTGCTGTCTCAGATATCCCAGCTCAGACTCAGTGTCTGCCAGAGACTTAAGGGTGTCCTCAAGCTTCCGAGCATTTTGATCTGCTCCAGTCAATTTTTGTTCCAGCATACCTATCTGGCTTTGCAACTCTTTATGAACTCTGATAGCTGTGGTGGTTTCGTCGCGAGATTTCTTGAGATCTCGGCGAGTTTGTAGCTCCCGTGCTTTGGTCCTCGCCACTTCAGCATCGACTTCAAATCTTCTCTGTATCTCGCAATTCAAATCACCCTGTACATCCGAAAGCTGAGCATTCACGCGTCTCAGCTGCTTCAGATTAGCCACGCCTTGAACAGCCAGTTGGGTGTCCCTACCTCCATAGTCTGTTCTTCATTTTGTTGTTCGAATTCGCCCAGAATGTCTTCGCTGGCCATCAATTCAGCTTGAAGGACATTGTGCTCCTGCGTGGCCTCGGACAGACGGATCGTTAAATCAATGACTTCCGCTTGAACTTCACTCTTATCCTGCTTGCACTTTTCGAGTTCAGAGCTTGCTGTTTGCCACTTTGTCGTGACAGTACGCAATGATGTCCGGAGCTCCTCACTCTGCGTTAGAGCTGCGGCTTTGTTGTTTCGAAGACTCTGGTTGGTGGCCTGCAACTCTGCCTCATGCTTCTGTGCCTCACGCTTGGCCTCATGAAGGAGCTCCATGATCTCCTGTGTCTGCTCTATCTTCGCTTGCAGTCGGGCCACTTCTGCTTTGGCTTCGACAAGCTCGACATTGCCTGACTGCACTTCCGACAACAATCTCGACACCTGAGTGGAGACGTCATGTTGTAAGTCGTGCTTGAGGCTTGCTACTGCTGTCTGGACCTTTTCGGAGAGCGAACCTTCAAGCTTGGCTATCGATGAATTCACTGATATACAATCGTCTCTCAGTGGTGCCAGATCTGATTTCACCGGCAGATTGTTGTCAATGGCGGACTGTATCTGATGTAGGCGCTCGATGATACGGGTTGTCGCGGAATCCTCTTCTGCTCTCTCTTTATGAAGTGTGGCAAGCCCTTTCGAGATGTCCTGCAGGGTTTGGTTGGTGGCTTGATGTTGGCTGTAAAGTCTGATGTTCTGTTTGTTTTTCTCCTGCTCCAACTGGAGTATATGAGCCTCCAACCTTCGGCATCTTTGTGTTTCGCTCATCAAGTGTTCGTTTTGCGCCATGGCGAAAGCCTCCAACTGCCTAATGGTCACAGTACTATCTTCTGCCATTGCTTTAGCCTCGCGGACTCCGTCTCGAATGCTCTCCAACTGCTCTGAGGATGAGTCTGAAGAGCATTGAAGTCCTCGCAGCTGCGTGAGCAACTGATCCCTGTCCTTGGTCAAGGCTGTGAGAGTCCGATGGAACCCTGAGGCCTTCTCCTGCAGCATCTCGCAGTCTTTGTTAGTCTCCAGAGCCCATTTCTTCAACTTGCAATACTTCTGTTTGAAAATGTCCAAACTCTGGCAGAGAAAATCAGAATATTGAGAACATTCATCCCTCGTCTTGACAGTCTGTTGAAGTTCAGCTTCCGTCTGCCCTTGTAGCTCTCGCAGATTCTGATTTTCGTGCTCAAGATCCTTCAGCCTCTCAAGGGCCTTCTGTGTCTCGCGCGCTCGGGACATAAGAAGGAAGAGCAGATCTTCTTCCGATGGCTGTGGGACATTTGTTTCATTGTCATGGTATCCGCGTATCTGACGGGTCTGAGCCGGTCTCGGACGGTATCCCCTTGGAGACTTTGAAATCCCGGATTCGTGGGTTGGACCCATACCTGGGCTGTCTGGTCTATGGCCAACAGATCTCGCTCTTACCATGGTGTGGACTTTGGGTGAGGATATCGAGCCAGGTCTCTTGACAACCCCATTATCCACGCCGCAGGGAAGTTCCACATATTGATGGTCTAGGTGATCTTGTTGGATAGGTGCAAAGTCGAACTGAACTTCATCACTGGATACATTTTCCATACCCTGTCTCCCATGTAGAGTTGAAAGCCGGCAGGTGTGGCTGTTCCCAGAAATATGGTCGTTCTTGAGAGGCTCTACTGGTGTGGGTGCAGTGGGTGTTGTTCGGTCCTCTGTACACTTGGGTGTTAGTGTTGTTGTCTTGGGTGGAGTGGTGCATCAGAAAGGCATCACCTTCTATCCAACGTACGACGTCTGCAGGAGCGTCCTCGTCGAGCTCATGACAGACAGCGTTGGCCCGAGGGGTTTGTGGCGTGTCGGATTCTCCAGCCATTGCATGGGCATTGAATTAGGACTGCGAGGGCCGAGGAAACTTGCCAGTGAGACGACAAGTGAAAGGTCAGGTGGTTGCAGGAGCGGCGGTGGACGCTCTGGAGTCACTCCCCAAGGCCAAGACTGAGCCTCAGTTCACGGCTGCGCCTTCCAACACGAGCCTCTCAACCATGGTTTTCACAATCCTCGAAGATATGTTCATCAGCGGTCCTCCGTGGCCACCGATTTCTGCAGTGCGGATCTATCTCTGCTCTTGGGCGTCGACAAAGTTAACGCACGTGTAAAGCCTGAGACAACGAGAGCAGGCGCAAGTGGACTCAACTGTTCACAGACAACGAAGCGAAGTCAAGGGAAAGTCGTGAGAAGAGAGAATCCAAGTCTGGTCCTGTCCTTTGTTCATTGCCACAGTATCATTGCAACAGATGGCGTGTTCGACATATCAACATGTTCCCCAAAAGTGTGCCTTCAATATCGGTACTCGATCCTAAGTGTTCGCAATCATGTAAACTCCACCTGGCCGGTCCCGTTCCAGGTCGTTCCTGACGGCCCCTCTAGCGTCCAAACACTCTCTTCCACATGGGCGTCTTGGGACTGTCCATCTCAAAAGCCGAAGATGGAATGGACACACTCGAAGGCCTCTGCCGTTTCCCGTCCTTCTTTCCAGATTTTGCCTCGATTGAGTCGTTGTCCTCCGTTGATTCGACCTTGACGGCACCATCTGGCAGTCCCTTTTCAAGGTCACGACCACTGCGCCTCGACGAGGACCGGCTCCCACTTGCCCCCTCCTTTTCAACGGTCACATTTGATGTTGACTGCAGTAGTTGATCGTTCGCCTTCTTCAATGTGTCCCCCTTTTGTCGTTTATTCTCGACAGCGGGGAAGGTCATTTTCTTGGGAGTAAGTGGCGTGGCAACGGCCTTGACAGCGCTCGTGACCTTTCTTGCTGACCGTCTAATGCTGTCTTTGATCTTCCACTGTCTCTTCTTTGCCAGGTAGAACAACACAGTCATCGTGGCTGCAAAGCGTGAGAATCTATTGCGTCAGGACGCTCGAGCAGTAGAATGCCCTCGCCCAAAGGAGCAGACTCACCACCAAGAACGACCACTAAGCTCACAACCAAAGCGATTGCGATCGTAGCCCCACGACTCAAATTCACAGACCCGGTATCTGGGCCTGCAGCACCGGCATCTTCTGACGAACTTCCAGGACTAGAACCGATGTCACCCGGTTCCACGCCCTGAGCTCCACCGCCATCACCGGATTGTGCAAGGACTCGCGAATATTCGAGGAGGTCGAGGCATAGAAGAAGCGCAAGGACGTGCAGCGGCAGCCGCGCCCGTGGTGAAGAAATCATGCTCACTATGGTTCCTGACGGGAGAACCTCGTCCCGCGCTATGTAGTTGACGATCGCAGTGGCAGAGAAAAAGCCGAGATGAAAAGAAGTGTGCGTGTAAGATGTGGAGGATAGGTCTACACAGAAGAAGAGATCAAAAGGCGAAAAGACAGCAGGAGGGGTGTCCTCTTGCGATACCGACTCAGCTTATGTTGAACAGGATGGGCGTCTGCACACCTCTGGACCCTTGGGCGGCGCCATCTGGAACGGCGCACTGGGCAATGCACTCCTCTGGCCCATGGCCTCTGAGGTCGGACCTTGGGTCGAAAAGGCGAAGATATCAAGTGTGATGAGTGGGATTGGAGATGGGCTGCGGGTGATGAAACGTGCAAAGAACATCCGAGGCCAATCATGCTGGTCCCGTATGCGTTCGACTACGCGCCCACCTGAAACTATCACAAGGCTTGGCAGCCTTGCCTTGGACAATGCGGAGGCAGCACCACTAACAGATCATCATATCACTCATGTACATCAGCGCAAAGGCATTCGGACTTGGACAAGATTCTCCTATGTAACGCCACCAGAGCCAACCAGCCTCTGGGCCCATTGCCTGTCTCGTCGTAGTCTCGTGATAGCCTTTACTCCCGTTCACAGCCCAGAGAAAGTCTGCGGGGTCAGAGTGTTTCCCAACCGCCGGCGTTGACCTCGCTCTCCAGTTTCCTAGCAATTGTGCTCCACACACTGCCGTTGATCATCAACCACGTATCTCTCAACAGCTTGTCATACCGCTTCTGGTTGAGAATCAACTGGTGTTTCGATCTCAACCCGGAATCCGTCTCCCCATGCTTGGTCAAGTATGGTGCTGGGAAAAAAGACCCGTGGCTCATGGTAGAACTGGGCGACAACCCATGGATCCGCCTGAGAGTATCTTGATTACCAGCCTTGGGGTCCTTTGTGACATGCAGTAGTGCGACGTGACATTTCCGTATGAACAAGAACATACCGATCGGACTCGAACACTTTTCGACATGCGCGTTGCAGCCGCCTCGCTTGTCTTTCGTCTGGCAGCAGACAGTCTGGGAACAGAATATTTCCCCGCAAAAGAGGCAGAGGGCGGGATCCAGCACCTCTTTGCCCGTGGTAGGACACTTGCGTCTGTGCGACTCTTCCATCAGCACATCAAAGTATTTTGGAAGACCAATCAATTCGAACGGTGCAGGGTGTAACAACTTGATTCCCATCGGGCGCACCGGTACCCGGACAAGCTGAGGCATCCCCTTGTTCTCCATTTCGAAACGTATGCAATCCTGAAGCCAAATGCCCGCTCGATACTTTAGAGTGCCGGAAGTCGAGTACTCGCTAAATGATCTGAGAATGTCATCAATGTTGGGCAAGTGTAAAAGGTGGCATAGACGCTCAAGCTCCGACAAGCTAGCTTCGGACCCGGCTGTGGTGGGGAAATCGACGCCATGCGCGACATGGAAGAAGATGGCGGATTTTCGAAGGAAAGCAAGAGCATACACCTTGCACAGCTTGAACAATATCCCAGCCGTGCTGGGTGACATTTGTTGCAGGCTGTTGGGAAGGTGGTGGCCTCCATCGGTCTGCTGGATTTGTTGTCTTACCCATAAAACAATGTCTTCCACGCTGCGCAGCTGCTCTGTTCCCGGTGTTGGAAGACTAGCCTGTCGAATCTGGTTTTGAGTGAGCATCTCGCCCACCTTGAGAAGCGCCGTGGAGTTGAGTAAGAACGCCAGAACCACCCGTAGGAGCTCCATGGTCAGAGCCATTTGTAAAACGTGGCGCTGCTCTAAGTTTCGAATGGGGCTAAGCACCATCGTTGCCTGAACCAGAAATTGGAAGGGATCCATGCAAAGGAGAGGCAGGGCGGTCTCGGACTCGGTTGACGTCACCATATTTCTCGTTGTTCCAGCCAGTTGGCGCTCAAGGCGCTCGCAAAGTTCTCTGTACTGCGCCTCGACAGAACCACGGACAGTCAAGGCACCCGTAGCTGCGTAGGCATTCAGAGTTGACGACAGCGTTTGCAGGTGACTGAGTGTCTGTTGCGCGACGCTTGTCAACAGCGAAGTGCCGAATTCGGCCTCGCGGCCCCTATGACCGATCTCGACCGAGGCTATGGTATTCGCCAAAGTATTGACCAGGAGCTGAAAGTGGTTCAGATTCGGGTCCTCTCGAGGAGTCGCAACTTGGCTTGTCGCCGCGACAATCGCCAGAGTTTCTCGAAGCCTACCGTAGATGCTCGCGAGCTCAGCGAAAGCGGCAAGCTCTGGTCGTTCGGCCCATGCTTGGCTTGTTGGGCTTATAGTGAGATCACCTGATTGCCAGCGAGCTATGGCTGGAGCCAGGGAGCTGTTAGAAAATGTTGCCAGAGTCTCCAAGTAGGTTCGTGAGGCATGAGCATCGAATGAGGGGTCCTGAGCAGCGGTCGGTGTAATAGCTGATGGCAGATTCTTGTCCAAGAAGGAGTCGAACTCTTGCGAAACTTCAAGTGTTCCCGGGTAAGATTGTTGTGAGTGCTTCCACACAATCGGGAGGAACGTGTTCGCAAGCGCCTTGCACAAGGGGCAGACGAACTCCTTCAGAGATATCCGCTCAGGGTGGTTTCTGGCAACCTGTTGCGAGTGTCTCCGCGTGATTGACTGATAGTAGTTTTCGAAACACGTGAAATGCATAATATGACCGCAGCTCGTCGAGACTGGGCCTTTCATGGTACAGCCCTGTGGCCAGCCTTTACCCAAGCCTTGAAAATCCACCGTGACCTCCTGGCCATCTGCCGTCAGACGCTTCACCTGTTCATGATTGGACCCCGAGACTCCAAATGGCCGGATGTTCTCGAGGGAGCGGTCCAGGTTTTCCGGGATTGCAAAGAGCTCTCCAACGAAGTCCACATCATCCGTATCCGTTTCCCGCAAGATGTGGGCGTCGGTGACCATAGCAAACGTGCCGTAGAACCTTGCATCGGATGTATCTTCACGACACTGGATACATAACCCTGCAGGGTATTTCCAGTGGCGCATCTCCGTGGACTTGGGTAACTCTTCATCTGGGGACTCCAAGTCTTCGTCCCCCCAGTCGGTCATGCCTTGCTTGTCCATAAAACTCTGTTGCTGCTGCTGAAACTGAGCCATGACTCTTGCTTTTCGTTCCATTGCTTGCTTCTTCTTAGCTTCGATCTCGCTTTCGACGTTAGCAGGAGAAGCGGTGTCGAATCTGCCTGATGGAAAATCCAGATTCCGTGTCGACGTAGTGAATTGGTGAGGTAGCCTATGATGGAAAAGCCGTAGCATGTGTCTGATCTTGCTCCGGCAGGAGCTAAATTCTTCCATGAGCCATACCTTGGATAGCATCGCAATTATGGTGGACGGTGGGTTACTGTCAGACTCCAATTCTAGCTTCATGGCATTCCGGACGAAGGAGGGAGTGTCAATGGCATCGTCGGTGGAATTGTCCTCTAATGTAGCAATGAGTGCGAGTTGGAGAACGATTTGTAGAAAGGCCTCAACGCGCGTTGCCGAAACGCCTGCCTTAGATTTATGACCGTGTGCGACGTACACCAGTGCCTTATGAATGACATCTGCGAAAAGAGTGGTGTTGACAACAGCACAGAGATCAGTGTATGCCTCGCACGGGATGGGGTGCAGCTTGGGATCCAGGACGATGTCTTCCGGCGGTTTGTGCAACTTTTTGCCCATCCAGTTCTTGTAGATGTTCTCTGCTTCATCTCTCTGGTTTTTCGTGAAATGGGAGTTGTATGGATCCAGCTCTTGCAAGTACTCTTCCTTCAGCTCAAACAAGCCAGAGTCGTGGAGACCTTCTGGTGGCCGGTATTTGGTCATCTGTTCAAGGACTTCTTGCAATTGCTCGTGGTCCTGTGCTCTTTCCGTCAGGCGAGAATAGAGATCAGAATACGACAATGGTTTGAAACAGAGCGTATGGGCGATGTCTTTTCGAAGCGTAAGAAGCTGAGATTCCGGGTTGTCTCGATCGGAGATGAGAGCATCACGGTCGGAAAGTAGATTGATCAAAAGATACACGAAATCCTCTGCAAGGTCGAGCATCTGGTTGTCATCGCAGATCTCGAGGGAGTCAAACCCATTTCGCATCCAAGCAGAAAGGCCGAAACGATCGATCATCGACGCAAGCACTCGGCTAGGGTCACATGCTACAAGTGCCGTTTGCAGAAGAAACAGGTCCCGATGATGTCCAACATCACGATGGGCAACACTTTTGTACTGTACCATCTGATGACGCAAACTCATCCCATTTCGAACCCAAAGATTGGCCTTCATCTGCGCCAACCAGGCACAAACACGAAGCGGGAAGTCGAACATCGCAAGAAGGGCATCGTCAGTTGAGTTGAGCACAGTCTTGATTGCGCCGTCTCGGGGACCCAGAGGGGTATCGTGTAGATGTGACACGAATGTTTGCGCGGTTTCCCGGAGAGTATTTATGGACTGTTTGAATTCCTTCCCGCATTCTAACAACCAGGAGAGCGTGTAGTGCAACGGATGGTGGAAACTTAACGCGCCCTTTTCTACTACGAAGTCAACAACTTCGTAGTCGTAGGGTGGTAGCTTGTGAAACCGGACAGGTTCCTTGATCTCTGCCTGCTCAAACCGACGCCGCTCGAGTCCAACAGAATTTATGATTGCGACACCTGCAGCATGCGAGATTGCGTCCCAAGTCGAACGAAGAGCCGAAGGACTGCTGTCTTTAGAGACGTGATATGCTTCTGCAAATTGTCGACATAATTTGTTGATATCGCGTGTCAACAAAGAGGCACTGATCCAGGCATCTGTCTCATATTCAACATGTTCCCCCACTGCTCTCACATTAGGACAGATACCCTGGGACAGTTTGGCCAGGTCAAGGAATTGAAACAGATACTGTGGCTCGCTGCGGGCCTTGGCTTGTACGAATGGGGATGCAAGAAAGTATCTCAGATCAGAGAAGAAATGGTAGAGTCGACGGTTGGCGACGGATCCGGCATCGAAGCCTAGGGTGGCCCCTGGGTCCAGATCCTTCGGAAATCCCACTTGTCTGGTAGTGAGGAAGGTGTAAAGAATGGCCATCAGATTCGTAAGGAAATTTCCCCGCTCAATCACTTCTTCCGTGATAGAAGGTGTAGTCAGTAGCTGCAACGACAAGTTTATGATCGAGTGGTCTGGTTCGCGATCTGCGACAAGATAGAGTTGGGCGAGGGTTGTATATAAGCCAGAGAATCTCAATCCAAGGATACGTTTGAATTGGGGAATATTGACAAGTGTGCTGATAAAGAGGTCCCGCATGTTCGTCCTTGCAAGTTTCCACAAGCGCAGATCGAAGAGGATCATCGAGTCCACCCGGATATTCTTCGTAAGATCCTCATAGACAGGGATGGGTGCGTTTTGGGGGGACTGACTTGACGGCGCCAACTTCCAGTGGTTTGGCGGCGTGGATCGGTGCCGTGTTCTGCGCGCAGAGGCCGCGGGCGTCCTTGGTATGTTGAGGTAATTGGCATTGCTATCTGGATCAGTAGGGGAGGCATCCTCACCCATTGCCACATTGTTTCCAGGGTCACCGATATCTTGAGTAGGAAGTGCTGGCGGTGGAGGAGACGGTCCGTCCATATCCATTCGTTCTGCAATGTCCAAGAAATCCCCGTCACCGTCGGTGTCCATTTCCTCAGCGTCATCTGTCACATCCGCGTCCCCTGCTTGTTCGGCCAGGAGATTCAAGCGATGCGGCGTGTCGAAACCCGTTGCAGTGAGAATAAGATCGTTCATTTCCTGGTCATCAACGTCGACCAGTTCGTTGTCGTCCTCATCTTCGTCCTCTTCGTCATCATCAACTTCCCCAGTGTCGTTGCCATCGCTAGCTTCATCTTCATCCAGAATTTCCCCGGCCATTGCTCTTTGCATTGCGAATTGAATGGGGTCAAAAATGCGCCACCTCGTCCTCCTTCTATATTCGCGATCGTCCTCGTCGCCGTGGTCATCCAGATCTTCTCTTCCCACCTTGGCGTTCCAAGCCTCACTTCCGATCCTCCAGATCTGGAGCATTTCCTCGCAAATGACACGCCGTAGGATATGCCCATCTCCTGCAATACTGGAACCGGCGATATCGGCAAGCCATTCAATGATTGTACCACACATCTGTTCCCGAAAGGTATCCCTAGATGACCTGATCGTGACTGTGACTTTGATTTCCTCGATGATCTTTGCCATCCTAGTGAGCTCTTTGAGATCGCGAGAGTGCCTGATTACACTTCTGCCGACATCATTTGCTTCTTCTGCTTTGGCCAACCCGAACGCCTCCCGCTGACGACACGCTCGTGCCACTTGCGACTGTACTTCACGCACTGTGTGCTTCTCATCATTCCAGATGATCAAGCAGTAATCAGGATTGGTTTCGACCTCGTCCCCTGACACGTAGTGCTCCGCAGAAAGCCGACTTCTGACCTCGTCTTGGGCTACCGACTCCAGCGTCTTGGGTAGGCGCAGGTTCTCTGGAGAACAAGATACGATATCACAGAAATAGTCCAAAACTGTGCCGATAGTAGTGCGAATAGACTCTTGCAAGTCTGCAGGCAAGGGAGAAACATGCTCATCGGTTGTTGCCCAATCGTCACTTGCCGTGTGAATGGCACACTTCACAGAGCGCTTCCACGCTTCGTCATCACCGCAATCGCAGCATCCGCTATTTCCAGCACTGACATTCACACTGTACTGATGCCCCTCATGATCGCTCGCAATGAAACAGCGGGAGCAGAGGACGGCGGTTGTGTCGTCGGTGCAGGTGCTACAGTGGTAGCTGGCCTCTCCTGGCTTGAAAATGTGTCCACATGGATGCCCTCTAGCCGCCGCACTATACTCAGCATCTTCTTGTACGCCCTGTGCATCTTGTAGCTTGTATGAAGGCGGAAAGCCCTGCGGAAAGAGTTCGCCTAGGTAGTCTGCTCGGTCATTCGTCAGGGCTCGAAAGAGGATCTCTAGGAGGCTGGTTCCTGCACTGGAATCGTAGCGATAGTCATGCTGTCGTGGGTGGTCGCAGAGCGCCTGGCGGAGTTGACGGTCCAGGCTGGAGATCGGCGTTGTCATGATGAGGGTTTTGAGGTGGCTGTGGCCCACATTTGGACATGTAGAAACCAGATATCCTGGTAGAGAGTGGACCGTCAGAGGTGAAGGAAAAGATGCCCCCAGGGACGAGGATGGAGGAGATGTGGTCTGGCAGGGTAGTTTTCTGGTGCAGTTATGCGGCTGCTACCAGCTAAATGGGCCGATTTAAACGTTGGGTCGTTCTCACACACGTTTCAGGGTCCGGAGAGTTGACGGAACCGTGCAAAGTGCAAATTGCGTAAGGGAAAGTAGGAATTCGGTGACTAGAGGACAATTTGGCGGAGGGAAGCGTGACGAAGGCTGCGATGCAGTTACTGATCGATGAGACCATCAAGGCCAAGGCCGTCAGGCGGATATGCCAATTCCCTTACATCGATGCCCTTTCCCCGAATTCCACATATTCTGATAGGAGCAACATCATACGGTCACGAGAGAGGGGGGCGGAGGTGCTACACTTCGTGAACCCAACAGTTGACTTTGTTCGTTTCCTCAATATCTACCACATGTCACAGTCATAGGGCAGGGCACAAAGATCCTTCAAAAGTCGATCCTCCCTATCCGGCTTCTACCGCCACCAAGTGTACCTGATCCGAATCATTGATACTCATTCAATAGCGGGTTCGCGGGTACTCAATTCTGTACGAGATGCAGCGACCGCCTCTATCCGCCACTGAAACTGCCAGGAAATGGTGCGGGTAGAAAGGTCGGAAACTGGTTTTAATTTTCGGGCTTTTCTCGTCCTTCGTGGTTATGTACATAGTCATCCTGAGTGTCTCGCCTCACAGCAGACATGCTCTTGCCCTTGCTTCCTTGGGTACCTCAGTTGTGATTGTAACTCCATCCTTCAAACACCCTGTACTAGTCGAACTACTCCTCTTCCTCTTCTTCTGCTTGCTGCATGTATCTGTGCTTGATGTCTTTCCATTGCCGCTGTATCGAGTCAGAATCTGCTTTCCAAGAGTGCATTGTTCAGAGAACACGTACGCCTTTGTTCCAGTTGTCCCATATAGAGTTCGTTGCACCTTCGAACCCCCTGCGAAAGTGCATCAGCTTCCGGGTATTTCAGATATCCGAATCGAGATGAACCCACAATTCAAAAGTGAAGGCGCCGAGGAAGATGGTCGTTAGCCAGGTAGCATTTTTTCGAATCAGGCCACTATGAAGGGGTGAGCTGGAGCAGAAGCGGATTTGCTGGAAAGGAATTCATACTTGAAGATGCCGCTGGAAATCTGGGACTGCGATTTCCGATCAGTGTTTGAACAGCGACAGATACTCAAAGAGGTGGAGACATACCACAGCCGGCATCTTGCACAAGTAGCTGTTGTTTAGAGCTGGAAATCGGCAATGAGGGAAACACGAGGATGTTCTTCAGCAGCTCAGAATCAATCGCAGTCAGGACCTTCAGACAAGCTTGCGGACGACAGCTCGAGAGCCAAGGCAGGTAACCCGAGTCAGATGTGAGGACAATGGGTGTCGCCCTAAAGAAGAAAGTATGCCGGTATATGTCTTGGCACTCCGTTTGATGCCGCGAGCCATGCAAGGTCACTGCCAACAGATGGTTTGCGAGAAAGTACGTGGTTTGAACTCACTAACATGAATAGCGCAGCTTCTTGTGGATTTCCTGGTACTTGTCGCTGTCATGGATGCCATCATTCGACGTACCTTGTTCAAAGCTTTGAATGTCGCTACCTATGTCGGCGTCGTCCGTTACGAGAGCGACAAGTACATCAACCAAGATCGTTGAGCGCAGAATTGTGTTATTTCATCCATTATCACGGCATTTATAACAACGGATTACTGATGTATAGCGAGGCTTCTGTCAATGCCAAAAATCTCAGCAACAAGGGTCACTAGGTAGGGTGGTCGTAATCATCTTCTCTCATTATTTCGACACCTGCCAGGCCTCTGATGCATACGTGCTTATGGGGTTTTGGTGATACTTCCGAGCCTTTTGCGAGGACGGTATGCATAGCGTCACTTCCAGAGGGGCAGACCGGTGTGGGAGGAGCTGTGAACTGTTCTCTGGACTACCGGGCAGCGACATTTATAGCCAGAGAGGCTGAGTATAAACTCGCCATCCGGTTGAGAAGATGCAAGAAGTGACACCCCAGACTATGGTTTGCTCCTTCATCGCGGCTTTTGTGTAGATGTCTATGGCAGGTCGCCGTCTGCGAGGCTGTTGCCCCTATTGAAGATGTATATTCAACTCCCTCGCCCCCCACCTGGTGCGGGGTTTCGCTTGGAGACTCAGCGACCACAGCGACCACAGCGACGCAGCCGTCACTCACTTGTTCTTCCATGTTCCTTTCCCCCACTCACCAAGGTCCACAAAAGCCACCGAGATTATTCGCAACACATTTCTTCGCTGCCCGAAAGCCTAGTTCAGACAGGCTTCGGCTGCGCGTCCGCGGGATCTTTAGAGAGGCCAGCGAGTTCGCCATGTTGACGCCCACTTGAATCCGCACAAGCCGCACACAATCCCTTCGCGCCGCCTAATCATCCCACAAAATGTCGACTCGACCTTCTGACGCGCCTCGAGCCAGCAAATCCGGCATACAGACCACTGCCGATGGTGCTTCGTACATTCCGGCTTCGAAACGTGCGGATGGCTCTACCAGAAAAGAAATCAGAGTGAGGCCTGGCTATAGGCCGCCAGAAGACGTCGAGACCTACAAAAATAGGAGCGCCGAGGCATGGAAGAACAGAGGTCAAGGTGGCGTGCCCGGAGCAGAGTCGTTGGGCGCAGGCAAAGATGAGGCTCCCACAATGAGCAAGAATGCAAAACGCAGGGAAGCCGCACGGAAGAGGGCAACCGCAGAAGGGTCAGCAGAAGGTGCAGGAGATGAACTCGCATCAGCGATGCAAAAGACCGACATCTCGGCGCGAGACAAGCGCAAGGAGAACTGGCACGATCCCTCGAAGCTGGCGACAAACGAGGTAATGGCCACCGATGCCGAGATGGAACAACAGAAGAAGATTCGCAACCAACTTAAGAAGTTACGTGCAGTCCGTGATCTGAGAGAAAAGCGGGCGGCCGGCGAGAAGTTGTCGCACGACCAGATCATGAAGATCGGAAAGGAGGGCGAATTACTGCGGGATCTGAAGAAGTTGGGCTACGATGGTCCGGAGTTGGAGGCAGACGCTTCCGAGCCTGGAAATGTACTGGTTTCATCGACAAACTTGGTCGGCTGACGGGATGATACCATTGTTGTTCCATCATCTGTCATCTGTCATCTGTCGACAGGTCTCTGACGTGCAGCCGCACCAGAAGTCCAAGAGACAAGGAAGGACTCAACCACTCATTCCACCTGTCTACGAACTTATGCTCACCAAGCCTATTGGCCGAGAGTCTCCGCCGCAACCATGACCACTGCGTGGAAGGAGATGAGCTGGAGATTAACAAAGGACGATTGTAACTAGCAGACTTATCGGCCTGAGTTTGCAGCGCTGTCTGCAGCACCAAATGAAGCATCCATAGTCGGCGGCGGCATCGTCTATGGTAGCCTCAGTGATGCAGTATCGAGGTCTTGATGTCGGCCTGTGGAGGAACCGCTTCTGAACGACGTCTGCCAAACCGCTGCTCGCGTGTGCATGCATGGCGTGCGGGCGAAAGCGGAGATGCGTGATGGTTTTATGGCAAGTGAACCGAGTCGCCCAGCATCATCACGCCAAACTTTTGGTAGAATCAGTTGCAATTGATAGTAATTGCCCCTGCTACTTTCCGTCCAGCGTCCAGAAGCTCTCTAGATTTATCCCGCGACCGCCTCCGCATGCACCGCTCGGTGTGTATCCACTGGATATGCGCGTGGGTGGCTGTCATGCTCCCTACCAAAATGCCGTAAAGCACGCCTTGCAGCCTCGAGCAAGCCCGAGCCTACGACTCCGTACGTTTCATTCAACAGCCAGCCATGGCCTCGTCAGGATACCCCATTCCGACGGTCAAGATATCCTACCACCCCCGAATCCGCATGCCCGAGAGATAGCCATTTTGGGCGGAGGAATTACCGGCCTCGCAACAGCCTTCCACTTGAGCAGCCAGCTTCCCAGTGCAAAGATCACGATATTCGAGAAGAAGGACAAGCTTGGTGGATGGGTTGATTCGGAGGTGATACCGGTGGGGAGGGGAGAGGTCCTTTTTGAATGGGGTCCTCGAACACTGAGAGCAGGGATAGGGCCTGCGCCGCTTGCGATGCTCGAGCTGGTAAGCCCAAGACTGATGGATCTTCTGCCTGTGATGCTAAAATGGATCCTCTAGCTTGCGCAACTGCACATAGGTAGAGATCTCGTCGCGATATCAAAGTCTAGCCCGGCTGCCCTCAATCGCTACATCTACTATCCTGACCATCTCGTCCGCTTACCCGTCCTGTCCAGACACACTTCGCTCTTTGAGCTGCTTCGGACTTTGAACACTGTGCTCACCGAACCGCTGTACGACGGAATGCTGAGATGCTTGAGAGAACCGTGGGTGGCTCCCCGAGATGAAGACGTCAAGGACGAATCCGTCGGAGATTTCATATCCCGGAGATTTGACAAGGCAGTTGCGGATAACCTGCTTTCTGCCGTGTGCCATGGGATTTTCGCTGGCGACATCTACAAGCTCAGTGCGAGGACTTTGCTGCCACAGTTGTGGCATCTTGAGACCAGAGATCGAGAAAGAGCGCCTGGCATCCTTCTGGAAATCTTGTCCAACATGGTGAACCGTATTACATTCACACCCGTCAATGTTGCTCTACATGCGCACCGGCAGATTCTCGCGCTCAGGGCACGAGAGAATTATTTCAGAAGAATACCGAATTTGGACAGCTTCGATGAAATGAGCGTCTACACGTTCAGGCGGGGCTTGGGTCAGATAACCTCTGCACTGGAACAAGAACTTAGCGAAAACAAGAACATCACCATTGCACGGTCGACCTCGGTCGAAGATGTCGTGTTCTACGACAGCAAGAATCAAGTGTCCATCACGCCCAGCCCGACTGGAATCACCTCAAACTATGATTATGTGGTTTCGACGCTAGGCCCCCGGACATTGAAACAGTTTCTCTCCAACGGCGCTCGAGTATCAGGCTCAACGCTGGACCCCAAAGTCATAAAGGCCTGTGAACACAGCGACCGCTCGGTCAATGTCATGGTCATCAATCTTTACTACAGCAACCCGAATCTGCTGCCCCAATCACTCAGAGGGTTTGGGTACCTGATTCCACGTTCCGTCCCGCTCGAGCAGAATCCCGAGCGTGCGCTGGGCGTGTTATTTGGCTCCGAGACATCGGGTCGGTCTGATACAGTTGGCCCTAGATCTGCTGAGCCTCACTTTATCTCCATTGACAGCAACCCGGGTAGCCCGCTGGATCCAGATCCCCCGACAGGCGATTCAGAGGTTGTGATGCAGGACACCGCACCAGGTACAAAGCTGACGGTCATGATGGGTGGCCATTGGTGGAGTGAATGGGCACTGAGCAACCTTCCGAGTGAAGAACAAGCTATTGAAATGGCCAAGACTCTTCTGAGAAGACACCTCAACATCGAAGAATCTCCTGAAGTTGCCAAAGCGCGGCTCAATTGCGAATGCATACCACAGTATCCCGTTGGATATGCTCAAGATATGGCCACCATTCATGAAGGATTAACGGATACGTTTCACGGACGGTTGAAAGTTGCAGGTCCCTGGTGGCGGGGCGCTCCAGGAATGAGCGACTGCGTCCTTGCCGCACGCGAATCAGCTTGGGCGATCCGCGACAAAGACGACGACTATACCGGATTACAGGGGTATACGCATGAATCATGGGTCAGGACTCATGTCCCGACTGGAACGACCACTACTGAGCGCATGCAGTGAGGCTCACGTCCTCATTCGCAGTTTTAAAAGTTTTTACGGTTGGCAGCTTCAGCTCAAGGAATAAACCTGGATTTTGTCAACGGAAGCCTACCAAGCGCAGCTAACGGGGTGAATGTTGCAATGGCAGTGGCAGAATGGACCCTTGGAGGTGATCGAACACTGGCCTTTTTCTTGTCCCTCCCAGCCGATCTTCTCACTAGACCAGCGGCGTCTTCCGGAGGATTTATTTCAGCTCTCTTGCGATCGCCTGTACTATATTTGAGCTTTTCTATCTGAAGAATGCGACCCAGGAAGACTATAAAAGTTCGACGAAGAATGCAGACAGTATTACAACCACCTTAAGACGGCCGGTCCTCCTCTGGCCTGCGTGGTGTCCTAGTATGGCCAGATTTCGATATGTGAAACTGACTTGCTCTCAATGCGGATGTGTGAAATGGTCTTTTGGATTTTGTATCTGCATGAATAGAGTCTTTGGTGTCTCTGACGTCGGAAGGGCACGCCCCCGGAAGGCCTGCGCTCTCGACGCCGGTGGTGCCTAATCCTCCCACTCTGCCAGTGCGCGAACAATCACTCTAGATCTGATCCGCCAGAGAGATTGATTGCAGGGGCCGCAATCCACCTGGGAGACTGGAAGCGGTGGTTCAACGAAATGTCAGTGTGCCAACGGGACCGATGCAATACGTTACCCATAGTGGGTGGATGGCCACTGAATACAACTTTCGTTAGACTGAGAGCTCGGTGTTGAAGATTTGCAGTTTGTCTTGGCGTGCACGGGCCACAACGACATTGTCGTGTCGTTATGTCTTGGCGTGCTCTTGACGTGCACGGGCCACAACGACATCGCCATGTCGTTATGTCTTGGCACGCCAAGACAACTACGCTCAAACATCTACCCGTCCCCTTCCACGCCCTTCACTAACAGAAATTGCGACTCGACCAATGACAGTGGATAAGGCTAGCGCAGGAAACACTGTGGCGCGAGGCACAACGTGGGCAGAACTCGTAACCCCGGTACATTATGCTTCCGCTATACGCACAAGCCCAATGAGGGAAGTGATTGCTGCAGCGGGCGCCCTCTGGAGAGAAGAACAAGACCGCAGCCGAATCTCACTCGCGGGGGTCGTCGTTACACAAGGAACGCGCGTGAGGCGTACCGGATACTGGATCTGGGTATTTTGAATACCTCCGCTAGAGTCGGGTGGTTGTATGCTGACACGAGGGCAGAAGCTGGGCACATAGTAATCGTGGACCAGGAAGCGCCAGCTCTGTAGCCATCTTCTTGGTCATGGACCGAGTGCGTATACATCTTCTTCTGTCTCTCCGTCGTCCCTCAGATCCCCCACTTCTAGATAGAGATGCCAATCGTCCCCCAGCGCGCGTTGACATGAGAAACGAAACACCGGACTCCTTTCCTCGAAACCTGGGACTCTCCTCTGTTCGCACTATGCTCAAAGTACCCGGACCAAACGGAAGAACAGGGAGATTAGAATAAACACCGCGCAGTTCCTCGGCAACATGCACGAAGGGAAACAAGTTGACACCGGGTTTTCCCCCATTTCCCACGCCCTTCAACAACATGCCCGAACCCACAGTTCACATACGCAGCCTTACTGGCGAGCAGCATCCCACATCAACCTTTGTCTAAGGCGGCTCTAGCCCCCCCAAATCATAGTGGTGTCGCCAAATGCCGGTGTCGACCACTAGATATTGCTCGCACCCTCACCAAGCAAGGGTGCGCTCCTCTCTCCGCACTCGTACTTGGGCCGAGCACATAATGGGCAGTATAGTACTAATCCACGGTCCTCAGTCTTGCGAGGACAGCCTTCCCTGCTAGCGGAACTCTAGAGCAAGAAAGGTTTTGATTTCTCCTCCCCGTCCCCCAAGACGACTCTTTGTCCTGAGAAGCTTTGGCCTTCTTTTATGCTCTTCGTTTCGGTCCCGCGTGGCTCCGGCTGTTTAAAATTACTATTCTGGAGCCGACGGAGCTCAGCTTGCTTCCTCACCCACACACCCCTTCTCTTCTTTGTCTCACCTTTCTATGGGCGACCCTCTCTTCCTTGCGAACCGCGTCATGTCACTGGAGTCGGCGTGGAGGACGTTCATGCTCTCGCTTTTCAGCCTTGGAGTCGCTGTCCCGGTTCAATGAGAAGACAAACTTGGTGAATGAGAGGTGGGTGTGTGAAAACGCACATGGGATGAAGAGGAGGCACCTTGCCCGCACCCGAAACGAGGGCATTTGGTCCGAGCGGCGACGACGGAAGAGGGAGAGGCAGGCAAATGCTATGAATGAATAGCACGCATGGAGATGGATGAGAATGGAAATGACCATGCAGCCTTGCATGGGGGCGACCGACCGACTGACCACCTGATGCGAGGAGATCAAAGATGCTCGAAGATACTCGCACAGAGCCAGACACTCCGTCGGCGATCCATCCAACGCCGACGCCCTGCGACGCCCTTCAACCCCCCTCCCAAGAGCCGGGTCCAACTGGCCGTCACATGCTTCCACTGGAGCCGGATACACAGCCACCTCTTTCTATCCTCCGCACGACAGGAGATGAGCGCTGCGGAAGGTGAGGAGGCGGCTCCTCGAGGGGTATCGATACTGATACCAAAGTCGACTTCAACTCCAAATATGAAATATACCTTCAATTGAGGACCCTACCCTCTTCGTCGACTTGGAAAAATCCAGCTAGCATTGGCGGATGTGGTCGAGTGACCTCGACGCTTCACATGGCCCGGTCTGATCAGACGAGGCCAGCGCTAGTTGGCCAACAATTACTCAACAGCGCGTAGACGAGAACGAGATGGGTTAAAGGAAGGACTCAATGGACAGATCAGTGGTCAAGGTATGTGGAGTTATTTCCCTCATTGTGACAATTTCAGATGATATTATCATAGCTCGCCTACGAGCTGTCTGCTAGTTCTGTTCTCAAAGACACAATGACATGAACGCATGCTGGGTATGGTATATCACTTTTGGACCAAGGAAAAGCGTCAAGGATACATCTTCGCTTCCCTGCGCCTCTTTATGCAATCCAGAACCAGATCCTCTCCAGCATGTTTCTCGGCTTGCGCTCAGGCCATACTATGGCATCCAGCGCAGCCTTGCCCGTGTACAGATCGGCTTCGGAGGCCTTGCGGAAGTGCGTGCGCTTGAAGATCCTCCAGAACAAGTACAGGCCGAAATAGATGGGCACTCCGATGTAGTCGGTGATGAAGGCTTGGTAATCCCAAGTTCCTGCGATCGAATCGAACCCATTGAAAAAGATGATCAGACCGAAGAAGATGGCGGAGGCATAGCCGAGGTATGGTTGCAAGGGAGACTTGAAGGGCAATTCATTGCGGTTGATACCCTGGGCATGGCAGGCGTAGTAAAAGCGAAGGTAAGCGATGCAAATGCTGACCCAGGTGAAGAGAGTGGAGATCGTGGTCAAGTTCTGGAACCACGTGAAGACAGTATTCGAGCCGGAAGAGCAAGACATGTAGGTCAGGAGAGAGATTGACCAGGTGATCAGCACACACCACACCGGGACACCAGTCTTTGTGCACTTGAGCAGGAATCTAGGTGCTTGACGGATTTGCGCAATCCCGTACAGATATCGCGACCCGGTGTACAAGAAAGCGTTGGCCGACGAAGAGGCGGATGTCAAGATGACAGCGTTGATGATGGATGGAAGAGAATCGATTCCGGCGCGGTTGATTGCGATAACCCACGGAGATTGAGCGGCACCAGGCGCACCATTTTCACGAGCGTTCAGAAGATTGGGGTCATTGTACGGGACCAAGACGCCGATTGCCAACGAGCCCAAGACGTAGAAGAACAGGATACGCCAGAAGACTCTCCGGACGGCCTTCGGAATGTTTCGGCGGGGATCCTCAGCCTCACCAGCCGCGACGGCCACCATTTCGACACCACCATATGAGAAAGCGGCATTGACGAGAGTGGACCAGAGACCAAGGAAACGACCAGTGCTGCCGGAGGCGATGTAAGCTTTCATGGCACCGGGGTTGTTCCAGTATTGGAAGCCGAGACGGTGTTGCCCTGGAACGCCACCCACATCAATGATAAGGGCGAGGATGAGCAGGCCAATGATGGTGATGATCTTGATGGAAGCGAAAATGAACTCGGCTTCGCCGTAAATGGCAACGGCGAAAATGTTAAGGGCCAGGACCAGCACTATGACGATCGAGATCCATGCTGCAACGTTGATGTCTCGAGCGCCGGGCCAGAACTGGATGACGCTCGATGCTGCAGAGATTTCGGCGCAGAGTGTGATAGCGCAGGAATACCAGTTGTTCCAGCCAACAGCAAAGCCCATGGCATCATCGACATAACGAGCGCAGAATTGTGGGATAGCACCAGGGAGCGGAAGCCACGTTGCCATCTCGCCCAGGGACATCATCATGGCAAAGACAGCCAGACCAGTGAACGTATAGCCCAGGAGAACCGACAGCGGGCCGGCTTGAAGGAAGGCACGGCCGATACCCAAGAACAGACCAGTACCGATGGTGCCACCGAGAGCAATGAACTGGATGTGACGAGATTTGAGACCTCGCGAGACATAGCCATATTCCTCTGCGGTGGCGATGTCGCCAAAGACATCGGTGGCTTCGTTGAGCTTGGAACCTCGTCGAGCCTGAGCAAGAGAAAGATGTCAGCGGCGTTGGCCCGAGTTTTTCTTTGCTGTGTACACGGTGTGAACTCACCTCGACCTTGTTGGCGTCAGTGTAGTCGAAAGGGAGGTTCTCTGGCGACTCGGAGCCAGGCGCGAGATGGAAGTCGGCGGTCTTCTCCATGTTGGAGCTTGTGGGAGCTATTGGAGATGTCGAGTGCTGACTGTTTTGCCAGTTAACAGTGCTCGACGATCCTTTTAGATCGAGCAGGGGACGAGCACCAGCACCTGGGACCTCGAGATGGGGAAAGCGAGACGAGAAGAGCCTCGCAGGGTCAGGGCGAGTTGGGAAGGTATATGTAGGACAACAACATGTGCGCGTGGACCATGCATGGGTGGTGGTGGTGTCTGGGGGCGTGGCAGATTACCCTGGCTGCACCGAGCCCATCAATGGCTCTGGCATCATCGCCTGCGCCGAAGGACAACGAGATACGAACTGTCGAGACTTTGAGGCTGGGCGCCAGAGTGTGACGCTGCGACCCACCCGAGCAAGGCGAACTGGGCAAGGCGTGAAGCCGGAAGTGGCCTACGCTAACACACAAGGGCGATGGTGCAATAGTGAAGAGCCATGGATACGGGGTACAGTAGCTCTGGGCGGTCTCGAGTCTCGACCACAGCTGCGTGGGCGAGGCGGGTGACAGGACCGGATGGGTGACCCTGGTAGAGGAGGTGTCCAGCAGGGGAAACCAAGAAAGGTGGAAGTCGTTGATCAATGGGTGGTTGGAGAGAATTGTGGTGGAGCAGGTGAGGTGTGATCTGTGATCTCCCGACTGGGGTGAAATACGATCAAGGTCACGAAGAGGCCAGTGAGGATGAGCGAGAGGCAGCCAGGTTGCCAGGATGGAGGAAAAGCAAGAGTGAGCGAGTGATAGCGCAGCCAACACCACCCCAGGCACTCCCAACTCACACAAATCCCAACTCCACCTGCAGCGCAACTCTCCTATCACTTGTTCCCCCTCTTGATTGTTCAGACTTGGCCCCTCGACCCTGCGGCCACTCGAAACAGGTGAGCCTTGCAGATAACAACGTTCCACAGGGCACCGTGATTTATTGGCAGGCACGAGGCCACTGTACGCTGTGGGACGTTGGGGGCTTTTTCGCGGGCGAGGCGTTGACATGCGGCAAGGCAGTTTTTTTGCCCGTGCCCAGATGCCCAGACTCGCCGGCGAGAATGGGCAACTTGAAGATCGAAGTGAGGTGAAGATGAGGGAGAACTGAGGCGCAGGGATGGTCAGTGGTCACGCAGCCTCCGGTTGGTGTAGCGTCGTGTGGGGTAGAGTAGCGTTGGCTCAAAAGCTGCATCCAGAACGGAAGGTCGCCGTGAATCCAAGCACCAACAAGCAACCAGGGACAAGGAAGCAAGCAACAGGCAAGCTACAGGCAAGCAAAGCCCCAAGAAAACCGTCTCAGGCCTGCCTCCTCGGCGCCTAGCCAGCCCGCTGTCAGGCTCAGGGAGCCCAAAAGCAAAGCGCCCTCCTGAAATTACTCCGACCTCCTTTCCACAGCCAACCACAGAAGCAAACATCGACAAACATCGACAAACAAGTCCAGTTCTACAAAGCGCTCCTTACGGCCTCCAGTGTCTCTCTAGCCTACCCTAATGCGCCATCTGACTGGCTTTGGCTTTGGCTTTCGCCATGCCAATTTCAATTACTCAATTTTGGCCTGAACAAACGCCATCGCGACCAGGGCGAGCCATCAGTTTTAGGACACTCGACGCGAACAACATCCAGCAGCAGGGCGACCGGGGGCGGCCCTTGTCCCCCAATCCGGTCCCCGCGTCCGATGCGCTGGACTCGAATTAGTAGTCAGTTTAGAAGGGCTTCTGGAAGGCCGCCAACGGGCGAGTTGCATCGGGCTACTGAGAAAGTCATGGCGCCGACGCCCAGATTTTTAGGTGCAGATGCAGTGGCGTATCTCTTACCCTTCAGTATTTCCCAATCCGTTTTCTTTTACTGCATTCCCAACTGACCTTCTGTCATCATTATTCGATAGGAACTGCAAGCACCGAATGGGAAGCAACAGAGTGCTGACACCCTCTTCCCGACCCGGACCGTCCAACTCTGTCTCTCTTGCCATCCATGCTTCTAGAAGCCCGTGGCCCGTGTTCGACAACTCTAACTCCTACCTATCTACCTCCTCGGCAAAGTTTCGTGGTGTGTCGCCACTAAGGCACCGGGCTCTCCTTTTGGGTTTGCAATTCCGATACGCGAAAAAGAAAAGAGACAAAAGCAAACACACATGAGATATTGTTTCAGAATGGCCAGCCGACAATAAGCGCTCCGTCGAGCTCTGTATCATGGTCCCCGACGGAAAGGCATTCCGCCCCAAATGCTAGTCTGACTGATGCTCCCTCGAGCTCCCTCCTGAGGACATCAAGACTTGCGCAATTCCAGCACCTTATCTCTGAGGGACTCTTGCTCACCCTTCTGTGAGATCAGACACCCTCTGGGACGTTGGAGCTCGCCCAGACATGGTCCTTGAGGCAAACCACTGAGGGCGTTCTTCCTGCCAGCTCTGGCGATCTATACTCTTTCATGATCGATGCCCAACCCCAATTCTCAGATAGGTTTGTTCATGAGTGTCCGAATCCGGCAACAACGAGCAACCGATTTTGAAGTTTTCCCCCACCTGTCAACCAGAGGCTACTGATTAGTGATGCCCCTATATCTCGGCTATCGAATTGTTCAGATCTCGATGTCACTCTTCGACCTGCTCTTGAATTGCCATCGTTGACATGACTATTTCGCCCATCCACCATCAGGTCTTTGTTTAACGTCACTCGCAGGTTGATGGTATAACTGGACAAACAATATGAGGATGTTTGCGAACTCTAAAATGACGTCTTGCTGTTACGGGCAAAGCAGCGGGGCCATTGTTTGCTCGTTTACATACCATCCTTGTATCGGAACCTCAACACGTACCGGGTCTGGTTTCCCAGTAAAGAAGACGTGGATTTTTCGTCGAGAAAGAGTGGACCGGAATCCATCAAAAAACGGCCTTGCCATGCCTGCGCAATTCTGGGCATATGCAAACCCGATTCACGTGGGAGCCTATACTGGATTTCTTCGACTGGCTATGCTTCTTTGCGTTCGGCACAGGACCCCTTCCGCGTGCGAGTCTGTTCTATGATGAATTCCGCCCTTGAGAGTTTGCGTGCTACTTCGCCAAGGGAGTAAGAAAAGGAGGTATTCGGGTGCCATATCACCGAGGAAACATGAATAGATCTAATTTTACCCCCCTGCGCCCAAGCCCTCATTAATGCATGTGTTTGGTCTATCTACTTCTTCATCTCGCGGACCAGACTGCTAAAATGCTCTTTCTGTTCCTCCGCCAGCTTGCCTCGCGTGTCGCTCACGATGGTCAACACCAGACTATAGTTGTTGTACAGGAACTTTGCCCTTTTACTGGCATCACCGGCCCCCTTGGCGAGCTTGCCCATCAGAGACTCGTACTCGGTCCTCAGCCGCGCGAGGCTGTTTGAGACGGGCTCGTCGTCGCCGGCCTCGGCGCTGAGTAACAGAATCCCCTGCAAGAACTGGCCGAAGCGCTGCGTGATGGCGTGCGGCGCCACCGAGGCCTTGGAGGCGTCCGACGATCCTCCCCCGACAAGGGAGAAGGCGGCTGCGGCGCCCCGGCTACCGGTCGTCGGAGCGGGGACTTTTCTCAGCGACTCGCAATGCGCATCCATGACAATTTGAAAGCGCGGCCACAGGAGAATGTTTGTGTAGTTGATGTATGAGTCTGCCACGGGGACTTTGCGCCGCTGCAGCTCGAACGCGAAGTGCTGGTTCAGACGGACGCAGAGTAAGACGCCCAAGCAGTCGTTCGTATTCTCAACAAGGGATTTGGTCAGGCTGTGACCCATGGTGAATGTAGGCTCGAAGATTTCAACCACCCGACGCGAGATCTGATGATACGTACTGGTGGAAAACAACTCGGTGATGACCGAATACTCGGCGGACACATTGTCAATGAGTGCTTGGTTGAAATTCCGGAAGGGAACTTCTAGGTAGTGTGCCGCCTTGCTTTCTTCCGCAAGGTAGGCCGGCAGAGCTGTGTCGTTCTTGGATTTGAGAAGGTCTTCCCTTCGTCCCAGGCTAAAGGCATCATGTGGTGGGGGAGCGGGTTTGGAGGCCCCCAGGACATTCCGCCTGGCTGGAGCCGGCTCTGAGCCGAGTAGGTCATGTTGATCAAAGGCGTGAATTTGTAGAGCGTCAAGAGCTTGTTGGTATCGGGAAAAGTGGCTGCTATAGTACCACCGCATGGTATTGACATATGCTTGCCCAATTTCCTCAGCCAAAACCGGGTGATTCCGAGCCAGAAAAGCGTACAGATCTTTATATCGCAGGAAAGTCTGCTGTTGGATTACTTGGGCGTTAATATTGGGTGAGCGAAGCGCTTTGATCTGAGCCACGATGTAGTCTCGTATTCGCTCGATCGCTTTGGCCTTGAGATCTTCAAGCAGAGGTTTCAGGTCCTGCAAAGCCTTGACCTGCTCCGACTTCTCCTCTTTGGCTTCTAATATGAGAGATCTTGCTTCCACCTCCTTCAGAGCCTTAACAAACGTCTCGTCCATGGGTCCTTCTGCGATAGACTTTACTGTGAGAGGAGACAGGCTGATTTCTTCCACCGCAGGGCCCAGGAGCTTCTCGACATGGCGCCGGTTGTCGAGTTTGGCGTTGAGCTGAGTAGAGCGAGCCTGTAAGTTCTCAATTTCTGCAGAGACCTGACCAAGCTCGGCCTTGAAGTTCGTCAGGTAGGATTCGACGTTGGTAAGAATCTGGTCGCATTCCGCAATTGACTTGTGGAATTCTTCAAATTTCCGCCTGTTCTCCTTTGCTGATATCTCCACGGCAGAGTCGTCGCCAGCAGGTCGCGTGGGTATATCTTGGGCCACGAACTCTTCAAGGCTCAGACCCCCAAAGTCAATCTCTTTGCCCGTTTCTCCGTCTCGATTTCTAGACCCACCATCCTGTGCTATCCCATGTCTCGAGTTCCCAAGTATAGTTTTTATTACTTTCACAGGATCTGCGACATTGGGCGGGGGCCTCTGCTCGAATCTTAGGGAGGATCCATTGGGCTGTCTCGCCGGGGTCGTAAGAGATGTTGTAGAAGTGTTCGCACTAAGGTCGAGGGAGGTTGTGGATCTCGTTGCAGATAGACCCAGCCCCGAGACTGTCCGTTGACTTGGAGCAAGCTGGGAATTCTTGCGTGGAGAGGGAGAATATGGCCTCGTTGGGGCGAGCGATTCACGAGAGGCACTGGGTGTTGCAGCACCAGCAGTTAAGCGGTCCAGCCACATGCTGAAGGATCACTTTGACAGAAGTCATTACAGGGAGTGAGCGCTATAAAGGCATGGCTCTTGTCTGAGAAGCAAGATATCAGGTAGCATACATCGCCCAATTCTTGTTCACTAGGGGTTGCATCTCGCGACGTTGGACGCGCCAAAGTGGCATCGTGAGCAACGGTGCCCAGCCTCGGGGGATTGTTAGTCCGCCCGCCGAGTTTCTCTCTTCCGAAAAAGGGTTTGAGCTTCACCTGATCCTCATTTAAAGGAATGTATTTGTCTACAATCACAGCTCTTCTAAACCAGGGGACCGCTATCTTGCCGCGTCAGAATGGGACTACTAGCCCGACGCGGGCCATGTCACCAGCTCTACTCGTTGGATCCCCAAGCCCTTTCTGGAGCTGCAACTGGGATACGAACTGACTTCTAAGACTTGAATGAATGACTGGTGCGATACAAAACCGCAGAGTTTCGAGATCGGCGGAAAGGATGACGGCTCGTGATGGGAGCCAAGTCCTCACCCCCTTGCTTCTCCTTAATCCCATGTCAACACTGGTTTTATGCATTTCCCATGGTGCATATCAGCGATTGCTTGGTTGACTTCAGTGTAGGGGTACTTGGTGATAAGGCGATCTATCGGGAATCGTCCCTGGCTCCAGAAATCGACGAGAACAGGGAGGAACTGCAAACAATTAGCTTGAACCCAGGTCGTCACCAACCGGTCATACCATCTGTGGCAATGAAGAGCCCTGACACGAGCCAACATAACTGACGTTTCTCCCTATCCAGCGGGCTGCTTCGATGTTGACAAACTTCCCCCTTGGTGCTCCTCCGACTGTTACCACTGTTCCATTGTTTGCTGCTGCCGCAATCATGGACTCGATGACAGCAACGTTTCCGGTCGCGTCGAGTGCACAATCGACACCCTCGCCGTTGGTGACGTCCTTAATCATTTCAACCACGTCTTTCCCTTTCGAATTGATCGTGTGTGTCGCGCCCAGCTCTGTCGCTAGCTGCAGTCGGGAATCCACGATATCAATAGCAATAACTTTTGTGGCAGGTGTGAATCTGGCCGCCGCCATGATCGCCGCCAGCCCGACCGACCCGACTCCAAATACCGCAACCGATGCTCCTACGGCGGGCTTGAGGAGATTCAAGACAGTACCAGCACCCGTCTGAATACCGCAACCCAGACAGCAAAGAATGTCCAGCGGAACGGTTGATGGGACCTTCACCGCACAGACTCCGCTCACGATTGAGCGAGCGGCGAAAGAAGACTGGCCGAAGTAGGATGAATTGATGTCGGTCCCGTTGAGAGAGAATGGCTTGCTCCCATCCAAGCGGGACCCGCCAAAACACAAATGTGGCCCGTTTCGACAGTATGCCGGGTTCCCTCGACGGCAAGGTGTGCAGTTCCCACAATAGTTGAAAGATAGAAGCACATGATCGCCGACAGCCACGTGTTTCACCTCGGACCCGACTTGTTCAACAACCCCAGAACCTTCATGGCCGAGAATGGCAGGTAGTGCAGGACCTCTATTCCCTATGGAAGTAGCCACGTCCGTATGGCATACACCCGTCGCTATCATGCGGACCACGATCTCATCGGGTCGCATATCATTCAGTTGTACTTCCTTAACTTCGAAGGGCCCATGTTGTTCAGAGACAACCAAAGCGACTGTGCTCCCCATACCGGTGGACTTCGAATCCGATGCCATTTTGTGCTTTGGATGTCTTCACACGGTCACAAGGAGACGAAACCGCAGAGATATAGCACCGGTAGACTGTGTCACGTGGCATTACGGTATTGATAGTCGGTATATGAACCCGCGTTTTGGCCGAAACATGCCGGGCAAAAGGTGGAGGTCAAAGTGAATTACATATGACGTGCCAATATTATTCAGCTCACTCTGTGGCCAACACTGACCTGGATGTTGCTGGCACCAACCTCCACTAGGATAGTCGAGCCCCAGATATGGCAGCTAACTATTTTCCTCGTCTAGGATTGTTACGGTTCTAACTTGGAGGAACTCGTCCATCCCCCACTGAGCACCGAATCTACCGAACCCACTCTCTTTCGCTCCCCCATGTGGTAGGAATGGCTCATCATGGATCGTCATGGCATTGATATGGCAGGCCCCAGTCTCGATCCGTCTTGCACACTTCAGCGCCTTTGGGACATTCTGGGAGAATATGCTCGCTGAGAGACCATAACCTGTGTCATTGGCCAAGGCAACCGCTTCGTCAATTGTGTCAACTGTTGTCAAGCTGATAGTTGGCCCAAAGCTCTCGTCGTAAAACAATGCCATGTCCTTTGTTACACCACTGAGAATCGTCGGCTGGAGTGACGCATTCAGGCGCAAGGGTTGTCCGAATTCTAGGTGAGCGCCCTGTTCCACTGCAGCTTGTACCAAGGATTCCGTTCGCTTCGCCCCTTCGGGGGACACGGCACTGCCTGCGGCAAATGCTTGCGCCTCCTTTTTGAGTATCTTCAAAAACTCCTCTGCTATCGGACGCATGACAATCACCCGCTCTGTCGCCATGCAGATTTGTCCATGCTACACTGTGTTAAAGGTCGCCCTACAACCCGGAGCAATCAACTCACATGCAAGAAACCTCCCATCACGACGGCCTTCGCGGCTTTGACCAAGTCTGCATCTTCAAGAACAATGCACGAAGCTTTACCGCCAAGCTCCAACAAAACAGGCTTGAGGTGACGGCCTGCCTGCTGTGCGATGACTCTTCCCACCGCAGTCGAGCCTGTAAAGTTGATTTTGCGAACTGCAGGGTGCGCAATCATGGCGTTCACCACGTCGGCAGCGTCTTCACGGGAATGCTGGATGATATTGAGCACTCCAGGCGGCAAGCCTGCGTCACGGAACACTTGTCCAATGATGTTGTGGGTCTTGGGGCTTAATTCTGACGCCTTGAGCACAGCGGTATTTCCACATATGATCGGTGTGGCTACTGCTCGAATGGCCAGGATGAACGGTGCGTTCCATGGAGCAATTCCGAGTACAACGCCATACGGTTCCCTGAAGACAAGAGCCAAGCGATCTGCACTGTTAGCAGAGAACGTGCAGGAATTCAGAGCTCACGGACTTTCAGTTTCTGTCGTTGGTAGCCATCCCGTGCTGCAAGTCGTGGCAAGGCTTGCAAGCTCCTCCAAAAACTCGACTCCCATGTGCATGTTGATTCCAGTAGCCCATTGTCTGCCGCAATTGGTTTCTTGAACCATGGTTTCAATAATTTCATCTCGGCGGGACCTGAACAACTCTGCAGCTTTGAAGAAAATGCGCCTCCTCTCTGTTGGATGGATGTGAGCCCATGATTGAAACGCTTTGGCTGCAGAATCAACAGCCTCTCGCGCAATTTCCACATTGGCAGCAGACGCCGTCCATACTTCCTTCTGGGATGTCGAATTTATGACGCTGAACGTGGTCTTGGACTGCACGGGCTTATTGTCGATCCAGAGGGGAACATTGTTCATATGCTGACCATTCAAGACATTTTCCCCCATCTTGTTACACTGCCGATACTTTCTTTGCTGGACAACTCGACTTTCCAATCCACCTGCTCTCGCACACTTTGATCGCGGAGTATGGTAAGATTTTATGGCCAAATCCTCGCTCGGCTCCTCCCAACTGCCTCCACGTCCGGAGTTCCATCGACTAAGCACTCTCCGGGTTGACAACTCCCTGTTTTAGAACCTGAGAACTCGATCCTTTCAAGTCACGTGTGGTTCGTTGGTCAGGCCGGGGGCCTCTCACTCTCTGCGGGAAACGATCCCGTACATCCAGGATCGAGTTGCCGAGACCACTCTCTCGCCATCATGAAACGCATACCTGTGCCATGAGGCGATCCTCCTGCGGCTAACGCTCTAAATGTTGTGCGGTCTATTTTGGGATCCCGTACCACGGACATCTGGCAGTGGAAAAGGAATGCTCAAAGAATATCTGCTATCCCTTGAGATACCATCGTCACTGATATTATCAGCATCAAGGCCCCAGTCCTCGTGTCGCTTACGGCTCAGTTACAAAATCTGCCTGTGCCGCCAGCCGCAATGCCTTCTTCCGAGGCCACAGCGTCAAACGGAGTATACACGGACGGCGTCGAGAGCAACAATGCGAACGGATACTCACACTCAGGTGTCAACGGAAATGGCCCATACTTGAAAGCGAATCACCCGTTAAATGTCATTATTGTCGGGGCGGGCGTTGCAGGTTTAGCGCTTGCCGGTATCTTGGGCCATTCGGGACACAAAGTTATCGTTCTGGAGGCAGCACCGATGATTGCTGAAGTGGGCGCAGGAATCAATTGCTCTCCGAACCTCACGCGCCTATTGAGCCGATGGGGCCTCGACAAGCGTGTACGCAAGCACACGAATTCTCTCACTCGAATCGACCTAAGAAGATGGAAAGACGGCGAGTTTCTCGGCGCAGCCACTCTCATGCCCGAGATCGAGAGGAGACACGGGGCGCCGCAGTATGCGATCCATCGTGCCGATCTCCACGAAGCGCTGATGGAAGAGGCCGACGCGGTGGCCGAGGTTCGCATCAACAGCATGGTTACAAGTCTTGACTTTGACAAGCCTTCGGTGACCCTGTCGGATGGCAGCGTACTTGACGCAGATGTGGTTGTTGGTGCAGACGGTGCGTGCGTCGAATCGTGTTTTGGTCATCTACTCACCGAATCAGGGATGAAATCTACCTGCAGAAGACTGATTTACCAGAAACTCGGTCTGCTCGACAAAGCGAAGCCAACGGGAGACGCTGCCTTCCGCGCATGCATACCCTTAGAACTGGTTACGGACCCAGAGTTGCGAGCTTTCATCACAGAACCCGTGGCGACGAGGTGGATGGGCCCTGATAGACATGTGCAGGCTTATCCAATACGACATGGAAATCTTTATAACATGGTGAGAGCCTTCTGCTGTCGAACCCGCGTCCCACTCACAGAATCTTAGGTGATGTGCCACCCAGACACCGGCTTCTCAGAAGAGTCCTGGACCGCGAAAGCCTCCAAACAGGAGATTCTGGACCACTTTGGGTCGTGGGACCCCGTTCGGCTGCGCAAGCTCTTGGACTTTATCCCTGACGAGAACGTGATGAAATGGCGGCTGTGCGAGCACGATCCACTTCCCACATGGGTGATGGGAAAGGTGGTTCTCCTCGGCGACGCTTGCCATCCCATGTTGCCATACGTCGCGCAAGGTGCCGCTCAAGCAATTGAAGATGTTGGGGTCATTTGCTTGGCCCTCAATCGCGTGTCGAAGCCAGAGGAAATACCAATGCTGCTCAAGGCCTTTGAAGTAGCGCGAAAGGCCCGGGCTGAGCACGTTGCGAGTACGGGTGGCGCCACGCGCCGCGTCCTGCACCTCCACGATGGGCCGGAGCAACAGGCAAGAGACGAAAAGTTCAAGTCGGTTTCCAGGGGCGGGGAGAATCCTGACCTGCTGGGCGACGCCAAGGCACAGTCGTTTCTGTGGGGGTATGATCCGGAAAAGGAATTCTCGGACACCTTTGAGAGTAAGTGAAGCATTAGACAGTGGCGATATCTCGGGTTAACTGGGATACCAGGTCTGATCCGGGAGGCACAAGACCTTCTCGCTGAGCCGACTGCAAGAGTGGTGGATCTCTGAAGTGTCGTCTGCTAGTGCTTAGATGTAGACGTGTGGTAGCCTTCAAGTTGTAATCGGAATGAGTTCCTCGCCTCCAGTGTTCTTCTCAGAGTCTTCCATCGTGTAGATCCGTTAGAGGGTGAGGAGCGTCCCTGCGATGAACCGGCATCTCGCTGTGACAATCCACAAATGATAGGCTAGATAGCAAGGTTCCGCGAAATGCTGACTCCCTCGGAATTCAGCCTTCTGAGTTCCGAGTGTGACTCAATGGAGGAACATGATGAATTCTATAGGGTCCTGGGGCCCGGCTGTCTATCTACGTTCGAGTAACTTAATTAACAAAGGGGTCTCGACGCTAGTAACAGGCCTTCGGCCGAATACTAGCGCGAACAGTCATTACATCTCTTGACGTTCTTGTCAGGCACACTGCCAGTCACACGAGTAGAAGAAGGTCAGCATGACTAGCCGGGATATCCACCCGGCCATTCGCCGCTTTTGAGCCCGAGAGCCCCACCTGCCCACACACTCGCTTAGAGTGTTGCCGCAAAATCACTTTTATGTTTTGGAGTCTCCGAAATCTTGCCTAAAAGTCGCCTCGACAGTGATGGCTTCGATAGCTCAGTGGTAGAGCGAGAGATTGCAGTCGCCATGCTCGAATATCTCTAGGTCACGTGTTCGAACCACGTTCGGAGCTTTTTTGGTTTTTGACTTGGTCGACTTGGTCCTCAACCACGTTTGGCGCAAGCATTTTATTTTTGGTTCTCTACTTCAATACTGGTTGGCGTCTTTGACTGTGTTCTTTTTCTCCCGGTTCGAAAGACGCCTTCTACCACAGTTTCAAAATATTGGAACCGTGTCCAGCGAGTGACCATGCATGTCCAATCAGCGTGAACGTGTGAATCATCTTCTAACAAGCTAACCTGCTTTCTTTTCACTCTACCCATCTGTCGTGACATGCCGTGCCATATCTCCAGAGGCACATGGGAAGCCGGTTCCTATCTCGAACTGCCGCAAGTCCCCTCAGACTTGGCCACCTAGACCAATATTATGATCGGCAAAGTTGGTGAGCTTCTCCTTTTTCGGTCTTCCATGCGTCAAACTACCGTCGAGTTCAAGCGTGAGCTGCCCAAAGAGCCCCTCGGTGTTAGCGGAGACAGATCTAACGGCTCACGCCCTGATAAGCCACGTCGTCTCCGGCCAGCAATTCCGATGATCGTACACGTGTATAGAGGTTGACGCTGGAAGTCCAGGCGCGAGTTCCCACGGGACTCGCTCCCGACCCCGGACAGGTACCCCGGATTGACGCCAACCCCGGACTATGGCCGTCCCATCTAGACCGACGCCTGGCCACCTCTATGGAGCAAGCATATTAACAGAGGTTGCCTGATCGATCTCAACTCCGGTCACACTGTGGTGGCTAGGGACAACTCAGCATAATGGCAGGAGAGGAAAAGCACACGATCCATGCAGAGAACGTGCCAGTGGACACTGCGGCACATCTGGCACACGATGACCAAGAGGTGAGATAGTGACAACCATTCATGGCGCAACTTCTCTAAAGGGAAACAGATTGAACTGGACAACGGAGAGATTCTTCTACGACTCACCCCGGGCGCCGAGAAAGGGGCCAACGTGACCAACCTCAAGCTCGCCAAAGATGGCCAAACCGTGCTGGTGCCGCAACCCTCGGACGACCCAGACGATCCCCTGAACTGGTCGTCCTTTAAGAAGCACATGATCCTCATCTGTGTCGCGTTTGGGGCCTTTGCCGGCGATTTTGGATCCGGAGCCGGGGTCGGCACCATCGTCGTGCAGGGCATCGAATGGAACATGTCGCCCGTGGTCGTCAACTACGCGGGCAATCTCAACGTCATCATGTGCGGTGTTTCGGGCCTCATCTGGATGCCGCTGCTCAACTACTGGGGCCGCACCCCGGTGCTCTTCTGGAGCTCCGTCATGGGCGCGGCCTTCACGCTGGGCTCGGCGTTGGCGCCCAACTTTGCGGCCTTCTACGGCTTTCGCACGCTGCAAGGCGTCACCCAGAGCACGGGCCAGACCATCGGCCTGGCGTTCATCCACGACATGTTCTTCTTCCACGAGCACGCGCGCAAGATCGGGGTCTGGTACGCCATCTACATCATCTCGCCCTTTGTCGGCCCCTTCTGCGGCAACTTCATCGTGGGCACGCTGGGCGAGTGGCGCCCGGTCTTCTGGCTGGTGTTTGCCTGGTCGTGCTTCCTGCTCTGCCTCATCCTCCTGTTCGGCGACGAGACCTACTACAGGCGCTCGGTGCCGCGGGCGCAGCAGCCCCGGCGCCCGGCGGGGCAGACGGGGCGGCTCTCGCGGGTGCTGGGCGTGTGGCAGATCCAGCACCACGGGCACGGCTACTTCTCGACCCTGCCGCGGTGCTACGGCCGGCTGGGCGAGGTGCTGCTCAAGCCCGTGATCCCGCTGTGCATGCTTTTCTACCTGATGATATTCATGTGGTCCGTGGGGATCAACATCACATCGTCGATCCTGCTCCAGACGCCCGTCGAGGCCGGCGGGTACGGCTTCAGCTCCATCGCGTGCGGGTATATGTACTTCACGCCCTTCGTGGCCATCCTGATCGGCGAGGCGTTCGGGCACTACTTCAACGACTGGGTCGCGGCGCGCTACGTCACGCGCCACGGCGGCCTGTTCGTGCCCGAGACGCGCCTGTGGACCAACTACATCGGCGGCGTCTTCATGGTGCCCGGGCTGGTGCTGGTCGGCCAGACGCTCCAGCACCACCTGCACTGGGTCGGCATCGTGTTCGGCTGGGGCATGTTCCAGTTCGGCGTCATGGTCGTCTCCGTCGCCACCGTCGCCTACGTGCTCGACTGCTACCCGACCGCGTCCGGCGAGGTCTCGGCCCTGATCAACTTCGCCCGCGTCCTCGGCGGCTTCACCGTCGGCTACTTCCAGCAGGCCTGGGGCCAGAAGGTGGGCTTCGACGTCTCCTTCGGCCTCCAGGCCGTCATCGTCGTCGCCGCCTACGTCATCCTCGTCTTCGTCCAGGTTTATGGCGCCAGGCTGCGCCGTTGGGCCGGCCCGGTCAGACTCGCCCTGTGAGAGGGTAGACCTTGGCGGGGGCATATGTTTCTGTACGTACCGACTACCGACGGCCCAGTGTTATCAAGTGTACATGATAAATACCGATCGGGGTCAGTCTCTCTCTGCTTCTTTTCGGGGTGATTCTCGATTCGTTTCGCAGCCTTGACCCAAGTCAATGAACCGCCAAAACACATACTTATTTTATCTTTCAACCGATTTCTGTGCTTTAACCTCGTCCCTGGTCCTTTCCCTCCTTCCCCCTGCTGTCCCGTAGGGTAGTGGGTGGCTCAAAGACCACGTTCCGGATAACACAACGTATAGCTTAGCGATGGCGATATGGAATGGAGGGAGAAAGTGGTCAGACGAGGCTAGAGAACACAACCAATGTACCATTTACTCAGAATCTATTAAAGGCCACCATTAGCTAGGCGTCCGTTTGGCCCCTCTAATACAATATCGCGTGGATACCTACACAAGGCTCTCACGAGATTCCAAATCCTAGTTGAGTTGTATGGACAGACCATACGTTGCCTTTGTATATTGTCTTCGATCAGGGGACCATCCGTATATTCGTCTACTCTCTACTCGGTACTCAGTCCCATCTGCTCAAGCCACACGCCGTGGCTCCTCTTGCCTACCGGGAGTACTTGCTTGACACAAAAACCCCCCTGACTTCAGGCCACAACCCCAGCTTCAGCTTCAGGCCCAGGCCCAGCTTGCGCCCCTTTCAGGTCCCTCTTCTTGATATTGCAGACCAGGCCCCTCTGCACGGCGAACCAGTACGTCTTTGTGCGCACCTGAGCCTTGGGGTCCGCGCGCTCAATGTCGTAGACCATGAGCAGGGACGGGATCACCTTGGACATCTCCATCAGGCTGATGTTACGGCCCGTACAGGTGCGGGAGCCGCCGCCAAACTGTCGTGGAATTTCGGTCAGAGATTTGGATTTCCTTTGTGAAGATAGACAAACAAAAAAAGAGATGGATGAGGAGTAGGGTTGGGGGAGAATAAATGGGAACGCACCACAAAGAACGCCCGCTCCATCGCTTTCAGCTGCGCCTCGTCCGCCTCGAGCCACCGCTCCGGCCGGAAGACGTCGGCGTCGTCCCCGAACACCTTCTTGTCGCGGTGGACCACCCACGCGTTGACGCCGACGATGGTGTCCTCGGGGATGCGGGTGTTGCAGAGCACGGTGCCGCCCTTGGGGACGTGGCGCTCGAGCAGGAACGACACCGAGGGGTGGTGGCGCATGCCCTCCTTCAGCACGGCCTGGAGGTACGGCAGCTGCTGCGCCTCGGCGTACTTGACGGGCAGGGACAGCTTGCCGGCGGCCCTGGCCTGGTCGATCTCGGCCTGCAGCCTGCGGTAGCACGCCGGGTGGGTGAGCAGGCCGTCGACGGCGGCGCGCAGGGCGATGGCCGTGGTGTCGCTGCCCGCGAAGACGTTGGCGCTGCTGTGCCGCACCGTGTCGACCGCCTCCATCTTGCCCTCGGCCTTGGCCTCGTACAGCCGGCCCAGGAAGTCCCGGTGGCGCGGGGACGGGTCCTGCTCCCGCTCGGCGATCCGCTCCAGCGTGAACTTGACCACGTGGTTGATGCTGTCCAGCCCCGGCAGCACGTACGGGAGCAGCGGGTTGCCGAACAGGAACTTGTGCAGGTACGGCACCTGGCCCACCACCGACGCGTACACCAGGAACTGGTCGATGGTGGCGATCAAGCCCCCGACGTCCCCGCCCTCCTGCATGCACCCGAACCGCTTGCCGAACGTGACCTCCGCGATCACGTCCATGGCGTACAGCTGGAGCCACTTGCCCAGGTCGCAGGGCTGGTGCGGGTTGACGTAGAGCTCGTCGAGCCGCTTGAAGAACAGCTCCGAGCAGTTGTCGACGTAGGGCTCGAACGCCAGCATCGAGGTCATGGAGTACGCGCTCGCGACCGACCGCTTCTGCTTCGCGTGGAACTCATCGCTCTTGGTGGAGAAGAGATTGGCGAGGTAGATTTTGCCGTACTTCATCTCCTGGATGGGGTAGAAGTCCGTCTGCTCTCGCTATTAGCAATTGATCCTGTCCGTTGAAATGAGAGGCATAGCCATCCTCAGACCTTTGTAAAGCCACTGTTCAGTCCATAGATGACGCGAAGAGCATCCGGGTCAGAGACACTGACGACGTTCGGGGCGATGCGGACCAGCGGTCCATATTGTCGGTGCAGTTGCAGGTTCTTGATGTGCCAGTCTCCCTTGGCCACCTCCCATGCTCTCCAAAAGCCTGAGAAGCTCGCCACAAACGGACCCGGGATGTGTCGCAGGCCAGTCTTGTACCGTTGGGCGACGAAATAAAGCACCACGCAGATGGCCACGGTCAATCCCAGATGTGCCCGGATATAGGAGGCCGTGTCAATCGCAAGGTCAACCACTCTCGGTGAAGCCATGTTGCCGTGTGTTGTTGCAGCTCTGGCGGAGAAGATCCCCCAGACGTCCAGGCATAGCCGTTATATCGTGCCATCTTTCTCCAAGGACAGCCTCCTCCCTAGTCTCGGATGGTATACGGGCCAGCAAGACCTGGGCCTGCTGGTACAATGCTTGCCGTGGATCGCGAAAACCATAACATCTGGGGTACATGGGAT